AGTCAAAGATCAGCACCAGGCTCTCTCTACTCAATCACGCACTTACTATCCAGTGATACCCGCTAGGCACAAGGCAACATACTTCCATCGGCCGCCCAGGAACATGCAGACCAACGACGAGAGCAGCCAAGTCGCAAGGAAAGACTTCGGTGATAGATTCGCAGATGTGGTGACGCTTGGGATGAGCAACGCAAGAAATGTGACCAAATGTGCTTCGAGCAAAGGTATATGAGCAAGGCAGCAGAGAAACTTGCGAAGGACCAACCTGCAAAGACATATCCAGCTGCGACCCCACCCACGCCTCCTTCCAGCATAGACAACCAGCGAATTGAGCTCTCGATGCGCTTCAACTCAGATGCGCTGCGCGACAACGGCTTCACAGCATTGTGACGAGGCGCAAACACCCGCGTACGGTCAAGCGTGAGGAATGTCCCCGCGAATGTGAGCACGAAGGAGATAAGGAGGAGCGGGAGCGCGTATGCCAGGGTATAGGAAGTCGAGTCGAGCAGGTCCTCCAGGAACAGTTGAGCAGTTCGACGCCATGGCTACTCTCAATCACCGGCGGTCGTCTCAGGGAGCTGCGCGAAGCCTGTCGCAGACGGCGAGCAGGGTGCGTCCGGCGTTGTCGCGGTGGAGAGACGATGAGCACGGAGAGAGAGCCGAGCTCGGGCTGATCGACTCGCGCCTGGGAGGGTGGCAATTGCCGATCTGCATTTTCTGTACTGCTCTCTGCGCCCATGTCTGCTTACATAAATCCTTGCCTCTTATCCCCCTCTCTGCCGGTGCGGCCCTTCACAAGAGCTCGTTGCACTCCCCGCTAGAAGCAGTGGCCCGCAACCTGCCACCAACATGGCCAAGATTTCCGCCTCAAGGGCATATCTCGCATGCATAGGAACGCAGTCGGCGACGCACAGGCCCGCAAAGCGAAAAGGCGAAGCCATGCTTGGGTAGACGTGTCTGACGATGACTTGCACGTCAAGTCTGCGGCAAAACACAAAATAAGCCGATGAAAGGTTCACCAAACTCGGTACTGCGTACGGATGGCTCTCTGAGAAAGAAGCGGCGATTTGGTACGCCTGGAAAGCCCTTGTCGCACGGCTCTTCGTCCCAGTCGGTACAGGCACAACGAGCAGGGCTACCTATTGCCACAGGTATGTGTGTACTCCCGTTGAGATCTTTGTGAAGACTGACATGCTAGCTAGGTAAACGTGCCCTCATTGAGGAGATTCGTAAAAACGATGTCAGCATTTTGGTCGGTGAGACTGGTTCAGGCAAGACAACACGTACGTCTCATTTATCTATATATTCTGCCGCAGTCTAACTGCGTGTACCAGAGGTACCCCAATATCTGCTCGAATCGGGCATCGCGGGTCAAGGTATGATCGCAGTCACCCAACCGCGAAAAGTGGCCGCCACCTCTCTCGCCGCCCGAGTAGCAACAGAACAGAACGTCTCAGTCGGCAGTCTAGTTGGTTACTCAGTACGGTTCGACGAAGCGTCGTCAGACGAAACCCGGATAAAATACGTCACGGACGGCATGCTGGTTCGCGAGCTGCTTGGCGACCCCCTCCTGTCACGGTACAGCGTAGTCATCGTAGATGAAGCGCACGAGCGGACATTACGCACAGACCTTCTCATTACCAACTTGAAGGACATTCAGCGAAGGCGCAATTCCCCGTCGGATGTTAAGGGAAAGAGCTCAGCGGCGAAGCTCAACCCGCTGAAGTCGTCATCATGAGTGCTACGCTGGACGCTGAGAAGTTCAGCAAATTCTTCGACGAGTAAGAGGATACTCTATGATCAACCTGCGTGAAGTTGAACTTGTCTCCGACAGTGCAAGGATCGTGTACATCAAGGGTCGCCAACACCCCGTCACTATATACCACACAGCGTCAGCCAACCAGACTATGTGGATGCCGCGATGCGCACATTCTTCCAAATACACACAGACCAGCCACCTGGTGATGTCCTAATCTTCTTACCAGGTACTATGAATTGCTAGGTCGGAAGCTTTTGACTAAATGTTCATCACAGGGCAGGAAGATATCGAGGGCTTAGAACGATCGATACAGCTATACGTAGATAGACTCCCTAAGGATATACCTTCCGTGGGTTCCCCATTCTCTTAATCTTACAGTGTGACTAACAGTTTTATATGCAGATCGTAGTGTGCCCAATGTATGCCGCCCTACCACCCAGTCAACAAGCGCGAATATTCACGCTCGCTCCGGCCGGGTACCGAAAGTGCATCCTCGCTACCAACATCGCGGAGACCTCCATCACCATACCTGGTATCAGATACGTTATTGACACGGGCAAATGCAAGGAGAAGCGATACGTTGCGCGTGACTCAGGGACTGGTGAGCGCGACTGTGCATCTGAGCCTGGGGTTGCCGTTGACTGTACACCAAGGCTTCGATACTCTGCTCACCAGAGACATTACGAAGTCGTCCGCCATGCAACGCGCCGGGCGTGCCGGTCGGGAGGTAGGCTGCCCCACTCCTTCGCGCAAGATTGTACGTGACATCTAACCGTCGATCTAGGGGCCAGGTTTCTGCTTCCGCTTGTACACCGAAGATGCGTTCGACGCTATGGCGGAGTCCGCTGAACCTGAGATTAGGCGGTGCGCCCTCACATCGAGTATGTTGCAGCTCAGATGCCTCGGGCAAGACATCGAGGAGTTGGACTTCATGGACAAACCCGACCAGGAAGCTAGTGAGTACGCCCAACCCCGTCCGTAGGATGCAACGCTGACGCTGCTTCAGTCGGCGCGGCGCTGAAGACGCTCTATCTCCTGGGGGCGTTGGACAACAAGAGATGTCTCACCAAGCTCGGGCGCGACATGGCAGTGTTTCCCCTAGAACCCAACCTCGCGCGGGCTGTCGTCGCCTCGCGCGAGTTCGGGTGCACGCTTGAGGTGATCGACATCGTCTCCGTGCTCTCCGCGTCCTCCAAGCTCTTCTTCGACTCGACCGACGAGCGCGAGGCGGCGTCCGAGGCGCGCCGCAAGTTCCGGCACCGCAGCGGGGACCACATGACCGTCCTCAACGTCGTGCGTGCCTACCAGGTGGTCGCCGCGGCGGAGAAGAAGAGCGGGCGGAGGGAGTGGTGCAAGCGGCAGTTCTTGAACGAGCGGTGTCTGGCGGAGGCGCAGGACATCCGTGACCAGCTGAGGGAGGTGTGTACGCGAATGCAGATCGATTGGAAGACGTCGTGTGGGGAGGACGAGCAGCCAGTGTTGAAGTGCCTGGTTCGGGGATTGGTGCAGCATGCGGCATACCTGCAACCCGACGGGTCGTACAAACAGCTAATGGGACCTTCGGTGCGTCTTTAGCAGATCTCTGTTAGCGGATTGCATCTGAGGGGGTATCGGTCGAACAGATTGTCAAGATCCACCCTTCGTCCTCGCTATGTGACAAGAAGGTACCCGTGATTATCTACGACGAGCTGGTTAGTGTACCTTGTCTGGAATCCCTACGATGGCTCACCCCGCCTATGCCAGGTGTACACGACCCATATCTACGGTCGCGGCGTGTCAGCGGTACCACGCAGTTACATAGCCGAGGTGCCTGTCTTGAATGTCAAAGGCACCTGAATGCCCACGGTGTATTCCACCAACTGGTTGGTTCCTCTTCTTGGGTTCCTCTTCTTGCAGGACACGCTATGGATATAGATCACTACACAAGGGGTCACAGCCTTCATGGTCATGGAAGACTCGAAGAGTATGCACGTTCTGATCATGAGGTAACGCTATTTCGTTCGCGTGATGTTACAGGAGAGGGCACACATTACAGATTTACATGTCTGACGCGTCATTATACGGTGAGTAGAAGGTGTTGAAAAGATGAAGAGGTGTCGTCTCGAGGACGCTGCTCATTGCGGTGCGTCCTTGGGATTGTAGGTGGCCTCGCCCTTGAGGATCTTCTCACCGGTCTCCTTAGTTCCCGGCTATCCAGCGATGAGCGTACGGCCTCTCCAATCACAGATGCACAGACATACCTGACGCAGTACCTGGTAGAAAGCCATGTCATCAGTGGATATTTCAGGACAATGAGGTAAGGTCGACTCGCCGTTCCTCGAATTTGCTGCGTATGCGGTGATGGGTCAGAAACAAATGGTAAGAGACGGTACTGCATACCTTGGCGTAACCTGAGGCGGCGTCAGCGATGACGTCTCTAGGCAAAAGCTGCAGGTTAACTTACCGACGACCTCTTCCGCGAAGGATTGCTTCCTTGCTGGCTGCTGGATGATGATAGGCGGTGGAGCACCGGGAGCTTGTTCGTTAGGGGATGCTGCAGAATTGTCTGATGGTGTAAGTCAAATCAATTCGCACATGGGAGGCATGAGAACATACTCTGGACACCGTGCTCTATGTGAGCTGCCTCAGGGACTTGAGGGGATGCAGGAGCGACGTGTTCGTTCTGTGATTGTGTAGAGTGGTGAGTGGCACCCAGGCGCTTATCGAATATGTGTATGCTCACGTTCTGCACGCCGGTATCTGCATGCTCGATCGAAGACATACTGGCTGATGGGAGTACTAGGTACTATGTGAGGATGCAAGCGTTGGTCGTGACAGCTAGTTGCAGAACATTAGGCGCAGACGAACGCGCGCGACATATGATGACAAATAAGCGCCGCGCCTTGGCCGCGCCACAGTTGACGTTGGTTCACCCACTTCTGCACCATCATGTTTTTACGGCTTCACAGTCGTCTGCACTAGCACCTGTACCGAGCAATAGCGACGCGGTCACGTTCCTCGGACACCCTATTAATGTATATTCCATTGAGAGTAGTAACAATGCAATAATGCCTCCCCTACACCACTGCTTGCAGTCAGCTACAATGGACGAGTCCGACAGACGTCGTAGACCTGGGTGTAGAAGGCAGATACACGTTCAATTGTCTGCGGGCACTGGCCGGTACTCCTGCAAGGCGTCCACGGGATCGTGTTCAGCGAGTCGCAAGACATGTCTCTCATGACGGTTGCTGCAGGACAATCGATGCAACGCAAAAACATGGTGGTGCGAGGTGTGGTGAGGTGGGTAAACCGACGTCTTCGTGTGGATAGCGCCTATTTGTCATCATATGTCGCGCGCGTTCGTCTGCGCCTAATGTTCTGCAACTAGCTGGAAAGAGGAGAGCAAGAGGCGGTTTGCGAGACGGGCAGCACGACAAGATGAAGTACCACGACCGTTCGCCACAATGACCTCACCCTTGCCCGAAACGGGCGTCACCTTCGCCTTGGGCCTGGGGCTGGTCATCGCTGGTCTCTATCTGGTCAGACTTTCGATCTCCTCGACCAGTCAAATCATATATAGTGTTTGTTGTTCAGTACGCGACTCTGTCCATCTGCTACCCCTGCACAATCCTTGTATTCGCCTCCGCTTCTACGCGCCGTGAACGCGTGATAATCTCTGATAGACGCGACGAGATACTATAGTAACTTAGGAGGCCTTCGTCTCCGTGCTGCATGTGAGCTTTCGAAGCTTCTAGTAGTTCTACTGTACACGTTGCAGGCTATCAGCCTGCCCTCAACGACGTATGGTATCTGAGCCACGCTGCCCATCTCTCCTTTCTTCGGACTCCCATCATCCGGAGCTAACCCACGGCTCGTAGGTGTACAATCCAGTCCTTGATTTCAACCATTCTGACCAGACGTGGTATGTATAGCCACGACCGTCAGGGCTGCAGAACTGACTCTTCCCCAAGTGGACCCACGTCTACCTCTGGTGGGATGGACAGACTGAGGCATCACCGTTAACGGAGCCAGACACCCTCGTGCTCGCGAGGTGTCAGAATACCCAGTGTTAGTCTACCCTCACCATCTGATTGCTGTCCTCACTCACCGAGCAACACATCTAGGATCGTCGATCACTGCCTGCATCAGGATAGCCTGATGCGGGCTACATGCATTGCTGCATGTGAAGTGCAGAGCGCACTTCGGGAAGAAAATCAAATAACCCAGGACATATGGCCATACCCACATACCCAAATACCCATGCCGGTCGAATCTCGAAATCGAAGCCTCCTGTGTCGGCCAACTATCAGTTCAGATGTAGAGGGCCAGGCCGAGGCGAGATCTCGCTAGCCATACCTGTATGAAGTGTAGTCACGTCACAATCTACATTTCGTACCTCCATACGTCCTTGTGGCGCGAGTGAGCAGAACCTAGCGTGCCAGATGCACCAGAGATGCACGTCGACTTGCGTTTGCCATGTCATGAGCAGACATACCGGGAGTGTTCCTTCCGCAGTGAAAGCTGTTCCAATGCATCATGCGTACATGCTATAATCGCACATGCATTATGCAGTGCCGCAGTGCCGCAGGACCACGCAAAGGCCATACAGATAAGAGGAAAGAGCATCCGATGTGCATTCGCGCACATCATATACGTATATACAACGCTACCGTTTTCGTAGCGACGAGAACAACTGGACGAAGGTCGTCCTCTCAAAAATGAAGCTGCAAACGAGCTTGTTAGTACTATGTCGCTGCCGGCAACCGCAGACAGACGCACCACGCAAGTAGACACCCAGCGAGACAACACACTGCCGTCGCGACATGTCCCCCCTGGTCCACAAGTCGCTTCGGGGCATCCCTAAACACCCTCTCACTCCACCTCGTCGCCCCCGCCGCGCAGGCAAACACCACGAGCACCGGCAGCGGCGGTACGGCCATCCTCCAGCCAACCAAGTCCCGCCCGCCCTTCTCGCGGAAGAACCGCACCGCGAACCGCCACGCGTACAGCGCCCTGCACAGCAGATTCACGACGTTCGCCCAGACCAGGCCCGCGTCGCCGAGCCCCGCGCCCTTCGCGAGGCCGACGGCGACGAGGACGAAACCGAGCGAGAACGCGAAGAGCCAGCGGCTCTGTCTGTGCAGATCGGAGGGCGACGCGGCGGACGCGAAGAACGCCTCGAGGACGCCGTTAAAGGCCATCATGGGGATGTAATAGACGTACGTGCGCAGGATCGTCGGCGCGGACGTGTGCAGGTACTTCGGGGGAGGACGAGGGAGAGCGCGAGGGGCAGGTACGGCGGGCCGAAGGTGACGAGGAGGAGGAGCAGGTGCGTGAAGAGCAGGAGGAGGGCGAGGAGTACGTTTGCGGCGGAGCGCAGGGCGCCTGGGTCTGGCTTCTGGCCCGATAGGCTTTTGGAGAAGAACACCCTGGACGTCTCCTCGATGGGCTGGAAGACCATGCGGGCGACCAGGGAGCCTGGCGCGCATCATCTCAGCTGCTGTCAGTTCCGAAACAGAAGTCATCGCACCGTAGTTTGAGGCAACCGCGTAGCCACCTTGGTCTGCCAAAGGACTCAGCCGGGAGACGAGGAACTTGTCGCCCTCAGTGAGAAAATGCTTCACCACGGACTGGCCCGCCATCGCAGCCGAGAGACTGAGCAGGGATGGATCAAAATACTTGGAGACCACACTGCAAAGCGTCAGCGCCCCACCAGACGAGAGGCGGGTAGACACACTTGCCATGCACCTCCGTGGTGATCTTCCTCGGCCAGAGACTAACGCCATGACCATACGCGTGAACGTACGTCAGGAGGACTGCGAGTCCATAAGCGGCCTGGCCCAAAGCAAAGGCGACCAAGGCCCACTCGGCGTCGCCGATCACGAGTACTGCGAACGCTGCAGTGGTCTTCGTGACCACGGCGATTCCTTCGGCTCTGACGCGAAGGTCGAAGCGCAGTTCGTTTTGCGTGCGGATGTACAGAGACTCAGAGAGGAGTTCCAGGCAGGCCGCGACAGCATATATCGTAACGCTCATGCGAAAGTGCGGCTGCGATGCGGTGGCCTCGGATGTGCTAGCGACGTAGAAGAGCGTTATGAGGATTGCGGCGGGTATACCCAGCAAGGTAGGCAGGACCGCGATGTTCCCTACGAGCAGCTGGTGCGTAGCATCCGAAGACTTGGTCGCAGAGCCGCTGGATGAGCGGAGGAGGGCATTGCGTACGCCTTCGCGGGATAGAAAGAGGATAGTGGAGAGCAGGAGCTCGAACTGGATCGCAGCGGTGCCGAAGACTTGCGGGGAGACATAGCGGACGAGGGCCTGGTTCAAGATGAAGGTAAAGACACGAGAGAAGAACTGGAGGAGGAAGAGGGAAGAGGCGGATGCGAGTGCTTTGGTGAACAGGTCTGGCCTTGGTGGGTCCGAGGACGCCATCTCTACGCGACCTTGGTGGCGGACGTCTGCAGCGTGGCCCGGATTGGTTGAGCGCTTGTCGCACGTGACGTGCTATGACGCGACAGTACTCGGGTTCATCCTCCTCCCTCTCTCTTCTCTCTGAGTCTCTGTGGCAACTCTGTGGTAAACTCGCACCCAAGTGCACATCCTCCTTCAACACCATGAGTTATCCGCAGTCTTCGTGGTCATCATCAGTCGTGTGCATCGCCACAAATAATGCGATGTACAGTAAGCTCCGACGGTGACAGTCTGCCAGCCAAACTTAGCCTCATCTAGTCCGCCGGGAGCTTCGTACTCTTAATGTGGTCCCCCTTACCGCCGCTGGCCCATGTATACCCAGCAGGTGTATCTCCCAGCCCACGCCCTGGCATTCAGATTCCTGTGGGTACCTCGGTCCAAGAACAGCAGGTCGCACACAGACCGCCACCATCTTGACTTTGGATAGTTCCGTGACGTGCGTGCCGTCCTTCGATCACGGAGTGTGTCCACATTCGCCCTCTATACATTCAAGCCTGACAGCGTGTGCACTCGCCCTCCGCCCATCTCCTCCTCCCCCCAACCGCCCCCGTCGCCCTGCGCAACCTCCCCATGCGCCACCCCTTCGCTAACGTCCAATACTACGCAAGCGAGTTACATTCTGATGATGCATACGACTCCGAGGACGCTCCCTCCTCAAACGAGAAGTCCTCCCTCCAGCACGCCCTTGTGATACCTCCGCGCTGGCCACAACCGGAATTAACACCCTCCGTGTTCCACCCTCAAGAACCGGCCCAGGTGGTGAAACAAACCCGCAGACTGGCCGTGTTGCTCGGCGGACTAGAGCCTGGCTCCGTAATCCCAACCTACCGCCCTGGCGGTACCGTGAACGGCTCCCTTGCTATTCTGAGCCCGTCGGAGCTGCTCTCGGTGCACGTGGCTGTACGTGGGATCCCTCTGAGCGTTCCTGCAGTTCTCGACTGACGTGCTGCAGGTACATGGGTACATCAACATTAGCGAAATCGCCGGCGCGGGGCGAACCCTTACGGAGGTACTTCACGAGGACCTCTACGCGTGGAACTCAGAGTGCAGTCCTCCGCTGCCTTTGAGGATCCCCTTCAAGTACACCCTCCCTTCGCATTACCCCGATCCCAGCTGTGGCGAGCGTCTTCCGCTCCCACCGACCTACCACGCGTATCTCTCCGGTATCCCCGGCTTCACTGTTAATGTGTCATATCACATTGCGGTAGACATGCTCTATACGAAGCGCCAAGGACCATCGTGGCGAAAGCGCAGGTGGTAAGCATATCTCGTGAGTCCTCGCCCGGCTATTTGGAGACTTACCAGGGCGGCCGCGCAGCTTGCGAGTGCCTCTGCAATTGCAATATTTCACTCGTCCTGCCGCGTGCGGTCCCTTTCGCCTCAGCTCGGAGCAGAACGCGGCTGGCCCGCGCACATTGTTCACGTTCCACATGCCATCTAGACAGACTAGTCGCGCCCAGATAGAGACACATGTCAGTCCTCCCGAGTCCCGTGTACGATCAGACTAGCTGTGCTTACCGCATTGTGTGCGACGCAGGTATTCCTACCGCAATCGCAAATCTGTAGCCTTAAAGAGCCCATTCCTTTCTTCGTAACTTTATTCGGAAACGAGGCGGTCCTCGCGCCGTTCCTCCGTTATGCGCCGTCCTCGGCATCCTTCCATCCCTTGTCATCACCGTCGGAAACATCTATCGACTCATTGCAGCGCGCTCTGAAGCTGCGGCAGAGCACGCCTTCGTGCCCACTGCGCATCATCTTACAAAGGACCACAGCAGTCGACGTGGATCGCGCCGGCGTTCCCTGCGTCGAAGGCCGCGTCGGTCAAGACTTTGCCTCGAAGAGCATCGGCCAAGGCGCGATCCACAACGTCAGCCGGGGCCCAAGGTCGATAACCTGGGCGGGGACCATCACGGTCAACGCAGACATCGCCTCGGGTGGGTTCGTGGCGAGTGGGCTGAGAGTATCGGTGAGTGGGACGATAGCAAAGAGGAGCTGCGGGATACTGTCCGCATGCTCTCGCGCGCGAGCGGCAGTCCGCTGACGTTGGGTGCTCGTGCAGGACAGCATCGTGGTCTCTATCAAGCCGCCGGAAGTATCACGGAGCCGCTGGATGCCACTGTGTGAGACGATAGCGGTGCGACTGACCACGGAGTCGTATGGGTGCTCCGCCGCTGTGCCCGTAGCCTGAGGGAGGATGGTCAGAATGAGGAGCCTCGACGAGCCTGAGCTCCTTTTGTTCTTGGATTGGCTTCGCCCGGGCGTGGGGGACGTTCTCATCGACACGTGTATATTATTACAGACGGAAGCATCTGCTCGCTGTGCGTAGATGTGCCTCATGTACTGAGAGAACAGCCGTATGTACCTCGGAGAATCCAGCCACCGTTACGAGAGGGCCGAGGCACTGGAGACGTATCCAGCTGGGTGCAGCGAACGCAGAAGAAGAGGCAAAAATAAGAGCAGAGCGTGAGCGTGGATGGCGAACGAGCGAGGAACGTTTGCGCGCGAATGGCGGGCGGTGGGAGAGGGTGGCGAGGCGGAGAGTGGCGGATGTGGCGATCGTGCGTGGCTGAGAAGGGCAAGCGGCGGCAGTTTGGTCGAGGAAGAGAGGGAGAACGGATGGTGCGCCGGGGCACGCGGTCAGCCGGCGGTCCAGCATATGGACGACTCGTTGTGGACTCCGCACTCGCGGGGTGGAATCTCCGAGGCGTGTTTGAGCCAGAATCATTCTCTCGCGTGCGCTGCGCGCGTAGCGGGGTGCGTCCGATCGTGATGTGGTGCCGTGTGGCCGCAGCTTTCACATCATGCTGCCCACTTTGTGCTCGAGCAGGCCGTCGACGGCGACAGCGAGGGCAGGTCAGACTGGAGAGGCAGGCCGAGGCGGGGGAGCGTGGGGGACGGGGACGAGGACGGTTGGCGGAGGAAGGGACGATAGCCTCTGCACACGCACATGTTGCCCGGAAGCTCTGACTCAATGCCGAAGTGGAGTCCATATGGACCGCAACTTGGGCGGCATCTCTCCCCTAAAAGCTGACCAACTCCTCCAATGCACCCATCGCCGCTCGCGTTTCCCTCATGTCGGCGTCCAGCCTGCCCGCCTACAGGCCGCCCTCCTTCGCCCGCTCCCCCGCGTCCCCCGTCTACACCCCAGAGCCCCAGGCCTACGAGCAGCGCCTCGCCCTCAACCGCATCCGCGAGCGACCCTCCACCGAGTTCGTCAAGCAGTCCAAGACCGGCGGACTGAGTCTGCGCCTCAGCGAGCAGGAGGACAATGCGTCCCTTCCGGTGTACGGGTGTGGCGACTCGGTGGAGGGCACGGTCGACCTGGTAAAGCCGGAGAGCGCGAGTGGTGTGGAAGTCAGGGTGAGTCCTCTCTACGCGTTCTGCAATTCGGCCCATGACCGTCGCGCCGCGTCCAGGTCGAGGGCAGCATCCGTCTGAAGGAGATAGCGGAGGGCGGCACCACGTCGCATAAGTTGTGTTTGTCCGTCGTCACGCTCTGGAACCGCGAAACAGACCGGACACCGTGTCCTGCCTCTCTGCCGTTCAGCCTAACGCTGCCGACGACCTTCTCGGATGGCAAGGAGACATATGTCAGTCCCTCTCGCCGTGTCTCTCGCCGCTTCCACTCAAGGGTAGTCTCTAGCCTCTCCCACCTACACACCAAGCGCGTTTGCCGGGCGTGCCGGGTTTTGACGCCACAATAGAATACATCGTCTGCGCCGTAGTGCACAAGGGCAAAGCCTCGAGCTTGCTGCGCATTGGAAGCAGGTGTGTACCGGCGCGAACCAGTTTGCGGCCGTGTCTCAACTTTCTTGGTCTGTCCAGTACTGTCTGCACGCCCTTTATTTATTACCCGCGTTCTCGCCCCGCCGTTCCACTTCCGCGAGCAGCTCGACAGCTCGCCGGAGGCTACCCCGCCTATCTCGACACGCCGGACTGGCGCTGCTACAAATCCGTCATGGCACCCAAGGTCCCTGGCTTGAACGACATTATGACGAAGGTTTGCGGCCTGCGGCTCCCATTGTGAAATTATGCTGACTTGTTGTGTCTAGTTCTACGTTCCCGCCGCGAGAGTGTTCAGCTTGTCCGAGCCTATCCCGTTCTACGTCATGTTCGCGTCGTCGGCCATCTCACTCGCTGCCTTTCTGCCCCTTGGACCGACGACCACCCGGCTATCCGGCCGCCAGCCCACCCGTGTGCAGCTCCTCCGGCAGACGAACGTCGACGTCCGGTATGTCGTGCCTGAAAGCCCGGATGCTGTCGCTGACCGTCATTCCAGGAACGAAACCGTTTTCGGGACCAAGACGGACATCTGGCAGACCGTCGAGATCGGTGAGGGCGCCTTTAGGCACATGGTACGTCTCACCGCAAGCGAATAAGCTTTTCAACGTGCTGACGGGCCATGGCTGGTCAGGGTGACGGCCCGGACTGGATCTGCTTCTCGGGGGAGCTTCGCGTCAACGGCCAAATTAAGATCGGAGGCTTCAAGGCGGGAGGCCTGTCCTTGAAGGATTACCTCGTCCTGTCCATGACGCCGCCCGACCCCGTGAAGACGCCGTTCAACGAACTCCGTCAAGTGGTTCCTGTCCGTCTGACGACCGACCCGTGGTCGAGCGACGGCGCCGGTCACACCTTCTCGGCATCCGATTATTCAATACCTATCCTTGCTTCCGAGTCCCGCCATCCTGTCAACGCACCAGTCCCCGGCTACCGCCCTGCATGAATGCATATCGACTCGCCCCATCTTGCAACTGGAACCTCGCAACTCAGCACCGCACCCCGCACCCTCAATACATGCACGCACACCTTCGCATTTTGTCTAGACATTCTCGCTAATGTTGCACTATACGTACAGGGAGGACCCTTCTGTAGCCAGCATACGTCGTCGTATAATCTGCTCAGCGACGGCGCTATAACATAGCATTGTAGCGATAATGAACCGCCGAATTCTGTCCTCTTTCGAGCCTCCTGCAATAGTAATTTACTAGACTCATCTCGTATGCGGGTTCTGCCCACTCTCATAACTTATACAAATCGAAAACGACATTTTCCGGCGTACTTATTCTTGAACTATGTGGATGCTTGTTTGAGCAATGTGGTATTCATCTTCGACGCATCTCAGCGCGCCGCGATGATCTGCGTTCAATTGACATCGACTGGCATTGTGGCGCAGATGGCTACGGAAATGGCCGGTGGATTCGTGTAGACGCCGATGGTGTGAAACACGTGAAGGCTGCGTGAAGGCGAGACATTGCATCAAGCGCCCGCCCGTCCCGCGTCCAGACTGGGACGACGACCACCATCCTGCCTCCGCACTGCCTGCCCGCCATCCCCGCCATCCAGCCCAGGCGCACCCAGAGCCTGCGTCACTCCTCTTTTACTCTACTTACGACTGTACCATATCTTCTTCCTTAACGATATTCGCGCATAATCATGGTCCATCTCCTCGCCCTCCTCGCCCTCTCTGGTCTCGTCCTCGAAAGCCGCTCTCATCCGGTCGACTGGTTGCGCAAATTCTCGACCAGCGGAAGAGAGGAGAATGGCTGGCTCTGGGGCTGGGCGTGGGCCGCTGACGGCACCGTCTCAATCGTCGACAGATCGCCTCCAGTGACCTTCCCTGCGCGGCCGGCCTCCTTCGGCGCTGAGCTGGGCGATCCTCTTCTGGGATACGTGCTCCCGCTCACTGCCTTTACCGTCCCTTGCGACGATTTAAACTCAAACCTCACTTCTCACCATCGCGCTGATCCCGCCCTTGGTTGTCCGCAACTTTGTGTTCGCGGGCCTCACGAGCCCGATCCGAGTGAATCGTGGATCGCCCTCGTACAGAGGGGAGGTTGTCCGTTTGTCGAGAAGGCCCGGCAAGCACAGCAGCTCGGTGCGCGAGCTGTAGTAGTGGGCGGCGACAGAGACAGCCCGGATGCGCTGCTGAACATGTACAGCGAACGTATGTCCTCTTCGCTTCTGTCCGAGAAGCTTGGCTGATGATATCAGGCGACTCGTCTGACGTCGTTATTGCTGCTACCTTCATCCGTTATTGGGACTATGTCGAGCTGCTATCCATGATCTCCGCATCTAACACGACGCATTCCGGCATGAAAACGCTGTCCCTCCTTCTCAGCACGGAGTATTCAGCATGGGAATGGTACTCGTGAGCCCTGTTCTATGCATATACCTGCTCGCCTGACATTGTTTTGTATAGGCCTATCATCACCTTCATCGTCATTCTGCTGCTCCCCTCCATCCTGACGTTCGTCACCTTGCTCGTGCACCGTTATCGCATGTCTCGCCAAGCTCAGCGCGATCGTGCACCCGAAGAGGTCGTCCATAGCCTCCCTTGGCGAGTCTGGACGGGGACGGGTTGGGAGAAGCATGAGGCAGCGTTTCCTCGGCCAGACCCCCAGCACGACCCCGCAGCTCCGGAACCAGACGTCGAACAGGGCGTGAACAACCCTACTCCCTACCCCTCTACCTCACACGATGTCGATCTCCCCGAGTGGGTCGAGCAGCAAATGGAATGTGCCATCTGCCTCGAGATGTTTGCGAAAGGTGATCGGGTGAGAGTGCTACCCTGTCATCACATGTTCCATATGGACGAGGTGGATGAGTGGCTTATCCATAAGAAGAAACTCGTGTGTAGCGTTGTTGTCTTGCATATGCGCCGCCTACTCACCATTTGCGCTATCAGTGCCCCGTCTGCAAGATGGACGTAACATGCGCTCATCCTCCAGCGCCCCATCGATCTCATAGCGCGCCTCCGCCTCCAGAGGATGGGTCTGACGCAGATGACTCTGCTGCTGCTGCTGCTGCACGTGAGGAAGCTCCTCTGCCTGCACGCAGTATATCACCTGCGTCGGAACGAACGCCCTTGCTTCGGGACAATACAGCCCACCGGTACGAGGATACGTCTTGACGGCGTCAAGGCTGCTGTCGTAATGATCTCACGAGGCTCTTTTGTTCCCCCTCACCCAACTCTGCTGTACGTGTACTCTCATATCTTATACTGTAACGATTAGTACGATGACCAGCGTGCATACATGTACTGTCCGCGGCAGGCATTTGGCGTCTGGGACGCCCAGGCGCCAGCTTCTACTAATGTCAGCATCGAGTCTAACGCCTCTTGCAGGCTTCTCTTGCGGATTTAATATGGTTTTCTAACGACACACCCTGCATTACTGATGATCAGCCTAACGTCTGCATTCCAGGGTTCGATACTCAAGTGTCTACTCTCAGGCAAACGCCTCTCAGATCCTAGGGCTAGACCCCTGTATGGGTCAGGTTCCAGCTTCGGATGTCTCAGCTGAGTGTACCGCATGCTCCGTTGTCGCCGCGCAGGCACACGACGCGTCTCGCCCGCTCGGCACCTGGTCCGACATCTGAACCCGCTGCCGCAAGGCGAGACAATGAACCACTTGGACATCTAGCGGTTTTGTATGGGACACTCTTCAGTCACGTCGACCACAGGCCAGAAGGGGTGACATCACAATGCAGCAATGTCTGAAAGACCACTAGCCATGCTGCTGCAATGAGGCAGTCAGATGGTACTGATTGCAGAGTATTCGCAGGATCCCACCCGACGTTGCCGTATCCCTCTCTACGATCACCACAGTCAAGGACAAGGTGCGCATCGCCTACCCACGAATTATCTCCGTCGCTCCTGCAGTCTCCAGGACTTGCATCTTAGTTAGATTCATGTTCTTGAATAATCTGCAACCTGGTTCGCGACTTCTACCACAAATGGTCTAGAAACGCTTATTGTCTTCCGCCGACAAGGAACCATCTTCCCACATCGGGCGCGTCGGCAGTGCCGCATCGCGAGATTCAAGTTCGATGTTCTCAAAAGGCGGGGCTCTCGGTGAAGGCGCATCGACCTCGGTAGCATCTTCCCGCCCAATCAATATCAGATGGACGGCGACGGCGGGGACAAGTTGTCCGAACAATTGTCTGTCGCAACGTGGCGCTCATCAGCCCGGTGCGTATCCTCTCCCACCTGCGCCCCCCTTATTGTCTCGCCATCTTCGATTTCGCCTTCAGGATATCGGAGATGCCTCCCTTGACAAAAAAGACCTCTCCCCGTGAATTTAACTCACGAATGACTAAGCCCTTGCCCTCGACATTGTCCGCCGTTCCAGTGACTCCAGCGCCAGTTGCTGCAGGGATTTATACCATACCCTCCTCCCCCTTGCGCTCCCCTTATTGACCGTGACCGCCCCCTCTCTTGTTTACTCATCTCCACACGCAAATTCGACTTGTTCTTCAGGTATGGTGTTTGATCTGTCCCGCGCGAAACACTTCTCTGTACTAACGCCTTTGTTCATGAAAGGGGTTCCTTGCATCCGTGTATCCCACTACCTCTCTATATTCATTCCTCCTACGTCCCGTCAGGCTTGCTATATCTGAGGCTGTCATCTCGAGCGAAGCCACTTGCTCGCGATCATCCTTTCTGGGTTTCAGCATGCTTCACGAATTCCCGCCGTCACACGCCGAAACCGACATGCTGTTCAAGTCGTTCAGTAATGGTTCGTCTCCTGCCGTCCGGCAAGGAATATAGCGCTGACCTTTGTTATGATCGTAGAAACTCGATACAGCGATGGTCGTGACCGTTCAGTGTCTCCCCGCTCCGTGCTCGAATGCCCGCCGTTCGAGGTGCCTCTCAACAGTCCTCCCCCTCTGCACCCCGCGTTTCTTGTGTGGTGCCCGAAGACGAGGGGACTGGAGTTCGCACAACCCCCGTCGCCCCCTTCACCGTACTTTGGCGGGCGAAGGCGCCTCCCCTCCGAGATATCCACAATCTCTACCAGTTCTACAGATTCCTCGGGGTTCTTTGATGCCAGCGACCGCGAAGACGATTTTGAAGACTTTGCGTGGCCGCCCGTCCCGCCACCCACGCCCCTTTTGTATCAGGAGTCCGTGTCAGACACGGATACTGCCGAAGAACCGTACCAGCTGCCGGCTGCGGCGGCGGTCGAATACTTGGACAGACCTCCGATTTCGTCCCGTCATCTGCCGCCTGGTCACTCTTCGTTATACAGGCTCCCTAAAGACAACCTCTATAAGAGTATGTTTCGCCCATTTCTTCACGTGTGGGCTTTACTGACGCCAGCGAATAGCGAAACCGTGCAAGTTCTACTTCACGGACAAGTCATGCATCAAGGGAGACAAGTGTAACTTGTAAGCCAATTCCACACCTCGTTGCGTTCTGTTCTGATGCGTGCCATTAGCATCCATGACGAATGGGAACGTGCGCTTCGCCCCTCTCGCCCTAAGAGCGAAAAGCGAATGCCACCTCCCCTTTCTACCCTGGGTCGCCGGCCTACAGGTGAGGCGCCCAGGCAGCCCCACCCCACAACCCCGAGGCCGACAGAGCTTCATGCCCATGCACTACCGAAGCGACCTGCAGAGGATGCGCAGAGGGCGCGCAATCCAAACTTCTATCCCATCACATGGCGCGTCATCGGTGGCGGCGTTCTGATGGGCGGCAGACGTAAGTCTTATGACGTTTATTCGAAGTCTATTGTGATCGAGCGATCTTTCCGTAGGCGAAATCTGTCAAGAATTCATGGCTGGACGCTGCCATGAGGGCGCCGACTGCAAGTACGCGCATCCTGGTGGTACGTATGTCCTGCTATCATGCACTTCGCGGTACTGATCGGAAGCGATATTAGGAGATGACGGGGAAGACTCGTCACTCAGCAATCTGTATCCGTACATGTCCCCACTATCCCCGGTTCAAGAGGAACCGGCGTACGTTCCTTCTAACCATTCCCCTGTCGCCCTGCTACACCAACCCTCCATCTGTTCGCCGGTTCTGCGCTCCCCACCTCTGTCAGCACACATTCCGTCGTCTTACACAGACGAACGTCGTCGCCGCGGGCGGAGAGCCAAGAAGCCACTCACCATCATCCCCCCTCCCATACCTGAGCAGCCCGAGCTGGTGGGCTATTCTGCCCATCGGGTGCTGGACGGAAGTACGCTCCTTGAGTTGGAAACGTCGCCGCCACCAGCGGCGGAGACGCCCGACCTTTCGCCGGACCGTCTCGACGTTGCGTCTTTGGCGCGCTCACTTGTACGACCGTTGTCTACTCCGCCAAGTCTAAGCGGGCCACGACCTCAGGTAGTGAACGTACGTAATGTTTAGTGTCCTGATATGGGCGTCGTCAGCTCATCTGCTTCTCTTAGCTGTTCGCTGCAGAGATGCCTTAGGGCGGTGCTTCTATAGCAAAGCATCTTGGCCTGGGCTCACCCTGTTCATCGTTATTCGATCTTTCTGCATCGTGGTCTACGTACTGCATCACCGTTATCTGTTTCCCACTCACCCGCATACCCTCTCTCCATCCACGCATCTGCATCACATTGACCCCATCCGCTTTAGCGCGGATGTGAACATCGTATAGACTGTTTCGGTTTTACGTCGACGCACCTTTCCCGATCTCGTTATTGATTGCCATTATTGAACGGCGCATATATCCTTGTTGTGAAGATAAGTGTTAAATGGCTCGGATGCAGATGACGGGCGATGGCGCAACGCGGCTTCAAACCTTGCGACCTGTAATAAGCTGCCATGCACGATTAGATGGTCCGAGCCCACTTGGTCTGAACCCGTATAGCCAGACTATGACCTTCGTAGTTATGACTCGCGTGTCCTTTTGTGTCTCTGATCATCTGGTCAGGATATATATGTCACTACTTTCGCACATCGCACAAGAGTAGTAGTAGAGCGTACGATCGAGACGGGAACATCGCAGCTCGTGAAGCTTGCTGTTTTTGACCGCGACATTACGCCTTGATTACGCCGCTCACGGTCCTATGCCATGGCAGGTGAGTTCAGACGAGTTAGTAAAGTAGTGCACATTGCCCGATCCAGTATTTTGCTGGCGTATATGACGTGGTTTAGGATATCGACGTGCTGTAGTCACCAAATGAGTCTCTCATCAGCCCGGCTCAGGCTGCTAGAGAATCCGAACAACTCGGAGTCAATCTCTAAAGGATGCAAACAGCCTCCGTGCAACTCACCCAGTGCTATACACGTAAATTTAGTAGAGACCGAAAGCCAGGTCAAGAGGACTGCCTGTGGATGAAGCAGATGTCCTCCTCGTCCTCGTCTACTACTGCCAGTGTATCGGCGCCTATCTAGGTCACAGTGAGGATGTTAAGTTATCAGATAAGATACAGTAATGAGATGGGTCCGTGCCATCCGGACCTGGACCGACGTGCAGGCGCCCAGGCGTTGGAGCCGCTTTCTCCCTCCTTGGTTCCTCCCCAACCTAACATATAAACTATTTCCGAGCAGCTGTGCTTGCTCTCTTCGTCCCTCCTTTGCATTAAGCTCCGTGTGCTTCCTCCTTCCTCCGGTTTTCCCTTCACCCTCGCACCGATCATGTCGACAGAGCCAATATACGTCGACTTCTCTTTGCCCCTTGCCGAGCTCCTCCGCGAAGGCACCGCCATCGCACATGAAGAGGCAGCGAAGAGCAAGGGGCGACGTGGATGGTCCGAGGCGAGCTCGACAGGGAGGAGTACATCCGGTTCCTCATGATGCTTTGGCACGTATATGAGTACGTCTTTGCCTTGTAACCTAGCCATCGCGACCCTAACACCGTTCGCGTAGCACGCTCGAGCTTGGTCTTGAGCGGCATGCGTCACACTCAATACTTTCGTTCACCCACAACCCCGCTCTGCTGTCGCGCGCACCGGCTCTCTCTTCCGACATTGCCCACTTCTTGCAGACAGCGGACTGGCAGAATCACCCCTTGCACGTGGAGCTCATGAACGATCCTCCCGCCGCCCTCTCGCAATATCTGGAACGTCTGAAGGATATAGCATCGTCTGGAGACCCCTCTCCCCTTCTCTCACATGCATACGTGCGCTATATGGGCGACTTGAGCGGAGGCCAGGTCATTCGTGGCAGGGTCACCAAATCATACAGCCTTGAGGATGGGTTAGGCGTGTCTTTCTTTGATTTCAAGCCTCTGGGAGGAACAGGGACCGCAACCATTGGCGAGATGAGGAAGATCAAGGAATGGTATCGCGAGAACATGAACTCCGCTGTCGGTGACAATCAGGACCTGAAAGGCGAGTGTTCCCTCTGCCCAAAGTCGCCGAACGCTCATGACCTCTCACAGCGGACATCGTCGAGGAGGCGATCACGGCGTTCGAGCTCAACGGTGGGCTCTTCGCTGCCCTGCGGCCGCCATCCTTGCCTTCGTTGGAGGTCTGCATCCCCACTCTACCACCGTTGGGAGAACCCATCACGCCCGTTGATGGCAGCTTCAACAAACTATCAGGAGGCGGTGGATCAACGGTGCTGTACGAGTCAAAGGTGGCAGAGAAGATGTATCAGATGTCCGGCGTCATCGCGGTGGTCGCCGCCATGTCGCTGGCCCACTTCGCTCTGGTTGTCGGCGGGTTCACGGGAGACCGGGGCATGGCCAAGCTGGAGGCATTGAGGAGCTGGTGGTTTGCTCACTAGGCGGAGCATGTAAGGACGCGTTATATACAGACATCTACAGGTTCCTGCCGTTGTACCAGCCTCGCACGAACGTCATCCTGGAATGATACACGTCTGTGCTTAGTAGCTGCTGTTATCCCCGAGCGCACGGTGAATTGTCTGGTAGCGCCGGGTGATCGAGTGATCGAGATTGGGCAAGACAAGATCCCGGAACTCCAGATTGCGTCTCGCGTTTCAATTTCACCTCCATCACCTGTACACATCATCACTCTTTTGCCACACTGTCGCACAAGATGCCGGTGAAGCGACGGCGTGTCTCTCAGGGACTGGGGTCATCGACCGCAAGGAACGCTTCGTCGCTCAATCATACGCGGAGCACATCCATTGAGGCACTCCTTGACGGCGGCCTTCCTTATTCAAGGTCAAGAGGTAGCCTGCCCCTCCTTAGACCCCGTTCTCAATCATAATCACGAACCCGCAGAAAGCTACGTGGGCATACTGCCTGCGTGAACGCGCTCGCCTTCTCTCAGTCCGGACGCTGGCTCGCAAGCGGCGGAGATGGTGAGTACCTCGCGCCCCCCGGGCGTCCAAGCAGATCTTATTCTGCCGCAGATCCACACATCCGACTCTGGGATTTCCATCAGGATGACTTGCGGGAGCCATCACAGCACTTCGCTGGTCATAGGGTGAGGATAAATCTACCCTTCATATCTAATCCTTTGTTCATCTGTTTAGACCAACATCTTCGCCCTAGCGTTCTCGGCATCGAGCAAGTTCCTCTATTCGTAAGTCGCCGCTTCGTAGCTTGCTGCCCGCGGGATGTTTGATTATGTCCAGAGGAGCAACAGACAATAGTATTCACACATACGACCTCGAATACTCGCGCTCGTTGGACTCGCGAGCCGTTTCTGACCCGGATACTATCCACTTGTTACACAAGGTGCCCTTTTCGTGCTTTTTTGCACTGCATCTCCCTCTGATGTCCGAGCCAGGACAGCATCCGTGGTTTGTCGTGCCACCCACAGCACGACGAGATCTTCCTGAGTGCCAGGTATCTATATACACTCTGAGTGTTGCGTCACGATCTGAGCTCTTCCCTTCCCTGCAGCGACGATGGCTGCATCATCATGCACGACATGCGCGCGCAGAGCACACTGACCCGGGCACAGGGTACGCTGCAACACGATACCGAGTTCACCAGCGTGCAGTTCCACCCCGAGATGCCGCATATTTTTGTGACGAGCGATAACCGTGGGGAGGTGTGCTTGCGCGACACGCGGACAGCGTTCGGGCCAAGAAGCCAGAGGCGGGACAAGGGCGTCGCGCAGAAGGTGGGTGGGCTTTCCAGCGGTGATCGTGTCGTTGTTGAGGTGTTTGGTGCGCAGTATGTAACCACGATCTCGAAGCCGTCCACACGGTACCTCAGCAATCCGGAGGTTAGCAGTGTGACGTTCGATCGCACAGGTGCAGTTCATGTTCAGGCTAGTATTGTATCACGCTAAGTAACTTGGATCACCAGGGACGAAGTTGGCTGCAACTATGACAGTATGTCTGATATCCGCGATGAATCCCTGTTCACTCATACCATCCATACGACAGCACTTCTCCCCTACTATCTACTCACTCTCTGATCCATATCCAATCGCTGTGTGTACAGCGTCTACCCAGCCCGATGGCTCGCCCATACCACAGGGTGAGCGTAGCTATGCGAACTCGTGTACCATCAAGGCAAGTTGGCATTTCCTTGATTGACTTCGGCGACTGATGGCTTGACTTATGTATGCGCAATCTTGATTACAGCATGGTTCCTTTGGCGGTGGCGGAGTTCTCGACGACCCCTACTACTGTGCAGGCTCCGACGACTTCCGGACTTACATATGGAAAATTCCTTCCCCTGCCATTCTGGCGCAACAACGAGAAGAGTATATTAGTGACGACTGGTCAAGCGAGAACTCCAACACAATTGGTGCGTGGCTCTTTGCTACCCTATTCAGCTTTCGTTCCCTCAGCTATCGGTTTCCAGGCTTCGCTGCATCCTCTACAGATGCGCGGCGTGTCCCTGTTACGCTCTCGCGGCCCGTTACCCGTCTCACTGGTCACAGCTCTATCGTGAACACAGCCCTCATGCACCCCACCTTTCCTGCTGTCCTCACAGCCGGCATCGAACGCGACATCCTCTTGCACTCGCCCACACCCGCCGCGCCTTTCCTGCCCTCTACCTCCCTGACTCTGACGCCAACGGCTGTGCGGCCTCTTCCTCCGGCTGAGATGGCTTGGTCTCGACGCGTCATGCGAATGATGATTCCGCAGACCCTGGACGAAGTCGAGCCTGAGGACGATAGCACGACTATCGCAATGTTCGACCAGTACGTGGTGGTCTTCCGCGGCGATATGGCCTGACTGACGCCTGGCCTGTGCAGAATTATCTGCGAAGAGAGCGACGCGGACGTGTTCGCTGTGCGGAGATGGAATGGAGATGCGCACGGGGACGAGGATACGGATGATGCCATGACAGGCATCGACGAAGCATGACACTTCTGTGACCACTTATATCACGGTCGGTGTCCACAGTATCTGTCAGCTTTAGGGTAAGTTTCTCGGAGTTGTCACGTATAGTACACGCTAAGCAGGCACGACAGGTAGAGGTTTTCTGCGATACGAAACCACTTTAGCAACAATCGTAGACCAACGTACGACGGATGAATTAAGTCACACTCTGACCACAGCGACTGGAGTCTGTGAACAGACCTCCTGGCGGGGCTGGGTATCGCTCTCGCCATGCCCGGCAGACGCGTCGAGAGGCCGGTGCGATGCCCCGATATGTGCAGGGGCGCGGCGGAGAGGCCGGTGGCGTTGACGTGGGATGAACCAGGATGACGTGCCGGCCGGCGTGCGCAAGTTGAACATAAGAGGCCGCCCCGCGCCCCGCCGCTCTTCACCTCTCTCTTCTGTCCCGCCAACATGGCGGGTGCCACAGCCCCCGACCTAGCCGTCAACGCGCTCAACACCGTCTACTTCGTCATCGCCCTCAACATCGTCCGCTCCGTCACAGGTCACAGCATCCGAACCGCCGTCCTCGCCGCCATCGCCCTCGTCGTGACGGGTCTCGTCACCTTCTCCATGGATCTGCTTCAGGCAAGCTACATGGACTACGCTTGCTGCGCCACCGCCGTCTTCATCGCCTTCAGCTATCTCTTCGATGGCCAGCACATTCCTCAGCTGAGGTCCGTCCGGTTCAAAGGTTTCATCCGCCTGGGATCTTGCGTCGTCTGGGCTTACCGGCTGGCTACGGTGCTCCGCAAGTTGGCACGTCTCGGGGTGGTGATCTTCGTCGTCGTCTACAACATCCTGATCTGGGTTGCTGCCGTCGTCGCTCTCAGGATATTAGTCCTCATCGACCCTGCGTCTCCCACACCTCGCCACGCCCGCATAGTTCGCATCGTCCTCTGCACTAGCGAGGAATTCGCCCGCTCACTGACCTCGGGATCCTCGACTGGCCGTGTTAGGTGCGCGGTGCAAGCTGGAGCTCCCTTCACTTGCCCCCTTCAGGCTGTCGATGTCCAGCGTCGTCGTCCCCTCTGGCGCCGGGCACTGTGGACTGCCTCCTGTGTACTGAGCATCCTGCGCATCCTTTTTCCGGCGACCCTCCTTGGCAACCTCGTTCGCAGAGGCTGCAGATCCCTCGGCCGTGTCTCTCGGTATGCGATCATCTGTGCTCTTGGCGCTGCGTTCGGTCTTGTTAGATCTGTGGCAACCAAGGCTCACGTCATGGGCAAGCTCGGCTTCACTGTGCTCGTCAACATCAAACGCGCTCGCCCGAATGTCCCTTTACGAAGTGCTCATGCCTACAATGTCTCCCTACGTTGCGCCAAGGCCATTTGGAAAGCATTGATTGGTATGTCCCTTCGTCGCACCTTGTACTCAGCCGAACGCTAAGACACGACTGCAGTAAAGTTCGCCATGTCGCTTGCATTCGAGAGGAGCGTGGTCACTTCGGTACTGCTCCGTGCTGAGGGTGAGAAGCCTTTCCATGCGTACACACCTGCTGGACCTCGCGTCATCACGAAGACGGTAAAGCGCTCGCTTCCGGTCGTCGTTCCTTCAGTCATCCCGGTCTACGACCTGAGCTCTCGTTGGGTCAAGACGCTGCTCATGGCGTTCCAGGTTGTCGGTGTTCCTCGCACTTTGTCCCCTACGGACCACTTCATGATGATCGCGTCCCAGTTCAACATCACTGGCGCTCTAGCCAAGGAGGTCGCTCCCTCTAGTCCTGTCCCTCGTCCCATGGTCATGGCGAAGAGACCTGTGCTCATGGTTAAGCGAGGCAGCTCCCTGATCATTGCAACGAGAGTCAAACGTGTGCTTCCAGTCATCGTCCCTCCGATGGTCCCAGTGTTTGAGTTCAACGCACGCTGGGTCAAGATAGTGCACGCAACATTCGGGATAGTGCACGCAACTTCGGTGTCCTTGGCATCCCTCGCACTCTACTTCCGACCGGCTACTACGGGGTGATCAGGACAATGGCGACTCGTCTCAACATGCCTGGTGTCCTTGTTCAGGCTATCCTCTCGGGAGTGGTGCCTCTTCGTCCTGCTGGTCCCTCTGTCGTCTGGAGGCCTCTTTTCGCGTACAGCCCGGTGCAGCCCCGTGTCGTCGCCTCTAGAGCGAAGCGCCTCTTCCCGCTTGTCTTACCTTCGAAGGTCACAGTGTATGATGGTGCTTGCGACACTTCTACCCAGCTCGCATACCTCGCCCCTCGCCAGTCGCACAACCCCAACTCTGTAGAGACGATGCCTCTGGCTGCGACGGCCAGTGAGCCTGCCTGCCCACTCGTCGTGGCAACCAGAGTCAGACGTGTCCCTTTCGGTCCAGCCCGGCCTGTCGTTCCCGTCCAACCTACGTGCTACTCGATCCATCCACAGTGGGTGTGGGAGATTCGCAGCGCCTTTGTTGCTTCTCAGCTCCCGCGTACCGTGCTCACGATCGATGGATTCCACTGGATTGCCTTGCGCTACTTGAGGGTTTCTGGTGCCCTGGTTGAGCTCGCGATCCCGCTCGGTCTTGACTTGCCCCCGCTGGTACTGCCGACTTCGCCCTTGTCGATGCTCTTGCTGCTCTCCCCGTGGTGGAGTTAGACTCCGGTTCTACCCTGGTTGCTGGCAAGCATGTCCCTGTCGTTCCCCAGACTCCGTTGGATTTCCTTCGGTAAGTGATAACGCGCTTTCGTCTAAAGGCTTCCCGATGCTCATACTTTTCACAGAATTGCCCGCTTGACTATCAAGCTCACCGATGACGTCCTCGAGTCGGTGACTACGGACCGCATCGTGGCCCTCGATGCTCCTGTCAAGCCTACACAGTCGGTCTCCGTGCAGCTATCTGGTGTTCGCTCCCTGCTCAAGGCCGGCTCCCGCGTCATCGCCGTCAAGATCAAGAAGCGTGTTCCCTTCGGCCCTGTCAAGCCTGTCGCGCCCGTGCGTCCGGTGCGCTCGATTCCCCCAGAGTGGGTGGCAATCCGCAGCGTCTTTGGTCTCCCCCAAACTCCGCGTACCCTGCCCATTCTTGGCGAGTTCTACTGGACCGCACGCCGGTACTTTGGTACCCCTGGCACTCGGATCGTGTTGACGATCCCCGACGGTCTCGGCTTTGCGTCCTCTGGTTCTGGCATTTCCTCTGAGCAGCTTCGCATTCGCTTCCGCTCTACGGCGACTACGTCTATTGCTGCTCCTGCCTCTACCACGGTCGATGAGTCGGACCCTCGCTCTGCCCTTGTTGCTGACAGGCATATCAGGTTTGCCGCTACCCAGACCTTGTTGATCTTCCTCCGGTGAGTCTATTTCGTTCGTGGCGATGTTCAGGGCGCTGACGTGTTACCACAGTATTGTCCCTCGGCTCTGTTGTCAAGAAATCGACCATGTGACTCCGCTCTTCGAGTCGCCGTTGGTGCTGACGCTCACGGACAACACGGACGATGTCGCCGCTCTCGGTGCTCCTGTCGAACTCGCGCCCCTGGTCCCCGTCCAGACTCCCGGTCCCAACGCTGCAGGTGAGAAGTTGCTTTTGGTGGACAAGCCCGTCCGCCCCCGCGTCATCGTGATCAAGGTCAAGCAGCGCGTCCCATTTGGCCCGGCGAAGCCTGCTGGTCGTTTCCAACTCGTGCATTCCATCTCTTCGGAGCGGGTTCAGCATATCCACAACGTCTTTAACCCTCCCCAGGTTCCGCGCTCTCTGCTGACATCGCATAGGTGCTACTGGGTCGATCTGCGGTACTTTGGTACCTTTGGTGCTCCGACGCAATTCCCACATGTGCTTAGCTCAGCCTCACCAGATACTGGCGTTCGTACAAAGCAGCCTTCCCCTTGTCTGTCTTCCCAGGCGACTGCTGCGGACGTTGCTCCCGATTCTACTGTCGCCACACAGCCGGACCGTCGTTCTGCCCTTGTTGCTGATGATCACGCTTCTGCCGCTGGCCAGACTTTGCTGATATTCCTCCGGTAAGTCGCCCTTATTCGCAGTGGTCATCGCAGCTAATACATTGCCACAGCCTTGTCTTCCAATTTCGGTCAAGTGATGAAGAAATTGACGATGCAACTCAGATTCTTGAGTCGCCGTCGGTACTAACTACCGACAACGCGCCGAATGCGCATTTGGTCCCTACCCAGACACCCGGTTCCAACTGCGTGGTCGAACATCCTTGTTCGACGGACAACATCACCTCCCCCCTTATTGCCGAGACCAATGTCGAGTGCATATGTCCTGCAGCATCCATACTAGCTGACTCCGCCCAACCCACGTACCCAGCCCGTTCGGGATGGGTAGAACAGATTCGGAACGTCTTCGGCCCCCTCAGATCCCGCGCATCATGCCGACGTCTGATGGTTTCCTCTGGATGCCTCTCCGCAACTTGGGTACATCTGGCTCGCAGGTTGAATTTACACTTCCCTACGGTCTCAGTCCTGCGTCTTGTGATTCTGGACGCGTCGCATTGAAGCAGCGTCGTCTTCACCTCCGCTCCTCGGCGATTGCTGCTGCTTCTACTGTGCTCACGGAGTCAGATCCCCGCTGTGCTCTTGTCGCTGATGAGGATGGCTCCGTCCCTGGTCGAAGCTTGCTCAGCTTCCTGCGGTCAGTAGAACATTGTCAGTCAGCGATTTGGCGCTGATGCGTTGTCGTAGACTTGTCTTTGCACCCGCCCCTGAGATCGCTGTAAGCGTGGCTCCGGTTTGCGAGTCGGCCCCCCTGCAGCCACCTAGACCCACCGCTGTGACCAGGAACCCTCTTCCCCTGACCAAGTCTGTCGGTTGCCGCGTGGTTGCAATTAAGGTCAAGCACGTCGCCTTTGGCCCAGCGAAGCCTATCGTTCCCGTCAAACTCGCGTATTCCGTCTCTCGGGAGTGGGTACAGCAGATTTGTAACGTATTCTGCCCGCCCCAGGCCCCGCGCTCTCTGCATACGTCGCACGGGCTCTACTGGATCACTTTGCGCTACTTTGGGACCGCTGGCGCCCTTCTGCACGGTCTCAAGTCTGCATCCCCGGTCTCTCTGGAGCAGGTTTACCTTCGCCTCCGCTCGGCGGCGTTCGCTCACTCTGGCCAGCGCTCTGCATTGGTCGCTGGTCGGCGTCCCTCTTCTGCTGCCCAGATCTTGTCGGTCTTCCTTCAGTGAGTGGTTTGGCTTCGCGCACTACGCGTTCCGGTGCTAATACTACTCTTCACAGACTCGTCCTTGGTTTCATCGAGGGCACCGACGACGCGACTCTGGACCTCGAGTCGCCGTTGGTGCTGACGCCCACGGACGGCACAGTCAGTCCTCCCGCATTCGGTATCGAGAACGCTTCTTCAAGTCCTACTCCCGCGTATAAAGTCGCGGAGGATGTCGAAGCGGACACGAAAACCGAGGGAGAACTGCCGGTGAGCAGCCAGAGGAAGCGCAAGAGGCATCCGCGCGCTCGTGGCGGGAAGAAGGTCCAGGCGGCCAAGGCTCGCAATATGGCTGAGCAGGCACTGGAGGAGGCTGAGAACGTGGCACGACTTGCTGAGCAGAGTGCTTCTGAGAAGAGTGAGTCGAGGTTGTCGAGACTGTCCGTCGAACACTAATAGAGATCATCCTTACTATAGTAGTCGCGGCAGATGTCGACAAGATCAGGAGGCGTCCAGCTTGGCGGATCCACGTCAGGTACAGGTCGCGCCAACGCGAGCGCAAACGGGAGCAACACCGACACACCTCGCACATCGACCCGCAGGCGTCAACCGACTCGTGGCCGCCAGGCTCGTCGCATTAAGGACAACTCTGAGGGAGCGAGCTCGCATGACGACGAGGGATCCAGACTCAAGGAGGGCGACAGAACGGCGGCGACGTCGCAGGTGCGATGCGCATTGCTGGATATCATCTTCGCAGGGCGGGAGCTGAGTTCGTGGACCTGCCCCCTCTCCGTCTTGGAGCGTCTCGGGCAGCCATGAAGGACGAATTCTCTGCGCGCGTGTGAGCGAGTCTGAAGACATACGAGCGACAGAGAGACAGTCCTGTCCCATTCCGCGCGGCGCAACGTGGGGCGACGTACTGCGTACTGTCCGGGACATGTGTAAGGGAGCGTGCTATTTCACCAATGCATCTACCGGTTCAGGAGCCCGATTACTTTTCATTTATCCTACATCATCTACTTATAGAACTTGCACGGACATCTACACTGTACAGCCTAGGGCTCGGACAACCGCTTGCTTACCACACTTGTATCACAGATTATCTCTACTCCATCCTACTCGGTATTCAATATTTCAGTATTCATGCATCAGAATGGGACAGACTATTTGCAGCAGGGTCCGGCCGCGACAGTCCGAGTTTGAGTACACATGCAGTCGTCGGCCCTCATACTCTCCCGGATTCAGTTGAAACGGGTTCGTATGTGCATCAAGCATCTCTCTACTTGGTACTTAAGTGGAGAACTATGCGCGCCGAGTATATTTCGACTGAGCACAAGTCGAGCTAAGTAACTTATGGGACTTCAGGCTAGTGAGAGCACTTGTGCCTCACATGCACACGTAAAACCATTACAGTCCATGAGGATCATGTACATTCGTAAAGTCATAAGGCCGCAATCGAGCTACGCGTCCGTACGTACACACACTAGTACTATACACAGTACATCTGTATCCTTCCTTCCGTCCTACACAAGTCCATGTCCATTCTCCACCGACAGACTCACTTACACTACTCCAAACAAAGTGCTTTCCTCACGATCCTTCCGATACCACCGCTCTTCTTCTGACCAGGACTCCCGCTCGCGTCGCCACCGCCCGCAGCCGGTGCGCTCGAGCCCGACCCATCAGGGAGTCAGTTGGAAGTCGCGTCCGTGTACTGCGTGGTCGCGAGGCCGACCTGCTTGTTGGTCGTGTCGAACACGGAGTAGTAACGCTGGAGCCACGCGAAGCCGTCTGTAACGCGATCCGGTGAGTCCATAACGACTGGACAGGGTAAGAAGACACGTACTGATGAAGTCGAGGCCCTGGCCGCTGTTGCTGCCGAGGTCGCTGGTGATGAGATAGATCTTGCCCGCCTCGCCGCCGAGCGTCGAGTTCAGGCTGCGCGGCCAGATTTGCGCGTTGGCCGTGAACTCGAACGTGGTGCTACCTGGAACGATCAATCGCCAGCATTTAGCATCCCAGCTGGCCACCGCTATGATGAACACTGACCGATCTTGAAGTACAGCGACTGGAGCTTGTTGTACTGATCCTCAGTGATGCTCAGAAGACCGGTCGTGCTACGCAGTCATTGAGTCAGTTTCATGCAGGCGAGGTAACTATATGCGCCAACGCACCTGTCCAGTGTAGCGCCAGTCGCCTTCTGGTACTTCTGGAACGCATCGGTGGCGATCATGAGGAGCGTGGTACCGGTGTCGACGATGCCGGCGTTGCCGGAAAGGAGGCTCGTGCCGTTCTGTCCGTACGTGACGTCCTGGTTGATACCCCAGTAGTTCGACGCGGGCGACGTGGTCGTGATCGGCGTGTACGTGATGTCACCGGTGTACCTGTATGCGCGATCAATGACAAGGCCGTGGCAGCATACATCAACGCGCATGTACGCACTTGGTGCTATCGACACCACCGAACGTCAGCTCGCCGTTGGCCGTGCCGCTGTCGCGCTGGTGGTGGGGACGTAGGAAATGCCGATCGACTCGGTCGTAATCGTGCCCTGAGCGTAGAGGCTGTCCGTGACGGTGGCACGGTGGCGTGTTCGACACAGTGTTACTGGTCAAGTCGACGGGACCGATACCGAGGATTCCGTCGACGCCCTGGAAGCCCTGGGCGGTGGAGGCCACGCCAATCGACTGGTTCTGAATGGTAAGACCCGTACCGAGGGTAACGGTGTCGGTGTCTGGCAAATCTGTGAGTATCAACTGTGTTTGAAATTACCACCGAATTGGCTTACACTCGGTGCCCGAGAACGAGCCGGAGCCGTAGCTCACATTCTGCGCACGGGAAATGAAGATAGAATTACCGACGCAGTGCCTGGGTGCTTACCACGGTGTTTCCGGTGCTCTTGCTCGTGGACGTCTGGGTGTACTGGGCAGACGCACCGGTCCAAGTGTTGGAAGAGCCTATACCGGGTCCAAGGTCACGATATCAAGTAGGTGTGTGACTATATGCTGGCTTACCCGTGTCAATGAGGAGGGTGTAGTTCGTCGCGGGAGAGCCGATGCCGACGCTGGCAGTGTAGGTGACACCCGCGTCGGTGACATCGACACCGACGCCCCCCGAGGAGGGAGTCGTGCCGCTTGTACCGGTGCCGGTACCCGTACCAGTGGACCCAGTGCCGGTGCCGGTCGAGCCTCCACCGTGGTGGTGGTGGCGGGCTGCGGAACCTGTCTCCTCGTGTCGGTGATGCTCATGCTCGTGCCGGTGCTCACGATGCTCGCGGTGCTCGTGGCGCTCATGCTCACGTTTCTGGCGTTCCTCGTGGTAGGCGAGGGGGCCATGAGGGCGGACGCCTGCGAGGAGCTTCTGGGCGCGGGCCTTGTCGCGAGCGACGAGTTCCTTTGCGGAGCCGACGGAGAGGCGGGTCGAGAAGGGGACAGAGCGGACGACGACGTGGGACATGACGGTAATTCAAGGGGGATCAGGAAGTGGAAGTGGATTGGTGTGGGAAGAGATGGGAGGACGGTGGGAGGACGGCGGGGTATATATACGGGCAGCAATGGAGAAGGGGAAGAAATGGAGGTAGAATGATCTGAAGAGAAGCCTGTGCTGTGGTGAAGAGCCGTGAGGAGGGTGACGTGCGTCATGCTGGGGTTGCAGGCCAGCAACGCCCGTCACGACACTGCACGCATGAACTAGCACCCATCCAGTCCGTCGGCCGTTTCTCGCTCAAAGTGGGCTGTTATCTCTCGCGTGGTGGCGAGAGGCGAACACGGCGCAGAGATTCGTCCCGACAGAGCTCGCTCGGAGATGCCCCATCAGAGGTGCAACGGTGCCTCTGCCGCAGCTGAGAACGACCGCGTCAGACGGTTCCCCGCGCCGTATTTGGACAGGGCACTCACGGGCGGAGTGGCGGAGGAATCGAGGCGTCCGGCGGAGGCATCCTGGACGCCACCGCGCTGGATGACAGGCGGGAGATTTTCGCAGTGAACTGACAGGTACTGCACCATTTCGTCATCCCTCGACTGCGCGATCGGGCGCGTTCCTGCCATCGCGCCGAGATAAGCCGTTTCTGGCAGGCTGCCGTCCGCGGCAGCCTGTGGCGCGCGTACATTGCCCGAATTTGAGATGGACAGCGATCGCAGACACCCGCCCGAGCAGGACCAATTCAACGCCCTCGGCATGCACGCTGCCCGACACCCTCCACGCTTGCACGACTCTCCCTCGCACAGAGCACACGGACGACGCCTCCTTCCATTGCTGCGCAGGGCAATATCGTTCCCCGTCGGTGCGTACATGCTTTCTTCGGATCCAGATTGAATAGACCATATAGTCTTTGCCGCTCCACTGCCCAACAGCTAAGTCTGCATCCTCGGTGTCACTTACCGACCTCTGAAGCCGTCTTGAAGCAGAAATGCTCGACGATGCCGCCTGGTAGCGATGTCGCTCGGCGATGCCGTCTGGGAAGCGATGCTGCCCGGCGAAGCCGCCTGGAAGCAGCACTGCTCGGTGCTGACATAGCCTGGCTCACTCCCCGGAAGCCTCATCCCTCCTTACGTCCTTATACCCTCGAGGGGACCTAGCCACTACAGGCTCCATCGTTGCCGCGAGTGGTGGGGTTCGGAGGGGATGGATGGCTCAAGACGCAGGCGGATGTAGTGCTGAGCGCTAGCGATCGGTGATGAGCACGTAGGGGCCTCCCCTCTCCCGTGTTGTAGACGGTACTGCCCGCATGTATATCCTGACTCGAAAATGTAAAAGAAGCGTAACGTTGAGGGCCATAGTATGGCCTGCTCCTGGAGCACGAGGCGGCGCATTGGACACGAGGCTGCGCGTCACGGGCGACACGGAGATCACCGCATTAACTGGGACACAAGGTCCAGGTCGACAGTGATGGTGCCGCGCCTTCCTCCTCTTCCTATACATACTTCGTCCCTCCGTGTGCTTCACAGCCCGCTTCCCATAGCAGTCCCCTACCGGATGGCGGCTTCACTCGAGGAGGTCTCAAGGGGTGAACAGGCTGCCCAAGGCTGCGCCAGGCTCACTCACTTAACGTCACTCATCTCAGGAAGTGCGCCTAGGACAAGGCGCCTGGATGGTCGACACCTAGCTTGTCTACTGCACGGCCTGTCGACTCCTCGCTTGTCTATTGCACGACCAACTCGATATGCCCATCGGTGAGCGCGACCCATGGCTCGTAAACCCCCGACCTGGCGAGTGACTCGACTGACTCTGACTCGACCAGCGGTTAAAAATCACTTTGCTGCCGCCACCAGCAGCGGGTAATCCGCTCCTTGGCCTGCCGATTCCCGAAACCTTACAAGGAGGAACTGTGCAGGACCTATGCAGTTTTGGAAGCCACTTAAAAAGACGGCCAGACGCTCGCGAACAGCCCAGCCGCTCCTTTCTCTGGCTCTCGACTGTGGTGCGCCGTACACCCGGGTGAGTGTGCACGCTTGCCGTCTTCCTCCGCTTCCGCCTTAACGGTGGCTACACAGAAAGATGGCAGCTCTCGCAGCAATGTCGGACGAGCAAGACCTGCCAGTGCCCCCGCCGCTCGATGGCTCACAGTCACAGGAGGATCAGGCTCCAATGCTCACCCCAACGGCTCATGCAGGGTCGAGGTTCGTCGACTCCGTGCTGCCTGAGATCGCTCAGCGTGAACTGACATCTTCAGCAGCGAAGAAGGTCAGCTCACTGCGACAGAGCAGTCTCCTCTCGATCGCCTCGATGAGATTCTGGCGACTCCGGGAGATCCAACCGTGGCTGCGCCGCCCCTACGTCGAGGCGCCCGATGCGATCCCAGTCGGGCGCATCGCTCCAGTCGCTCAACGCGTCCGCGCAGACGACAGCGGCGAGGCGTCAATCAAGAGGCAAGGCCAAGGCCCCCCCGTCACCAGGCTCGACGGCGCCCCCGCCAGTGATGCTAACAGCTCTAATACGCTCCGCCAACTCAACGGCGAAACAGTGGCTCGCAGCGTCCCCATCCTGCGCGAGAACATCGAACGTGTCTTCGCGGACGTATGCGCCCTCCGCGAGCAAGTAACCACCGAGAATGCTGCGCTCCGCGAGTCGATGAGCCGCGCCGTAACGGCGGCATCGAACATGGATGCTCGCATCGCTTCGCAGATCCTCGCGCACATGGAGAATGAGCTTCCTGCTGCGGTCGAAGCGGTGCTCGACGATCGCCTGGACACCCTGACTCGGGACATGACCATGGCAGCCCATGACCTCGAGCAGCTGCGGGACGCACACAACACGATAGTGTCCACGACGGCCGCTTCCGACTTACGCCTCGACAACCTGACCCGCTCGGTGAACCATGTGGACGGCACGGTCAACGATGTAGCGACGCAGATCGCTAGGGTCGCTCATACTCTCACTGGGGTGGAGGACACGGTTGCAACCCTCCTCGGGAACTGGCACGCGGATAACGGATACACGTACGCCCCTCGCGACCCTCCCGCAGCGCTTCGTCCTCCTCAGCAACAGGACGTGCCGATGCCTGGTCCTGCAAGTGCAGCGGTGCGGGTGCAGCGTGCTACCCTGGCTCCGCTGCCGGAGCCTCCAAACATACGCTCCCGGGGATCGGACACCAGAGACGATGATGCCACGAACGCCAGGCCTCCTAAGCGTCCGAAGCGTGGACCTCGCAACCCGGCCAGCCAGCAGCGGGAGCCTCCGAACCAATACCGTGATCCCCCAACCAGCGTCGCGATCCTTCAGTGCAGGCCCAACCAACGGCTTCTTCGTCCCGAGTTCGCCTCCCGATGCCGGTCCTGCCTGTTCCTGCGCAGAGGCAGTCCCCACAGGCTTCGTACTCCCACGCGCGCAATACGCATGTCCTCTTTGGCGCCATGGCGTGGACCGCGACGGTTGTTCGGGAGCAATTCCTGTCAGTCACGAGGATCGTGCGGAGCGACATCGAGATGGATGCGTCCCCCGTCCTGAACGTTTCCCTGGATAACGACATCACGTATGTACGCGTCCTGTTCAGGTCCTGGGAGGAAGCCAGGGACTTCACCAATGCCTGGAACTCGGCGGCGGAGTCGAGGTACCCGACCGTCCGGGCTAAAATTGTACAGTAGTCAGTGTTCGATACTACTGTACACAACAAAATGAGAATGCTGAAATGTGCGCCTTCCAGTGCGCCCGAGTCTCCCCCGATTCGCGTGGCAAGCTGGAACGTACACGGCAATATGGCTCTCAAAATGAAGAGTGACTCGTTCCGTGCCGCACTGGTGAACTTTGACGTGGTTCTCCTCCAGGAGACTCATCTACGGCCGGAGCAGGAAGCCCAACTCCTCCTGCCACCATGCTACGACCTTTTCGTGTGTGGCCGGCCGAACACCCCGTCCATGGGTGCTCCAGGAGGCGGTCTGGCGGCGCTAGTACGCTGTGACCTGCGTTGTGTACACCACGAAGACTTAGGCGGGTCCGAGATCATGCTCCTCCGCTTTCCCGGACTATGGCTCCTGAACGTGTATGTGCCCCCTCAGCAGTCGCACTGGTACGCTCTTTCTGCCCTCGGCCCAATGCAGAAGCTCGCCGAGGTCCTTGCAGTGACAACTTCGGATAACGTCCCACTGGTGATGGCAGGCGACTTCAATGCGCGCACCGCGTCCTGTACACCACACGTCGACTGGATGAGACGTTCGCCCGATGGAGCAGCGGTCTCGCAACACGGGCGCACACTGCTGCAGGTATGCAGTGATTACGGGCTCTGCATATTGAATGGGACTACACTACAGGAACCAGACTCCATACCCCGATTCACGTCCTTCCAGGCGCTCGGATCGTCTGTCATTGACTATGCCGTGGCCTCGCCGTCCCTACTCCGTACACCCGGCGTCCGCTTGCGCATCCTCCCGCAATGGCCGACGTGGTCGGATCATGCCGCACTGTGCATCACCCTCCCGAGAGATAAGTGCGTCGACGATGTAGACACACCTAGTGGTCCTGCCCAGCCTACGGACAATGGTACATCGCCTCGTGTTCCAGCCCCTCGCGTGGAATACACGTCACACCTGGATGTCATGCTAAACACTGCGCTTGCGAGATCGCTATCTCTTAGTGATGCCTTACTGGCGCTGTACGGACCGGCGACGCATTCTTCCCGGGCCGTCGTCCATGTCTACACGGATGGCTCGGCAGACCGACCACCGGGGGCGCGCACGGGCGGAGCTATACGAGCAGGGTCAGGGATATACTGGGGGCGTGGAAGCGAAAGTAATCGAGCCCTGCTGGCTCCCTTGCCACCGACGAACAATCGGGCAGAGCTATTCGCGATCCTAGTCGCTATCGCAGAGGCGCCTGCATGGAAGACCCTTCGAGTGTATACCGACTCGGAATACTCCATCCGATGCATATGCCACTGGGCTCCTCGCTTTGCGGCGGCGGGATGGCGGTGTGCGAATGCAGACCTCCTTGTAAACATCATGGAGATACTCAAGGCACGTCCCACTCAAGTGACGTTCTGCTGGGTGAAAGGCCACGCAAAGAATGCTGCGAATGAGGCTGCTGATGAGCTCGCAAGAGAGGGGTGTAGACAGCTAGGCCCAATGGCGCCTCTCGTGCCCCTCAAGCCAGTACATACCCCTATGGATGCACATGCTGACGACCTCGTCAAGATGGCGGACGGAACATGCAAGGTGCATACCGACCTGCCACCGCATACGGTGCCTCGGAGCGCGGCTACGCTGACTGTGGAACGCACCTTGCGCGTATGTGATGAGCCCGAGTCGGGACGCTCTGCGGAAGCGAATAACCTCCGCCTAATGCGCGAGCGGTTCGTTCGCGAGCTCCTGGAGCCAGGAAAACCAGTCGCTGCGTTCTGGACAGCATTCCGCGGACTTGTCGACCCGGCGCCACGAGCGGCGAGAGTATCGGTGACTGAGCTTCGCGCCGCATTTATGCCCCGGATGAACGCCCCGGTCGTGCTACCGTCCAATTTCGATGCGGTGCGTTACTCAGCCAATCGCATGTGGTCACAGATGCTCCCCGAACGCACGACCCCGAACCCTGACCAGCTGTTCTTCGCGCGCCCCTGGACCCTGGATGAGATCGCGGACGCCAAGGAACACATCCGCAAGCATAACCGACGGTCAGCAATGGGAGAGGATAGGATCCCTTACGACCGTGTGCTCGGGCTGGACATCAGGAAAATCCCTCCCTGGGAATTACAACGAACAGACGAAGATTCTCCATAATACGTAGACTTTTGGGAATCATGATGCCATTCGTGATAACATCCCGTATTGTTGATCATTCGACACGTCGTTCGAGTGCAGTTAATAAAAAGGTACTAATATGAATGTTATGATTGGAATTTTCTGTACAGAGGTGCCGAAACAGTAGTTCATTCGCGAGGTTCACAGTGAAAACAACGAGGTTATATTGATGTGTCTCCTAAACAATTCTACGTATACTAGTAGTACACTACTACACATGACCCGAAGATCACTTTGTCCTCCACCACGTATGCGTAGTCATCTATGACGACCACACCTCAGTCGTCCACGAACCCACAGGTTAGTAAGCGGGTCCGCAGGCAATTGGGTGCGCGGACGGATGAGTGGGTGGCCGGCCGGCTGAGCAGACGAGAGCGTGGACAGGAGAGTACATGCAAGAGGAACACTGAGCGAGACAGAGTGCGAGCGTGTGGGTGTAGCGCGAGACAATGTGGGTCCACGAGTGGGTGCGCGGATCCAGAAGCCGAGAGAAACGGGTATGAAAGTGAGAGCAGGAGCGCAGGCGCAGGCGGGTGGTCGGTCGACCAGGCTAGCAATAAAAGCAAAACGTGAGACGAGAACACGTGGGCGGGCGGGCAAGAACGGGCGAGCGGACGAGCAAGCAAGAGTGGGCGAGTGGGTGATGAGGCAATAGCGGGCCGGCGAGAAGTCGAGGGTGGATTGGCGAGTGGGCGAACGAGTGGGCGATGACAAGCAAACAGGCGAGAAGGGTGGGGTGAGTGAGCAAGATCGAGGGGTACACCACCAGAGGTCAGAGTGTCTGCTCGCTTTTCGGCAGTCGCAGAGACTTACACGGGTAACTGTGTGGCGTGCCCGTAGAGAAGCGTGCTGCGAGTTTGTTGCTCGTCAATGCACTTGCTCGAGCATCGCAACTAGGAACAGAGATATTTAGTAAATACACTAATGACGACTCACTTCGGGGTTTTATTTAAATACCTCTGCTTCCCTTCCCTTTCGTTCACTACTCCTGCCCACCATATGTTATGCTGTCCCTCTTCCTTTGACCGTGCTCGATTGTTGTGCTCAGGCTCGCCGCCTTGCGTGCTCGGGCTTGTCGCATTCGGAGTTTGGGATGGCATGACGGGTGCGTCGCGCATAGTGGTGGTTGTCCGAATGCAGACCGTCTGGCACATTCGTGAGCGGCGCCGACGGTCGCGCCACAGCGGGACTGTACTTAGCTGAGACGGGGCAAGTTGGAGATGGGCGATGATTGGGTGACAGACGGGCGACACGGGTGACGAGCGACAGGCGGATGGCGCGGAGACGTGCAACAAGTGGGAGCGCTGCTTGCCCTAAACAATATCTCGATCGAATCTGACCGCCGCCACAGCGCCACGTCAGTGCTCTCTCGCCCGCCGCCGCCCGCTGTCTCACTCGTTCACCCGCCCTCTCTTGCTTGCTCGCCCGCGTGTCCTCCCACTTACCCTCTCGCCCGCTCACATGTCCTCATTCTGGCTCGCTGCCCTCTTGTTCGCCCACCTACTCGCCCTACTGCTAGTCTTTCCCAGTTACCGTGTCTCGCCCCTAGCTCACTCTCGCACCCGCCGACCCGTTCTCACTGAGGGCACACGCATCCAGCGACCGCGCAGCCGAAAGACTTTGAGTGCGAGGCTCAAGGGCCCTATTCGCGATACAAAGGTGAGCCATCACCAACACGATCTCCCTGCACTGCCATCTACGAATGTGCCGAGGCCCTGCTGAACCATGTCCTATCTGTCCGCCGTTCCGCTCCGCCAACTGTTTTCCTTGCCCGCCATTTCGCTCGCCCGCCATCTTGTCATCCCTCTTGCCCGCCGTCTCGCACCCGCCGACTTGCCGTCTCGTGCCTGCCCATTTGCTTTCTCACGCCCGCCCACTGTCTTCTCACGTCCGCCCACTGCCTTCTCGCGCCCGCCTGCTTGCACTTTCGTGTCCACCCATTGGCCCTCTCGCGTCCACACGCCCGCTCTGTTGTGTCCGCGTGTTCACATGTCCTCGCGTGCGCGCGTGCCTGTCCTCCGCGCTCGCTTCCATAGCTGCTCGCTCTCGGTGCTTTGACCGCGCACCTGTGATTGCCCACCTGCCTGCCGTATCATGACAAACATCGACCTGTGTGCGTACCTCCTCGCCGATTATGACAGCCAGCTAACATACATCCACATGGAGAACTGTCACCCCTGTCACTCGCAACCTACGCGCCCATGCCCGTGGACATACCATCTCGCTCTACACCCACACACCCGACTCTGTCTTGCCTGCAATCTGTCTCGTATGCCCCCTCCCGCCCATGCTATCGTCTGCTCGGCCGGCTGGCCACCTGCGCATTCGTGCGATCACCCACGCGATTGGTCACTCGTCCACGCGCCGACTTGCCTGCGGACCCGCTTAGTGACCTGTCGACCCGCGGACCCACCGTCACTGTTACTCTAGTCATACATTACTGCCTGTGCTTGTCATTTATCTCCCTCCCTAGTACCTGTCTCATCTGCTCGTGGCCTTGGACCTCTCATGATACATCACAGATTCTCACATTGGACTCGTAGTACTACGTATATTTCATGCACGGCAATGCATTAATATCTTTTCTAATCACTGTGTGAACGAACATCAGAGTGAATGTTCATTGAATGTCCTGAGAATGGCACAGAAGCCATGACTTATTGCGTGAACATGCTACAGTAACTCACGAGAACACTGTAATTACTCGAGTATTACTGCGTATTCGTACACGGACCCATGGGGACCACGGAATATGGTCTGTTATTGAATTAGGAATATTAATGCTGTTTATCTTCTATTCCTACGAAACTGCCTCTATTCTTCCGCATTCAGGGGAAGGTTTTTTCCTGATGGATAACGAAGATCTGCTCTGCCTCTTCCAGGAGTGTGTGGACTCCCTCGACGCGCCTACCACCTGGCTCACCGCTATTCTGACCGGAATTGCGAAGCGGGGAAAGGACACTGCACAGGCAGCGAACTACAGGGCGGTAGGACTCGAGAGCTGCCTGCTGAAAATGCTCACACTGATGATTGAACGTCGCATGAGGGCGTGGGCGGAGGCAACAGCCAAGATTCCCCCCTCGCAGAACGGCTTCCGCACAGGTTGCCGTACAAACAACAACGCGTTTGTCCTCAGGGCTGCGATCGAGAAGGCGCGATCGAGTGGCCGAACGCTGTATGTTGCGTTCGTAGACCTATCGAATGCGTTCCCCTCGGTGGACCAACCGACACTGTGGGCGAAGCTGCAGGACGCGGGTTTCAGTGGCCCTCTGTTCGACTGGTTGAGGATGCTCTATGCTCGGCTGAGCTACGTGGTGCGGCAGGACGGCAATGAGTCCGACTCGTTCCGTGCGACGGCAGGGATCCTCATAGGCGACCCCGCTTCCCCTATCCTGTGGATCCTGTTCCTCGCTGACCTCATCATTTCAGACCACCCGGACGACACTGACCTTGGCGGTATCCTCATGTCACATCTGGAGCAGGCAGATGATATCGTGCTATGGTCAATGTCGCAGGAGGGTCTGCAACGCAAGCTCGACGACCTGGCGCGCTGGTGCTCACTCAACTTCGCGGTGATCAATGTGTCCAAGACGCAGCTCATGATCTTCGGGCCTCTCCCTGCGCAAATGCCATGCCTGTCTGTGAATGGTGTACGGATTGTTCTCGTAGATCGCTACACATACGTGGGCATCCTCTTCCAGTCTACGGCGCGGGACATCTTCGCGGCACACATCGAACATCGAGTAGCGGTGGCTCGCAGGACAGCGAATGCCTGCCTCTCGGTGGAGTCGTACGTGGCCGACCTACCACCTTGGGCGTCGCTCACCCTCTACAACACTCATATCGACTCGCACCTAATCTCGGGGTGCGAGGTCACGATTGACGTACGCCTCGCGGCGCTTACGTCCCTGGCGTCGGTACAGATGACATACCTGCGCCGATCGCTGGGCCTTAACCCACGAACAGTCACCTCGGTGCTGTATACGGAAACCGGCCTATGGCCAATACGATACCGCCGGCTATCGCTGGCGTTGCGTTACCTCCTCTATGTGGTAACGCAGCGCCCGCAACTACCTTTGGCCGCGCTGGCCGAGTCTCGCAGTATGGCTTTGACTGGTTCGGCTTCATGGATTAGTGACCTCCAGTACGCCCTGCAACAGTTACCAGTTCCAGTCAAGTTCCCCATCGCAGACGCCCTGACACCGGACACCGTGAAGAAATGTGCGCAACAAGTCTTGCAGTCGCTACGCTCCTACCTGAGGAACGAAGTGCGTGGCTCAGAACGTCTACGTCTGCTTAGTGCCCGCAGTCACAACCTCGGTATCATTGCCCGACGCAAGTACCTTTCGTTGGACTCCCGAGCGCTTCGACAAGCGATCTGCCGCCTGCTTGCTTCCGATCACCCTTTCGCAATTGAGGGACTGCGCCGGCGGTCCCCACCGATCCCGCGGGAGTGGCGAATTTGTCGCTTCTGCCAAGGGCGGAACATGGTGGAGGATGAGGCGCATGTTTTAATGTGCTGCCAAGCAGATATCCTTCGGTCCCTGCGAGCGCACTTCATGCGCCGAGTGCACAATGCGCTCACGGCCCATGGTCGTGCGATCTCCATGTCATCCCCGAATCGGTTCCTTATGGCGGTAATTGCGGATGAATGCACACAACACATTGTCGCGCAATTCATCTCGGATGTCTTTGGATGCTGTGACGCCGTCCCCCTACTGGTGGTCACAACAATGGAACAGTACCAGTCTTATGCGATATTGTGAGCGGGCCACTGTGGTCCCCGCGTGCGACTATATCACCGCCGCCGCCTGCTCAACGCCCGTGTTCCAAAGTCGGCGGCAACGTCGACCGAGGACACTACGCGCCTATACCCGGATTGCTCGCGTCCGGCTCCTACTATGCCCCTGGAGGCCCCTGGACCTTCCGCATGATGGCGGACGGCAGTAGCGCTGCCACGTGGTTCCACCTGGACCATGGTGAGTTATGTCAGTATGGTGGAGAACCACCGCTGACACCTGGAGGTTTTTTCATTTTTTCCTCCCAGGTTTTAGCCATGTATCCTGCTGTGCTTAACGCACGACGCCGGGGTGTTTATGTTTGAACTGGTGGACAGTATTGTAATTATGCGATAGTGGGAGTCGGATTAGGTAGTTTAGGATTAGGTAGTAGGGGTATGTTGGGTTTGGAGGTAGTCATGTACCTAGTGAGCGCTGTCACACATCGAAAACGCCGAGGCGTCTAGATGTCGTGACTAAATGGAATACCCTCCTCCTCCTCCTCCTCTTCCCACATCGTCCCACTTGGTACGAACGGCCTTTGCCATAGGGACAATGACGTGCGTGCCTTTCGTCCGCAGCATCCAATGCGGTGACTACCCTCGTCACCACCTCGCTCATCCCAGAGTGTGTTTGACTCATTCATACAGTCCGAACAGACGAGAGTGCCGTGAATGTCTCTCAGGCCCGCTGTACTTACCCGGGCCCCCACAGCCTCTGCCGTCGGCCCCCGTGAGTATCTTCAAGCGTCTTTGGTGGTTGAGACAGCGTCTTCCATAACTCTGTTGCCTTCACGCCTTTTGTTCCATCGCTGCTGTGATCGGACACCGCTTCCATTCGCATGCGACCCAGGCCCTGTGCGTCTCTCAACATGGGTAACGGAGTTTCCCTCCGCGCACCGGCCGCTCTCCCTGGAGTAGGTACTACGAAGAAAACTACCCGGGATTAGCATATAACCTCATCCCCTGTATGAGGTCCTATCCACTCTACTCATGGAGCGCCATCCCGATCGAGCATCTCTGAACGATACGCCCCCGTCCTAGCGTCCGCGGAACCCATACCCAGCCACAAATCCCCGACACCAAGTCACCGGTCTATCACCGCTATCGAAGCAGACGCCACTCAGATTGACTTGCACCGTCTCATTCTCCTCGCGTCTTCATAGCGAGCGTCGGCCCATTCCTAATCCCAACCGTGCTCGACTCACACTTTAGCTTTAGCTCCCAGAACCCCCGCGTCGTCCATAACAGCCCGACAGGTCCGAGAGGGAAGCACGCGATGCCCCTCTGGGCAGAAGCGGACCAGCGCCGCACCCGGCTTCCACTTCATTTCCAATGCTCTGCCTTCGTGCTTCCCTCGCTTCTGGTGCCCACACAAAGCCGCCGGGCTATCATGCGCCTATACCCACCCGAAGCACCACTGCGCAGCCCGCAGGATCGTCCTGGAATCGTCACTGCTACAGTGCGCAGTCGTCGCTGAGCTGGCCTCGGGCGACTTGAAGTCGCGCCGCCGACTGTCGTGCTCAGGTCGTGATCGTGTCTGACAGAAAGACGTCGGTGAGTGGCGCACATGATGTTGGTGTCCGATCGCGAACTCGAAGACACGGCGGACCCTTGGTTCCTGTGTCCCATCGCGTGCGATGTTTCATTTACGACTCTCAGTCCCTGTGTCTAGAGATGCCTTCCATCGACTTTCGAATCTTATTAGACCACATCCGCTTCGAGCTACCGTCCATCCCAAGTTACGAACATTGGCTATACCATCGCCATCGGACCGCAGGGTTCGCCGACACCCGCGGAACAGATCTACATAACGTGTTGTAGGCATACCGGGCATCCACACATCGTGAGTACGCATAGGTACTCTCCTTCCCCCGCCCCGTCACACTTACACCACCCCTCTCACAGATTCGAATTCCTGCGCGCCGCCCCCCCCCCCAAATTGAAATGCTGGCAGGCGTGCACGCCCTACACGTCACCTACCCGTGCGCAGACTAAACGACCCGCAACTCCCAGCGACGCACCACTTGGATCGCCTCGTTTCATGCACCGTCGTCATGCGACGAGGGTGGTGGCCGCCGCGTGTCGAATTCTAACGGGGTCGACCACCGACCTGCGGAACCGGTGGGTTGGACGTAGATGATGACGTCTTCCAAGTCCAAGTGCTACGTCGCCCCGTCATGCGGTCCCTATGGGATGACGGTTTCACGGTCCTTAGTGTCCAGTTGCACTGTCGCCGGCGGTTGGATGGTTCCGCGTGCACCTAAGCCATACGCGTGCATCCGGAGGTCAGTCTGCGAGCGTCCTCACACCGACTCAAGTTCCATGACGTTCATAAACATGTAGGATGCGCTCTGCTTTTCGGATGATCTCACAGGGTCAGTACTGGTCGTACCCACTGAGCCTTCCGCCGGTAGATCATTCGGTGCGGTCCGTAGCTTCCCGCACGTGAGTAATTGTCTACTGTCTTGATCGCTTCAGTCAAACTCAAATGGATCAAAGGGTAGTATATACTGTTGGGGCGAACTCTGTCTCGGTAGCTGATCCTTGACGGCATCATTCATGTCGTCAAGTTGTTCCAGTGTCGCGCACGATAATCGGCAACCAGTTCACTGCCCTCAGGCTGAGACGTGCTAAGCATATATAGATTGAGACCAGTGGACTTTGTCTCATTGCGCTCCATGAACGGGACGTCGCACACGACCGGTTCCGTCGTCTTCGTCCGCCTCGCGCGTTTCATCGTCACGGGCGACCCCTCGCCGCCCTCGAGTTCGGTTAGCGGGCTCTCGACATCTGCCGCCCGCTGTTTCGCTTTCTTCTGAGGTGTGCGCTTCTTAGTTGCCGGGAACTCATCATCGAGCTCGCTGAGCCGGCTCTCGCGCTCCATGAGGTCGACATTGGATGGTCTGCCTATCCGAGTGAACATACGTCGCGGTGAGGCGGGAAAGCCTGCCTCCGGGTCGCTCAGAACTCGCACAGCAGCAGTGGCGTCTTCTGTTGGGATCGCTGGTATCTCCACCGCGGTCGTCAGGAGCACCCAGTTGGGGAGAGGCAAACAGCATTTGCCGTCCCTGGGATGTTGCTCTGCGACACACGAGCCTAATGGTGGTTATGACCGAGAGGTCCTCCGCGCAGTCACGGTGGCGCGCGAAAGTACATTCAATAAGTATAGGGACATGGCTCGCCGTACAACGGTACCCTGTGAGGTTGAGTCCTGCATGTTTATGAAGTACACGCGTCTCGTGAAACTCCCTTGACCGTTCTTTCCGCATGTTTTGTCCGTCACCCCATAACCTACACGTCCGCTCTTCGACTCCAATAATACATGACCGGTGATTTGACTGTGGAAGCGCGGAAGAGACGTGCGCCGGATTGTTGTTCCAGTCGCCGTTCAGCGAGACGCGAACTCTCGGTCTGTTAAGCTTCTCGAGTTCAGTCGTCCACTTGGGTGGTATATGAGTAAAGCGCTTCCCCGGTATATCAAGCATCGAGCGACACACAGCCTGTTAGTTCGAGGTCAATCCCGCAAATCCAAGTGTATTGTCTATTCCAGGGAAGGTTCTTCTTCTGCCTCCGTGTCTCCACTGACATCGCGTGTGCCTCCTTCGCGTTCATTGTCCTCAGAGTCCCGTATTTCCATGATGCTAGCATGTGTCCCTAGTCGAGCGGATGAGCACACTACGCAGATCGCAGCTGTGCCTGCACGGACACCGGAGCGGTAACACTCACCATGATCTGAGAGTACTGGTGAGGGATTACGAGTGACGAACCGTTCACCATCGGGGTCGGGATTGAAACTGAGCCATAAGACTCCGCGATTCAGCCACGGCGCGAACAGGGCGATCATGCCTAACTTGATCGCAGCCGTTGTGCCAGTGGTGGTTCGAACTTTCCCCCCTCGACTCCGAGTTCACTGACTATGATCAGTACACCATCCCGGCCCCAAAACACGTCAGAGACTTTTGGAAGCTGGTCAAAGACACTGCGACAGAGTATAGTGTGGAAGGTGGACGTGGAGCCGGGAGGGTGTGTCTCACTAACTGAGGCCTCGTTTCCATCTTCAGATGTCTCGGAGCGAGACAGGGCAATCCAAATTTGGAGTGACTTCAGGTGCGAGCTTCGGATGTTCGATAGCAAGATACCCAGGCCCTTTTGAATCCTCGGGAGCGATGCATCGATGCGGTGGAATCTTAATACTAGTCTCGTCAATGATGTGTTTGCTGTAAGTCGCGGTACGATATCGCGGATTGAGCCTCCTGTAGTTTTCATGAGTATTCACAAGCGCAATGACGAGGCACCAGGACCTTTACCATAAGCAAAATAGCACTCGAGCGTCTTGAGTGTAGCTCCTGCGAGACAAAGAACCTCCGTAATGCGTGGCCCAAGATCCGCACATGGACCACCCTGGGCTGCGAAATCGAACTTCAGGGCTTTCAGTTGGCTGTATACTTGTGGGGTGAATACCAGTAGAATCTGTGATGCCCACGACCCGGGAACATGATAGAGCTGGAAAAATGACAAGGAGGGGTTGGATGCATGTGCTGTGTATAGGGCGATGTCTGCCACTGATGCAGGCTCAACGTGAGAGCCGAATGCCTCGTGTAGCGACAAGCGGGATAGATGGGGGAAATGGCATAGAAACTGATGAAGATGTGAAAACGAAGAGAAGTAGCGCAGGTCCAAGGTCAGCATTGTTACGTAGGAGTACGTGATACACATGTCCAACAAGGATTGACAGTGTTCATGGAGGTGAGCAACCGGCTCGAAAATTGAGGCAACAATTGTAAGCTCAATTGTCTTGAGCTTGTTGCGGGACCAGGGAATATGGCGGGACGTCAAGTCTGGCATGAGTGGGTGCTGCACTGTGATGTCCGAGAGAGATAGCTGTTCGAGGCTTGGTAGTGCATTGCAAATCCTACGGAGTTCCGCCATACTGCGAAAGCGGCAGAGCCCCACAGACAGAACCGTGATGCTGGTGTAATAGGAAAGGAAGTGGAAGAAAAGATAATGTGGTCTGGTTGCTGTCCAGTCGAGGCCATATAGTCCTAGCGTCCTCAATCGTGGTAGAACATGCCCGGGGATGCGCATCGGCCAGATGTGTGTGAATGGCTTTCGACGACGGTGAGAGTTCTCCCATATTTGCAGATCATCAAAATGCTTGCCGTATGGTCGATTGCCGTTTGACATGAGCATGTATACGCAGTCGTCCAAGGCCTCTCGGGTCCTAAACGAGCCGGCTGCTCCAGGAGATGCGCCGCGCAGCATGACCCCAAGCATGACAAACAAGGCGGCACCTCGTCAGGGTGAAAGGATCCAAAAAGAGGAATTCGCAGATGCGGTCGATCAGTTCCTGCGGAAATCGCGGATAGGTATCGCTGCGTCGACGAAGCAAGTCAATACTATGAGACTCGAGCAACTGGTGCCGGAGCATGCAAATGGAAGGCCTACCTCGAGTAAGTGGGTGCTCTGTAGCAATCCTGCACGTTGGGAGCATGTCCTCCTTGAAGTCCTTCGCCATCGACTGCATGCGCCATCTGGTAATCCCGCCATCGGGTCATCATGGTTAAATAGATCGCCGATACGTTGGAAATCATACCTCGCCTGACTACGTTATATCTGCAGAACTTCGAGCGATATCTGAGTTCACGATCGGTGTCCTGTACTATGATCATAGAGTGAGGAAGCATCAGCTTATGTCGTGCAGACACCATCCCGCCGAGATCTCACCAGTGACGGCGTGAAAGTCGTGACCTTCGCAGTCGCGAGTCGGCCGCAATCACACGATGCAGAAACGGCCCGTGAGTCTATGGTAGGTTCTCAGCGTTGTAGACTAACAGTGTAGGGCAGTCGCAGGATGCGGGAAGCGACAGATGGCCTGCGAACTTAGACTCAACTTGAGAAAGACAGCGTCGTTATCAATTCTTATCAGCTGGCATGATCTCAGTATACTTACAGAAGGATACTCGGAGAAGACGATCGTGACATGTGAGAAGGAACCGTGAAGTGCGATATCTAGAGACCAATCAAGTTGCGTTGCTGACTGATGGTACATGCACAAGTACACACGACCATGCTACATAATTACTTATACTACACAATTTTGGAACTATATCAGCATGGTACGGGACAACATATGATAGCGGAGGTGTCGCAAGGTAATCAATCCAAGGTGCATCACATAAATATCACAGAAGTAGAGTGCTCGTACGGGAGACAGTCATGCATAGCCATCTCAAACATCGTCCATGAAGTAGTCGGTCAGCGAATCTTTGAACTCCCGTACCTTGAACGCCGTCACCACTAACGCGCTCTCTTTGCACGTCGGCAACCCATCCACCGGCTGCCCGAGCAGAACATGCCCGTTATTTTCTAGCAACACCTTGATCGTGCTCTCCGCGAGCATCAGCTTCGTGAGCACGTCCTCCCTCTGCAGCCCAGGCAAAATATCGGACCCTCCTTCCAGCACGGCCTTCCACAGCTGCCCAAACGCCTTGTTGCACCTCTGGTTGCTCGTGCACCGCACAGTGTGCGAGAGCGGCGGCGGCTGCCCCGGGAGGGCCTCCCACATCTTCGTCAGCGCGTAATACCCGCTCAGCAAGCGGACGCGCTGGTCGCGACTCAGAGTCGACTCCGTCTCCCAGTGCGCGCGGCCCTTGAGCATCATGGCGTGGTACGCGAGGCCCACTATGGGCCGCAGGCTGAGGCGCTCGCCGATGATGATCGCGAGCGCGAGGTCCTTGCCCTCGCCGATCTGCTTCTTCCACCGCGCGATCGCAAGGTCGAGCAGGTCGGACCGCTCGCAGAGCGCGGCGAGCTCTGTGAGTTGCTCCAGTGAAGGCGGCGCGTTCGCCGGCGCTGCGGGGGGAAGCGTGGGCGGCGTGGTGGTCGGGACTGGGTCGAACGCGCCTGGCCTCGAGTAGTAATTGTGGACGGCGCTGAGCACCCAGGTCTCGATGGAGCGGAACTGGTACTTGTGCGCGACGCGTGCGAGGTTGACGAGCATCGTGCAGTTCGCGTCGGAGGACGTGGCTGACATGAGTTCGTGCGGGCTACACGGGGGTCCTTCAACGACCCAGCGTACGAGCGTGGAAGCGAGGGCCACTCACAGTGCGTACAACGCCCATAGCAGTGCGCGGAACTCGTCGCCGGTGTCACCCTGCAATCGTATGGGGTTGTCGTCGCTCTCTCCTTCCGTGACGGTCGTGCTGCAGTCGGAGCGCGCCGAGTCGGCCTCCGTTGACAGCTGGAACATCGTCTCAAATGCGGACTTGTCTTTCATGAGGATCGACCGGTGGACCTACACGGTCGAATGCGGAAGGTGTCAGGCCGTGCATGGCATCCACAGCACATCGACATAGACAGGGGGTGGTGGATACAGGACTGCGTGACGAGACACACCTTGAACAGCGTATTATCCACCAACAACACCGTGTTTCCATCGCCGATGTAGTACGTCGGGTCGCGGCTGGGGCCCGGTATGGACAGCTTGAGCATCTCGTCGTGCAAGAACGAGTGCGACATCGTCATGAGCGGGCTGTCCGGGGGGAGGTGCTCCTGGTCGTGGTCCATCTCGCGCTAGCCGACCGCCGCGGGGTGCCTTATACCACGGCGCGTCCCGTATGGTCTGTGTCCGAGTCCGAACGTGTGTGGGTCCGAGTGGCTTGAGATCCGCTCGGTGTACCGCAGTTGGTCGACCCGCCGCAGTCACACAGGGTGCCGAAGATCAGTTGCAGGGCTTATAAGGCGCCTTGCCGGCTTTTATGTAAGGTCTGCAGCGGAGACCAGGACAGGGCAGTGCGCCGAATTCGAGCCCCTGCTATTATAGGGACAGCATAGCGATGGCCGTCCGTGATACGGATAGACGCTTGGCTACATACTTACGTCGTCAGAGGCTGACGCGCCCAAATCCTCATGTTCATGCAGTTCGTGCGTCAGTCGTCGACCGGCGCTGAGGAGACTACAGCGACGGAAAATAGTATAAACCATAGGCTAGTCACACATCTAGCTACGGGGCGAGGCGGCAAAGCCTGCAGTGAGAATAATTATTGACAATGGTCATAAATGGAACTATGCGAAGAAAGGAACGTGTATCCAACCGCAGACGTGCAGTAGTAGTAAGAGACAGATGACTTGGAAACACAGGAAGAAGATGCAGAGCCTGTCACCCATTTGGTACGAAGGCAGTCCCTTCGCCCCAGCGGCGTCAATAGCAGCAATCTCGTCGTCCGTCAGATCAGCTGTGCAATGAATGCTTTAATATGAGTCTCCGCGGGGGCAGCAGTGAGCAACAGAGTACGCACGAAGGTCGCCCACAGCAAGGTACTCGTCCATATGCTCTCTGGTGGAACTTGTCCTGCAAGCCGGTGAGCCGCCTACACGAGAGGACGCGATAGTGGATCTTACGTGACGATGACGGCGCCTTTAGCCTTGACCCAAGAAAGAAGGATTTGCACGGGCGACGCGCCGAGTCTCCTCGCAGGCCCTCGCAAGGCCTTGACTACTGGACCACCTGGGTATCGTGTAATGGGCCTAGACGCCCACCCGCGCGTACAGTCAGTCTCACGTCCCCGACTAGCAACGGGGAACTCACGTCAGGCTGCTGTATGCCTCCACCACGATCCCCTGCTCAGCGCAGTACTGAAGGAGCTCCTTGTTTTCAGCGTAGTTGTAGGGGTGCAACAGGATCTGAGGTGCGGTCGTCTCAGGCTAAAAGCACGGGCGCCTCCTGAGATTCATATAGCCTACCTGGTTGACAGCGGGTTTGATGTGAGCTGTCTGCAAGAGATTTCGCAGCAGCGTGATGTCGAAGTTGCTAACGCCGATGCTCCTGGAAACGCGTGCTCGGGGTTGTGGACATCAATTGCGCGGGGCTATCAGGCACGCACCTTGACAGCCCGTCTTCCCTGATCCTCTCGAACTCCTTCCAGTCCTTCTCCAGGTCCTTGATGAATGCGGGGTTATGGATGAGATACAAGTCGACCTGCTTCAGATCGAGCTGAGAAACAGTGCAGCTAAGCCACCACATCCAAACTCAAGCAACGAGTGTGCTCACCTGGGCGAGGCTGGACTCGACTGCATCACGGATACTTGTCAGGCCAGACCATTTGGTAGTGACGAACAGTTCCGAGCGGCTGAGACCCGTCTGACGGATGGCGGCACCGACACTATCCTCGTTGCGGTAGACTTCAAATACGTCACGAACGCGGGACAGGGGGGACAACAAGAGGACTCACATTGCGCGGTATCGAGATGGGAGAACCCCGCCTCTATGGCTTCCGAGACATAGTCCGTGACGTCCTTGGGCCGACACGTTAGAATCGCTCTCCATTCGCCTCGTGTCGCTTTCAGCGTACCTGGCCCTTCCACTTCGAGCCCGTCCCGAACGCAATGACTGGCATCTGGGAGCGTGGATGAGCGCGTAGCAGGTACACCGGTCGCAAGCATACCTTATTGCCATCGTTCAGCTGCACCGTTCCGAAAGGCATATTCACTCGACGTCCAGTGGCAATTCAACAGGGGGGACCGTGTAGACTGTTTCGAAGTGCTGTCCTTACGGCAAGAGTCACACCTCTGGCAGCTGGAGTCGGAGGTATCTGAAGGCTGCAGCGACCGTCACTCAGTCAGACAGCTGCCAGTGCTCGTGGTACGAGGACTGTGAACTGCTCGGACGAAGTATTCGTCTCTCCGAGAGATAAGTTAGATGGCGTGCGAAGGTGAGATCCCTTCGCACACACACGGCCCAGAGTCGGAAATGGAAGGGAGTGGATAAGATGGTGGCCAAGTTGCTCTGAGCTATATATACGGGGATCCATGTTGCAGTTACGAGATGGCAATGCGCAGGCAGGCACCGCCGATGTGCCCGGCGCTGACGCCACTTGGAATCTGGATGCCACAGCAACTCGCGATCGCCGAACGCCTAGCGGGCCGCCGCTCCCGCCGAGCTCGCAACGCCGCTGCGCGCGGCGTTAGCCACCAGCGGCTTGCCCTCGTCCAGGTCCTTCAAATTCGTGCGCGATTTCTGTTTCAGGCCCTGCCGCTGCATGGATTCAGACAGTCGCGACGGCTTCATGACGCCCACCGATTCTAGGATGGAGCGACTCGACTTTCGCCGTTCAGCCTCGCCCAGCAGCAGGAAGCGTGCACGGCTAGATGATGAGTTGGACGACTGCGAGGTTGCGAAGGAGCTCCACAACCCACGGTGGTCTGACCCCGTACGTGACGAGACATACTACTTCGCGGATGGCAGCTGCATCCTCCGGGTAGAGGACACCCTCTTCAATGTCCGTCCTTATATTCATGTGTCACTACCTCATCGTCCTGATTTGCGCTTATTCAGGTTCATCGTACCATGCTCTCAAGAGACTCTTCCATGTTCAGCACCATGTTTGCGCTGCCTGTTCCATCTGCTGGAGACGGGGCCGAAGGCTCCTGCGACGAGAATCCCGTGTACCTCGCAGGGGACACGATCACGGAGTTTCGAAACTTTCTGTGGGCACTGTACGCACTGTCAGTGAGCCTGTCTGCTGCGTCTTCGACACTGCGTGACAGATCTCTGCCCCGCCAGACCGCATGAACTGCTGGCTGTGCATTCGAATCCATCCGACTTCCCCCGCCTGCTGGACGTTGCCAAGCTGTCGAACAAGTACTCGTTCAGATCAGTCGAGTCCTGGGCCCTGGATGCCGTCAACGACCTCGTCGTTCGCGAGCAACCCAACATTGGGCTACCCGCGTTGATCCCTTACGACCTCTCGCGCGCGCCGCACGTCACCTTTACCCCCACCGGGCAGCTGTTCTCGCGCCTGATCCGGCTCGCGCAGGCCTGCGGGCACGACGCGCTGCTCAATACCATGAGCAATCTGCTGAGAAAGCGCATGCGCCAGGTCATCGATTATGCGTATCTCGCCATGAGCCTCGCGGACGAACTGGACCTGCGAAAGCTGAGAGGCGCCGCATACATGGAGATCCTTCAGAGGGGCAGTCTGTTCCCTTCGTTCTCGCCGGCGCCGTCGCCTGCCCCAGCAAACGCTCTTGGACAGACCAAAGAGGAACCCAGCGTGGAGGAGGAGCAGATCAGACACAACGAACTACTCATGTCACCCGAGCAGAAGTTGCGCCTTCTGTCGGGGTACTACCGGCTCACCGCTGCATGGGAGTCTATGCGCAGACATCCCCTCTCCTTCGACCATGCGCCTACGTGCGGGGCTACCTGGCACCAGCACGGCTGCTCGCAGAGCTGGCTGGAGTTCTGGAAGGAGAAGACGAGATGCGAGGCGGTGCTTGACGTCGGCATGGCGGATGTCCCAGGCCGTCTCAAAGCTGTCGGGAAAGAGCTGGATCGGTGGGGCTCGGCGACCTATATGCACCACGATTGCAGACAGCTCGCTCGAAAGAAGATAGATCAGAAGGCAAAGGAAATCGAGGCGTTGCTGCCAGATTACTTCATCTAACGTTCGACGCGACACGACTAGAATTCCGTGGACGTGCTCCGGGAGTCCATCACAGTGATAGTTACTGACTATTACACGCACCGGCATGACATTCGGTACATTCCTATGTTAGGATGCTACAACATTGTACAATTAGAGTACCATTACACCAGACAGAGGAACCGGAATGGATACACCTTTCATGTTTTCCTGCTTTTCCCCTTGCGCGCGGGTCGCCTCCCGGCGGTAGCAGCGCTCGACTCCGTGTTCCCTCCAGTCGAACCCGCGATGGGGGCAAGTGTAGGGCTCCATGGCGTCGCAGGCGCAAACGAGTTGGCAGTTGGCGGTGCCTCGACCGAGGCGTTCATAAGACCGCGCATGATGTTGTCGACGTCGTCCGACGAAGGCTGTTCAAGACCAATCTGCGTCCCGCGGAGGAGCATCTGTTCGAACAGCTCGTCGTCCTCGAGTTGCTTGACGCGATCATGCAGCCTCTTCATGACGACCTCAAACATGACTGTAAACGGGGAAAGGGGTCTCAGCACAATGACATGCAGGATGGCTAACAGGCTGACCCTTCTCCTCAGTGGCGGTCTTTGGGCGGGGCCGGATGAGCGGGTCCTCCATCGCTCGCATTTCCTCCGGACGCGGTTGCCTGAGTCGCAACCTGTCCTCACATTTCCTCTCGAACGCCTCCTGACCCAGGTCTCTGTCCTCCAAAGACGTCTCGTCGGGGCCGTACTCTGTCCCAATCGAGCTAGACGGCGATGGCGCGCGGAGGACAGGAGGCGCATACTGCGGCTGTCCTCCGTGGAAGAACTGATGTGGTTGAGGCATCGTGAACCGGACGGTGTAATCGGGGCCGCAGCGGCTGACTCGGTGCTGACTCGACGGGAAGCTGACTGATAGCTAGGGAGCTCACGATGAGAGGTGCACGCTGCGAAGCGCGTCGATGACAAGCACAAACAACGCGTCGCGACGCGTTGAACGCGTTCACATGCCTTCCGCTTTTGGCTGTGCTTAGTCAGGAGCGCGTTCAATTTAAGAGATCGCGTCGCGTCTGCCCCCTCTCATCCTCCTACCACCACCCGCTCCTCCCCCCTCTCCCCTCCTGCACATACCTTCACGTCCCTTGGTACTCTGAACGACACACACGCGATGGCTTTCGTCTTCAAGCGAGGTGAGTAGACTTTTCCGGCCATTCGACGCGTCTTGGCATGACTGACGCGACTTCCTTTAGACGGGTATGTACCTCCAAGACGCGTAGCGACGCGTCTCATAGCACACCCACTGACTCTATGTACGGTCTAGACGTAAAGAACGCGTTCAATTTGACAAGGTACGCGCTCTACATGTCGTTACGTCGCGTGCATCCCCCCTGACCGCGTCCCAGATCACCGCAAGGATCAGCAAGCTATGCTATGGTCTGGACAAAGAACACGTTGACCCTATTGGGTGAGTACGACGATTGCCGCATCGCTGGCTTTGTACTTACCGCCGTGACCAGCATCTCCCAAAAGGTCATCGCCGGTGTCTACCAAGGAGTGACGACAGTAGAGCTTGACGTAAGGTTTACGTCTGCATGATGTGCCGTGAAATAACAGTGCCTTTAGAACCTCGCGGCTGAGACTGCCGCGTATCAAACGACTAAGCACCCTGATTATGCTATCCTTGCCGCGCGTATTGCAGTCTCTAATCTCCACAAAGAGACGAAGAAAAACTTCTCCGCTGTCATCAGCGACCTGTACAACTATGGTACGTATTTCGTCCTCGTGCTCTACCACTGTATTGATTGTCATGTAGTCAACCCTAAAAACGGCAAGCCAGCGGGCTTGATCGCGAAAGACATCTACGAGATCGTAACGGCGAATGCAGAGCAGCTCGACTCTGCCATTCTCTATGATCGTGACTTCAATTACAACTTGTAAGCTTGTCTGCACATGTCGAGTGCGCCTCTGACGATGTTGCGCAGCTTCGGCTTCAAAACCCTGGAGCGTTCGTATCTCCTCAAGCTCGACGGGCGCATCGCCGAGCGTCCTCAGCACATGATTATGCGAGTCGCCATCGGCATACACGGTGCTGACATCGAAAGGGCGATTGAGACTTATAACCTGATGTCTCTGCGCTACTTCACACATGCATCCCCGACGCTGTTCAACGCAGGTACACCTCACCCGCAACTCAGCTCCTGCTTCCTCGTCTGCATGAAGGATGACTCCATCGAGGGCATCTACGATACCCTCAAGAACTGTGCCATGATCAGTAAGACTGCTGGTGGTATCGGCATCAACATCCACAACATCCGTGCTACTGGGTATGCATGACCTATTAATTGTCATTTACTCGGGAATTGACCATGGCGTTCTAGTTCATACATCGCGGGTACCAACGGTTACTCCAACGGTATCGTACCCATGCTTCGTGCGTACGACGCGACTGCCCGCTACGTCGACCAGGGCGGTAACAAGCGTCCCGGTGCATTCGCCATCTACATGGAGCCATGGCACGACGACATCTTCCAGTTCCTTGACCTGCGCAAGAACCATGGTAAAGAAGAAGTCCGCGCGCGCGACCTTTTCTACGCCCTCTGGATCCCCGATCTCTTGTAAGAGATTCGTCTTGTTCGATGTGGCGCAGGTCGCTGATCTCATTACAGCATGAAGCGTGTCGAGGCCAACGGGAAGTGGTCGCTCTTCTGCCCCAACGAAGCTCCCGGCCTTCACGAGGTCTGGGGCGATGAGTTCGAGCAGCTCTTTGAGCGGTATGAGCGTGAAGGCCGTGCTCGCCGAACGATCGATGCCCAGAAGCTGTGGTATGCTATCCTTGACGCTCAGATCGAGACTGGCAACCCCTTCATGCTGTACAAGGACGCATGTAATGGTGAGCCAATGCAACTACATCGCGGGAGTTCATGTGGCTAACCTCCACCACAGCCAAGTCCAACCAGAAGAACCTTGGCACCATCAAGTCGTCGAACCTTTGCACAGAGATCATCGAGTACTCTTCCCCCGATGAAACAGCCGTCTGCAACCTTGCATCCATCTCCCTCCCCGCCTTCGTCGAGAATGGGGTCTACGACTTCCAGAAGCTACACGACATCGCCAAGGTCGTCACCTTCAACCTTAACCGTATCATCGATGTCAACTACTACCCGATCCCAGAGGCGCGTCGCTCGAACATGCGCCACCGCCCCATCGGCATTGGTGTGCAGGGTCTTGCTGACGCGTTTATGGCTCTTCGCATGCCCTTCGACTCTCCGGAGGCGCGAGAGCTCAACAAGAAGATCGCGGAGACCATCTACCACGCCGCGGTCGAGGCGAGCAGCGACATCGCAGTTGTTGACGGGCCCTACGAGACGTACGAAGGTAGCCCTGCTTCTAAGGGTGAGCTGCAGTATGACCTCTGGGGTGTCACACCCACGGACCTGTGGGACTGGGCGACGCTGAAGGAGAAGGTAGCCAAGACCGGTTTGAGGAACTCGCTGCTCGTCGCACCTATGCCAACGGCGTCAACGAGTCAGATCCTCGGTAACAACGAATGCTTCGAGCCATACACGAGGTGCCTTTCGCGTTGAGCCTGATGCTTGCCGTTTGCTGATCTTGCTACGTCTGCAGCAACATCTACACTCGTCGTGTCCTTGCCGGAGAGTTCCAGATCGTCTGCCCCTGGTTGTTGCGTGAGCTCGTTGAGCTCAACCTCTGGGACGACCAGATGAAGAACATGATCATCGGCAACAACGGTTCGGTGCAGAACATCCCTGGCATCCCTGACGACATCAAGGCGATCTACAAGACCGTCTGGGAGATCAGCCAGAAGAAGATCCTGGACATGGCTGCCGATCGTGGCGCGTTCATCGACCAGAGCCAGAGTCTCAACGTTCACCTGCAGTCGCCGACGACGGGTCAGCTGACGAGCATGCACTTCTACGGCTGGAAGAAGGGCTTGAAGACGGGCATGTACTACCTGCGGACGCGCCCGGCTGCGCAGGCTATCCAGTTCACCGTCGACCAGACCGCGCTGAAGGCGGGGAACAAGCAGGCTGCAGCGGCTGCTGTCGTCCCTGCTCCGTCGACCCCCAGCAGGGTCATCAAGCAAGAACCCGTCACTCCTTCCTTGTCCTCCGACCCTCCCTCGCCTTCCGTCGCCAGCGCCGTCACGTCCGATTCCGACGATGTGAAGCTCGCCAATGGCACGGCGGCACTTTCACTCGACGAGCGAACACAGAAGGCGGCGGAGCAGGATCCTGAGTTCGCGGCAGCCCTGCAACGCCAGCGCGACCGTGAGCTCGAGCAGGCGAAGCTGATGTGCTCCTTGGAGAACAAGGAGGCCTGCGTCATGTGCTCTGGCTGATGTGTCTTTCTCGGGTTCTAGAGTATCGAGTGCGTTGGTATGGCATATCTCATCGTGTATTCCCGCAATCCGTCCTCGTCGCATTTTCTGTATTAGATCCATCTGTCTGTTGTATATGTACTCCATGTTAGTTCTCTAGCTTTCAATATACTATGTCGGAACACCTCTTGACTACGCTCGCCTACTGGACACATTTCGATCGTGTCCCTTAGAGGCGGAGAGCAGTGCGGTCAAAATGTGGTCATGAAAATCCATAAATACGGAACCATAAATAGAGGTAGGCTGTACTGATATAAGTAGTCTGTGTGATGCGGGGTACTAGTAGTCTGTGCGGGATGCAGGTAGTCTATATTGTGTGTAGGTATTGAATCGTAGTGACCAGTGTGTCGAGCAGTTGTCCTATGCCAGTAGTATGTTGTCGATGTTAAACCCCAGAATGTGGAGGCACTGTGCGATGGAGACAGTGTCCGCTGTATCGTACACGGAGAAATCAGTGAGAAATCAGTCGTCTTCACCAGACGTCCGCCAAGTGCATGGATCTGTCATGGTCACTAGGTCGTTGATGTTCATGCAGTGGCAGCGAACTCGTCGGTCGCGGCCGTCCTCGGTGTCCCAAGGCGGAGAGGGGGGAGTTGCACGAACTGCGAGCCCACCGCCTGACGAATGTGGGCGTTGGCAATGCGCATCGCACCGGCGCCGAGTCCGTCGGCGCCGGTACCGCGGTTCCGTCGTCCACCTTGAGTCTGGACGCTGGAACCATCCTGCGCGGATGCCCCCTCGGATTTGCCCTCCGTGCGACGAGTCTGACGACCACGAGTGGGCTGACGCCTCCGGGTCGAGCCGCCAGTACCAATGTTGCTCCCACTTGCGTCTGAGTTGCCATTCTGTATGGCTGCGTCCGTTGGACTGGACGCCGCCTGGTTCTTGTCGACGCCGTCTACCACCGCAAAGAACGGAGACACTCAGTGTCTGACGAGGGGCACAGAAACGACATTTTCGACTCACCGTTCTGCTCAGCCCGCTGTGCCGATTTCTCAGCCTCCAGCGCCTGTCTCTCCATCTTGCGCGTCTTCGACGCCTGGACCTTCTTCCCGCCACGCGCGCGCGGGTGCCTCTTGCGCTTCCTCTCGCTGCTCACTGGCAGTTCTCCCTCGGTGCTCGTGTCCGCTTGCAAATCCTCCGCGACTCTAGACGCGGGACTAGGACTTGAAGAGACGTGTTCGATACCGAATGCGGGAGAGTTGACTGTGCCGTCCCTGGACGTCGGCACCGACGGGGACTCGAGGTCCAGAGTCGCGTCGGTGCTCTCGATGAAGCCAAGGACGAGTCTATGTGGAGCAGCATTAGCACCGGTACATGTACAGGGCGCCACCACGTCACTTACCGAAGGAAGACCAACAAGATTTGGGCAGCAGCGAAGCGGCGCCGACCAGCAACCAGAGCAGAGCGCTGGCCAGAGTGGGCGAACGCCGCCGAGCGAAGGCGAAGGTAAACTTGCTCCAGAGAGACCGGGGACGCGGAGGTGAGACCGTGCGGAAGGGCACCAGCGGTCCCAAAGTAGCGCAGAGTGATCCAGTAGAGCCCATGCGACGTCGGCAGAGAGCGCGGGACCTGGGGCGGGCAGAATACGTTACAGATCTGCTGCACCCACTCTCGAGAGACGGGATGCACAGGCTGGACGGAGACCACGGGCTTCGCCGGGCCAAAGGGGACGCGCTGCTTGACCTTGATCGCGATGACGCGGGGGCGGACGGGCTTGTCCGTCGGAAGAGGCCCCTCAATCGCAGCGCTGGGTCCAGAAGTTTGAACAGGGACCAGGAGTGCGGGTTCGACAGGAGCACCGAGAGGGGCGACATCGTCCGTGTTGTCCGTGAGCGTCAGCACCAACGGCGATTCGAGGAGCGGAGTCGCATAGTCGGTTTCTTGATGACAGAGCCGATGGACAATCCTGTAACAAAGCATCAGCGCCCCGAAGAGAATACTACGAATGGGGTCGACTCACCGAAGGAAGATAAACAACGTCTGGGTAGCGGCAGACCTGATATGCCTGTCAGCAACAAGGGCAGATCGAGGGTCCGACTCATCGACCGTGGTAGAGGCAGGAGCAGCAATAGACGCAGTCGCCGTAGAGCGGAAGCGAATGCGAAGCTGCTCAGAGGAAATGCCAGAACCAGAGGACGCAGAGACGAGACCGTCGGGGATCGTCAACACGATCCGAGTGCCAGGGGTACCAAAGTACCGGCGTGCGGACCAGTAGAACTCGCCAGAAGTGGGCAGGGTACGCGGAGTTTGGGGGAGACCAAAGACGCTGCGGATTGCCACCCACTCTGGGGGAATCGAGCGCACCGGATGCACGGGAGCGACAGGCTTGACAGGGCCGAAGGGAACACGCTTCTTGATCTTGACGGCGATGACGCGGGAGCCGGCGGGCTTGACCAGGGAGCGAACACCAGATAGCTGCACAGAGACCGACTGTGGAGCCCTGACAGGAGCATCGAGGGCCACGATGCGGTCCGTAGTCACCGACTCCAGGACGCCGTCGGTGAGCTTCACAGTCAAGCGAAGGGCAATTCTGCGGGGAGGTATGAGCGTCGGGGAACCTCCAGACGAGAACGCGTTATCACTCACCGAAGTAGATCCAACGGAGTCTGGGGAACGACGGAGACATGGTTGTCAGCAACCAGGGCAGAACCGGAGTCCAACTCCACCACGGGAGTAGCGGCAGGAGCATCGACAGGGGCGAAGATGGCAGTACCAGCGGGAGTCAAGCCCAGACCGAGCGCGACCACGAGCTCAACCAGGGCACCAGAAACCCTCAAGTAGCGCAAGGCAATCCAGTGGAATCCATCGATCGTGAGCACGGTACGCGGGAGCTGAGAAGCAACAAAGGCGCTGCGAATCTCCCACACCCACTGTGGATGGATCGAGTAGCACGTAGGTTGGACGGGAACGACAGGCCGGGCTGGACCGAAAGGGACACGTCTGACTCTGGTTGCCACGACGAGTGGGCAGGCAGGCTCACTGGCCGTCGCAGCCAGAGGCATCGTCTCTACAGAGTTGGGGTTGTGCGACTGGCGAGGGGCGAGGTATGCGAGCTGGGTAGGAGTATCGCAAGCACCATTATACACCGTGACGACGGTCTTCGAAGGCATGACAAGCGGGAAGACGCACTTCGCTTTGGAGGCGATGACACGGGGCTGCACCGGGGTGTACGTGAAGAGAGGCCTCCAGAACACAGAGGGACCAGCAGGACGAAGAGGCACCACTCCCGAGAGGATAGCCTGAACAAGGACACCAGGTATGTTGAGACGAGTCGCCATTGTCCTGATCATCCCGTAGTAGCCGGTGGGAAGTAGACTGCGAGGGATGCCAAGGACGCCGAAGGTTGCGTGCACCATCCTGACCCAGCGTGTGTTGAACTCAAACGCTGGGACCATCAGAGGGACGATGACTGGAAGCACACGCTTGACTCTTGTTGCATCAAGACCGTTGCCTCGCTTAGCCTTGGGCAGAGGTCTCTTCACCGTGACCACGGGACCAGTGACAAGATGGAAGAGAGCGGTTGTCTTGGCCAGAACACCCGGGATGTTGAACTGGGCTGCGATCGTCCCGAGGTGAATTGCCGGGAGCAGAGTGTGAGGAATGCCGACACCCTGAAAAGCCGCTTGGAGGGCCTTGACCCAACGACAGCTGAGGTCGCAGATTGGAACGAATGAGGGAACCACAGCCGGGAGCGAGCACTTCAACTTCAGTCCGGCCACAAGAGACCTGGTGAGAGACAGTAGGACCACCGAGCAGAGTTGACACTGAAGCACGGAGAGCTTCGCCTGGATAATAGCACCCAGAATACCGAACTTCGCCAGCGGCACCTTCAGCCAGTCAGTCGGGAAGCGAGCGCGACGAAGGTTGACGCTGTTGAGGGCCTTGAGTGTCATCGTAAACCAGTTCAGGGTGAGATCGCACGCCGTCTGGCCGATTGGAACGGTGACGACCGGAAGCAGACACTTTGCCTCAACGAAGCGAACACGGATGCGCTTCGCCAGATTGAGGAACTTGGCCGCCGCCGACTTAGCGAGGCTGATCGCAGTGTCGAGGCCTGAAGCGATCGCACGCCGAGAGACACCGCGGAGAGCGTCCAAGCCGCTGCGAGTGAGAGTGGCAAGGAAGGTCGTCGGGACAAGGAGGCAGAGGATACAAGAAGCGACCCACAGTGCCCGGCGCCAGAGGGGACGACGACGCTGGACAGAGACAGTCTGAATGACATCTTGCAGAGGACAAGCCACCGAGGCTCCAACTGTGATCACACGGTCGACACGGCCGGTCGATGAGGTCGAGGCCAGTGAGCGGGCGAACTCTGCGCTGGTGCAGAGAACGATGCGAACTATGCGGGCGTGGCGTGGTGCAGGATACGCGGGGTCGACAAGGGCCAAGATCCTAAGAGCGACGATGGCAGCACCCCAGAGCAAGGCGTTGAAGACGACGACGGAGACAACAACCAAGAGGCGCGCCAACTTGCGGAGCACCGTGGCAAGTCCGACAGCCAGTGCACGGCAGAGGCCTAGAGCGAGCCTCTGCCATTGAATGGTCGGTGGCTGAGGAAGATGCTGGGTGTCGAGGAGGTAGTTGCAGGCGACAAAGACGGCTCCGATTGCGCAGGCGTAGTCCAAGACGACTTTGCTGAGGAGGTCCGAGCAGCAGGTGGCGAGGACGACCACTCCGAGGGCGGCGGCGGCGAGGACGGAGGTGCGGACGGAAAGGCCGGTGGCGACGCGGAGGACATACAGGAGCGTGGCGAGGTAGATCACGTTGATGATGTCGGGGGCTGCCGTGCCCGTCATGGTGACGGGTGGTGCTGGTGGGCGGGGAACGCAAGAGGTGGAGAGCGGCGGGCTCCCCGACGCTCCCCTTATGTTCAACTTGCGCCGCTGCTGTCAGCCCCGGCCGGCACGTCACCCTCATGTCAGCCCCCGCCGCCGGCTGCCCCGCCTCCTCCGGCGCCCTCTTCGCCAGCCTCCGGGCTGACAGTCTGTCGCGTTGGCGTTGGGTTGCGCCAGCCCTTCGTGTTCCAGAGAACTTGCCACTTACGGCATGTCGACTTCTTCTTTGGGCGGTTCACGAATAACACGGATGTTACGTTCGACTTACGCCGCACACGCATGTCCGCATTAGCGCCGCATCCGGGCGGAGGCGCGTGAGCACGATTGAAACTAGGATGGATTCTGGTCAGCTTATCCCCGAAGCTTGCTGGCAACCTGCGCACCTTGGCATTGGGTCATCGCGGAAGCCTTGCCTAACACAGGATCCTCAGAACCCAAGTACCCACCAGCACCGTTCACTCATTCGCTCAAGCACCCTATAGAACCCTACCGTATTTCCGATCGCTGGGCCGAACAACAGTTCGGCTCACACTCAACCTTCGCTGAGGCCCATCACACATGGCGTTGGGGTGCAGACAGTCGTTAAGGGTCGTAACGAGTATACTAGAGGCATACACAACAGCGATGAGCAGCCCAGACAATAACGGGGGGAGATCGCCTATAACCAGAGAGACAACCAGAGCCTAGACCAAATGCAGCACACATAGCGACCGAGTGAGAGTAGACGAGTGAGTGAGTGCCGGGAAGCCAGACCATGCGCGCGGGGAACCTCACCCAGCGAGGCCCATCGCCACCAGGACCTCTGCCAGCCGAGGCCGCCGCACAGCAGTAGTCTGCGAGCCGGAGCACTGATAATTACCGATTAATGCCGGAACGAGCGCAGCTGACGAAAGGAATGCGAGGGGGCATGTGGCTGCGTCGACGCAGCCACGCCGTCAAGAAGGTGAATGAGTGCGCGCAACGCGCACCCTGCGGGAGAAGGATCCGTGCGCGGGATCAGTTCGGCGAGCCGTACCACCAGAGAGTGGTCACGCCGACAGGGAAGGTGTACGAGACCTGTAAGACCGATCACCGACAGAGGAGGCGATCAGACATCGTCATCAGAGCCGTGCAGAGGCGAACTGCTACTTACGGAGTTACCGCGGAACTCGATAGTCGCCGTGACCGGCTGCGGGTTCCAAGTGGTAGACGAGCTGTCATCCCTGTGGACAAGAACCAAGGTAAGAAGGAAGCCGGGTACTCAGAACACATGGACTGACCAGTTCAAGACGACAAGACTGTACCTCGGCCAGTCGCTCGCGCTGTTGCGGTTCGTGACATACGCAGTCGCGAGGAGAGCCCAGCTAAGGTCGCCGCTGACAGTCGAAGAGATGCGTTGGCCAACGGGTCCGCCAACGTCCTTAGGGAGGATCGCCTTCTGGGCCTGAGCAATCGAGTAGACTATCCCACAACAGCACAGTCAGCATTTTCGACCAGTCAGAGACTGCCTAAACAGATGACACGCACACTCCTGATTGTAGCTGTAGCTGCCATCGCTGTTAATCGTAACGACAGGGCGGCACGGCGTGCCACAGCTGTCGGTGCCGGACAGCATGGGCTGGCCGTTGCCGTCGAGGGCCAGGTTCCACATCGCGCCCGTCTGCGCCCAGTAGTTGGGCGCGCCGATGAAGATGTTGTCCATGTACCACTTGATGTCGCTCCACCAGTCGCTGCCGTACTCGCCCGTGCACTCCGTGAAGTACACGGCCTTGTCCGGGTCCGCGCTCTCGAACGTCTGCTGGTCGCTCACGCTGCCGGAGTAGCAGTGGAAGGACGCGCCGGCGAACGCGTTCGGCGCGTCCTGCATGAGCGTGACGGGGTACTCGCCCGCGTCGTTCCAGTTGTGCTCGTATCCGACGATGAGCGTGCTCGAGAAGCCGTTGTCGTTCATCAGCGAGCGCAGCTGCGTGCCGATCGCCGCCTCCTGGGACGCGGAGATGGCGCACGTCGGGTACGTCGTGTCGCTGTTCTGCGGCTCGTTCTGGATGCCGATCCCCCAGATGTTGAAGCCCTTGCCCTGGTACCCCTGCAAGGCCTTGAGGAGGTAGCTCGCATCTATCAGATTGACGGTAGCATCAGCGACCATCATGTCACAGCGACTGGCGATGCAGGCTCACAGTTGTCGGTGTACTGGGAGAGGAAGTTACCACCGAGCAGCGTGCCACTATCCTTCATCCAAGCAGGCTGTGCGCGGCATGCATCAACAACGCCGATACCTGGCACGATCAGAACGAAGACCCACCGGCGACCAGGGCACGATGTGGATCTTGAGGTACTGATTGATGCCCGCGATGTCGGTAAGGGTGTCGTACAAGTACGAGGGAGCTGCGTTGATGTTGAAGTCATTGAGACCGGTGTCGCCGCTCGTGTCATCAAGACTGTAGGCAGTGTCGGAGAAGTCGGACGCGCCGATGGGGACGCGGATGTAAGAGAAGCCGGCAGCGTCCGCGCCGTCAGTGGCTGTTGAGGGCGTGTCAAGGGCGGGCGAATGAAGCAGAACGGACATGCTTACGATCAAAGAGGTAGTTCAGGATACTCCAGTAGTTGCCCGAGTTCGAGGACTGACGGAAGCGCGTTCATAAACGCCTACAAAACTGCACTGACACAACGTACCTTCAGTTCACTGAGAAGCTTGGCCGAAGAATCAGCTAGAAGCGAGGTCAGAGTCTGATGGGCTATTAATAGACGACCGCACGCACTCAACGTAGCCCCGAAGCCAACCATGTCCTGGTAGAGCGTGGTGTCGTCCACGCTGATGGTCGCCGAGTTCGACTTGGAATCGCTCGTGAAGTTGAGCTCGCCATTAGGACCCAGGTTCGTGTACGTGAACAGGGTGCTACGGTCCCACTGAGTCGACCACTGCACGTCATGGTCAGCGCGAGTGAACCTCGGACGAAACGCGTGGTACGCACGATGTCGTAGATCTGCTGGGCGGCAATGGGCGAGGCGAGAACCAGGAAGGAAGTAATCGCGTGAAAATACATATTGGGTATAAATATCCCAGAAGAAACGACAGCGGAAAGGCGAAAGACTCAAAGAGAGGACAGCTGCGAGACAGCCCGGAGGGACGGCGAGCGGGACGGGGGCGCAATGCTGAGACGCCGCCGGGCTCTAGGAGTCTTTATAGTATGCAGCTGCGCAATAAAGCCCGCATGAAACGCGTGGGCAAAATAGACGGCGCAATGCCATAACAAAGCAGCTGGAAGATTTGGCCTGGCCGAGCGGAGCAGGAGCGGAGGCTTGACAACAAGCGGCCGAGAACGGAAAGAGGCATCGATCAGACGTGATCCACGAATCGGAGCAGCCCAGCGGACACTTGTATCGATCCTCCTCCGGGCCTGTGCGCCCCTGGCACAGCCAACTCCCATATCCTGCTGTGGCAGTGGCACTAGTACTGGGCGTGATCATGATGGTGCGGTATTTGCACCCGTCACACAGAAACTAGAAACGTATCGCGGGTTGCCAGAAAGCTGAGGTGTCTTGCAAGGCCGCGTCGGATGACCAGTTGCAGCAGACTGATGGGTCCGTCAAAGTCTAAACAACTAGTGTCCATATGCCCACTCGTCCCGGAGCGCCATCCTCGGGCGACGCGCCAGAAAGCCTTCCCCGGCAGAGCATCGGCTCGAGCGGCCGCACAACCTCAGCATGAGGGCCTAGACTGCCTAGGAACAGCATGGGTGGTCGACCTTGCGGTCGTCAACGAGAAGTTTTGACTGCCCAAGGTCGGCCTAAGACGTCTCCGTTGGCGTGTAAACAACGCGACGCAGCAACTGCACTCGTGAAAGGAAAGGAGACCTTACGACACGTGGCCTTGCAAAGGGATGAGTGTTCGCCCATGGAGGCAAGTCAGGCCCGAGTCAGGCACCCGGAGAGGATGAAGAGGAGCGTTCGAGCCCAATTCGAGCCAGGTCCAACCTCGAGGCAGCACATAGCCATGCCGGTTATTGTGCCGAGCGGTGGATGTAGACTCATGTAGTCCAATCAAAATGAGACCTGTGATAACAACCCCACGCTCAGACAACTGGCAGCTGCGACTGCAAACGACAGGAATATCATGCATCATGAGCATAGTCAACGACAGATGGACACACGCCTTACTTCAGACCACCGCAGCGAGCCATTACGTTGTCAGGGATTACATAGTTTCTCGGGCCCCGTCGAGGTTGAGCGCAAAGTGGAAGACGCGGACACAATGACTTCCACCGAACACGCTACGCTACCTATTTGGGCCCAGCGATCACGCACAAGACGCGCTCTACACGTGATCGTTCACCTCGTGCGACGCGCCTGTCGCCCGCGGTTCATGTTGAGTGAGCGCGTGTATGCAGCCCTCCTAAAGCCACCCTTTATTACTCTCGGAAATTCCGGCTGCATGCATTGAGTCTACCCTACATCCAAAGTACCTTCCCGGCTCCCTCCATCCCAACAACCTCGTGGTGTGGTCCGAACACCGCCCCCATCACCCTGATCGCGACACCGTTCGCTTCAGTAAAGCACATCCAGGATGCCAGAAGAAGCTATCAAATATCCGTATTATATCGCCAACTGGTGGCTTCATGAAAAACTTGGGGAAGGGTTTTCAGGTATGCTAGTGCACTAGCTTCCTGTAAGGCGCGTTCATAACGCCTTACCATCCATCAGGCGCTATCTTTCGCGCAAGCCACCTCCATACGCGGCAGCAGGTCGCCGTGAAGCTCCAGCCTGTTGACGCTGAATGCCCTACCAATCTCTATGAACGCACCTTCTACCCAGCGCTCCAAGGTGGTACCGGCATGCCCACGCTATGGGCCGCTGGCGTGGAGGGAAAGTTTGATTATCTCGCCATAGACCTCCTGGGCCCCAGTCTTGAATCCCTCTTCCGTCGGAGTGACAGGAACGTTATGGACCTGCGCAGCGTGTGCTGCATTGCAATGCAAGTGGTCAGTCCACCCTCCTCTCCCGCATCACCGGGCTCATCATATGGTCCCTTGTGAACTATGCCTTACTGCGCCCCTGCAACTCGCCTCATGCACCCAAAGATAGAGCGCATTCAATTCATGCACTCGCGCGGTATCCTCCACAGAGACATTCAACTCGGGAACTGTGTAGTCGGCCTGCCGCCGAACGACCGGCTGATCTACATGATCGACTTCGGGTTCTCCAAGTTCTACATCGACCAGCGTACGGGACGTCACATACCCGATAGCAAGCAGAAGCGCGATTTCATCGGAAATTACTGGTTCACCTCCGTGGGCGTTCATTGTAGGGGCAAGGGTGCGTCTAGTCGTTCAAGCGTCGGGGGCAATATGAATGTCATGTCTGACCGGACCTCGTCCCTAGTGCCCTCGCGGAGAGACGATATGGAAGCAGTCGCGCTCATGCTCATCCATCTCCTCACTCCTGGTGGAATCAGCTGGACGCGCAATGGCGTGCCCAAAACTGACGCCGCCCACAATCGGCTCAAGCGCGAAAAGCGCGACGCCCGGCCGGAGGACCTCTGCAAAGGGCTTCCCGCTGAGTTCGAGGACTTTCTTCGATACTGCCGGCGGCTCCACTTCGCGGACTGTCCCGATTACGCGTTCTGGATCAACGAGTTTCGCGAGCTTGCGGAGGAGAACGGCTTCCCTGACAATTCGCTCTTCGTCTGGCCTCCTCCAGAACCTGCGGTAAGTGCATTGTGCCTCCGGTCTCTATCGATCAATTTCTGATCTTGTCGTGCAGCCGTCAATACATGCCCTCTCTCCCAGACGGCCAGGACCTGTCTCGCCGCACACAGTTGATGGCATCCTGCAAGACCTCGCGAATCTGCAATTGGGTGACAGACGGATTTTGGGCGAGCGGAACACGAACGCGAACAAGCCTGGCCAGAACGGTAACGACGCAGGGCTCGGGCCAGCGCAGGAGAATGTCATCGTCATCAGCAGCGCGAACGAGAACTCGCGCGGCAAGCCACCATCGCAGACGAGGATGACCAAAGCGATGCACCTCACGAAGCTGGCACGCGCCATGGGCGACGCGCATGACAACGAGAACCTTGCGAAGGTAGTGCAGCAGTTCGTGGAGCTGCTGCAAGCAAGCCGTTCGCGGACGCTGACCAAAGAGGGCTTCGCGGTGCTCGACGCGCTCCACAAGCAGCTCGCGGACCCATCCGTATACATCACGCCTATGCGCACGTCCCGCTCGAATGATGGAGACCAGGTGCCGGGGCAGGAGCCACGCTATGTCAAGATGAACAAGCTGCTCCAGCTGAGGACGGGCGTCGCCAGGGCGCAGAACAACCGTGCGCTCGCGCAGATGGTGGTGGACTTCGGCGCTGTCATCAACAAAAGCAACGGGCGGACGATCACCAAAGACGCGTTTGGGTTCTTGGAGAATCTTGCTGATAGATTGCAAACATTGGCTTGAGCTACTCGCGCATGGACTATAGTATTATCGTTTTGGCCTTCTTGAGTGTATCGCATTCCATCCCCACACACTACAGTACAATTTGGCTTAGCATGTTGTATATATAGTAGTCGAGCGTCTGATCGCATTCGGAGCGTACTTACGGTCAGGCAAGAAGACTTGGGATGTTCAGTACTCAGTGGCAGTGTTTTTACGGATCCGTGGCGCTACGCACGTTGCTTGCCTTCGGGAGACTATGTAAGTGGCAAGAACACAATCTACGTGTGCAACCGGCAGCACATTGACGTCGCTTGCGAGTCGCAGTGAATGAGTGGAAGCAGCCAGTATGCACGTACGGCTAGAACCGCATTGATGCCTGCCAATTCCACGATATTTTCCGTGTCGATGGAAGATGTCCCCAATGAGATGCAAGTCCTGGGAAGTACTTATGTGGGAAGTCTTCCTACTAGATGTATGTTGCGACATTCAGCACCGAGCGGCAGCCGTCGCGGTCGGTAGATAGAGTAAGCATGCATCGCGCACCTGACGTGAAGTACACCCTTGAGAGTTTTTCGCCCGCGGATCCTGAGGATGGCGGTACCAAGACTGATACACTCGGAATGGACATCGCCTCTAGTGGGCGTCGTGCTACCGTTCGGACGAGCTAGGCAGCTTTGGGATATGTATATGCCTGCATGACAGCACTGCTAAGACAAGTACGAGACACTGAGGATTGAAATATTGATGCAGGATTGATGGGTGCCCAGTCGATCATCACGTGGAATCGAGAGAGATTACTGCAACCAAAATGCGGGGCGGCCGCGAAGGCAAGAGTGCGGGGCGACGGCGGGCTTGACGATGTCGCTGGGCTAATCGGGAGGGCTGGATTGGAGTCGGAGTCGTCTGGAGCATGTGCTGTGCCGCGTACGGGGGTCGGGATGCTGGAGGAGGCACCGCGCCAGCGCCAAGACGCGCTGCCCCAACAGAAGTGGGCCCGGCAAGCGCCGCTCTGTACCGTGTCGCTATGTTATAAAAACTTGATCCTCCCAGCCCATCCCTTGCCTCTCGCCCTTCCGCACAGCGATCCGACGACTGGGTCCTCCTTCTCCTTGTCCACCCGCAACCATGGCCACGGAGAATACCCAGAAGAGGATCACCGTCGAACAGACACCTTTCCTCATCCCTGACCTCACCGTCAAGGACCTGCTGTCCGCCATTCCGTACGTTGCGACGTGTCCTGCCGTTGTATAGACACTCACAGTACTTCGCTTATGTAGGGCGCACTGCTACAAGAGGTCCGCGGTCAGGTCGATGAGTTATGTGTGAGTAGTGCCGCTGTCTCCAATCTTGCTCGTCTTGACACGTATGTGCGCGTGTAGGGTCTACGACTTCGTCCTCATCTACTGCATCTACAAAGTCACCGTCTTTGCGGATGCGTGGATAACTCCCGAGCACATCTCTCTCCCAAATCCGTTCCTCTACACCTTGGCCCGGTTCTCCCTTTGGGCACTCTACAGTCTAGCGAACGGACTTGTAGGCACCGGTATCTGGGTCCTCGCGCACGAGTGCGGTCACCAGGCGTTTTCCGAGTCCAAGACCCTCAACAACACCGTCGGCTGGTTCCTTCACTCTGCGTACGCCTTTTCTCTGCGCTATAGGTTGCGACTGTCACGGAACGCGCACTGACATGTGATCGTTTCGGTTTGTAATTTAGCGTTGGTGTCCCCTACCACTCATGGCGTATCTCACACGCGAAGCACCATGCCTCGACCGGACACATGACGCAAGACCAGGTTTATGTGCCTAAAACGCGTTCGCAGATTGGCCTGCCTGCTCTCGATCAGGAGCGAGAGGATATCTATGGCTCGTCCGTGACTGAGGAAGTCAAGCAGGAGCTCTGGGAAGCCGTTGGCGACTCTCCTATTGGTGCATCTCTTGGTGTGGCTACCTACTTGGTAAGCAGATCTCGATGACTTCGTACAGGTATGAGCTTAAGGGTGCCTTGACAGCTAGGTGGATGGTGGATGTACATCCTGCTCAATGCATCTGGCCAGAAGAGGTATCCCAAGGGAACCAATCGTGAGTAGCGAGGTGTTGTTCGTCGCTTGTCATCGATACTAACGTTCGACATGAAGACTTGGACCCCTCGGCTACGATGTTTGCTCCTCACCACCGTGACCAGATCCTTATCTCCGACGTGGGTATTGCGCTCTGGTTCGGTGCCGTGTGCTGGGCTATCTACGCCTATGGCTTCGTGGAGGTCTTCCGTGTTTATCTTGTGCCTTACCTCTGGTGAGCCTTGCGAATTCGTATCGAGTAGCCTAACGACTGATGGTATGTTTACAATAGGGTGAACCACTGGCTGGTGCTCATCACCTTCCTGCAGCACACCGATCCCATCCTCCCTCATTACCGCGCTCCCGAGTTCACCTTCCCCCGTGGCGCCCTCACGACGCTCGACCGTGACCTTCTCGGCGATTGCGGCAGCATCATGAGCTGGCTCGGCGCGCATCTCACGCACGGTATCTCGGAGACCCACGTCGCACACCACGTCGCGTCCAAGATCCCGCATTACAATGCGTGGGAGGCGTCGGACGCGCTCCGCAAGCGGCTCGCGCAAGCTGGCCTCGTGCCCCTCAAGGGCCGTCCTGGCGGCTGGTCGGAGATGTACCGCGTATACGTGCGTGCAAGTTCGTCGAGGACGAGGGCGACATCGTCTTTTACAAGGATGCGCGCGGCCTTGCACAGGCCCGCCCGGTGTTCACCGACAACAATGTCAGCGACTCTGGTATCGAGCTCGAGAAGGACGCGTAGAGTTCCTGCTCCTCGCGTGTTTTTCCGCTCGTCGCCGCCGTTGTCTGTCGTCGTCTCACACTGTCGTCGATTTGTAGTATAACCTGTTCTTGTGCTCTCGCATGCGGTGGCGCCGCGGAGTAGAGGAGGGAGCGGAGAGTAATTGTCTAAAAGATAGGTGCCCGCTAGTGCAGGTACTGCTTGAATAGATCCTAGAGGACTTAGTCATAGATCAGTTGTCAATGAGACGAGAAGTTCAATCCGCTCATGATGTGTGCTGCAAGACAGGTCATTTGTGGTGAGACAATCTTTGTGTTACGCGGTGAATTGCTATCGTAGCGAATGAGCAGATCTGACATACTCAGCATGTTGCTGTAATACGTCGTTGGAACGGGCAAAGTGGACGATAGCACTTAGACACCGTGAAAGCCTACCTGTGGATTCGCATTTTCAATGACTGTTGAGATACAGGGGTGTAAGGGTACTACGACAATTGGCAGAACCGCCTCTGTGAATGGCACGCAGACGAGAGAGTATGTCGCTAGGTGACGATGCCTAATTTTGATGATTCGCATGCGGCATACCAGTAGAGAAATCGTGGAGTCATGCGGATACACACGCAGTGTCGCCGGACGTGCTGGCGACCAACCCACTCGAGCACAGCTAGCAGGAAGGAGACATCTACTCCTCTTCCTCTTCCTCGGCCTCCTCCTCGGCCTCCTCCTCCTCCTCCTCCTCCTCCTCCTCGTCCTCTTCCCGCGCCGCCTCAACTACAGCCGTCGCGATACGGTCCAAGTCCCGCTGGCCGTCTTGGCTGATCCGGCGGCCGCCGTTCTCCGACTGCTCGAGCACGCCGATCTTCTCGAGCGACTGGCAGATCTTGCGCTGGACGGACGCGGAGGAGTCTGCGTGGTGCGAGGGGCGGTTGCCCCTCCGCTTGCTGCCACCGTGGAGCTTGGTCAGGGCACCGATGCCGACGTCCTTGCGGAGGTAGATGTGTCTTGCGACGGCAGCTAGTGCATACACGTTAGAGTCACGGAGCACCTGGAGAGCGGAAGGCGTGCACACCTGCGCGGACGTAGTACCAGTCGGGTCATATGGTGCGAGCTCCTTAAAGGAGCCGGTCTTGACGATGTCTACCCAGGTGGGTACCTCGAGCTTGCCGGAACGCTTGAGGTGGGATGCGTATGCGGCGATGAACGCCTCCGCGCTGTGATGAGAGAAATCGCGTAAGTGGCTTGTCCTCGCGCGGCACGGGTAGCGGCACACGTACCTGATGTCTCGTACACCGGGCATTTTGATGGAGAAGAGGGATTACCTTGAGGACGGCGAGGACAGCGACGGACGCGGCGTTGACGGCGGTGTATGGACTGGTTACAGGGCAAAATTGAGTTTGAAGCCACCTGCCCGGTCTGTGCAGTTCTTTGCTTAGTCAGCTCCACGGATCCGAGCCGCGGGCGCTTGCTGGGTGCGCCACTGCTTGCTTCGATCCGCGACTGAGGCCACCTCTGTGACTGGCGTACTCCATTTCTACCTAACTCTGCGGGTTTCGTCATACGCTGTGCAATATGTTGCGTACCAGCTCGACTGTTCTGCTCCCTTTGTGCGGTGGCTGCGTCCTGGCTGTGCGTCATGTATGACCCGTCCAACCAGGATCCAACGGTTCGCCGTCGATGCGGCGATTGAGAGGGGCCAAGTTTCTCACGTGTCCCGATATGGTTTCCGGTGGCTAAAGATTTGGGTCGGTTGTCCTGCCTTGAGTTCGCGTTTCCACTGCGCCTCACTCCCGACCTCCACCATGATATTCGACGCGTACCAGGCCAACCTCGCCGTCGTCGACCGCCTTCCTCCAGAGTTGCTCATCGAAATCTTCGTATGCTGCACGGAGAATCTCAGTGACGGTTTGGTACCGCTTACCCTCGGAGCCGTATGCCACTATTGGCGAGACGTAAGCCTCACCTCGCCGCGCATATGGCAACACCTGGTCATGAGCGACCGTCGGAAGGTCGAGGCATCGCATGCGCAGGCGCGGCTCTGGCTTGTGCGATCGTGGCAATTACCGCTTCACGTCCATGTCAACTTGGACTCGAGAGACTTCCTCCTCCCTCTCTTGTCGCCAATATTGCCGTACATCCATCGATGGAGGACGTTTGACATGACCATGGACGAGGCGAACGAACACTTTGATTTCGCACCGCTCGTGGCTGGCGCCTCAGGAGCTCGCCTGGAGCACTTGCAGATGATTATCAGGGGAACGACCGGCCTAGATCCTTTCATTGAGCATCTCCAACCTCTCGAGCGGTCCGATATCGACAAGCCCTCGTTTGCAGCCTTACACTCCGTCGAACCCGACGAGCCAAGGGGCATCTTCATGCGTACCGCCGTCTTGACCTTGCCGCCACGCGGCCACTTGTCGATTCTGCGCTCACGAAGCTCACGATTTCCGAGTCGGTAGACGTCCTGACGAACGCGTCGCGGTTGCTCGACTTCCTCTCCGTTCTGCCTGTGCTCGAGCAGTTCATCTTCTACTCCTTCCCCCACGCTGGGAACCCGGAAGACGACATACGGCTCGCTCCAGTCGTCTCGCTTCCTCGACTGCGCCTGCTCGTATTGCGGGCACCTGCGTCGTTCGCGCCGTATTGTCGCACCTCGATACTCCTTCACTCAAGGAACTCTACCTCGAGCATACCAACATCGACTTCGCGATCCAGCACGACCACTACGCGAACGTGGAGGAGGACGGCGGCAGCGAGGACGAGGCACACGACTTTTCACAATCTCCGTGGAGCGACCGTGCTACGGGCATGGGCTTGCGGCGGCTCATCAAACGCTCCAACCCGCCTCTACAGGTGTTAGAGATGGACTACGCGGACATGCGTACGAAGGACTTCGAGTGGTGCTTTGATCGCCTGGAGCACCTCGAGGAGTTCCGCATCATCGCGTCCGACATGTCCAACACCGTCATCAATCTCCTCGCGCCGTACGAGCCTCCCCAAACAATCTGTCGACCCGACGGGGCAGGCCGTAGTAGGCCGCACCTACGACTGCCGAAGCTGACCATGTTGGGGTTGTGGAATTGCCAGCGGCTCGGCGGCGATGCCATCGTCGGGGCGCTGTGTCGACGGGTACAGTATACAGACAATCTGTCCGGCGACGAGATCAGTAAGCTTTCGGACGTCGCGATTGTTGGATGTCAGGACTTCCGTGTCCAGCATGTTCTCGAGCTGTCGCCAGTGTTGGGAGGTCGCTTGCGCATTTCATGAGTTGTACTTCTACGGACTTGTAGCAATTGTGTAATTTTAGTGCTGTACGGTATTTATTGGTCATAATGTTGTTCCTCGTTCTTGTTCAGCGGCTGAACGGTTCTCTTCAGCGCGATTGTGGCGGGGGAACTGCACATAAAGTTAAGCTCGGAGCTGCTGCCAAGATGAGCGATCTCCGGCGCCTATGTGTCAATTTACCTGCCGCGAGACCGACAACCTTGTTCGGTGGACACTGGCACCTGCAGTGTCTCGCTCGCCTGCTCGAGCAGCCCACCTCCCCCTGTTGTAAATATTGACCATATTCGCTTGCAAACAATGTCATCGCCCGAACAGGATCATCGTGTCGCCAGCGACGACGAAGCGAGGCCTACGTCCACTCGCAGCTCGTCTCAAGAATCCGAGGTCTTCAGCCCCACTGGTATTCATGCTCCCGCACCGAGGGTAACAGACGGATATTTTGGATACAACGAGGAGAAAACGCTGCACCACGTACGTTGACCGACCTGATACCTACTGCATTCACGGTGTCTGACTGCCACACCCTAGCTCGAGGAAAAGATGTGGGCTCAGCGAAGGCGTGGCTCGGACGCTACGTCTGCGTCGAGACCTGTCTCTGTTTGGGCTCTCCATATATGCGGGAGGAAGCCCATCTAGAAGGTCCAAACGCGTACGTCGGGAGCTTCAAGCTGCCGCCAGTTATGGAACCCCAGAAGAAGGTCCCAAACCTACGTCTCAACAAGAGCAGTGGAAAATGGCACCGATCCACGGTACATATGGGCTAGTATTGCCACAGAGAGCAGCCCTCAATGCTTCACAGATTCAGGTGTCTTGCCGGAGTTCATTCCCATCATCGAGGCGTTCCAGAAATGTCTCGAGCTCAGGGACAAGTACATGCACCGCTCTGGCCAGAAGCTCGGCTTCAACCCCAAAGACCATGATGGGACGTTCACCGGCCTCCCGGAGGACATTTCAGGCGTATCTGGCGTTCGGCCTGATATCAACTACGACGCTTACGTCCCGCCCAAGAGCGAATTGAAGAAGTGGCGGATCTACCCGAAGCCCCCACCACCGCACTGGCACTGGAAAGGACCTCATGCGACAGTCCTCAGTCATGCGGGCTCCGACACCGAGGACGATGAGTTCGACTTCGAGCAATGCGATATACCGGGGCCAGATGACTGGCGCTTCGAATTGGATGAAAAGGGCGTATTTCAAGTCTATAAGAGCAAGGACGGTGGGCATCGTCGTCCTATAGCAACTTCTTCTGCTTCTAATATACAGACGGTTGCAGCTGAGACTCCGCGTTTGACGTCCCCAGCATCAGGGAGTACTTCATGGATCTGGAGTACGTCCTCGGGTGATCGCCGACGGTCCAACAAAAAGCTTCGCGTACCGGAGATTGAATTATCTCACGAGCAAGTTCACTATGTACTCGTTGCTCAATGAGACACAAGAGCTGGCGGATATGAAGGTAGGCCTGTTGAGTGCTCCTTCCCTTCCTCACACAGACATCCTTACGAGGCTTCTCAGAGAGTTCCACACCGGTTCGCATTGTCATTGGGCCCGTTGTCCAAAGTTAACTTCGAGATTCAGAGACTTCTACAACGTCCGTAAGGTTGACACGCATATCCACCACTCTAGCTGCATGAACCAAAAGCATCTTTTACGCTTCATCAAGTCCAAAATGAAGCGATACCCTCACGTAGGCATCGCCTACTCACTCATCACCTATTGTCTCACGTGTATCCCTCAGGACGTTGTCATTCATCGTGACGGACGCGAACTCACTCTCGAACAAGTCTTCCAATCTCTGAACCTCACCGCATACGACCTCTCCATAGACACGCTAGACATGCACGCGCACCAGGACTCATTCCATCGTTTCGACAATTTCAACCTAAAGTACAACCCAATTGGCGAATCTAGGCTACGAGAGATCTTCCTCAAGACTGATAATTATATCGCTGGCCGATACTTGGCGGAGCTCACGAAAGGTCCGTCCCGACTGTCGTCGCTTTCCTTTTCTTGACGCTGACAAGGAATGCAGAGGTCATGACGGATCTCGAACAAAGCAAATACCAGGTATAAGCCGCGTTTGACATGAGCCTTGTACGTGCTGACCTTTCACAGAACTCGGAATGGCGACTCAGTATCTACGGACGGAACTCCGACGAGTGGGACAAGCTCGCCCGATGGATTGTGCACAACAAGCTGTATTCACACAATGTACGATGGCTCATCCAGATTCCGCGTCTGTACGACGTGTACAAACAGAATGGATCGATAGAGAACTTTGAGGATATTGTCAAAAGTGAGCCACACGCATACATACGCTCGTCGCACTGCACTAATCTCATCACGTCCAGATGTATTCCGACCATTGTTTGAAGTTACGCACGACCCGAGCTCTCATCCAGAACTGCATGTATTCTTACAACGTGTTATTGGCTTCGACACTGTCGACGACGAGTCAAAGACTGAGCGGCGCTACCACCGCAAGTTCCCATACCCGCGACTGTGGAATGCTAAGGAGTCCCCTCCGTACTCGTATTGGTCAGTTGTCGCACTTGCTAATTTTGTTCGTGCTCACGCTCACCGTCGTTATGACAGGGTGTACTATATGTTCGCTAATATGGCAAGCCTGAATCATTGGCGGCGTGCAAGGGGTTTTAGTGCGTAGATCTGGAAGTCATGATTCCATGACTGGCTGACTATGCCTTTCACAGATACATTCGTCTTTCGTCCCCATAGCGGCGAAGCTGGAGACACGGACCATCTGACATCCGCCTTCCTCACCGCGCATTCGATCTCCCACGGCATCCTCCTTCGCAAGGTCCCCGCCCTGCAGTACCTCTTCTACCTCAAGCAGATTGGGATCGCCATGAGTCCTCTCAGCAACAACGCCCTGTTCTTGATGTATGAGCGCAACCCGCTACCCGACTTCTTCAAGGTGGGGCTGAACGTCAGCCTGAGCACGGATGATCCGCTCCAGTTCCACTTCACCAAGGTGCGTCTTCTCCGTCAACACGCGTAGTCAGTAACCTCACGCTCGCTTCCAGGAACCCCTTCTGGAAGAGTACAGTGTTGCGGCCCATGTAAGGCAACGGAGCGTATCCCCGGGCGCCGTCTCGTTGACAGGTTCTTGCCACAGATTTACAAGTTCCCTCAGAGCTCCTTAGCCGAACTCGCGCGTAACTCCGTGATCCAGAGTGGGTTCGAGATGGAGATCAAGCAGCATTGGCTGGGGCAGCACTGGTACCTGCCAGGTGCTGCGGGCAACGACATAAACAAGGTAGGACACCGTCTCATTAAGACACAAGTCGCTTGCTGACATTCCCAGACAAACGTCCCCAATCTTCGACTGGAGTATCGGCGACAGACCCTTGTGGAGGAGTTGATGATGTTGAGAGCAAATGATCCTGCGTCGACCAACTGATTGTTTCCGGTCACACAAAGGTTGCGCACAGGGTTGCAAGACACGTCGCCGTGTTCGAAACGAACCATGACTGGCGTAGTTACCCGTGCAGAGCTACTAGGTCAGGATTCAATTGGGAATATTGACTTGCGTCCTGCAGTTTTGATTGCGCAAATCGCATCCGGTTGTGAAGGGAATTTGCTACGTACTTTACTCGGGCAGATGACCGGTGTCAACAGGTTCTTGGTTGACATAATGGTGCTCCTTGACATTGCATGGACAACTGAATGCCACGTTCACCCGGGAGTCGAAGTCTGTACAATGCGCTCCGCACTCTCCGGCACCCTGTATGTTGCCTTGATGCATGATAAAATGTACATTGAGGTGTGTAGGTGATTGCTTCTATTATGATAAACTAGTACTCGCTAATGCTACTGAGTAAGTGTACAACAATTTGAGCGGTGCGGCGATACAGAACATGACCTTCCACAGCAAGCACTTTTACTTTACATATCACTTCTCGTCCCAGCGATCGCAAACGTCTAACACACATCGAGTCTAGACAGCCTCACCCAGCCCCTCTGCGTCCGGCAGCTCCGCGACGTAGCGGTTGGTCTTGCCGCTGAGCTCCGCCTGGCGCTTGAGCGCGCTGGGCGCGTCAGTCGGGTCCATGATGAGCTCGACGAGCTGCATCTTGTCCGCGGCTGCGAATGCGGGGTCGTCCAGGAGCTTCGACAGCTCCGACTTCGTCTCGACGTGGTAGGACTGGCACGTCTTGCCCTCCTCGCCGCCGAGCGTCCCGAGCAACTTCGTCCATTTCCTGCGCGCGTCCGGTGAGCATCGCAATAGACGGAAGGGAACGTGAGACTCACCAGTCCGCGATGTCGTTGTACTTCCTCGTCATGCCGTGTAGGTAGCGTTCGATCGTGTAGCCCTTGTTGTTCAGGACGAAGATGATCGGCTTCAGGCCGGAGCGCATCATGACAGACAGCTCCTGCACCGTCAGTTGGCTGCAAGGCGAGTCAACCGCGATCAGCACTGGGCCAAAGACCGATCCATACAACAGACACTCACATGCTACCATCGCCGATGAACAGGATCGTCCGGTTGTAGCCCAACTCCACACCCGCGAGCGCGGCACCCAGGGTCGCGCCGACCGTAAATCCAATCGATCCCCACAGGATCTGGCTGACGAACACCGCGCCGGTCGGGAACGGCACCTCGAGGACGCCGAAGGCGGACGTGCCCGTCTCGGCGACGACGATGTCCTTGGGTTGGAAGAACTGGCCGACGCGCGGCCAGAGCCACGACTGCGAGATGATCTCGTTCTGCTCCTCAGGCACAGGGAGCTCAAACTTCGGAACGGGGATGCGCGCGGCGGTCGGCTCGAACGGCTGCAAGCGCGCGGTGAGCTTCGGCAGGAGGCGCTTCATGCCGATGCCCGGGAAGGTCGCAAATTGCACCTGCAGGTGATCGGAGTGCAGCTGTGGGTGACTGTGAGAGCGGTTGTATCAGGTAGAAGTACTCGCGAGACGTACCTCGACGGTGCGGGCGACGGGGATGTGGTAAGTAAAGTTACCGGTGTTGAAGTCGCTCTTCAGAGCACCGATGGAGAGAATAAGCTTCGCGCTCTCTACCTTCTCCTTGATCTCGGGGTGACTTATCGACCCGACGTAGATCTGCACGGCAAGAGTTAGCGCATGTGCAGAAACACAATCAATACAGCCACTCACGCCTCCATAGCGCTCATATTGCTCGTTGAACGAAGTCTTGCCCATGGGCGCAGAGTACACAGGGAAGCCGGTGCGCCTGACGAGCTCAGCGACCTCCTTCTTGACGCCATGGCGAACGGCGCAAGCGTCGACCAGGATGATCGTCTCGTTCTTCGCCTGTTCGACGAGTTTGATGATTTCGTCGATGGCAAAGGCCTCTACGTCAACGTCGTTCTGCGGCGGCTCCGTGTTGAGTGGTGTCTTGAGACGGTACGATGGGATCTTCTCGTAGGCAAGATCAGTTGGGAGCATCAGATACACCGGGCGTGCCTGGTGGTGATTTAGGATGGGCCTCAGTACAGAGGACGACGAGGCTGCGTACCCTGACAATACATTCGGTGAGAACGCGATCGATCTCTGCGGCTGCGGTGTCCTTTGTCTGGAGGCTTGTATCAGCAATGGCGAATTGCTGAGCTGCTCGGTAGTACGCGTCATATCTGTTCACCAATGAGTACTCGCAGATCGCAGATCGAATGAGCTTTGGCTACTGACCGTCCGTCGCCAAGGGTATGGTGGAGCATGGGCTTGTTCTTCTGCTGTGATGTGCTAGGAACACCAACAATTTGCAGCACAGGTACGTGCTCGGAGAAGGCTGTAAAAGCGCACAATTGAACATGGTATATGCGGGTTTAAAGCTCTGTTGCGCACCTCCAGCGATGGCATTAGTGGCGCTCAGCTCTCCGACACCAAAGCTAAGGAGAGTCAGTCAATGCCGCTGGCGTCAGAGAATGCCGGAACGCATACGTTGTGGTGAGAACACCGAGACCGCCCTCTTTCACTCGCGCGTAGCCATCAGCGGCATAACCTGCGTTCAGCTCATTGCTGTCACGGTGCCGTCTCGTGAGTGACTATATGCGTGTGAAATAGAACTAGGATCTTACCAGTTGCCGACCCAGTCAATCTTGGGGTGATCTTCTACGAAGTCCTATCCAGGAATGAGCTATGCGGTGTTATCCATATCAGGAGACGTACAAGGAAGCCTGCGATGATCGGTTAGCACTATGCATTAGATTGTGTCGGGGAACGTACCAAGGTTGAAGTCGCCTGGAACGCCGAACATTTTCTAGCACAAAGTCAGTAGGCTGAGATCGGAGGCAGATAGATGTGGCTTACCGTGACGCCAAGCTGTACGAGCCTCTCTACGAGGTACTGGCCGATGTAGATCTGTTCGCTACTGTGAGGGGACTGCTCGGCGGTCTTGACCGTGGAGAGCTCATGCTGAAGGTGGTTGATCTGCGCCTGGAGTTGTGCAACAGCGGCGGTCGACATTTTGGAAGTGTGGGGTGTGTAAGAGTTAGGAAGTGCTGGAGAAGGATTGGAGAAGGAGGAGGGCGAAGGGACTGGCAGTATTTATGCTGTCGGGGAGAAGGAGGTCGATGGGGGGACCAAAAGAGGAGACAGACTGGTCGGACTCGCCGTCTGGGCAGCATGGCTGGGTGGGTCTCCGCCATTCTCCCTACTGACGTCGCTCTGGCCGTCACCCGGGCCAGTAGTCCCCGAGCGCTTCCGTTCATTGGCAATCCACTCTCGATATCACTTCCCACGCCACTTCCTTCGGACTTACCATACGCTCAGCCTGTTCACCTTCTCAATCGTCCTCGTCCTCGTCGTGTTCTAATCTGCAGCGTTGTCCCGCAAAATGCCAGTTAACGACTCTCGAAGACTACTCACACAATCTCTGCCACGCGGTTGGCCTCGACAGCTCCACTACAGTATCTTTCTGAGGCGGTCCTCATGCAGAGGCTAGAAGGGTCCGCGTGCACCCGTTCGAGGCCGACCGTGGTACAGCGCTCGCTGCGCCTTCCGTAAACGACGGGACTCGATCACTGCTCGATCATGCCTGGCTCGTTCTTGGGCCCGTAAGCATCGGTCGCCCCGGTCCTCGCCACTCTAGTAACTCATATGGAGCTCATCGCCGTATGCGCAGCTTACGCCGTTACGGACGTCCGCTCAACATGCGAGGTGAGTTGCTATATTCGCTGGACGCGCACGGAAATTACACAGCCTGCTGTCAGGGCTATCTCTGAGTTCCGGTGCAGTGGCGACCCCACGTACATGCCTGCCCGGTCATGAGCCCACCGCTGATAGCAACCGATACTCGAATCAAAGTTACGCTCATGTCACTGTCAGGGAAGCTTGCATCCCCGCCAGTCATGCTGACTTCGTGAGACTGGCGAACAACGACTGTATACCGGCATGCACTGGTGTGAGAGCCAGGCAGTCATTGTGAACAACGCCCTGTGTTTGTTTGTGAGTTTCCCTGCTACATCGGTGAGTCATATGCTTCGCACTCGGAACATTAGTAACATGAGCGAGCCTTCAGCTTAACCTGATCCTAACCCATTGATTCTACAATATGCTCAGAGTGTTCACTGTCGATTCAATCTGCGGCGCGAGGGCCAATGTGCTAGTCAAACTCAAGCCCGCGATCGCGTGCACACAGCGCGACGTCGAGATCAATGTTTTTGATTGTCTTTATTTACTGTTTACTCTGGTTTGTTGTTTTTATCCTACTCTACAGTGTCCATGGCACATTGTCCGGTACTGACTGTCCTTTCTGCAGATGTACTCGAAGTGTCCGATGGCACAGCGTCCATTCGTGTCCAAGGCATGTCCATATAATGTCCATTTGGCACTAAGCGCTTTTTTTCTGGATCGTTTCTGATGATCCGGCGATACATGACAGGAGAGGACGTCCCGCCGCACTCTCGTGCTCGCACTGCGAGCTGCCCTTTTCACTCCAGTCCGAGCGCGTCCAGGCGCTCGATGACGGCGAGGGCGAACTCGTCGTCGGCCCCCCTCTTCGCCGGAAGCAGCAGAGGGCGGGCGTACGACTTGAACGTCATGAACTTGCAACCGACGATGGGAGGCGCAACAGCGGGGTCGTTGTCTGGCGTACCGACACCCTCGCTGCCGTCCACTGATGTGGAGGTAGAGCCGACTGGCTCGCCCGGGTTTCCCTCCATCTCGTCGTCCTCGTCGTCCAGCACATCCTCCTCCTCGAACTCGGCGAAGAAAGTGTCGAGGCGGAGGACATTGTTGCGGATCTGCGCGAGGCTTGGGCGTGCGGTGGGGTTCAAGCGAAAGATCCGCTTCAGGAGATCGGCGGCGCCCCTCGAGATGCCGAACTCGCGCTCGAGGAACTGCTCGTCTTCGAGGATGAACCGCCTGAAGTCGGGATCCTCGAGCGACGCCTCTCCCCACGGGCGATCGCCGTCCGCGATGAGGTTGATCAGAATGATGCCCAGCGCCCAGATGTCCGCATGCTTGGTGGAATACGGCCCAGACGCAGTGGAGATACATTCTGTCGGTTGAGGTCAGCGTCGCTACGCTAGTAGTTGTGTGATGCCAACTTACCCGGACTCATATAGCAGTGAGTCCCATAGCCGCGGACATAGCTGCGCGCGATAGGCGTGGCCATCCCGAAGTCGGCTATGAAGACCTCCTTCCCGTCGGCAGTGCAGAGTATGTTTTCTGGCTTTAGGTCGCAGTGGTACACCTTTTTTCGGTGACACCCGTGGACCGCATCCAAGATCTGCACGAAGACCGACCGGATCCGCTCGTCGTTGCCCTCGAAGGTGACGCCCTCGGCGATGAGGTTGAACAAGTCGCAGTCGTGGTAGTCCGACACGAGGTAGAAGTATGCGTCATCCTCCACCACTTCGAGCAACTTGAGGACGCCGGGCACGCCCGACACGAGCTTTTGGATCGTGATCTCCCGTCGCTGGCGCTGCGTGTCGCGTTTGGAAGGACCAGCCTTCCGCACGATCTTGACTGCGCGCCGAACGGGGACCGAGGAGGAGGCCGAAGCTTCGTGATCAATGGCGAGGTACACCACGCCGTAGGTGCCAGCACCGACGGGTTGGAGTAGCTCGAGACGACCAGCGTCGATCAGCATGCCAGCGAAGGTAGGTAGCAAGTTTGTAGGCATCGTGAAGAATATGCAACTCTGTAGCTGAGTGTGCGGATGCTGATGCGAAGACGAAGAGTATGGCTTCTACTGATGCGAATGCGTTCCTTTTATGCATTTTCGGTGAGTCCCCTTCCGATTGTGTGAGCGGAAGGGTGTGCCGGATACACACAGACACCCTTCCGAGTCGTGCAGTATCCGCGGTCTAGATCGAGGGAATTGAATCCATCTCAGTCAAGATTCAAACATCGTTGCACGCACCCATGGATCCATTCGCGGATCACAAGACACCCGTGGAGGCCCGTCTCTGTCGGTTAGAATCCATATTGACTGGTCGGGAATCAAATAGGGTGTCGCTGCTCATGCAAGATATGCGCCAACTCCAATGGTGCATTTGCGGCACACATTTCCGGGTGCTGATGCGTTTGACCACTTCAAGGCATATGACAGAAACACAGAAGAACCCGACGAGAAAGCGGCAATAGCTGAGTCTGTGCATCGCCGGAGCGGCATCGGTGGGTAGTTCATACTAATACTGCCGTAGACCCGATTCCGCTTCCTTTCCGATCCGGAGAGGAGACCATGTCCCGTTGCCGGGGTGATCATCGCACCCAGCATAGGATTACATCTTCCGCCGCAAGCTCGAGCTTACGCCTGACCGGAGCACATGCCTAGTCACACATTCACCAAACAGACTATTTACCTCGAATTCGAGACATGCGCGCAGCCATTCTGGGATCTCAGAGACAGCTGCGAGACAGCTGCATGTGGTGGCGGCCAGACTATAGCCCCAGGGCGTCCAAGACGCGGTGGGAATGACAGTTGTGAGAGACTCGCGGTGATTGCTAGCTGATTCGAACCAGAAGACTTACCGCTTTGGGCGACTCCAACGTCGGAGTGGCTTAAGACGCCTTGTCTCATTGGCAGCGCTGTGCCGGCGCTGTGTTTCGCGCATCGTCATTCAATCTTGCCGCTGAATATAAGTTCAGCCGCAGTCTCAGTCACAGCGTGAATGCGAACACCCATGTGCAAGGAAGTAGCCTAGCGCAAGCTTGATCTCTCCTCTTCCACTTTCGCAGCCGGAGTAGCTTACAATTCGTGGACCCGACTGCTGCATCAGGAAGCCTGCGTACCAGTTGCACAGTATTCGGATCATCCAGTGAGTCGTACGATTCGGACGTCTCCGCTGTGATTCATTGATCGCTTCATTATAAACGCAGAAATGGACACGCTCGTCTCCGTTCAGCGGATTTTGTCACGTCCTTTGCGGTGGTACTGTTCCCCAATTCGTACGCCCCCAATCCGTACGCAGGGTCATTCCCAACCGAGGCTCCCGCTCGAACTCTGTGAGCTTGTGATTGACTACAATCACAACGACCACATCACCCTGCGAGCATGCTGCTGACGTGTTACGCGTGGGTCGTACGTGCGCGGATGCATCTATTCCATCGGGCTCGCCTCTCAACCTCAAAGCTCCCATCAACTATCTCGCTCCTAACAGCAGGTCCCGCAATAGCCACATGCGTCAAGCATTTGACCATCGATTTTGGAGGCGCAGATACTCTCGCGAATGTTTGCGCCCCACTCAAGGGCGTCTGCGAGCAGATGCAGGCTGTTCAGACCCTCAAGCTGACCGGAATCTCGTTATACGCATCTCTCGAGCTGAACTTACTACTCACCGTTCTTCCGAAATGTACGGTCCATCTGGAGCTCGGCAAGATCGCGGTGGCCCCGCAGTCACCCCTTCCCGAGTTGATCTCCTCCTTCCCCGCCCTCCAGGGTCTGTCCCTCGGAGATGGTTTGGTCAGTATGCACGGCGCATCAACTTGGGACGCGACGGGTCCCGTATCAGTGCGTCTTCGCACACCGTTGAAGATACTACATCTGTCGTTGGTCTTCTCCAATCCCTCTATCCTGAACTACGCCCAATGGCTAGTGTCCACACCTAACGCACTCGACCTTCGCGCCCTTTCCGTCGCGTTCGACTACTCCGGCACGCGCATCAACTCGCCCGCATTGCTCGGGTTACTCCTGGAGAACCTCGGTTCTCCTCTGGAGACGCTAGAGCTCGCCATGACCCGCGATACCGACCTCAGCGGTGAGTAGACAAATTGCACACGAACAACTTCATGTGCTGAAGTTAGGTCACGCAGTGATCCCGTTCACCCTGGAGAGGGCAACTCGCCTTGCAAACCTCCGCCTGCTGGTCCGGTTCAGCGGATCGTGGACTCAGGACAGTTCCAGCTACGTCCGGAACTGGGTCGTGACCCTCCTTTACCGCGTGCATCTACAGAGTATCCGCACTATTCACCTGGCCGTTGAGGACGCAGGAGAGGATAATTTCCTCTTTCTCGACTGGGTGGATGATCTGGTCCAGGCGCTCCTACGGCTTAACCTCAGTGGCCTCAGGAGTTTTGCGTTCGAGTGTGTAGGCTCGCCCATGAGGGCTCGTACTATGGCATCCTTGGAGGCGAGGCTCGGAGCCCTCAAGCCTCAGTACCCGGTCGACCTCACATCTGCCAAAGTATCCACTGCCTTTGGATCCGACCTCATGCGCACCTTCTGAAGAAGCATCAGCTTCGGTCAGCCTAGTCAGGGCGAGATACGCTGTCTACATCTATGGTACAGTACATACTATTCCAGAAAGTCCCATCGTCTTCAGTCCGACGCCTACCAATCACGGGCACAACTTCTCTGCGACCTCCTGTACAAGCTTCCTCACCTCTGGCTTCTGCACGCCATGCTCCCCGCTCCCTCCCTTCTCCAGCTTACCCTTCAGGGTCTCGCGCGCCTGGAGCACCTCCAGGAACGGCACAAACTGGCTATCATACGCAGGCGATAGGCGAAGCAAGAATGCCAGAGCCGCTGTCAGACGGTGAACTGCACCACGCCAACATCAGCACATCCTAGGTTCATTGGACAGACAATACGGATCCACGTACCGACTTCCTCGCTCTGCGTCTCCGTCGAGAGCGCCTCGAGCACAGCACTGACCAGCTCCACCTCCCACTCCCCGTCCTCTTCGATATCCGCACCCGCCGCAGGGCTATCCCCGCGCAGCCCGTCCACCCGGCCCTTCTGCAGATACGCCGCGACGTCAAACGCCAAGCTTGCAGCCGCGGTGCGCACGGTGGCATCCGTATGCAGCAGGCTCGCGACGAGCGCCTTCGTCGTGTCCGCCCGCTGACCCGCCGTAGACAGGAGGCTCTTCACGAGGGCCGCGTTCGCCGTCGCGTTCGCGAGCATGCGCAGAGTGACGAGGACGGTGTTCCGCGCGCTAGTGTCTGCGGCGTTCAGTGCCTCGATGGCCTTGCCCAGGAATACGTGCACAGGATTGGTCTGCGAAGGAGCTGAGGCACACCAGGCCGCGATGGCTTCGTCGAGGAGGGCTAACCGCCACAGGTCCACCAACGGGAAGATTTGTGCGGCTGAGAGAGCGCTGGCGATGGTTCGTGTGGCCTCCGCCCAGGACGTGATCAGTTGCGCATTTGCGGAGAGGTTCTTTGGAGGCTGGGCGCCTTGAGCAGTAGGGAAACGCGCCTTGAGGTACACAGGGAAAGACTGGCGGAGTTTTTCCTTGGCTGCAGTCGTCTCTGGTGACGGCGACGAATTGTCGACGAAGGAACCCAGCTTGGAGACAACGGAGTCGAGCGCAGGGACCTGTGTGAATAGGATGGGTCTGGTAGAGAGCGCTTCGATTGTTGGCAGAGTAAGTTTCGTGTGGGGGTGGGCTAGCACGATAGCATGATGTCAGTCGGACCAACCACACGTGCGTAATGCACAGTCACATACGGGGGAAGGCTTGAAATAGCAAGAGATCCACTTGACTGCGAAGTTCAGCTGAATCCGCTCCCTTGAAGTCGTATGTCTGCGACAGACCAATATCAATACCTGTTCGGTTACAGGGAGTCCACCGGTCACCCACCTTTTGACTATCCAGGAAGAACATGAACGTGGGTGTGACCCTGACACCAAATTCTGAGGCGACTTGACTGCCCATACCTACGCCCATATCGACCTTAACGAAGGCAACCCGGTCCTTGCCTAACCCACGCGTCTTGGCCCACGCGAGGTCTTCGAAGACGGGTTCGATCATACGGCATGGTCCACAGGTCGCACTTGTGAACATCACGACGACGGCACGATGCGAACGGAGCAAAGAATGGAACGAAGACGGGTTTGTACAGATGTGGACAGGAGCGGAGACTGTGCTTGTTGATGCCGAAGGTTGAGCCTGAGGAGTTGGTACAGTCGTGGGTGCGCCGGTACCATTCACGGCGGAAGGAGAGAACGCCTGGTTTGCCACTGCTTGGAGAAGGGATGCAGCAAGCGCGGGGTTTGGTGATGCATTGGCTGCGGCTTGTGCCGCTGCAGGTGAGGGCTGTAGTGTTGCCGGAGTCGGCGCAGCGCCAGGAACAGGACGGCGGAACATGTTGTCGATTGTGGGTCGCAATGCAGCGCCAAATGGCGTAGACAGGAAATCGGATGGTAGATCTGTATACACACGTCACCCCACGTTTGGGGGCTATATGCAGGCACATGCGTACCCTTGATCCAGGAGGGTATTGAACCCCCTGTGAGGAAACCTATCACGTCGTTGGTAAATGAGTTGCAGTTGAAGTCTGCGCATACGCATCAACAGCGGTTCCCAACGAGGTGATGCAGAACATACCTAGCAGATGATACTAGTTCTAACTTCAGTACTTGTCGCAGAAACTCAGGAATGGCTGTACACACCTTGTCGGCCGTGAAATGTTTGCTTATCTCGAGTAGGTACTCGTTGAAGGTCTCTTCATCTATTGCCGTCTCTCCGATATCAATTGCATGAAGCGGTTTCCCGTGCTGCAAGATGATTTAGTGAGATGAGCCTTCCACGATATGATGGCTAGTGAACATACATGAGATTGACCTGGACGAGTTTCCAAGATGCCTTGACCATAGAATATCTCTCTGCCGAAGACAACCACGGACGTGTGCCTATACATACCAGTTGAGTGAACCTCCCACACACGAAGATCACAGATGCGTACCAGACGCCGTCGATCTGTTTGCCGGTCAATGGGAGAGACAACTGCTTGGCAAGGCCGTTGCTGAGATCATAGACGTATATTTGCACAGGCGTAGACATTTAGCAATAAGTATAGTAGATAACGAGTCTGGTAGCGGCGACACAAAGGAGTAGAGGGTTAACAGGCTAGGCTGGGGCAGCAGTTACAGGGTGTAAGTGAGAGCAAGTCGGGTAGACGGAGATGAAGTACTTATGTGGGAGCGGTGCGGGACGCGACGCGATCATGCCGGTGACGCGTCCTTATACGCGCACGTGATGGGAGTTTCCTGAGCTTTCTGGCAACTTTCTGGAGACTCAAATCACTCGACAAGCGTCGTGTCATAGTAAACGATCCTACGGGCGAAAGCTTACGACTATGTACAAACATACGCGTGGCTCGCTTTGTGCCACGATCAGCGAGAACACCGGCTGCTATTCTTTGCATTTACTACATTGTCGTTTTTACATTCGTCGGACGCAGCTACTAGATGGCTACAACCGTTGTCATTCTCACGTCCGTTGTGACTGGTCAGCATCGCATGGACACTCTTCAAGGCAGCTCAGCAATGCACTCGATCTCGACGGCTGCGCCTAGAGGCAGGACAGCGACGCCGACGCAGGTGCGCGAGTGAGGGTGCTTTGGGAAGAACTAGTAGGTGCATGTCAGCCTCACTCCCCAGACCTATACATCTGCGTAGACTTCCTACCTCGGAGTATACCTCGTTCATAGGTGCAAAGTCCTCCTTCAGGTTCGTCAAGAAGATGTTGACCTTGACGATGTTGTTTAAATCAGTTCCCGCAGACTTCAGGACCTTCGACATGTTCTCCAGGGCCGCTTTCTGCGTTCCGTCGATCCAGTGAGACACCGCTCTACTTGTCTAAGTACGCGCACTGTACGTACCGTCTGGCCCTTGATGTCGCCCTGGAGCTTGTACTCTTTGTCGCAGCCAATGCTCCCGGAGACGTACATAGTCTTACCGCTGATCGTCGCGTGCGCTGATCACTAGTCTATCAGCAAGAAGCAGCATACGATCGCTTCGGTACGCACCGAAGACAGGCAGCGCAGGAACAGCCTCCTCACAGATGATAGTCTGCTTCGTCATGTTCGGTGGTAGGGCTCAAGGTATAAAGGAGACGATGGACGGCAATCTGATGTACAGATAACCTTTCAAGGTACGTTTTTTATACGATTCCTCCTTGTGGGCGTTACAAAAACCTCCCAATGATCGCTTATGCTGTTCTACTTAGCAAGCGTCTTGCGTCCACGCCGTGGATGAGCAAGGTCGCCGTCGGTGATGACTGCGCAATCGGGCTAGACTCGGGTGTGCCTTCGAACGGGTTGAGGCCCCTTGAGCGTCTGACAACCAAGATGTTCTTGCACGGTGACCCAACGGTGACCCGCACGTAATTCAATATCCTGGACTGCACTCTGTGTGTGACGGTCTCATCAAGGGCCTCGCCGTGATTCGGTTTGTTCTACGGGTTGAACAAACCCGGACACGATCGATAAAGGAGGACACAGAGGCGCGCATGCACATGCAAAAATGATGCAGTCCCGGAAATGACGCTGACGGGTGGACGAAACCTGACTCGGAAGTGCGCCCAGCCTGAGCACGATTCCAATCAAATGCAAGGGGCGCGAGGTTACCGTAGCTGCCTAAAATGCATTGTCACAGGTGACAAAGCCGGACACACATGTAAGTACATCGACCACAGCACCTTATGCTGGTTCTGCGAAGCAGTCTCTCCCCGTCTCCGCCGCGTAGTGCCTCTCTGATGACGCTGTGTCGCAATATATCGAGCCGTCGCAGCGGACGGCGTGTTCATACTATACGATCGACAAGGGGGTGACCTGTCGTTTAGCGCGTGGCACTCGGCCATCTCGTGTCGGACGAGGCTTGTGTTGCCTTGTCCGAATGGGAAGCGTGGATACGGTCGAACGTTGGTCGAACGCACACAAGAGTCACGAAACATCCTAGCGTAGCGCGACGGTCAACGTCACAAACGTTCGCGAGAAACTGTCTTGTTCTTTCGGCCGGAAATCATGATTTTGAAGCGTACGCTGGACACCCACAGCCTAAGATGCGAGCTGAGCGAGACGGACATGGCTCTGTGGGCGACATGCATCAGCCGGGCTACAAGAGCAGGGCAGAGGATACTGGCAGAGCCACAAGACACGGATCCGAGGGGATGTCTGCGAGGGAGCACAAATGTGCATATGCACGACTCAGCAGCCAGATTTGCAAAAGACGTAAGACATATACATAGGCACTGACTGGCCGTCCGAGCCGTCCAGCTAGAGTTCTGATAGCTAGGCCTCCAATAATGCGTTACGGACCCTCTAGTAATGCCATGAGCGCGGGACCAGAACATACATAGCTGGTCTTCATCCAGGGACCTTGATAGTGGCCGCTTCACTGATATGTACCCTTTCTGTGCCCTTGAAGAAGCAGATCTAAAACAGCGCAAGCGCAGTCAGTGTTTGCGAAGGACAGTGTGAGAACGCAGAGTCGTCTGGACCCTGGTGGTCAGTATGTACCGGACCATGAAGTTTTCGTGTTCACGCCGCCGGAGCAACGTCCTCGAGTCCGTTCGATTTGGTCTAGGGGTTTCCGGTCGCGTAGCGATCAGCATTCAACGTCGCACGTAGGAGAGACAGGTGACCACCGTAAGCGCACTGTGCAACAACGGAAGCCCATCCTCGTGCTATTCAACACCGGAGCATAGTGGTTTGCAGCGCGAGCGCTCACTTGACGGCGAGAGATGCTAGAGATCGATGTGGCCGTTTCGCTGAGTTTGTCGACCTGAGGAACAATGCAAGAGCGAAGAGCCGCTTGCAGGCGCCGAGGGTGCATAACTCAGAAACACGCAATAGACTGTCCGTGGACGCAGCCAGCGACGGGGCTGCTGGACTCAGAGACACTCAGGCTGCGGGAAGCCGCCGGATGTCTCCATGTACTACCTACCGAACTCGCCCTGAAGATCATTCCTAGCCACGTACATGGGCAGAAATAGTCCGTTTGGTGCCGATAGCCAAACCCAGCGTAAACATGCAGGCGGGCGGAAGTGGTACAGCGTCAGGTTCTGTTCGCTTCCGCTTTTAACATATGGAATAATGGAACGGAGAGGAGCAGTCTCGATCAGCGGGAAGTGCAGATAACAGACAGAAAGTTTGCACCCACGCATTGAGATAGTATGTATGGTGCGGCGAGGACGTGTACATTCAGAGGCCGATGTACGTCTAGACGCGGATCAGTAGGACTGCGGAAGCTGTGCAACGACTCGACGAGGGACCGCTGTGCATGATGGAACTGCAAGAACAATTCACGAACGAACTAACTACCGAGGACGGGACTTCATACCGTCGTGCAAAGTTGATGAACTGGAGCGCGGTTTACGAACAGTGCGGCCGGTGGCGATCTCCTCAGCATACGGAACTCCAATTACGGCGCCGCGGCGCTGGCGAGCCACACGGGCCCAGTAAGGATGGCAGCATTGAATTCGATGCGCCCCCCTCGATACGAGATTTGGGAGCGACTCGCGTCGAACAAGATGAGTATAGGCTATAGCGTCTTCACCGGTGAAACATGTTGAACGCGCACGGAGGTCAGCCAACACGAAAGCAGAGCACATTGTCCGGATGAGGAAGGTGGGGTGCCTTCCTGGGAAAACAGGTTGTGTGTGCAAGATATGGGGTCAGATAGAGGCAAACGACGGTGCTTCCTTGGCTGCTTCCGCGAGTGCAACCACGGGTGCCGCATGTGATACCCGCTCTGTTTTCGCGACCTCGTCGTCACTGTGCCGTTCCTGTGCCGTACGCAATACAGGGCGTGGGCGGGGCGCGAGCCACGTGGAACGGGTGATGCTAATATTGGTTCGGTTTGCGACCTCATCGTCATCGCGTTCTGCTCGGTACGCTGCCTTTGTCGTACGTACAAGTACCTGCGAGTTCGCGAAGAGTGGGACAGGAAGCACGAGTGCTCACCGAAGGGCTAAATGCACCCATACCGTGTTGATATGAATGCGCTAGGAGCGACCAAGAAGGAGCCCTAGATCTCAGCAGAAGAGTGCTCGCGGACATGTCAGTCCGCTTTACCCGTTTTCGGCCACCATTGTGTTCGGAGGAACGTGCTTGGCCAAACCCGCGCATGGCAGATTTGATTTGGGGCGTGTGTGTCTGCAGCTGGGCACTGCGTCGCCTGTGCTTCCGCTTATCCTGAACGAGCGTACGAAAAGAGCGAGGCTGGTGCGAATGTGGGCGTTGGTAGTCGAAAAGGGAAGGAGGGCGTCACTCAGGAACGAAGGCAAACACAAACACGATCGGCCTGACTTGTTGGGGTGCAATCTTCACTCCACCACGGTACACGGCAGGACAGCCAGTCATATGCGACGAGTCACCTGGCCGCACATGGGATCTATGGCAGACTTCGACGCACGACAGACAAATGTCATGGCATAATGCAGGGTTGACGAGGAAGCATGGCATCAAACAAGATGTAAATGGAGCATCGATTGCCTTAGTCCTGTTTGGCCGTTTCGAGGTATTACGGAGGGATGACTGCCAGCGAGTTGCAGGCCGCTTATCACGCCACAATACGGCATGGCGCGTAAGTACCAAGTCGCACCCCAAAGATAACCAGCCAAGCTTTTGGGAACGGTGCACGGAATATGAGGTAGGAGGCGGTGTAGCAGGCGTCCGACATGTCGGACTTTGCGAAGATGTGCCGTCGTCAAAGGTGGGGCGCCGCCCAGTGGGATTACCAAATAAGGAAATGAGGCGCTCGCTTGAAGCCCCACAACGTCCTTGCCATGCCAAGATTCAGCCAGCCATGTTTTGGTAGCCTTCTGTTGTTCGAAATGAACGACCGTTCGGTCATGCATGATCGCTGACGTCGCACGGTCTCGCACCCCTGCCTTGCCTCCCGATACTCTCTCCCGGTCCTTGCAGCCAGTATGTGCCGGCGTACGCTGGGCCGAGTCGCCGGGTCGAGAAATTGTAGAGCACCGCCTCGGTGCCTGCGATGACATGGGCCAGGGGAGCGGCGCAGGGCGCGCCCGGTGGCGGGCGTCGGTGCGCGACGTCGGGCGAGAATGGACCCCGAAAGATACACGGCCTGTTCGCCGTGGAGCGCTTCTATCAATAGGCAGAAACCCGCGCAGGCCCCGATTGCGGACGGGAGGCCCAATGTGGAGTGCGCCCGAATCGATTCTGGGATTTTCTGGCCTGCTGTCCCAAAGAGGAAGGCGTCGTGGTGGAGCTGTGCGCCGAACCGACTGCCAAGGAAGAGGCGCCCCGGTTCAGCTTCGCTCGCTGCCGTCGGTGTGTGAGCCGGCGCCACCCCATTTCCGCACTCCCCGGGCGCCTTCTCGCAGATCGCTCCACCTCCTCCCTTTTTCGGAAAACCACTCATGTTTCGCTGCGCCCTGCTTGTCTCCTCCAACAATGGTCCGCATAATCTTTGCGCCCCTCGCGCCACACGGCGTCTTTCACAAACCTATAAAGACAGCCCCCCCTGCTGCAGTCCTCCTCAGCATCCGGACATACCCACTCCTCCAAAAGCTTAACATCGTCTAAGGATTCTTCCTTCGCCACACACCTTCTACACCATGTCCCAGAACACCAAGACTTTCTACGCCGACGCCGTCCTCTTCGATATGGTACGTTGACGTCGCCACCCTCGGCGAGAGGTTTTTCTGACTTGGCTTCGTACAGGACGGTACCCTCACCGACTCCATCTCAGCCGTCGAGGCGGCATGGGGTAAGGTTGCGAAGGACATCGGGCAAGACCCGTCCTACGTGATCGCTGCCACCCACGGCAAGCGCGCCGTCGACAACCTCTCGCAGTTCAAGCCTCACATCAAGGAGCACGAGATGGAGACCGAGGTCCAGGCCTTCGAGGAGTCGATCCTCTACTTCGCCGACGCGTACAACCTCCACGGTCCCGGCTCGCGCCAGAACTCCCCCCTCGCCACGCCCGCTGCCTCTGGCGAGACAACACCCGCGCTCACCCCGGGTAACTCCACGCCCTCGTCCCGCAACTCCTCTCGTACTTCCTCATTCGTCGGCGGTCTGAGCAACCTTACCGCGTTCCGCCGTCGCCCATCATTCCTCCACCGCGTCAGCAGCTTGCTCGCGATGACGCCCGACCGCGCACGTATTGCGGAGTCGACTGTCGACGAGGACGAGGAGAGCACGTTCGTCCAGGACGACAAGCAGGATAAGCAGTCGAAGCTTCACCAGCTCCAGGCATGGCAGGAGGAAGCCGCAGCGATTGACCGCTCCGTGCGCATCCTCCCTGGTGTGAAGAGGATGATCGACTCCATTCCCGCGGGTCACTACGCTGTTGCGACATCGGGCGCAAAAACATACGGTATGTTCCATCCTTGCCGTTCATGAGCCCGAACATGGTGCTGACCGACTTTCCCCTACAGCGCACGGCTGCATGACGCGTGTTGGCATCACCCCGCCGCCAGTCACGATCACCGCCGACGACAAGCGTCTCAAGGCCGGCAAGCCCGCGCCCGATCCGTTCCTGCTCGCGGCGGAGTGCCTCGGGTTCGACGCGAAGAAGTGCGTCGTCTTCGAGGACTCGCCCTCCGGCATCAAGGCCGGCGTCGCGTCGGGCGCGACGGTCATCGCCGTCTGCACGTCGCACGACAAGGAGAAGATCGAGAACGCCGGCGCGCACTACCTCGTCGAGAACATGGACAAGGTCGTCTGCGAGCCCGTCGAGATCGACGGCAAGCTCCAGCTGAAGTTCACCGTCACCGACTCGATGTGTTGATCGCTCTGCCGATCTCTCGTGCGCGGACTCATGTTATGTAGCTCTAGTCTCCGTCTCCTCCTATGATTGTCGTTCCTCGTCGCTTTCCTTGTGCTCTGTTCACTGCCAGGCAGTTGTAGTATATAATTCAGTCCGTAGATGTTCATCACCAGTAATGATACCACCGCAATTGAGTTTCTGTACCGTCCTTATGCGACTCTGAACTGGATTCCTCTTGTCTGAAATGAAGACGCCTTACCCCGTCTCAAATCTCCGCTGAAAACGTTGTCGCGTTGCCCTTGCTTTGCTTAGGCTCAATGCTCCAAAAATTCTTCATCTACTCTACAAGAGGCGTGAACGTGGGAACGCGAGACAAACGCTAAGACAAACACCAGAGACAAGAAGCAAGACAAGAAGACGGGACAAACGCTAGAGACATTCTCATTGGCTGAGAGACGGACGCCCGAGCGCTGCCCGAGCCTCTCAAGCGCTCCGAGCTACCGTGACTGTACTTCATCCCTCCTCCGAGTCGTCCTCATTATTCCTTAGACTCGCGCGCGACCCTCATGCTCATTTCTCACTCTGGCATCGGAGGGCGCGGATCAGCAGGGCAGCGGTAAGGTGCAGACAACGAGTGACAGGAGTGCACCGAGCGGAGCGATGGAGACGACCACCGTCACAGTGAGTGCAGACACACGCGAGCGAGCGGGCTAACTGCAGGCACAGGACGCGGCGACGTGCAGCCCGACGCATCACGATCACAAGCATGCAGGCATGGCTGATGAATGGGCGGCGGGCGGACGAGCAGGCCAGCGAGAGGCACACGCCGACCGTGAGGCGGCTGAGCAAATGCCCAGCACGTAGACACGGCCGACGAACGGATGGCGGGTGCACAGTGGCCGAAGGAGTCGTAGAGACAGAATGGGCAGGCGCAGGGCGCAGTCGCCGTGGCGACATGAAGCGCGACGCGCACGCCGACCGCGAGCGCGCCAGGCGAATGCCCGGCACACAGACATGGCCGACGAACGCGTGCAGAGCAAGCGGGCAGGTGGGCGAGCCGGCGGACAGGTGAGCAGGCGTGGAGGGGCAATCGGACGGGTAAGCAAGCGAGTACATGGAGAGCAGGAGGGCGAGCGAGCGAGTAGGTGACAGCGTATACGTCGACCGCGAGCGCACTGAGCGAACATTCACTGCACGCAGACACGGCCTCCGATCGCGCACGTAGGCAGGCCCCGAGCGGGTACACAATTGAGCCACGACACGCACAGCGAGGGCGAGGGCGAAATTTCAGCTTCAGCGAGCATGCAGGGCAAAGCCCCCGCGTGAAGTGCAGCCGACAAGCGGACCACGGGCGCGGGCTCAGCTATGAACAGGGAGGGTCAGCAGACAGCGGGCGCGGACGGGAACGAGTAGGCAGGGAAGGGCGAATGGCTGGCAGAGATGGGTGAGGATGAGGTGATGAGAGGCGCGAGGACGAGTAAGGACGAGCGAATGTCAGGTACGGCGTGCGGCAACGCCGAGGATGCAAGCATAACACCCACGAGTCGGAGTCGGAGAGTGGCCACTCGGGAGCCATGGGCATAGGTGCGCTGCACATCTGAATATCTTCCAAGTTCCGCTGTTGATCAATGGCATCTCTCCCTTACTGCGGTGCGGAGAGACAGGGGTCGAAGGCAGATACATTCAAGTAGTACCACCCGAAAGTAACCTGAGCCAGCAAACAGGTGAGGATGTGACATCCAGTTTCATCGCAGTCGGTAAGTAAGCATTCCTCCAATATACCGCTGTAGATGCATATTTCACGGCCCGGCACAGGGCCACGAAGCCGACTCCCGAAGGGAGACGGCTAAGTGGCATTTCAACTATCAGTCTCTTACAGAAGTCACCTATGTTTGCAAGTAACATAGAATAGAACAGTCACGATTTTTGAGTGGTCGCCCTGCTATGCGCTCAAAGCCGTAGAGAATGTATCTGACTGAGAGATATGCAATCGAAAGCGCATACCTGTAGCGGAGCACGGGCATCGGCTAGTGTGTATACAGTTCATGACTATGTACTTGCTCACACGCATAATAGCTGGTCGAGCCAAAGCTAAGCGCTAAGCGCTAAGCGATCACAATGAGCTAAATTCACTTGGTTTATAACACACCAATTGCCAATCGCGATCGACATAACTACATCAAGCTCGGTCGTCCATGAGCCCACAGCTACAAACAAGACTACTATCAGTGGCCCTGCAATGCAATCGAGACAGTAATGCAATTATTCAACTCTGAGATGAACTGTCCCTTCAAATATTCTGGGATTTTCGTATATCATACTTCATGCCATGCTCTATATCATCATGTACATCGACAGATGTATTGTCCAACCTTTTGGATGTAGGAAATTCGAAGTGTGCCGTTTTCGCTCGTCTGCCACACCTGTACTGCCTCGGCTAACATCATCCCTTATGCGATTGGGCTGAAAGCCTGGAAAGATGATTTTATGATGATATACTACCTACTACAGATTTTTCCGGTGGCATCTGCTCAATGCTGCTGCCTCGGGAGAGGAAAGTCTGTGAATGGTGGTCTGAGCGTGACAAGCAGCCACCCGTTGATCATGGATCTCAACTCCGCTCCTTGCCGACAGGCGGCCGCCGGCACCATGTATGTGCAACCGTACAAGTCCAGTACTGTCTTCGTTGAGTCTTCGTGTTCCATGGCGAGTCGATGCCAGGCCCGTGCAGGTCTCGTGTACGAAAGGCCCAGGACGAAGCTGCTATCAACAACGCCCTTCGAGAGATTCGCAGTCAGTCTGGTGATGTTAATGTCAAGGGTATTGCAGCTCGTCATGGCGCACCTTACTACACTCTACTTCGCCGTCTCCAGGGAAAGACGAAGCCTCGGTCAGCTGCCCATGCAGCTCAGCAACTGCTCAGTCCAGGACAAGAACAGGCCTTCATCGACTGGATCAAGCATCTCAGTGAAATCGGACGACCTCTCAGCAAACGCACCATTGCGAAGAAGGTACAACGACTCACCAAACGGCAACAGCGTCCTTCGCGGAAATGGGTCCGTGCATTCCTCAATCGACATCCAGACATACGCCTCGGGAAGCCATCCGGCCTGGATCCAAAGCGTGCACAGGCCTTCAATGAGGCCACAGTCGAACGCCACTTTGAGCTGCTGCGCAAGCTTCTTGACGAACATGGTATCCCGTGGTCGAACGTCTATAACATGGATGAGAAGGGCGTGCAGCGAGGAGGAGGACGAAAGACTCAGCTTCTCAAATACTTCATTCCGCGCGAGCGTCGTCCGCAGTACAAGATTCGTAGCCCAAATCTTGAGCTTGTCACGATCATCGAATGCGTGTGTGCGGATGGCGAGAGCCTGCCACCTGGTTTCATATTTGCTGGCAAGGAGTTTCATCCAGAATGGTTTGAAGTCGACCCAGAGATCAGGTATGCATGACATCTTCATATATCCGGGAGCCTACAATACTGAGAGTATTATCAGTGTCTCGATGTCACCGAATGGGTGGACAGACGACTTCCTGTGCACTGAATGGTTCGAGAAGACCTTCATCCCGCAGGCACAAGCACGAAATGACGCAGGCGCACCGATCCTCCTCATCTATGATGGTCACGGATCCCATACAACGAGCCGCATGGTCGAACTCGCCCTCGCAAACAACATCCACCTTTTCTGTCTACCTCCGCATACGACACATAAGCTACAACCGCTTGATGTCGGTGTCTTTGGCCCTTTGCAGCGCGCCTGGCAGGAGCACTGTGACGATATCCTGGACGAGACCGGCGAGGAGATTCGTCGCGAAGATATTGTCAAGGAGTATATGGCCGCTCGGAACAAATCTGTTACCCCTGACCTCGTACGGACGGCGTGGCGCAGATGCGGTATGGCACCGCTTAACCCGCACATTTTCACGGAGCACGACTTCGCACCGAGCAGGTCATCTTCTACATCGGCACATGCACCAGCGAGTTATCCGTGTAGCGAACGCGCCACGTCGACTACTACTGGGAGCCCTGTGGCAACCTCTTCTCGCATGACCATAGATGCTGCTGAAACTGGGAACTCACCTCGACCTCCCGGAGGCGATGTTGGAGACGAGTGGTTTGATGATGACGGCGATGGAGGTGGATCGGATGATGAGGACATCGAGGAGGGGGGACGCGGAGATTGGGGATATGAGACGGATGAAGAGCTGTTGGAGGAGGATCTCGCAACACGCACCGCAGTGGCGCCAACGGTTTCCTTATCGAGCGGCTCATCAGTTGACGATTGCGGTTTGCGGCTTTTGAACACTGCACCCGGGCCCGCGACCATGCGGCCCTCAGCTGATTCGGTCGCTCCTCTGCCCAGCGATGAGTCGCAACTCCTAGAGCCACCGACCAGCAATTCATGGACCTCCGAGTCAGTGGCCTCCACCGTCGTAGTCCCCACAACTCTACGATTCAACAACTCACCAGAGCCCGGACCATCTTCGCTCTCCGCCTCCGAGTCGCAACAAACACGGGAGACTCGGATGCACACTGCCCCCCCGCCTCGAAGTCCAACGCCGCTGTCGCCCACGATCGCCCAGCGAGAACAGCAGACCAACGCCAAGGTAGCACCTCTGCTTGTCAAGGCGTACGACAAACGCCTATCGCAGGAGCGCCGCTTCAAGGCCCTCGAGGCAGTTGTGGGGATACTCTCTGAGGAGAACAGCGGGTTGTACAGCGAGCTCGGTGAGACCCGTACCCATTGCGATATGGCTCGGATGGAGTCCGATGACCTACAGAAGAAGCTCAATGCAAAGACGGCTCGAGCTAGCCAGGGCAAGAAGCGCAATCTAGTCACGGATTCGCGCACGTTCACGTCTGGCGAGGGTCTTGCGGCTTGGCGGGAGCAGGAGGAGCAGCGCAAAGCGAAAGAACAGGAGAAGACAGCTGCCAAGGCACGGCAGGCTCAGAAACTCGCTGATCGAGAGGTTCAACGCCAACAACGAGAGCAATCCGGAGTCTTCTCGGGGTCCTTGTCGTCAAAGCTGCGAGACGAACTCCTGGACATCGCCACTGCATTGGACATTCCTGTCGAAGGCAAGAAGAAGCCCGAGCTGCTGGAATCGATCAGGAATCATTTCACTGCGAATCCGGAGCTGAAAGAGCAACCACGCTTCTGTGGTATTTTCCGAGGGCGGAAACGCACAGCCGCAGCAGCAGAGCTTGACGAGCCAGTAGATCAGCCCGCCGCGACACGCCGCCAGGTCGATACAAGTGCTAGTATGTCATCATCTTCGACGCTGTCACCTCGTGCCATTACTCCGACGTCCATATCCCCCACACTCCCAAACATCCCTCCGCCTGGCATCGTCTTTCCGCCTCATGCCATGTCGATGCCAAGCATTGCGCAGCCTAGCGCGCCGTTCTCGGAAAACGGCCCCTGGCAACCTGCTGCAGGTCCAAGCACCCTCAATTTCGCCCAAATGCGCCCTGACTCGGAGCATCTTGTCGCGTCGCCGACTGGTACGATCAGTGGACATTACCATTATATTCCTCTGTCTTATAATATGTCTGATGTGTTCATGCCTAGAGAATAAGCTCGTTCTAATACACCGTCGTACACAGGTGCCCCGTCGTAGCATAGATGATTAATCTTCACTAGTAACATAATTCGTAGAGTACATACTTCATTGTCTATTTGATTAGAGTACAGCAAACACCTATTACTGGTCCCACGACCTCGATTGCCACCAGAATCGTCTGTTGCCGAGTCGTCGACAACCGCACTCGTCGCTGCTCGCCGGCTCTCGAGCAGTTGCACTACTGTACCACCGACAGCTTCAGCCACAGCCGGCAGTACTCGGCAGAGCGGATCTTCAACCTCGGCCGCGTCGGCATTGTGACAGTCACCGTGACCAACCTCGGAGAAGAGTTGCATTACTGTCTCGATCCTCTCTCCCTCTCGGCATCCACCCTCTCCTACTCTATCAGACCTGTAAAATCGTGGAAGGTGCTTTCAGACCTCAGGATTCCGAAAGTGAAAACTCCGAGAGCTTCCGGTAAGTGGTTCGTCCTGCGGAGAGGAAAAAAAGCGAAAGTTGCACTTCTGGTACAGTGATAGTACACTACCGCTACAGTTGAGTACACGTTGTGCTCAGATCCCAGGTTACAACGCCTGGTTCGGCCGGCCTGTTGAGAGGGACGGCACACCACAGCTGAGAATAATCAAACCAGATATATCACCCTCTCCAACACGCGGCTCCATTTATCTGCGTCCTTGAAGCCGTCATCCCACTCACCTCGCCAAGCGACGATGCCATCTGGGCGCACGACGACAGCGCCTCGTTCGCTGACGCCGCACTGACGCGCCCACTCTCCGTCCGCGTCCACCCAGTCTCCGCCCTCTCCGACGACCTCCACGTGCACCAAGTCGCCCTCCAGCTGCTCCCACCCGACGTCACGCTGTCTCGCCAGCAGCAGCATCTGACGCAGCGGTATGAGGTCGAACACTGCGACCCTCCGGCCCTGAGCTACTCCATGATTTTGGAGCCATGCGTGCGGGACGTTGTGCCCGGGGATAGTCGACGGGTAGTAAAACTCCGTCGCCAACTCCCCGGCCTCGGTGAGCTGTCCATCATGCCTGCTCCTCGCGCCTTCGCCATCGAAGTCCGCGGACGGGTAGAACCAGCCCACCTCTGCGCCAGGCGCCTTGAACTCTGAGTCGAGCGTCTTCAACGCGCGTTCCACCGCGGCGCGCTTACTTGCGTACCCGGGTGTGTCGGGTCGAAGTAGGGCTTCAGTGCGGCCCAGTTCTGCTCGGGCGAGTTGTCTGCGCTCATGCCCAGAGCGGCATCCATGACGAGGCTGTGGCTCCGCAGGTTGTACAGGCTGGTACGCCCGACACGCTCGCCGATGGGCTTGCGCTCGGTGTCGTAGATGTCGAGAAGCGCGTCGTACTTCGCCTCATCCTGCAAAGCGAGGGCGAGCTTCCAGATCAGGTTCGTGACGTCCTGCACCCCCGTGTTCATGCCGAGCGCGCCCCATGGCGGGATGCGATGCGCAGCGTCGCCGGCTAAGAAGACACGCTTCGTGGGGCGGTACCGCTCTGCGTAGATGGCGTTGACGTTCCAGGGGCTGAGGCTGAGCATGTCGATGGGTAAGTCGGGAAGCTGCAGAGTTTCGCGGACTCGGTTCGCCATGGCTTCCGAGTCGATACGTTCCGGGTTCATAGCACCTGGCATACAGACCAAGACCCACTCCTCCGTCTCCGGCTGGGCGGGCCAAGGGCCGATCTGGTAGAGGAAGCCCGTCCTCACGCCGCCTCCGAGGTCGGGGCGGGTGAACCAGGTGATGAAATTGCGGGGATCTGGATGATATTTGGAGAGAGGAGAACGGAAGTGGGCGGTGACCATGTTGTGGATGTCACTCTCCCCGAGCCAGCGCACGCCGAGCTTGTCCGTGAAGCTACGCCCACCATCTGCGCAGATCACGAAGCGTGCACGGACGTCCTGTTCGGGTTCCTGGCCATTAAAGCGAACTTTCAGGACGGCATAGTCGTCGCCCTCCTGTTCACGGACGTCAGTGACCTCGGCGCGGTACTTCAGAGCCTCGGAGTTCAGCTCCTGCGCCCTCTGCTTCAAGATCGGCTCGAGCCTGATCTGCGGCAAAGTCGCGTACTTGCTAGGGCTGTGCTTCGAGAACTCCTCTGCGTAGGGACCCGCACCCCATGCATAGCGCGACGCAATCTCCTTACCCTCGGGGCCCAGACTCGTGTACCAGGCAGTGCGGCTGGTCACTTCGGGCGGCCCAGCGACGGCGTATACGTCTTCCTCGATGCCTAGTTTGCGGAATATCTCCGTTGTGCGCTGGTTGATACCGCATGCTTTCGGGTGGATGGAGGTGGAGGGTCGTCGCTCGAAGAGGACGTGCGGGATGCCTCTGAGGGAGAGGAGGATGGAGGAGCAGAGGCCGACAGGCCCGCCACCGATAATAGCAACGGGATAGATCTCGTCGGAGGAACCTGGCATGCCGAATCCTGTAATAAAATTCGTACACACTTCAGTCACTGGCACGATCATGGATCACAACGCCTCGGCCAGTGCCTTGAAAGCAAGCTTACCGTATTGACTCGTGTGGCCTGTTAGCTGTAGGACTGGGGTGCCCTCCCCGCGAGGATGCCTGGTTTAAATCGTCGAGGGTACAGACTGTCCGAGGGAGTATTGACCGTTCATGGAAACCGCGGCACTGGAAGCGCATCATACGTCTCGCCTACGTCAGCTCTAGAGCCATCGGCATGCCGCTTTTTGCGAGCTGTATAGAGACCAGGGTAATGTACATGCTGCGATGAAAAGAAGAAGGTTTCTCTCAGGCTGGAATAAGCTGTATTAGGCCCGTATTAGAGCCCAGCGGCGCAGATCGGCAGTCAATCAAATCGCTCGGCCAATAGCGGCCGCAGCTGACCCTCTCAAGCGCTCGCAATCCCGGTCATGTGCCTCGCGCGACTCATCCGGTTCCGCGACGCGTCGAGTCGGGCGACCATCACTTTGCTCGACCTCTGTTCTCCTCTGTTGGATGCCAGCCTCTCAGCTTGCACTCACAACCTACCAAATAATATAGAGCCAGATATAATGTCGGGCGCAGAGAACAGCTCGATTGCCGGGGCCGACAGCGATGACGATTTCGACTGGGAAGAGGTCGCCGTGCCGCAATCAGAACAGCTTCCTGCGGTGTCTCTGGCCGCCGATGATGATGTCCAAGAAGGCCCCTCACGTAAACCACACATTGAGATCACAATAGAAACGGAGAGGAGAGGCAAGAAAAGAACAAAGTACGTACGTCCACATCACCGGCGGTAGCCTCTAGAGTTCATTGCGCTCGCAGGAAGGACCCTCGAGCGGCAAAGCTGTACGTTGAGAGGCTCACCCGCCTGGAATGTCACCAGATACACACGGTCTGCCTACTTGCAAACGCCAGGATACGCAATAAGTGGATCAACGACCCTCTCTTACATGTGCGTGCTCTCGCACAGATCACATCCGCGACCTATACTCATGTCAGTCTTTGCTAATCATGCCAACGTATAGGCCCGTCTTCTCTCCATAACTCCCCTTCACTTACAAAATGCATTCATGACGATTACCAAGCCTCGCATCCCGGACGCCGCAGAGCGTGGACATCGCTTCGAGGCTGCCCTCACGCGTCTAACTGAGTGGTGGACCGACAACTTCCGCGTCGAGCCCACAGGACATATTCGAAATCGGACTTTCGACGAAGTGCAGAAGATGCTCAACCAGGATCCGAAGGGTAAAGGCAAGGATCGGGCGGAGGACGTCCTCGACGATGATGAGGGTGAGGTTATTCGGAGCGAGAAGAGCCTCATGAAGCGTGCCCTGTTGATGCGAGGCTCCCGGGATACCAGCGCGCAGCTCTTCACGGCGCTCTGCAGGGCACTCAGCATACCGGCCCGGCTCATGGTGAGTCTGCAGAGTGTGCCGTGGCAGGCCGGCGTCGGCAAGCCTAAACCTCCAGCCACGAAAAAGAAGAAAGATAAAGGGAAGGATACGGGTGTAAGCACCGGCGTTGGTAAAGGGAAGGAGAAGGCGGTACCGGACAATGAGGATGAAGATGATATGGAAGAAGTTGAGATCCCGGGGACACCGAAAGGAAATGTCGGAGGTGCCTCACCCTTTCCCGGGTCCGGTCAGCGACTGGATGGCGGTTCATCTACACCAGTCAGCGGTGACGCTAAAGGCAAGCAGAAAGCACCTCCCGTCATCAAGCTACGGAAAACCAGAGGCCGCAAGTTGGGATCGGAGCCTGCGCCTAGCCGCCCTCCACGGAGTAGGTTGTGTTCAGTATCATACGTGGTGGTAGTACTGACCGAGATCGTGGCTGACCGTGCACCAGGGGAACGCACGCCTGACCCGACCACCACGCCGCCAGTGTTTTGGACGGAGGTGTTTTCCCGTGCTGACGCACGTTGGATCCCAGTCGACCCTATCCGGTGCTTGATAAACAAACGCAAGGTTTTCGACCCAACGCCGAACCCTAATGCTGCGGTGAAGCCAGACCGAACCCGTCCGGTAAGAGTCGAGAACCGAATGGTGTATGTGGTCGCATTCGAGGAGGACAGTTACGCCAGAGATGTTACTCCGCGATACGCAAGGGAGTACGGCGCAAAGGTCGCCAAGGTTCAGCAGGGCGGGAGAGGCAGAAAGGAGTGGTGGGAGCGGATCCTGGCGATGGTCAAGCGGCCATATCAGCTAGTAAGGATCCGCGTCATTGTCATGGACTTGTGTCGGGTATTGACTCGTTTGTCCTGGGCACAGCACAGAGATGACATGGAGGACGAAGAGTTGCAGACAAATCAGCTCACGGAAGGAATGCCTACCTCGATGGCCGGTTTCAAAGACCATCCATTGTGTGTGCCTTCCTGTAGTGCATGAATGGGAACAGCTGAGCTCATGCTGATTTACGCAGGTATGTTCTGGGGCGACATCTCAAGAGAGACGAGATCGTTCATCCTCTGGTGGAATTGGGGAAGTTTCGCGGAGAGCCCGTATACTCGCGCTCGTCTGTGCTACAGCTCAAAGCCGCCGAGAACTGGATGCGACAAGGCCGCAGGGTCAAGGAAGGTGCTCAGCCAATGAAATGGGTAAAGCAGCGTGCGATGACTGTCAACAAGCAACGTGCCATTGAACTGGCACTGTCGGAGAAGAGAGACCGGTCCCTCCAGGACCCAGAGGCGAATGCAGAAGGCTTCGCTACAGAAGATAGCGCGATGCAGGGCCTCTACGCAGAACGCCAGACGGAATTGTACAGGCCCGATCCTGTCATTGATGTGAGTGTACCAGTCATCGCGCCGCATCCTAACTGAAGATTGCCTGGTGATATAGGGCCGAGTGCCAAAGAATGACTTTGGGAATATTGATTTGTATGTTCCGACCATGCTGCCCGCTGGCGCGGTGCATATACCTTGTGAGTGCCATTGATCACTAATCGTGTAGCGTGATCTCATGGTGAATTTAGTCAAGGGTACAGCTAAAATCGCACGCCAACTGGGGTTTGATTACGCGGAAGCAGTGGTGGGTAGCACAATCTCTGTCAACTGTCCGTCGGCCAACCACGCGTGCTTCAGACTGGCTTCGAATTCAAGAAGCGAAGGGCATTCCCCGTTATCACCGGAATTGTCGTCGCTGCAGAGAACGAGGAAACCATGCTGGAGGTACGGCATATCCATGAGCCTGTGAAGCAGGACCTTGCGTTGCTCACGTCGATACCCGTCACCGTTCAGGCATACTGGGAAGCAGAGCATGATGCCGAAGAGAAACGACGTGCTAAGAGGGAAGACCAAGCCATCAAGAGGTGGAAAAGGCTCATTCACGGCCTCCGTATACGGCAGCGTCTGCAGGAACAGTACGCGGACGCGGAGCAGCGGGGGAGCTCACCGGTCGGTGCCGCAGATGAGGTTGGTTCCAAGGTGTCAATGGAGTCCGCCGTCGTTCTGATTGCACACGTGCAGGAGGTCCAGCAAGAGGGGGGTTTCCTGACGGGCGCGGATGACGTTGTACAGCCGTATACTCTGCCGCGCAATTTCCACGAGCTGCTTCCTGCATCCACTGCTCTTTCGCTGGAACCTTCAGCTCGAGAGTCGAGCGCAGATCCCGCCAAGGATAGCCAAGCCAGCAGGAGAGACACACTGCCTGCCGCTCTCGACGACGTGATGAGCGAGGACGGCGACGATCGCATGGAAGAAATCACGACCCCTGCTCAACAGATGGGAGGAGCAGAAGCGCAACAGCAGCTGAAGCCCAAAACGATGCTAGAGCTCGCGGAGGCAGCCGCAGAGAAGCAGGATCTCAGCGGGGGTCAGCTTCCCGCATCGTCTTCGCTGTCATCGGATCGGACAATAGGTCAAACTAACGGGACTGGCGCCCGTGTGCCGCCCACTAATATTGGGGAGGACACGGTGCGGCGAGCCAGCAGCACTCGGACGTCTCGAAAGGCCGATGCATCTCGGAGTAGGAAGCGTAGGAAAGCACCCGCTGACAGCTCTGAACCGGAGGTGGAAGGAGAGAACGGGCCATCCACGCAGGCGTCTCCGGCGAAACGCGCCAGAAAGGCCGCCCCGCCATTACCTGCCCCGACGAGAGTCCTGCGCACGCGGACGGCGAAGAGTACGGCGAAGATCCAGGAAGAGAGGGAGATGGAGGAAGCCTATAGAAAGGCCGTTACGGAGTAGTAGTGTGCGTATCATCAACGTATCATTATACATATCTCTCTGACGTAGGCACAAGACGATACCTTATTCGCCACCTAATGTACCGTTACTATTTATATGTCCCTGGCCGGCTTGTTAGTGCATATTTCGTGATTGAACTGCAGATAGTTTACCTCGACCGGCGTGCCGGAAGCACTGACAATTTCCTGGGCTGCAGAATCTGCTTCGACGCTTGGGTCCGCTGGTAGGAGGCAGGCGAATGTGAGGTAAGAGGTGTGCCCCCGAACTTCAGGAAATGTTTTGGACAGGGTCGTCTTTGTCGAGGTCAAGGACTCGGCGGCATCTTGAGGTAATGCTGCTTCCTCGAGTTTGACGGCGCTTGTGGCTGGGCGTCCCGACGGCTGGTTCCCTGCTTCAGGCAAATGCTCGTCCTCATGCTGCATGGCGTCGTCCTCGTCGTCTGTCTTGGGCCTCTTCCCTGTGCTTCCCCCCGCTCTGTCGCCGTCGCCATCGTCCACATCGCCGGAACGCTTGCGCTTGCCGGCGCGCGAGTGGGCGATCTGTCGCAGGCGTTTCTCTTCCCGCCTCTGCTCAGCCTTCTTCAACTTCACGCTGACCTCGCAGACGGTTGGGAGTACAGGCGCGGAGTCGACTTGATGGGGGCGCAGGAGGGTTTCGTACATGGTGATGTCTGGCAGACGTCAAGTGAGCTAAGCTATCGCTTCCGCCGGGCCTTCGCTGAATGACGGAGGACAAGGGTGACCATACCTGTGAAGCCAGCATCGTTCAGTGCGGTCACGGTCCGTAGCACCTGTTCCATGCAGGGGCTGAAGCAGCAGATCCGTGTTATTCGGTCGCTCTATCAAACGCAATCAGTATTGTGAATGCATGGTAAAGCCTAACCAGCTGTAAAGGGGGGTGACAGAATGGAGATGCTTTACCCTCAATGCTTTTTTGGCATGCTCAACTGCCTCCCAAGGCATCGGCAGGTCGAGGAACACTGCCCGGAAGCGGTCATTCAGTGCCTACGAAGCCCTATCAATGCCTGAGCGAATGTACAGGCACGTACCGGCATCGACAGTATCAGCTACGGTGAACCCGTCCTTGCACACATTTCTGTGGGTGAGAGTAACGATGTCGTCCATGCCATGGCGGCTGAATTCTTCTCTGGAACGACTAGGTCAGTCTGACATCATCCAACCGACGCCTGGCAGAACGTGGGATGCTCTTGAACATCAGAAAATGGTACGGAAATGTTGTAAATGACAAGGTGGCGTTTGGAAGCACTATTGAAAGGAGGAGATGGTGTGGCTTCCGCTACCATGTGGATGCGCCAAAGGAAATGCACCTACCTGGCCTTGCTGGCACGCGCCTCGTGGAACTCATATGACCATAGGTGCCCAGTGGACCCTATCGTACGTGCAACGGAATGGGTGAATGACCCGGATCCTGTGCCTGTGTTCGACACAACAGGGAAGGGTGCGCTGCTCAGCGTTGGGCAGACCACGGCTTTTGCGGGAACATACCTGTAGAGCCCTGATGTTAGTATTTGGAGGCACACATCCGCAGCCAGCTATCTCTGTGCGAGTGTTGAAAGCTTCCGGCTAGTGACTTATCCGTACTAGCATAGCCTTCGGGAAGGCTGTGCCAGAACGGATGAGTCCAACTTCTCAAATTTTGTGTCTCAGAATTGAGATCCGCTCTCGTGAGGGCATCAAGTCAATCTTGACACTGCCGTGCTCCCGTCCCGGATGACATAATGGACGACGAACATACCAGCTTCGATAACACGGCTTCCAGGCTTGATGTTGAGCCATGAGCAGACGAAGGCGATGTCTGCGAGGTATAGAATTTGCGTACGATGCGGCAAGGCCAACGTCCAGAGTTCTGGAGTGGGCCTCAACACATGGATGAAGCCCTTGCCATTGCGAGAGCCGATCTTCGAGCCGTAGGGCACGCCGATGAGATCTGCATGGCGATATACACCGTACTTGCTATTGAGCTCTCTTCCGGGGGTGATCACCAGGGGCTGGACTAAATCCCTGGTCTGACCGCAGTCAGCCCGGCCGAAGATGCGATGAGAGAGAGAAGAGAATCACCAGCCACACGATGATCAAGTCGCCCGCTGCGATCTCTCTGGCCGTAGACCACATGCGTCGTGGAGACTGCAACTTGCGGACGGGGTACAGCCCGAGTGTAGCTGAGCAGTTGCGGGTACAGAGAGAAATAACAAACGCGGAAGCTTTCTGGACGGGAATGGGAAGAAGCGGCTGGCGGAAAGCGCAGAACGGGATCTGGCGGGTCGTTGAAAATCTCGGCTGGGTGTGTCAATTGACGGTGTGGGAAGATCCGTTAGCGAGCAGGGATCTTGGGCGAGGCGCTGGTACCGGGCTGGCGGAGCCAGGTTCACGAGTAATATCCTCGCATTCCTCCCGCGCCTTCACGGCTCCTCCGAAGCTCGCAGCCATTATTCGCATTCCGGCGTCACAGCCTGGCCGCAGGGCATCCATCCCCAGCCGCAGCGGCGCCCTCAGCGGCCACACATCGCGCACGCATCAACCGCGGCCGAATGAAATGCCCATCGACGTTGGCTGTCACATTGCTGTCTCTTCCAGTCGCGTGGAACGTTCCGCCCGTGTAACGGCAGGAAATCAGCGAAGGCCGTCCATTTCCTTTATCAGGCCTCCCTACCCCGCGGTTGCGCGGCCAATCGCTTTCCTCGACTCAAGGCAGCCAGGATTGTCGTCCCTGCAGCCCTGATCCGACAACTCTCCTGCGCGGGCAGAGTGTCTTCGATATACCGTGTACCTCTGTAGCATGACCCTTTACTGACCAGTAGGGAAGATTTGCCTGTGCTTCTAGAAATACGCGACTTATCTCCACGAACATTGCGCCTTCCTTTCTCTCTTACCACCACTTCGTTCTGCCTGCGCATTCGCGGAGCGCCTTACTGCCATGGACCCCAACACTCCCTGTGTCTCTTTCAGTGCGTACCGCCTCTTCAGATGCTAACCAGGTCCTTTGCTGAGCCTGACGTCCGTGCTGTCCAGTCGGGATAGTCGATTTCACGGAGCAAGTAAGGGCGTCTCTGTAGGCGCGCCTGTGTGGCGACTTGCTGATCGTATGGGACGACAGGCACGATGGGTCTACTGCTCAGAATCTGTAAACGATCTCCTGGGTACGAGGGCGTAACGCTTCTACGAGCAGCGGTTTGACTTTCGACCGTTTTTCAGGCTTTGAGCCCAGCGAGCTCGTCGGGTCGCCCTCTCTGAACTTGGTCCATCCCGATGAGTTCGACCAAGTGAAGGCTATGCACTATTCCACGATCACCCAGGACCGCGCGGCTGTCCTCGCATACCTCCGTATGCGCCACAAGGACCCCTACAAGGGTTACATCCTTTGCGCAATTGTACGTCTCCGACATTACATATCGTATGACTAATGATGTCTGGCATACTAATGTGCTGTCAGTCCCGTACCGTCTGCCAGAATGTCCTCGTCGGAAGTGTCTCGTTCGCTTCTCCTGGTCCAAAGGCCATGCATAACGCTTCGACGGCTCAGGAGGTCCGCATTATCACGCCATCTGCCAAAGACTTTGAGCTCAGGGTAAGGATGTCTTCGACGTGCACTGAGTGATACTAGTGGCTCATCAGTACCCTCTCGCAGCGCTGGAATGACCCCAATCCTATGCCACCGTGTCCGATCCCAGATCGCTTGCGAAGCACGCCGTCGCCAGCGTTTTCCTCGTCTACTCAGAGTAGACACAACTCGCCGAGCCCTAGCCCAGAGGCTGAGGCTCCTCCTCATTTCGACCCACTCCCGGAGCAGTCACCGCGCACAGCTCTCATTCTCAACCGGTTTTCCGTCAACTGCAATGTCTTGTACTGTTCAAACGATAGCTTGCTGTCCACCACACGCGTGACGGGACGGAGCTTCTACGACTTCGTCGCGCCAAAGGATGAGGACACGGTCAGGGCGTGGATAGACGTCATCAAGGGTTGGGGGGTGAACGAGCGTGGTCAGCCTAGTGATGGGGGTTTCGGCTTCGGGAAGTTCACTCTGTGTGTCGCAGGCCGCGATTCAAGGTTAGCCACATGCTGAACACTCGTGTTAGTCATCTCGAGACACTTACCTTGCGACGTAGCGTCCGACAAACGGAGCCGGCGCCTGCCCGAAACCGCAATGGCTCGCACAACGCTAATCGCGACCCCGGAGCTCGTGATCACGGCCGATCGCAGAGGTCGACCCACAGCACGCCGCATGGCCGCGACCGCAACCGCAGGGGGTCGGGCAACCGCGACTTTAAGGTCGACGCCATATTCTCCGCTCACTCTGACGGCCTCATGGTCATCATCCGCAAGTCTTCCTCGCGCTAGAGCTGTCAAGAAGAAAACCAGAAGCATGCACGTCGCCGCTCAGCCTGTTGAGACCAAGGCTCTTCTGGCCGAGCGACGCACAGCAGCCATCTCCACTGACGACCGCTTCCAAATTGTTTTCTGCTACTTGCCGCGACGGTCTCTGTTATGTAGATATGTTGTATCATATGGTGTCTTATCGTGCGTTCTCCCCACTCCGCCTGGATATGAGCCTTGTGTCGACCTTGTTCAAATGCTCCTATACCCCCTTTCATTGACCTCTCCCGCACAGGTTGGGATACACGCGTCCTTTGAATATATATAGTGGCCTTCTCTGGCATATGGCGGATGGTCGGACTCGCGTCGACCGCACTCGGTGCACGCGGGTGCGGTATGGAAGCTAGGAGTCTCATGTCAAGCCAATGCCCGCGAACTTCCGAACCGCTGACACGTTGCATTCTCCAGTTATCGCCCTGCATTTCGCCATGTCGGCATCCGGCCGCGCCTTATGGCTCTCCTCGTTGTGCCCTGCACCCGGTGCGTGCCTCTCACGGGAAGCAGGGCCTAGCTCCCACATTTCCGTATACCCGCACTCTTGTCACTTATCGGGCCGTCGAAATGTCTGCGCTCTGGTCGCTTTCGGCATCCCTGGTTCCGGCCACTGACATGAATGCGAAAGCCGCAACGTGCCATGACACAGCGCAGGTCAGCAGGACTACGGGGCCGAAAGCCTGACGCAACGCCTCGTCTCGAGGACCACCTGTCGACGAAATCTCAATCACTCATTCAACGAAGACCGCACCTACTCGGGTATCGCGGCCTTTCATCGCCTGCATGAGCCATCGTGATCACTTGCGCAGCCCCCATACTGCCACCAGACAGCCGTGACACCAAGCCTGGAGGGTACCGGTTCATTCGTTCGGTTAATCAGGGATACCTTTCTCAAAACGGCGATCAAGGAGGTTTATTCCGGTACGTCCGACACTTCCTTCACCAATCATGTTTCGAATATTATCCCCCGATGTTCCAATCACCGTGTCGGTGGCCAGTGCTCGCTCAGCGTCAGACATTGTCGTCGCAGTTGGTCGGAATGAACCTCTGTGCCTGATGGGCCTGACAGCGCTTCTTGATGCAGCATTCACTTACTTTACGGCTGCTTGAGTTCGATCCTACACCGCGCTTTCGAAATGCTTCGACTCTGCACGCCTCCGCGGACGTCGATACTGTTGGGTCGTTCAGACCGAGAGCGTTTGGTGGCATACCTGCTTTAAGCGCACTTAAAGCGCAATTTTGGTTACGAGCGCGCCCGATGAGTCGGGTACCCGTACGTCGCAGTCAATGTGTATTGAATACCGTGTAGTGACACCTCCGGCTGATCAGCCATCTCGGCCTCGATCGCGACAGTTCCGCCCTCGAGGCGTCGCAGGGATGAAGACAAATGGTGGAGGCGCCTTGGAGGACGCTGTGATCGCCGCTGAGCTTCCTATCAAGGCTGGTGCAACCATCGGGAAACAAGGGGGACCATGCAGGACCAACAACTCGCAGCCACACTTCCAGAGAAGATCGCCACGGGGAGCGCGCATCTCAGCGAACGCTCGAATGGCATCTGAGCTTGTGGCTGGGCATGGCGGACTTCGTTGGCGCAGGCCGTCTAAGGCGGGTGCCGATCGCTGCCGGGCCGTGGTTCGTCTGCAACGGAGTCCGCACATTGTCCGTACGGCCGGAGCGCTCGCAAGGGGCCACGGGCTCTTTTTGTCATCGGAGGTGTAGCGTGGTATAAAGGACGCGCAGTGATCTTCCAAGGTATTTGTGGCCGCATCGATAGTCTCATGCCAAGGTCGTTGTGACCGACCGTCCACCGGCCGCCATAATAGCGCTGAAGCTGAGGACCAGTCACTCGTTCGCGTAGTCGGCGGAACACAAGACGTGTATGTCATTACTGATACATGTGTTTGCGGTGTACATTATGTACAACACACTGTTGTCGAGCATACAAGCTTCGGGTATATGTATATTAGAGATGTCGTACCAAGATTCCGCTCCAAGATCACTGTCCAACAGTCCGTTCATCAAGCGGCGTGATGTGCACCGTCTTCGTCTCCTGGGCCTCAGGGTCCTCAAAGTCATCCTTGGTGATACCCGAGACCGACTTGCGTTTGCTGAACGTCGAATCTACGCCCGCGAACTGCATCGACCCCAGGGGAATGTCATCGCTGCTCGTGTGAATATTGGTCGTGGTCGTGTTGCCCGGGCGGAAACGCGGTGCACTCAAGTTGACTTGCTGCTGCTGCGTCTGCGAGAAGCGGGACTGCACGTCATTCGAGGTGAGCGAGAGTCCCGCGAGGATGATAATCATCGTCGGCACGATGCCCTGCAAGTGATTGGTGGATCAGTCCAGTTAAATCGCAAAACGGCGCGTGTGACGTACCGTCAGCTGCCCGATGGGATCGTAGACGATGTAGAACGAGTTTAGGCCGAGGAAGTAGAGCGTAACTTCGCAGATCAGAGCAACCGAGTAGATCATTCCGGACTCGACGACGATGACGAGGATTCTCCAGTAGCGGAAGCCGGCGGCTCCTCCGCTCAGGCGCAGCAAGTACCTATCATAATGGATGAGCCTCGTTTGGAGTGATCTTGCATGTGGAGGCCGCAACGTACCATGCACGCAAAGCTACCAGACCAGTGACCACGATGTTCGTTGCGAGAGACAAGCTGAACAGGGAGCCGTTCCACCTGACGAGTGCTGGTGCGAACGCGCTGTGGTACTTCTGCCCTCGCGCGAAATAGACGGTTTGTCCAAATCCGCATACTGAAGAATTGTCAGCACAGAGCGAGTTCATATGACGATACCACTCACTCGCAGATCCGCACACAAGGGCAATGGGTACGAAACACATTCTCCAGTTTCGACCCCAGACAAGAAAACATCGCCAGACCTATGCGGATGTTAACGGAGTTCTGCTTATGCAAACAATACATACCACCACGGAGTCCCCTACTACAGACTGAGAAACTAGATTAGCGTCTACGCATTGCACTGCTACTGAAGATGGCTTACATTGACCGTGTGCAATCCCACCTTCGCTACGTTGGCGGGTATTGACACGTCGGCAAAGAACGCAGCAGGGCCGCCGGGTTGGTCACGAAGCACGATGAAGCCCATGATCAAGCGGTAAAAACCAAGGAAGACATGGCACGTTGAGAAACAGAACATGAGCACCGCAACACCGACAAGATATTTGTTGACTTTTGGTGTTCGCCGTCTTGCGATCAAAACATAAATGCATCCACTGAAGAGCACTATGTTCATGCCTGCAAACGGTTCAGGTCTTCATACTCTTAGACAAAGCGGGATTCGCATACCATAGAACATAGTCTCGAGCCAGATGGCTGCGAGGTACGCCCTATCAAGCGCTATGTCCGTTACTCCCATGGTGGGTCGAGTTCGTCGATGGTTCAGGAGAGGTGATGGCCAGTTCTGGGTACTTATCTAGAATGGACGTCGAGGAGAGATCACAATGAGGATGAACGTGCACTTTCACGAGTCAAGTTAGAGCGAAGGGAAGGATGCTCGGCAGATATGAGGCCGCGTTAAGCTACAAATAGCTCATGGTTATCCACGCTAGTTTCGCGAAAAAGGATTCGCGCTGAGACTCGAGAAACCAAGTTACTTCTCGCTGATGCGAACCGCTGTGCATGAACTCAGACCGCTTCCATGACGGTGGCCCCGCGCCACTTCGGCCTCCTGACAAGCCACCAAGTGTATGGGCTGTGCCAGTGCTGTGCCGCCACAATGGAAAGACTGACGCGGCGCCCACGCATGGAGCGCAGAAGGGAAGAAGAGCTTGTTTAGTATTGAGAGACTCACAGCCAATGACAGATGAAAGATGATCAACGGACAGCGGTCCCGGAGTCAATGTTGCCCTGCTGGCGGACACGGTATGTGCCTCCCCTTTGACGGATAGCAGTGCAGCCTTCATGAACAGTCCGGAGGGAGCTGTGAGTCGTACTCGACAATGTCTTGAGCTGTCTTGACCGAGTTGCTTCCGGGCTTGGGCGTACAGTGTCACGGAGGAAGCCACGTTGCTGATCGGTTCCTGGCCACGCTTGTGGCGTCGCACCATACCCAGTTTGGCATCCTCACGTGCCACCACCCGAGCGCTTCCGTGGCACGGTCAACGCGAACCCGCGCGACGCGTCGCGGCGCGCTCAGTGCTGAACTGTGTCTTCATTCCTCCCCAGTGGCCGGGCGCGTTGGCAGTCTCACAGTTCTGGCCACACGATAACTATCTCAATGCAGTCATCATCGCCCATCGACATCTCATCTTCACCATTTGACGATGACCATGCATCCTCTCGGACTTCTGTGGCCTCCTTCAGCAATAACCAAGTCATCCAATCGGCAAGTGTGACTCCGCCATCTTCCAAGGAGAAGTCTAGCACATCTGCTGCTTGCTGGAGGTGCGTGCTCTAATTCTGCGCGACTGATAATGCTCATCCCTGTCCTCTGTCACTACGAAGGGTTCTCACTGAAGGTAATGCAATGCTCACAGACACGCGTTGCACCACTGAAAGGCGTATAATTCGCAGTCTTTGGGCATTCCGAGTACAAAGGGAAACAGAAAGAGATAGTCGAGGCCGCCGTTCAAGGTGGGTACTCTCCTATGCAGCGAAGAGCATCTCAACCAACCAACAGCATAGGTACCGACGTCTTTGTGCTTGCACCCACAGGAATGGGAAAGGTACATTGTAATTTCCATAGAGAAATGCTCTATCACTCAGGATTCTGCAGAGCCTGTGCTTCCAGCTACCCGCGATAGCAGCACCGGTCAGTATCGCCAAGGGCACATTGGCTGACTATATGCGCTTACTCAAACCTCAGGACGGTCTGACAGTGGTCGTGTCACCATTGCTGGGTAAGCTTCTGCTGCCATAGAATTTAGATCCATCTCAATTGCATCGCGTAGCCTTGATGAAGAACCGTGAGTGATGAAGCGACGTGATTCAACATTGACTCCTGAATACGCCTCAAAGAGATTGCTAAGCTCCGCTCCCTCGATGTCTCTGTTGTCGCTTTCACGTCTGAGACGTCTCAAGAAGAGAAGGCAGAGGTGATATTTCTTTGCATCAGCAATATAGCCGACCACTTGAACGACTTGCAGATCACGGACGACCTGGGATCAGGCCACCCCTCCTACCGTCTCCTCTACAGTGAGATCACGCGCTGCAACCACTGAATACCGTTCATGAGCGCTGACCCACTTTGCGCAGTCAGTCCAGAGAAGTTCTGCACTACTGAGATCCGCAAACTTCTTACTGCCGTGTACAACGAGGGGAAACTGAATCGCCTGGTTGTTGATGAAGTAAGTAGTACCCCGTTTCACCTAGATTATCCCTTGCTAAGTTTTATCACTCAGGCACATTGTATCTCTGTATGTATGCCGACTTTCGAGAAGCTCTTTGCGTTATGGACTTCGCCGTACAGGAATGGGGCCACGACTTCCGCGGGGAATACCGCAAATTAGGGTCGTTCAGACAGAAATACCCAGGTATACCTATCATGGCACTGACCGCTACCGCTACTCCTGTGTAAGTCGTGACTGTCTCAGCTGGTTGCGCAGCACGACTGATAGGCTCTCAGGGTGCAGGATGACATAGTACGCAATTTGAACATGTCGGACGAAGATCTCTTCAAGGTCGTCCATCCCTTCAACCGGCCCAACCTCTTCTACGAAGTGAGCTGTCGCTCTCATGTTTAGCTGGCTGCACCGCGGGACTGAACGTTGCATAGGTCCGCTACTTGTCCTCACCCGATCCGGCCTTTCACATGAAGGACGTGCTCGATTACATACACGGCCTCCATGACAGGCGCGGACAGCCTTCGTCTGGGATCATATATTGTCGGACGCGTAACAGATGCAATGACCTTGCTGCGTACTTGCGCGGGAAGGGTCTCAATGCACGACCATATCACAGGGGTATCAAGTGAGGAAGCGCAATTACCCAAGCCACGCCATCTGTCATCTTTACTGACTCATATGGGTATCAGGCCCGCGCAACTGGACAGAACGTTGAAAGACTGGGAGATAGGCGGGACGGGCGAAGGCGGTGTTGACGTGGTGAGTCCCGCGTCAAATCTGTTTCAGTATCGTCTCCATTCTCTGAGCTTGACGAACAAGGTTTGCGCCACGATCGCCTTCGGTATGGGTATTGACAAGGCGGACGTACGGTAAGTAGCTCGCTTTCGGTATAGTCCACGTTTACCTTCGTCATGCAGGTACATCCTCCACTATGACCTACCGAAAAGTTTCGAAGGTACGTGCGTACAGTTCTGTGTCTTTTTCGATGGCGCCCTGAGGTTTCCATGCCAGGCTACTATCAAGAAACAGGTATGTCATTTGCACCGGCCGATGAAATCTCCGCGTTTACCTTAACCGCCCGATAGGCCGAGGAGGCCGTGATGGACAGGTACGTGGGTGCTTACAGCGTACTGACACTTCGCTGAACGCCTTCTAGCCTTCGAAATGCATATTGTTCTACTGTACGTGTCTCAACTATTAACCCGAGACGCTGTCGCTAGCGAGACGCCGTAGCTGACATCATACACAGCGAGGGAAGATGTGGTCAGAGTCCGCAAATGGGTAGCGGGATCGCACGAAAGACGGTTGGTCCGTGCGGAGTCGATGGAGGGACCTATACCTAGTCAACGAGCGGTGAACAGCTTGGATGCCGTAGGTTTCTGTGACTCATCTATGCGAAGCGCTGCTAACCGTGGCGGTAGTTGATCACCTTCGCAGAGAGCGTGCACCTATGCCGACATGTGGTATGCCCTGATACATGGCAGTCTACCTGTTATGTCGCTGACGCTTGCTTATCTGTGTTGAGATAATATGCCGGTATTTTGGTGAGCGTATCGCTAGCGACGACCCTGACGTGTTGAAGGCATACTGCAATGGCATGTGCGACGTATGTCTCGGCAACTTCCTGCTCACTGTCGTCGTCAATGTCACCGGTTATTCTCACAGGTGTGCAAGTACCCGGAGAAGACGAGGCGTCGGAAATCCGAATTGTCGGCGGACGAGCTCGTCAGTTCGCAAACAGCGTTACTCCATCAGCAGGCCCGCGGCGAAGACGACGACGACGATGAACCCCACGCACGTGCGACCGTCAGTCGCAACGTGACTGGGCCAAAGCGCATGGCCTCCGCGAGCAACGTGAATGATGAATGGAGGACCAGGTACAGAGATGGCGACGAGGACGATGTGGACGTTGCGCCGGCCACGTCGCGAACGGGGCATCGCAACAGGACGGAGACGTCTCGGCCTACATCCTTCGACTCGAAGAAACGGCCGAGTACTGGCGGTGAAGGAAGCTACGGGGGCAAAGCGAAGAAGCCGAAGGTCACTGCCCAACCGCGTCAGCTTGGCATGTGTAAGTACAGAAACGGTTGGTGAGTTGTGGGTGATGCTGATGGTAGTCTGGCAGCGTCGCGGTTGAAGCAGACGATAAGCAAGCCGTTCAAGACCCCATCATTCAAGCCGCCCATCCGTCAAACTGGGCCATCATCTCAAGAAGAGGATGATGCTGATGTCAATGGTTCTAGAAGGAAACAACATGTCAACACGAGAGGGGGTCCGACATCAGCGAGGGCCCCGCGTCCCGTACGAGACGAATCCTTCGGATCGAACCCGACGGACGACCCCGAGGAGGTTCACCCTGCGCATGCGGCGCTCGACGAGGACGTGATCGAGATCGACTCAGACTCGGACGAGGAGGCGAGCGTCGTACCGGTGCCATCAACCGCGCTCCCGCCAACTGACGTAGAGGTGGACAACGCGTTCTCGCAAAAGAAGATCCCGGTATGTCCGCCCATTTCTGCTTGCCTCTACACCGCCCTCTCACTGCGATGATCGTAAGCTCGATGAGCGCAAAGAGGTGTTCGGTCGCATCCGAGGCGCCCTGCACGCCGTCTTCAGGTCGGGTTCCGCAAGCGGCGACGCGCTGTGGGGGAAGCTGAATCTGTCGTCTGCCGACGATGAAGTGCGAAACAGGCTCCTGGCCACTGCCGCAAGAAACCTCGAATTATCGGTCCAGTCTCTGTGCACGACGACGGAGAGGTACAAACTGCGATCCAGGACCTCGTCAAGGCCGTTCAGCAGCTAGCGAAGCCCGGTGTGTGGGACGGGGAATCTCATTGTGACCTTGATGAAGTCGGGGACGTTGTGGACACTCTGAACGGCCTCTCAAACAGCGTTCGCCAGAAGACCGGAGGTAGAGGCAGGACGTAACGCACACTTACCTTGATTGTCGCTCACGCTATCCAGCGCTCATGTTATGCTATCTCGCTACGCTATCGTTATGTTCCATTGCTTTGGAACCTTGTCTGTTTGTATAGTAACGAGACGGCGAGGCTAGAGGCCAATGAGTTGGCGAGACAGAGGACGTACGAGGCGAGAGGTCGCAACTATGACCCTGGCGGGCGCGCGACGGGGCAAGACAATACACGAGATAGTAAGTCAACAGGCACACGGGACGCGAGGCGGGATACATGCGAGACGGTGTGGCACGGAACATGGAAGCTCGAGGAGACGCTGCAGCGGCACGCAGTGCAAGGGTTCGTTACGGTGGAGACGGCGATGGCGATGGCGAAAGCGACGATGGTGACGGCGAGAGCGATGGCGATAACAATCGCGAGCGCGAGTGCGAGAGGAAGAGCGGAGAGCGACCGAGCGACCGAGCAACATACAGAGTTCACGATATAGTACGGAGGTTAGTAGATATGATACTAGATGGTTGCATTTGCGGTTGCGATTAGCGCAGTTGTCGAGGTAGAAAATTGGGACTTACTATGTAAATGCGCGAGCACGTTTGCATTGATGAACTCAGGCACCTCCCTGAATGGAGTTGCCGGCGGTAGGTTCTGGTCAATGTCAATGCTGAATGAGTGACGTATCATGATGAGTGAATATACACTCGCCTCCTTCACCAGACTGCTTAAGCTCGTCTATGTCGGCTCCATCCCTGCCACCCTCGCCGATTCCGCTCCCTTCGTCATCATGATCGATGTCTCCGGGTCCACCAGGCCAGCCGTCACTGTTGGCTGAGGAGCCGTCGTCATCATTGCGTCGTCTCTTGTCCACTGACTCTGATGTCGACGCGCCCATGCTACGTGGTTTCTTGGCGACCTTGGGTGGGTTCGGAGGGGTATTGCCAGCCTTCACAGAGCTGGACAGTGGCTGGCTTGCGATCTTCGACGCCTTCGTCGAGCTCAACACCAGCTGGCTCGCTGCCTTTGACGAACCAGGCTCTTTGCTCTGCGGATTTGACGCGCACAACTGGAGCAGGGGGATGAACCCGCCAGGCCACTCGTCGTCTTCGTCAGACACCTCGAGCGCATTGGGGCCCGCATTGAGACGAGAGCTGTATGTGGTCAGTAATCGTTCCAATGTCTGTATCTGGACATTACCGTGACCTGACTTGTTTCCAAATCAGCTGCTGTGTGTCCTCAAGGTACTCGGAAGCTTTTGCTTCCAGAGTCTCTAGGACGGCCATCATACCATCCCACCTATGATCGTGTGAATCCCTACTTTCTGTGAATTTAACATCAATCGACTCACTTTGGGGCGAAGTGTTTGGTGGTGAACACGGTGGGCTGATTTGTCATCACCTCCATCAGCGCTGCTTCGATCTAAATGATATGTGACATGGTAGCATAAGTAGTGAGTGAAGACAGTAGTGTAAACGAATTTATACTTACGGCGTTGCAACAGAGGGCGATGAGATTCAGTGGGACGTTGCTGAATTCGTCCAGCGCTGCATTGATATTAGCACCTGCACGTCCTATCAATCCGTAGTACTGGTAGATGAGTTCCGGGATGCATTCGTTGCGGAATGGCTCCATCGGCTCGACCTTGGTACGCTAGGACCAACATGGGTTCGCTGTGGTATTCTATACTCCGCACACAGTACACCTGTAAGCACGTACCTCACGGTCGAGATTCGTCTTGCGTCCGAAGTGGAATTCGATGCCGCCGAAAACAAAATTTGCTATGTTGCGTGTGCCAGTGCCATCGTTTACCGCCGTAGGATGTGTCTCCAGAAGCCACATGGCAGCCTCTGTCCTTTGAGCTACAGACAGCCCGCCGAGCTTGAAGACCTGCTCAACCACTGGCTTGGCCTTTTTTTGAGCTCGTGCCTCGTTTGCGAGGAGCACGCCAACACCTGGAATGGATTAGAGTGTCCGACCTTCTCGGCTTCCGGTCAATGAGACTCACCACCCTAAATACTTTACTCTTCATCACCTTCTTCTCCTCGTTAGCCTCGTTCTCCGCTTTAGCCTCCCTCTCATCCTTAGCCCTTTTCTCCTTGACTTGCAGCGATTGATAGGCCTTCTTCAAGGTGGCGTTGGGTTTGCCATTCTTGCCGCGTCCCATATATGCCTCGCGGAGGCACGATTCGATCACGTCGTCGCAGTGGGGGAGCCGCTTGAACGTGACCGAATTATTTTTCGTCCAGGCAGCTGTGAGGGCGATGTACAGCCGCATACAGTTCTGCGCTACCGAAGCCAGAGCCTTGACGTCGGTTGACAAGTCCGCGAACTTGGTGCGACCGCGGCTCTCGCGTTCACCGCCAGTCGCTTTTGCGTGAGCAGGCTTGCGTTGGGCCTTGGTAGCAGATAAGACCTATAGGTCGTGAATGGCATGCTTATGATGTTTGATCAATTGCAGGGTACTCACTATCACATCGCCCTCATCCTCCTCATCGCCCTCATCCTCCTCATCACCCTCATCCTCCTCATCGCCTCATCCTCCTCATCGCCTCATCCTCCTCATCGCCCTCATCCTCCTCATCGACCTCGATATCTTCATCTTCCGCACCGTCAGACCTACTCCATGGACCCTCACCCTCGGACCCGCCGTCATCCTCGTCGTCACCATCACTGTCCTCGTCCTCGTCCTCGTCGTCTTGGTCGACCTCATGTTCAGACTCAACGTCATCCTTGGGGTTTGCTCTGGTCTTACTCTTGTCCTGTCGGTTCTCAGCAGAGATGAGTGATCCGAGCTTTGCGAAGAATACTTGACTTACCTTGGCACTCGCCGTCGCTTTGCCAGCTCCCTGTGTCGACTTGCCGCTGCCGCCGGCAGACTTGGGTTTTGTCATCCTCGTCTTCGTCTTCAGTTCCCCTCCCTTGCTAGCTATGTTCTCTTTGACTGAACTGCGCCCTCCACCTAGATAAATTTGTAGCTTAGTGATAACTGATGTATGTCTGCGAGAGAACATACCCAACATGTGTGCAATATCCTCCTCGGCAGACTCCAAGGCGGTCCCGGGCTTGGCAAATTCGCCGTATGCTGGCGTCGGTTTGGCTTTGTACAACCGCATCGAGCGAGTCAGCAGTGTCTACGAGGGGTAACGAGTCAACCACTCACGCCGAGAGGCCTTAAGCTGCTCAGCAGCGACATCCTCCATCTCCTCATCCTCCGGGTTGTCTTCAGTAGTCTGATCCTGCACGTCCATGTCCAACTCATCGTCTGTACTGGCTTGCTTCTTTTTTTGGGTTTTGGTTGCTCTTCATCCGTCGAGTATCCATCTTCCACCATCCACGCAGAAGCGTTCTTGCGTGTCCCTACCATACAGCATCAGCCATCCTAAACGAACATCGCGGCACAACTGGCACTCACGCGCTGTTCGTCTCTCCGACTCCGACTCCATCTCCATCTCCATCTCCTGCGCCTTCTTCTTGGCGGACCCTTCGTTCACCTTGCCCTTCGCAAGCTTGGTGCTTTTCTTCGAGCCGCCTGCGCCTGCAGAGGTCTTGGTCGACCTGGCTGACCGTGCGCCGGAGCCTTGTTCGGTTGCGAGCGACAGAGTGACGCGCTTGGCCATGACTGAATTCGAAAGGTGAAGACAGTGAGAGTATAGATTGTGGTAAGAAAGAAAAGACGCACCTCTGATGCGCGCCGCAGGCGCCTACAGAGGAGAGTAGCGCCAGCGGCGGCGTCGGTATTACTTAGTGACCAGTGACACTGGTCATTTACCACGGGCGGCGGGGGGCGGCGCGGGCCTGTGACTCGTGATGACGTCTACAGTACTTACCTAGTGCTCATGGGCCTTATGTGGTAGCTATGTAGGCCGGTTCATGCTCAATGATTCATTGCCGCGATGCGCCCACCCTCTTCTTCGTCATCCTCTGCACTACCTCTGCACCGAACTCTTCAAAATCCTCAATATGTCCTCCGCATATCCCAGTCCCTCCTCGCCAGCATACTCATTCAGTAGCACGACGCTCATCAGCGAGAGTACATCACCATTCCCGAGTGAATGAAGTCCATTCGCCGCCGCCGCTTGTTCCATCGCGAGGCTAGACATACTGGCAGGATCCGAAAACATCGCCGGGTCGAAGGCACCGTCTTCGGGTACATGCTCGTGTATTGCGTGCCAATTTGGATGTTCTTCGCTCCACCACCACCCGCGTTGGGCTCGATCCCGCGCGTGAGATGGTTGACCGTCGCCACGAGGTTCGCTTCTGTTGCCATTCCGAAATTTGGCGTGCGACGGGCGAGGCAGAGCGCGAGGCCGTAGTGGAGAGGTAGTCAGACTGGAGTTCGGGGGACGACGCACATATCATTTCGAATACAATAACGAATGCGGCATCCAGCGATTTGTGCATGCTGTTCGTGACAGCCAGTAGTGATGTTCGCAGTCTGGGGGATCATGGTGTCCCTATAACCCATTAATCAACAGCAGAACTTGGAAGCTACTCAAACGTGCAGCGCACCTATGCCCATGGCCTCCGAGTGGCTACTACTCTCCGACTCCGACTCGTGCACGTTGTGCTTGCATCCTCGGTGTTGCTGCGCGTCGTGCCTGACATTCACTCGTCTTTGCTCGTCCTCGCTCATCGCATCCCCTCGTCGTCACCTGTCTCTGCTAGCCATTCGCACGTCCCTGCCCACTCGCTTCCGTCCGCGCCCGCCGTCTGTCTGCTGGCCCTCCCTGCTCGTAGCTACGCCCGCGCCGATGGTCCGCTCATCGGCTGCGTTTGACGCGGGGGCTTTGCCCTGCATGCTCGTCGAGCATTCGTCTTCGCCCTCACTGTGCATGTGGTGTCCCGCTTTTGCCCGCTCGCACGCCTGCGTACGCGTTCGTCGGCCGTGCCTACGTGCAGTGGGTGTTCGCCCGCCGCGCTCGCGGTTGACGTGTGCGCTGTCGCCTGCTCGCCCGCCCTCCCACACATTCACTTGTCTCCTTGCCCATCGGATTGCCCGTCCACGCCGGCTCGCCCGCCTACCCACTCGCTCCGCGCGCGTTCGTCGGCGGTGCCTGCGTGCTGAGCATTCGCCCGGCGCGCTCGCGGTCGGCGTGCGCGTCGCGCTTCATGCCGCCACGGCGACTCTGCCTTGTGCTTGCTCATTCCCCCTTCCCTCCGGCTCCTTCGCTCATGCACCCGCTGTCCGTTCGTCGACCTTGTTTACGTGCTGGGCATTTGCTCGGCGCCCTCACGGTCGGCGTGTGCCCCTCGCTAGCTCGCTCGTCCGCCCGCCGCCCGTTCGTCAGCCATGCCTGCATGCTCACGATCGTCGTGCGTCATGCCGCACGGCGTCGCGTCCTGTGCCTGCAGTTAGCCCGCTCGCTCGCGTATGTCTGCACTCACGGTGGTCATCTCCATCACTGCGCTCGGTGCACCCCTATCACTTGTTGTTTTCTGCGCCTTACCGCTGCCCTACTGGTCCGCGCCCTCCTAGTTCAGAGCGAGAAGTCGACATAAGTGCCGCGCGTGAGTCTGAGTACTGAGGAAGGATGCCAGGCAAGTATATTCAGTTGCACGAGCTCGGAGCGCTTGAGGCTCGGGCAGCGCTCGGGCGTTTGTCTCGTCTTCTTGTTTCTGAGTCTAATATTGTTTGTCTTAGCGTTTGTCTCCCGGTCCCACGTTCACACCTTTCGTAGAGTAGATGTCCGTGTACATATGTAGTCCTCCTAATAATGAAATGGAGTCGGTACTTTTGTTGGTGGCTTGCTGAGATCAGCGACCGGGGACAGTCCAGATAGCAACACCCTCCTCTCGCCGACCCATAGCAGCTAGCAGTCGTGGCTTTCCCGAGTGTCGCCTCATGCTGTAGAGTGACGAAGAGCCTGCAAATGTTATGCCTAGGTAAAACGCGTGAGCTTCCCGCATACACCATGCCCGATACAAAAACGCGCACCATTTTCTTCGCCAAAGCGATTACACACGACCACGATGGTCTCTTCTCCCGGCTCCGTGTGCATGTCCCGGCTATGGCTGCCGTGCCCGTCGAGCAAGGCCTTGTCCCACAGCGGCCGCAGCCGTGCGGCCCAGTAGTTCATGGTGCCCCAGTCTTCATCGCTGTCTTCCTCGTCGCCCGAGTCCAGCCACGCGTTCAAGAGGACAAGGAGGTTGGACTTCGTGGCGATGCAGTGGGCGGCGAGCTCGTAAGGGCCCGAGTCGAGATTCCACTCGGCGGACGGGACGGGGTTGAGATCCATGCAGATCGCGAGGGTGACGGTGCCCAGCGGGGGCGGGAGGGTGAACGTGACGAACCCGGGCCCTGCGGGGCGCATCGTACGCGGTCGACGGGAGAACGGACGGCGTGCGCACCTGGGACCGCCCATGTCATGTCCGTCATGTACAGGTTCGTCTTGCGGTAGGTCCCCACTAGTTGGCCGTCCGGTCCGTAGAGCACGGCGCCGTTAGCTCCCACTGGTTGTACCTCCTTGCCGTCGTGCTCTCGTGGGGAGAGTGCCTTCGCTTCATCGGGAGGAAGGCGTTCGGGGTACCCAGCCGTTACATGGCAATGCAGCCGTTTCGCGAGCTCGGCGCAGAAGCGGGACGTCGATCCTGTCCCGGGTTCCTCCAGGTGCGGGGTGATCGACTGGGCATCGGGGAAGACGTACCCTGCCTCACTGGTCAGCATCGGCGTGGAGGTGATATGGAGACTGCACGACGCACCCGTGAAGATCATCTCGGGCAAGCATACCAGGTCAACGGAGCGCGGTGTCAGCCTAAGCCACGCCATTCACCTTACGAACGCGAGTGTGGATGCGGCGAGTACGCACTGCGCACATAGTGTCCCAGCCGTCTCGAGGTTCTCCTGCACTCGCCCGATCTGTGCACATCTTCAGACGATCCTGCAGCGCAAGGCCGGACGGAACATCGCACCTTGGGTGCGAACTGCACGACGGCGACGCGCATGGCAGAGCGGAGGCAGGTCGAGTGGGACCTGCGGATGGAGAGGGAGAACAGAGAGGCCGTGGCTGGGATTACCCTCGTCCGCTGCCCACATGGAGGGCGGGGCAGTCAGGGCAGCATGGTCGACGCCCTGGGCGGGCTGAACGGACACTCTCAGCGCGATAGGCTCCGAGCGTGCGGGGTTAGGCGCCCCAGCCAGTGCACCTCGACCCAGACCAGCCGATCCCACCGGGCGCCCGCGCGAGTGGGCCGACTTCACCGTCCCATACTATTGGCGCACGCAACTATGGCCGCCCTACCAGCTTCTCCCCTGTCCTCCTCCCGCCTCCAGCTCCTCCCGCTCATCCACACAGCTCACTGCAATGGCCGCATCTTCGCGGGACGCCTACTTGGTCATCGGTGGCAGCGGCTTCCTCGGGCGGCACATCGTCGACGCGCTTCTGGCGCGCAAGGACACCGTCTCGGTCTTTGACATTGTCCAGAGACACCACGATGTCCCCTTTTACTCTGGAGACATCAGCGAGGAGGGCCAGGTCTCCGAGGCACTCCGCAAGGTTTGTCCTCAGCCATGCATCAATTTTATGTGCTGAAACTGGCTGTAGAGCGGGGCGACCTGCATAATCCATACTGCGTCCCCTCCACATGGCATGGACGACCCGGCACTGTACTGGAAGGTCAATGTCGACGGCACCAAGGCGGTCATTGCAGCAGCAGTCGCGAACGGCGTGTCAAAGCTCGTGTACACGAGCTCGGCAGGCGTAGTCTTCAATGGTCACAGTCTCATCAACATTGACGAGCGGCTGCCGCCCCCACCGAAGGCCATGGATGCCTACAACGAGTCCAAGGCGAAAGCTGAGGAGATGGTGCTCGAGGCCAATGGCAAGGGCGGGCTATACACAGTCGCGCTGCGTCCCGCAGGGTTGTTCGGGTGAGTCTCACACTGCACAGTAGACCGGGGCCGCACTGAAGGCCGCATTATAGCCCCGGCGATCGCCAGCTCATGGCTGGTCTGTACGAGGTCTACCAGAACAACCAGACGCACTTCCAGATCGGCGACAACACCAACCTCTTCGACTGGACGTACATCGAGAACGCCGCCTACGCCCACCTCCTCGCCGCGGACCGCCTGCGCCCGCTGTCCTCCGAGGAGGTCGCCGAGCTCAAGGAGCAGCTGCACTTCGCGCTGCCCTACATCAGCTGCACCACCGGCGCGCGCAAGATGCCCACGTCCGCATGCCGCCCGCTCGGGCCCTACGTGACGCCGCCGCCCGACGCCGAGCAGATCACCGCGCGCTGGGCCGACCCGGCCTACAAGGGCAACGCGGCGCAGCCGGCCGTGCGCGGGCGGTTCGACCCGCTCTCGCCCACGGCGCTCGAGCGCGACGCGGACGCGCCGCTGCAGGTCGCGGGCCAGGTGTTCTTCATCACGAACGGCGAGCCGATGTACTTCTGGGACGTGCCCCGCATCGCGTGGCGCTTCTTCGATGAGCACTTCGGCACGGACAAGACCCGCCGCGGCCTCATCCGCCTCCCGCGCGAGGTCGGCATGGTCCTCGCGGGCGGCGCGGAGTGGTGGGCGTGGCTCGTCGGCAAGAAGCCGGGCTTCACGCGCTTCAGGGTCACCTTCAGCTGCGTGTGGAGGTGCCACAACATCGAAAAGGCACGTCGGGTGCTGGGCTACGAGCCGCAAGTGGGTATGGAGGAAGGTCTGAAGAAGACGCTCGAGGTGCGTACTTGAACTTGCCAGTGATAAACGCTACAGCTGACAACGTCGTTGTCTCTTCAGTGGTGGGTGGCAGACAGACAGAAGGGCCAGAAGGCGTGACGATGTACACAGCTTCGGACTGTTTGTAACTTTCCTTGTGCTGCCGCTACCTCGATATACCTACCTGCCCCTGGGATTTCTTGGCTCATGCTGTAATATACATGCCACTAATCTGCTGCCACATGGATCTCTGCTCAATAGATTCAGGACTATATGCACACAAATCTGCATCATCGTCAGTCTCCTAAGTACTCATCGGCTAGGCGGGGTAGAGGGCGACATGTTGATAGTCTATACAATGTCGAGTCTGCCCAAATAACACCAAATTCGAACTGGGGAAGGTGCGGAAGTGAAATATCGTGGTAGACTTGTGGTGGGAGTCAACATTGTACGAGCCATCGACACCGGCTCCCGTACCTCGTCAAGTGGGTGAGGAGCAGACTGCACCACTACGCTGGGCGTTCGAAGATACGGCGATCGGCGCAAACGTTTGGATTGCCAGTGAGTACGAAAGAAGACAAAATAGTACGCATATCAATAGATCAACCAATATATAAACAAGAGCTACTAGATGCCGACCAGATACGCGGGCAATAGATCGTGAGATAGGACGGGGGCACATCTGTCTCTTTCTCTGTTCTCTATGAACAGCGACCCGTACGCGACGGAGCCGCGCTGTTCTACCCTCGCCGCGGGTGCGACGCTCAGAAGTCGTGGTGGGATTTGCTACGACCGGCATCAGAATCACCTCCGACGGGTAGCGGTGAAAGGACGTGAACGTACTGGATATCAATGTCAGAGACGTTGGGCTTGCGCCTGTCGCTGTCATCGTCATCGATCCCGACGGCCGACTGCATGGTGTCGAGACCAATGGTCATAGCAGCCGCCTACGCCCAACCGTCAGCTCCGTCTCCGCTCGTCAAGCATCCGCGCTCAGCTCGTACCTTGCTCTCGGTATCCACGACGCCGAACTGCACGCTGCGCGAGGTGGCGTTGCCGGGCGTGCGGCTGTGGCTGCTCGTGCCCGGCTGGCTGCTCTTGAAGTCGCGCTGGTTGACGGACTCCTCCTCGTCGATACCGCGGCCGTGGTGCACGTTGCGGAAGTTGAGCATCAGGAGCAGGCTGTTGATGTAGGCTGCAGATGACGGTGTCAGGTCGGGTTAGGTACCACAGACGGATGCACAGATGGGAGGAAAGACGCACTCTTGCTAGTCACGAAGTGGAAGAGAATCCAGACCTGCTGTTTCGGTATGGTGACGAAGAGAATGAAGGAGGCCAGTTGAAGGAGCCTAGAGAAACTCGTCAGATGGATAATGAGTTGAGATGGAGTGGTTGGCACTGACGTGAAGCAAGTACCGCGGTTGATGAAGAACACAGCGATGTACTCATACCAACCCTCCACTGCCTTCATCCCTGGGAAGCGCGAGGGCTGCAGGTAGAGGAACAGCGAGCCGATGATCAACAAGTCGGTAAGGGTGCTGAGGCCATACTGGATCCCGGTCAACACCTGCACAAATCGACATCACTATGAGTCGCCGACAATTATCCAGCATCCCGGTTCTAAAACTTGCCTTGATCGTGTGGTCGACGAAGTTGTAGAAGAGCGGTTGTTGCGCACTAGAAGCGGCGTGAGATGCGAGCACACAGAGACCATCAAGAACAGCGTACATCTTCGCTGCCGACACTGAGTTCGCGTGAGAGTGTAATGGTCAGTCTCTGCTGCACCAATGAAAATCCGCAAGCATACCAATACCGAGCACTGCACAATTTACAGTCAGTCCAGTGAAGCACCATCTAGACAACAAACAGAGCGTACCCAAGTTGGCCACAGCGATCACAGCCTATTACTCGCTGTTCAGCACTTCCCATCTCCTTGGAGATAGATTACACATTGAATACTCACAATTGCCCCGGGAATCACAGGGTTCTTCCCGTTCACTGCAGGCAAAACAATTGGTGTGTAACCAAATGGCTAGACTTGACGTAATGAACTCACGAGTGAAGACCCTGTGCGCATAGAAGCTGGAAGGAGAAGTCGGTACGGGAACCCTTACCATAAGCAGATGCAGTACTTACACTTGCACCAAGAAGATGCCAACTGCCTAGGGACCACGGGCATCAGATGATGGATGCGAAGGTCGGATCAGTCAACGTACCGCAAGAGCGTTCTCCGACTGAGCACCGGTGAATCAGCGAAACGCCTATCGGAAGGAGCACGGTAGCATAGGCAACTTACGACAAACGTCCTGGAAGCGTTCAGTCAGCGATGCGCAACGGGGAGCGTAGTAGATGGGACTCACTTCGTCACATCCAGCTCATCGAACGGTGCCATGAAACTAGTGATGAGATAGTAGTACAGCGTATGCGAAACTGGAGTACCGTCAGGGATGCCTAGTGGACGGGTAGACGGACGAAAACCTACGCAGTGTAGTTGTAGCCGTATCCACAGCCCTGCAGACACAAGATTGAGAGAGCGCCTCGTGGATAGGTTTACTCTAGTCCTCACCATAGTAGAGCGATCTAAAGGCAAAGTATGAGCGCTCATGCGTCCACCATAACACTGAGATGCCTCACCGTCCACTTCGACAACGACGCGTCGGAAGGGAAACGCGAATAGTAAATGTACGTCTCTGCAATAGCCAGGATAAGTCTAAGCACAAGGAACCCGTTCCCAAGGCACGCACGGAAGAAGGTCAACCCATAGAGAGTGACTGCGAAGATGAAGCCGATGAGGAGGACGCCAAACGTCGCGTTCAGCTCATGAACCGGCGCCGGTAGTGGGAGCCCTGGGATGCTCATGGCTTGGGATGGCTGGATCTGTAGACGAAGGTGGAGATGGGGGTCGGAGGACAGGGACGCGACCTCGAAACCTGTGCTACTTGAATCTCATCCGCCAGGGGTAGGCGCGCGCCTCGGTCGCTCGTCCATTGGCTTAATTAGTGCACGTGACCCCCTTCCAGCCCTGGAAGCAGCGGAGATGGGGCGCCGGGAACATCTTCGAGCCCACACTCAGGACAGTTCATCAGTATCATGATGAACATCCTCCGGATAATAGCCCGGAGAGGCTGCAAAGAACAGAGAATGGAACTAAAGTTGACTGCCAGAGGGTCGATGAGAATTGCCGGCCGGCGCCATTGCGGCTCGCGGTGGCGAGCGTGAGCAGAGCTGAGCGCGAAGGCGCGCGGAACGACCCGATGACCAGAGTCTTGCGCCGGTCTGATGCTCTTTCTCCTTTGCGCTCGTCGTCGACGCCTTGACACCTCTCAGCCATTCCTTGCACCAGCATCGCATCCGTTCCTTAGACCCGCAAGCAAGGTTTTCGGGTACACCGTGAGCCTCGAGGCATGCCGTCAAGTGCAAATAGCATGATTGGTGAGAGTCATCAGCATCTGTCGAAGGAAGCCCGGCCTCAACTTCGACATCCTCGAATACCGAAGCTGGCGCGGGAGGCGGTCTTGTGGCCAGCGTAGCGACCTGTCCCTTGGATGTCATCAAGACGAGACTTCAGGCCCAACGACATGCTCATGGGCAAGCCGGGTACGAGGGCGTGGTCGGTGAGGGGTCCTCTCGGCCTTGCAGCAGCCCATAATATTGGCTCAACGTGCGTGTCCCAACCCTCCGTTTCCAGCCACTTTCAAAACTGTCCTCAAGCACAACGGCATACGTGGTCTGTATCGAGGGCTGGGACCGACGATCCTCGGCTACCTTCCGACTTGGGCAATTTACTTTGCGGTGTATGATGGCATAAAAGAACACTTTGGGCGGACGCAGCTCGAAGATGGGTCAACCGTTCACCACATCTATCCTGCGGCTCAAGCTAAGGGATACCAGCCCTTTACGCGGGAGCATCCTTGGTCTCTCCATATCTTGTCTGCAATGGCGGCTGGGGCAACAAGCACGATTTGCACAAATCCCCTTTGGGTTATCAAAACCCGCTTTATGGTGCGTGAAGGCCGCTTCTGTGATGTCGCACTTTTAAGACGTCCTTTTTGTTCCCAGACGCAACCTTTCGAAGAGAAGAGGTATCGGCACACATTAGATGCTGCGTTGACGATATACCGGACGGAAGGGTGGCGGGCATTCTTCCGTGGTCTGTTGCCAAGTCTGCTGGGGATCCTGCACGTCGGTGTACAGTTTCCCCTGTACGAACAACTCAAGTTTTGGGCCCGTGAGTTCGTCGTTCCCTCTCACCTGCGCTCTACTCACGCTATGTCAATCGTAGGACGCAATTCGTCGGAGGATTTGACCCCTCGACAGTTTCTTGCTTGCTCCGCCGTATCAAAGATGGTTGCTTCAGTCACGACATATCCGCATGAAGTAGTGCGCACACGACTGCAAACGCAGAGAAGGATAGTCAACGGCGCTCTCAAGGGGAAGGACGTGCCAGAACAGCCTCGAGCTGGTGTAATTAAGACTGCGACAGATATCGTACGGCACGAGGGCTGGAGAGGACTGTACAGGGGGCTATCCGTGAACCTCGTCCGGACGGTACCAAACAGTGCGGTGACGATGTTGACGTGAGTCTATCGCGCCGCCGGATCTGTCTCCTTCGTGGCGCTGACGTTCTCCGACAGGTATGAGATGGTGGTGCGATACCTGGAGGGACGATCGGGGTCCTCATAACACACGAGCGTGGACTGGTTTGCCAGAGCAGTGCGTCGCACCATAGACCGACGGGAACACACGTCGCATTGTACTTTATCTCCACACACATTCCTTCAGTCCCTTATTGCTGGTACTTTATTGTTCTTTACTGATGATGGCTATGAATGTGCTGCAGAGAATGGGCGCTCCGTCGCTTCCATCCGTCCTTTTTCGCCGACTGCATTGGACGGCTAGTGCCGGCTTTCATGAAACATGGCAATAGTCTTTGGGTGTTCTCGGAAGAGCCTTTCGGGTCCGCTGCCAGCTTTCTCCGTACATCGCTTCTTGGTGACGAATGCCTTCACCGGCTGGGGTCTATTCTAGCATTGCAGCGTCATACCTCTGCTGCTAACCGCTGCCTGTATCTTTGTTCAGGTACAAACTCTCTTGCCTCCACCAAGTCAGGGCTTCATATATGCATGGGGCTTCCCTGATAAGCATTGCTCTGGCCCTCTGGGGTCTGGGCAACGCAGTGGTGCATGACAGGGTGTTCTTTCATCTCCTCGGTACCGGTGGAACGCCAGGCTCGCGCCTTTATCACTACGTCACTCTATTCGCTGCGCGCATGCCGTAACTTGTCACTAAAAATGAATTTCACCCAGGGTCGCTCTAATACACTGCCGGACGGGTTCAATATAAATAGCCCTATGACATGGTACACTTGGAAAGAAATGCGTAGGTATATCTGCGGTCAAATGAATGTGGCTTTTTGCGACGTGCATACCGGGCTTATAGTGAACCGGGAGTGGACCAGGGCATCGGTGGGGTGGAGCAGGCCGGCCACCAGGGGCGACGTCTCCGGGAGCAGCAGCGCGCGCGGGACCAGTTGGTGGAACTGGGTATAGGAGGTGGTAGCGATCGTGGGTAGACACGCGTGGCGTGTCGGGTTGGGTGGGACCAGGGCCGCCTGCGCCAGTGAGGAACGAGCGAGGTCGCAAACGAGCGGGCTCCGAGGGAGACGGGCGTGGCGAGCGCTGCTGCACGGGGGTCTGTCGGAGAGAGGATGGGATTATGACGCAAGCGGACGGTCGTCTGTAACGCAGTGCAAGTGTGTAAACGCGAGTAAGGACTGGACAGGCCGTATACGGCCAAACATGTGGGCGTGGAACCGTACCAAGGATTTGTAGACAGGCAAAGAGTCCAAGCAGTAACGACGAAGGGTGCGTAGGTAGCGACAAGTCCGCGAGGAACAGAAGGTATCAACCTCAGAACAACACGGAAGGGTAATAATGCAGGGTACCGTAGCGGGAAAGGAGTAACGTCAAATGATACATAGCTCGGAGGCGGCGATTTGAATGCGAATAAGTCATGCAAAAACACCCGACAGCGACAGGCCCAGAGGACATGGAGAGGACAGCCGACGACACAAGGACAGAAAGCGAAGGGGAGGCATAGGCGTCGTTCCAACGCTAGTGTTGATGGTCCTGCACCGTTCCTCCTTCGTCGGTGTCGTCGTCGCGTATCGTCGTGGCTGCCGTGGCTGCGTCGTCATCAGTCGTGTCACCGAGCGTCTCTACACGTACTCCTCTTGAGGAGCCGACGCTTCGGATGTCCCTGCCTTCTTCCGCTAGCTGGCGGCCGAGTAGCACCCCCGGCGGCTCGGTCGCCTGGCTGTCAGGACTCTCGCCTTCTTCCACCGGTCGCTCCGTGAAATCAGGCTTCCGGAGTTGTGACCGGAACGCGGCCGCGAGGATCGCCGCATCCGCGCCCGAGAACAGCCCAGGGTCAGCGCTCGTCCGCGACATGGTTGATGCGCCGTCGTGACCTTCCGTGGGCGATGTAGGCCGGTGTTCGCCCGCCTCCGCAGCGCCTGCCGCCCCTCCCAAAGCAGCTGACGCGAGCAGTGGAGACTGCGTGTTCGCCGTCGCTGCGTTGGCCATCATGGGTGACGCCGAGTTCATGGACCCACGATGAGACAACATGCTGTTCCTCCGTTTCATGCGTCGCGACACGAGGAATGCGATGATGCCTGCAGCGACGAGGGCGAGGAAGCCGAGCACGACAATGACAGCGATCGCCCAGCCTGGAAACTTGTTTGCATTGAGCGATTGCACGGAGCCCGTCCCGGACGTAGAACTGGCAGTAGGTGCGCCGCCGGAGGTATTTGAGGATGCACCAGAACCATTCCCACCACTGACACCAGAAACGGCGGTCGACGTCGCAGTCACGGATCTTGATGCCGATGCCCTCGACGACGCAGCAGATGCTGAGGATGCCGAGGCAGCGGAAGCAGACGACATGGAAGCAACGACGTAGTCGGCGTAGGTGGTTTCTGCTCATCGCGGTCAATTTCCAAAATATCACCATGAGAACCATCGTTACTCACGGACGGCAGCAAACGTGGATATTGGGAATCGGTAGGCCACATCCGACTGTGTGTTGGGCGTGATCGCAAAATAGTACTGCGAAGTGATGTTCTCGCCGCTCCAGCTCGCCGCACTACTCCCTCCCCAGAACGAATCGTTGATACAGGCCCCTACAAAGCCTGCGTTACTGACCGGGTTGTCGTGATTAATCCAACTTTGTATCAGCTCTTGTGAGTCCGCATTATACAGAAATATATCGACTTCGTTCGTGTTGGTGAATTGAGGGAGTCTACTGTTCCCTGCGATCGGATGTCAAAACAGGGGAGCCAAGATTCAGCAAAAGACTTACAGACGAACTCAACGTATTGATGCTGCGCAACGCTGGTATTGTCGGTCGGATAGCAAGAGAAGACGGCATTGTCGGCATTGTAGCAGTCCTGGATGGCCTGCGCTGTAGGGGAGTTAGTAAGCTCCACACAACCGAGGCCGCTGGGCTAGCGGCAAAAAGAGCTGCGCAGAGGGCGACAGAACATGGCAATAGACGTACAGACTTGTTCCTGGTCTGCCTCGCCACCACAAGACCCAGCGTCACCGCGGGTGTACCGTTCGTGTTGGCTCAAAGACTGCGAACGGTGCCCGAGGGACCGCTTGCGCTTCAGAGAGGGAGAACGGTCGAAGGCCGAGGTCTGCGTCGAGGAAAGGTTGGCGGCCGCGTCAGGGAAGGAGGACATAGGCCGGCTAGTGGGAGGTCGAGGGGAAGGGGGTCGACCGGTGCAGGGGGTGCGGTTGGTGACACGCGACGGAGGAAGTAGCTGGAATGTGTGCACGGGCAAAATTGCATTATCCAGGTACAGAGAGGGCCGTGAGGACAATGGCCCTACGCAAGGAACGGTCTGGCTGGCGGGAGGGGGCAGCGAGAGCGCGACTAGGAGGAGGGATGGATGGACGTCGACATCAGAGGAAAAGACGGGCCTGGGAGTCTTGCTCTCCCATCCCGGCCGGCCCTCGCCAACCCACGAATTACCTCATCCCCGCCCTCGCCTATCGTCCCGTTTCCACCTCTCCAACGCCTGGCCGCTTCGAGCATCTTATTCGCTCGCCTCCTCGCCGCCCTCCTCGCCTCCCGTGCGCCCCGCCACCGCCGCCAGTGTCGCCGCCGCCAGCGTGCCCGGCCGCGGTGTCCAGCGCGCTCACACGCGCCCGCTGGGAGACGCGGGAGACCGCCACATGACTCTTCCCACACTCCATCTTCCCCCGCTCGCCGTCGCCTTCTCGCCTCTTCCCAACCTATGTTTGGTCCGCCGAGCATAACGCCGAGGCCCGCACCCGACGCACAATCCCGCTCGTCGCTGCTCGTCGTCCTCAGCACTCTCTACCGGCACAATCGTCCCACCGATGACATCGACTCTACTGGACCCTTTCTGGCCAGGCCACCGTATTTCACCGTCGAGGCACAGGCACTGCGGTCGAATGTTTTCTCAATACGCATCGGGCGTACACAGCGCGACGCTATCCATTAAACCTCTGAGAATCCGGCGGTCCGGATGCTAAAGATCTTCTGAGGCCGCTCATCCGGCCGACTGCTTCTGGTACGGGCGCCGTGGCAGCGATACTTATTCATGGAACAGCCTTTCGGGGTTTGCGTGTCCATCTTAACTGGGAAATCGCGACCAATCAACGGCATGCCTAGAAAGCTCTCGAAACTTAGTGCATTCGTCGGTCTCAGTCGTGTCTCGGATACAATCTGACTGTGTCTCCGTGGGCGGCCCAGCGTATCCTGACAGGTATGTCGCGTGGTGCGTAAAATCTATCGAGCGAAACAACGCTCCCTGCCAGCATGATCAGCGCAGGAATGCAGAGCGTTGACGGTCTGCCGTCTGGCAACGTTCTTGTCGCGCAGGATGCCATATTGACTCCTACCGCCAGCATCGTGGATAGGCCGCCCAGGCCCCTTCGCCCAGTTACGCCCTGATAGATGCCATGTGCTACCAACCGTCGCAGGCTGCGGCATCCCATCCCCAGTATGCTCACTCAGCGGCTGGACATCCCCATCTGCTTCCGGTGATTCATCTCCGTGTGTGCGGGCTCGAGGCTGTTCCTCCTCCCGGTATGGTGTGCTTTTCCACGTTCATTTACATTGATCTGGAGGTCGACACGGATGGGATAGCCTAAAACTGCGCCGTTCCGGCCTCCGGAGTGCTTACACACAAAATTGGACCCTCGGTGGTGCGCAACATTCACAGGTTGAATGCGGCTCACGGCCGGTGGGTCAATCGATCTGTCTTTCTGTCCGCTTTGGGGTGCGACAGTAAGCCAGCCAGCCAGTCCCGGTTGTTGCGAACCGTAGACTGTGCCCTGAACTAAGCATCGGCGATGCACTTTGGTCGAGCCTGAGCCTCAGTGCACGTAGTCTGCCATCTGGAGAAAGTCATGCAGACCACTGGTAGACCCTGAACAGGTCTTGAACTCACAGACCATTGGATTTGCCGCTTTTTCATCGTTGTATAGGTGGTCTCGTCAGTGGTCAACTCATCGAATTTTCATTGATCGTGGTGTACAACAGGGACCACGGTGTGAAACGCAATGATAAGTCAACCTGGTGCAATGCGCAGCGTGAGGCCCATGAAGCCATGGATACATGCACGCGCCAGGCTGCCAGGCTTCCGTGCAATGACAAACAGCGGCGATTGCGCTGTGGGTGACAAGGTCGACGCTCGTGTCAGCGATCAAGGCACGCCGGTGTGTCATAGACCTAGCGAACAGCGGGTTGAACGGAAGACTTATAGCGCGACGCATTGTCTTGTTGCTATATGCTACGCGCAGTCGGTCCTGCGATGTGTTGAGATGGAGAAGGCTACAGGAATGCTACAGGGTGACGTTGACGTACCGACCTTTCTCATGCCAGTGATGCCCGACATGCAATGTGGTGGAGATATACGTACGTGCGTTACTATAGCCTTTGAGACAGAGCTTCTTTGAGTTGACCGTACATTCCTGAGTAACTTCCAGTACTGTAGTAATTCAGGCATAATCAATGTGTAGTTGGTGGTTCGCATAGGATCGCACGAGCGCCCGCACCAGAAGACACGAATCACGTGATAAACGCGTCGCGCTCCGCACGACGCTCCTTGCTGTGCTTACACCGTCCAGCCTTAGCCCATCCTCAGCATATCTGCACTCTCTGACCAATTTGTTCGTCGACTACAATGGCCGATAGAGGCTACTTTGCGCTCCTCAGCCACCTGTACCACCCGGATATTACCCTGACGCTACCCATCGTCCAAGCGTCAATCGCGCACTACCTTTCCCATCTGCCTCAGCCCCCAACGTCCCTATCTGCATCTATCATCAGCAGCCCTCTGTTCCAGCCATTCTCGTACGCGAAACTCGAGGCTCTGTGCACCGCACACAGGCACGCGGTCCAATCAAAGGTCAAGCTGTTGCAAGAAGACAAGGGCGGTGTCTTCTCCAGGGGTCTGCATCCGAGGCTGAGGGAATGGACGAAGGGTGTACTGGAGGGGTTCAGGGGCGGACATGCGGTTCTGAAGCTTGTATGCTGTGGTGGGCTGCTGCTTGGTTTGGAAGACTTAGAAGGAGAGCTGCACCTCGGGAATGGCGGCGAGCGGGGGATGGTGGAGGAGGAGATTGTGCTCGCGCTGGCTGAAGTGCTCGATACGTACTCGTATGTGCCGTACTCGACCGAGTGGGCGAAGGACTTCAAGTCGGAATCTGAGGATGGAGAAGGTTTGGTCGTGCACTGTGTGAGGGTTTGGTAGCTGAGAGGATCGCTGCACAGAACCTCTCGCGCTGTCTTTACTGCTGGCATCTCGGTTCGTGCCGCTGATCTCTACTGCGAGGCTAGAGACGCTCCCACTGCCGGTGCGTTATTGACTTCATGGCAATGAAGCAAACGAACGTGCTCAATTGACCGTAGGTCTTCTCTGACCTCCTCACCTCGACAATCGAATCGGCCTTCCAAGGTGGCAAGTACCTCACTCATGCCTCATCATCAAGCCAGGGAGCAAGCCTCGCATTTGATGTACGTATCTCCTTGCCATTTTGTAGAATCCTCGTTCAATGCTGCACAGGCTTCGTCGCCCTTCGCCACCACCATTCGAGCCTTGTCTTCGTCGAAGTATATTTTATCTATGGCCACGTTGTCCAAGTTCTCCGCACGTATACTGTCTGTCCTAGCAGAGTCCCGCCCTTCATATGGGTGGCCGGCTATGGCACAGGCATTGATTAGGCTGCAACGCACCGCCGGTGCGGTAGAAGCCGGCTGGGTGTCCAGTTCATTTGCGTCAGTCTCCAATGAGGAAGATGTTGGTGAGTCTGTAGTGATCAAATCCAAAGACCTCATCGCCTTAATCACCTTTATAGCGCCGGATTCAAGAGAACTAGTGACCCAGACGTGGAACCTACTGAAGACACAGCTGTTCACGACTATCATGCTATGTCAGGCCATCCTGTCAACAGTCGTCTTTGTACCTCATCCGGGTACAGAACCTTCTACGTCGACTTCCTCACCACAATCTCTCGCGACTGCTGTTCTACGTACACTTTCCCACCTATCATTCGTTGTTCACCAGTTCGGCGGCGTCACAGCGTCTTCCGGGGGCGGATTCCCGGAGCTCAAGAGGGTATTCTACATGGCGCTAGATGTACTTGCTTCTGATCCTGGTGAGAGCGAGCGCTTCGTGGCAGAGCTATGTCAACCAAGCTCAGCGAACGGTGAATATGCTCTCGCTCTCCCAATCTTAGCTCTACTAAGCAGTGTCACACAGTTCATGTCCCGGCGTTCGTCAAGAACGTCAAGACTGCATACGTTCTGGCATGCATCGAACAACTTACACCCGTCCTCAGCGACGAATGCATCCTCAGGGATGTCTTCTGGTTGTGTCTGCCGTGCGTCTGTCTTTCCGTATGGGGCGTTGCAGCTTTGATGGAGCGCTGTGACGCAGGCTCTTGTCGGACGTGACACACCGCGAGACCTACGAATCCGCGCACTCCGTGATGCTTGCCGTCTTCTCGGCGTATGCACAGAAGACGACGCAGCATGCCTCAACGCATGCGGGTGCTGAGTCGTCCAGCTTCATCAGTCAGATCATCCCGTTTTATACGGAGTGCCTGCTAGAGGTGAGGACGTCGCAACATTCTGTGACTGTTGATCTGTTGCTCACATCGACGATGCAGAACTCGAGCGATGGAAAGCTAAACACCGCCCAACTGTGTTTAGCTTATGCCGCGGTAGTGCGCGGTGCGACAGCGTGCGGGGATGGAGAAGTCCTCGCCTGTTTCTGTGTCGATAAACTCCTGGATGCCCTCCATCAAGTTGGCGATCTGAACGGTCCATCGAACGAACACCTGCATCGCCTCCACTTGACACTCGTCGCCACGGTCTCATCCATCTCATCGGCCCTCCTACCGCGGGTACTGGACGAGTGCAAGGCGGTTATTAGTTCCCTATCCGACTCCTCTGCGGCCACTCAACGAAGAGAACTGACGCAAGCACTGTTCAGAGAGATATCGGAGAATGTGGGGGACGCAGAGAAGGAGTATTGCATGCGGTGGTGGTATGATAATCGCGCCTCGTTCGTAGTGGATGCGGGAGCGTCTGAAATGTGGTGGAGAGCATTGGAGGTTCAGCGCGACTGTAAAATACGTCGGTACGGCGAAATCGCACTGCATTCTCGGATGAGGCCTGAGGGTCGACGGTCGTATGGAGACTGACACAAGGCCCATTACTTACTACCCAATTGCTGGCCCCATCAACGAGAGTGAGCTCGTGGAACACGCCTGGACGCGTCGGGCACGTCGATACATACATGATGCATAGGCATAAGTACGGTATCAACGCGTCCCTGTGCACGATCGGTAAATTCATTGACACGATCGCGCCGGGGTGAAGAATGCGGGGTACTTGCCGGGAAGCGCCCCGCAAGGTACACGAAATCATGTGCTCCCGGATACCGTTGACCCCGACGCCATCATGCACACAAGTACTGCAGCCTGCCCTACCAAGTCTCAAGAACTCAGCTCGCCCTGCTGGGCAGCTTCATCATCGACGGCCTGCCCCGCACCCCCCTTCAAGTAGCATCTAACTCGTGGATTGGGTTCATAGACTTCGACCGTAGTCTCCGCCCACCCGTCTACCACACATCCCCGCAGCACGGTTCATGTTGCGCAAGTCGGCTACCTCGCTTAGAGTAACTGCTCGGTCATTCGAGTCATCTGTGAGTACCTCATACCGTGTATTTCGTGATTCTCTGGCAAGTCAGGCATACACACGGGTCCAGCTGCGTGACATCGCATCCGATTGGTGGCCTCAGCCTGTATACACTGCAGGAATGACTGGGTGTTAGACTGGGCCATACTGTCATTGCTGGCTCGGGCTCGGGGACGTACTACACCGGACAGATATCGACAGACATGCACATTGCACCCTCCCTCAAGGCTGTCTTGTCACGTTCCTGGATGATCAGGTGCACTGGGGGAGTGCGGGGAAAGTACAGTAAGTCCGAATCGACCGTGCAGAGCCAGACGGTATACGGGCTTCATTTATCCGTCGGAAGGTGATCGTCCAAACGTCATGGGAGGAGGAGAAGGCCTGGCGTCGGTCCTCAGATCCAGACGGAAGGCCGAGCTCGGCTCTCCGTGGGGAAGGGACAGCTTAATGACTATGCAGCCGTCAGCTTGCCCGGGCGTACGCTTTCCTTGACTCTTGCCCGTATTGCAGCCCATGAAGGGTCTCCGTCTCCTCCAAGCGAGCAAGGTGCGCGTCGTGTAACAGCCCGCACGCTTTCACATTCACTCTCGCTATGAACTATCCTTCATGGTTTGAAAGCAGGCTCTGACACATTGAATACTACAGCAACACCGAACACTGACTGCCATGTCCAAACCTCGCAACATCTCATCCTCTGCCCCTCGGCGGAACACGGTGCCTCCTGGGTACAAGGAGGACCCCGGCGCAGGGCCAATGCTCCGCTTCGAGGCATCCCTCCCCCATCTCCCCGTCCCACCACTCGCCTCTACCGCCGCCAAGTACCTTGAGTCCGTCCAGCCACATCTCACGGCAGAGCAGCTCTCAAAGACCCAGGCAGCCGTGAAGGCGTTCATGGACTCGGCGCAGAGCAAGGAACTGCAGGCGCGCCTCGAGGCGAGGGCCCGCGAGCCGGGCATGCGGAGCTGGCTGGCGGACTGGTGGAACGAGGCGGCGTACATGGGCTACCGCGACCCGGTGGTGGTGTACGTGAGCTATTTCTACGTGCACGTGGAGGACAAGCATAGGCCGAGCCAGGCGAAGAGGGCGGCGCACTTGTTGAAGGCGATGCTCCCCTTCCGATACATCGTTGAAAGGTGAGGGCCATGAACGTGTTCGTGACGGGTCACGCTGACCGCTATGTAGCAAGCAACTGGAACCGGAGAAAGTGAGGGGAGCGCCCCTGGCTATGGAGTCCTACAAGTATCTGTGCGTACTATTCACTCAGAAGCTACGTATTATCCTCTAACGTGGTCAATCTTAGCTTCCACTCAAGTCGGTACCCTGTCAAGCCGTCCGACAAAGCAGAGAAGTTCGACCCTACGGCCCATAATCACGTTGTCTTCGTGCGGAAGAACAAATTTTACAAGGTGCCGCTAGCGGACAAGAGCGGCCGCGAACTCACAGCCGCAGAGCTTGAGGCGCAGATCGAGAAGGTTGTTGCTTTGGCCGGCAGCGAGAAGGCAGCACCGGTCGGCGCTCTCACAAGCGAGAATAGGGATACCTGGGCTGATGTAAGTGCACAACATATCTACCTTCGTTTTGAATTCTCATGTGCGGTTCGCTAGGCACGTGCAGCATTGCTTGCCGCGTCGCCATCGAATGCTGCTTCGCTGGAGGAGATCGAGTCTGCGATGGTCGTTGTATGCTTAGATGACTTTGCGCCGATTACCCGTGAGGACGCCAGCTGGGCCTGTTGGGTTGGCGACGGTAGGAATCGGTTCTACGACAAGCACCAGTGTATGTGTCACGGCTTTCTCACTGTTGTACTCTGACGCGCTGGTTCCTATAGTGATTGTCTTCGAGAACGGAAAATCTGGTTTCCTAGGAGAGCACTCGTGTATGGATGGCACGCCAACACTTCGCATGAATGAGTTTATGCTTGCCTCGCTTGCTGCTGGCAAGATCGACCTTGGACCTGCACGCACGGCCGAGACGGCGAAGGACCTCGAGGCACCGAAGGAACTCGCGTTTGTTCTCGATAGCAACACGAATCGGTATGTCAAGGAGGCTGAGAAGAACTTCGACGACCTCGTGGGCAAGCACGATATGCATGTACGTTGCCTATCTTGCCGTATCTCTATAGCTTCATTCGCTGAACCTTTCTCTGCGGCCCAGGTGTTGCATTATGAGGGCTACGGCAAGGAATATATCAAGAGGTTCAAGGCTTCGCCGGACGCGTGGGCCCAGCTTGTCAAGCAACTCGCCTTCCACAAGATGTACAACAGGCCAGGCGTGTGCTACGAGAGTGCGCAGACGCGCAAGTACCAGCGCGGGCGCACGGAGGTTATTCGGGCCGCGAGCAACGAGAGCAAGGCGTGGGCGGAAGCCATGCTGAACCCTTCCGAGTCGGTGGGTGAACACTTCATCCACGGCCTTCTGTGTGCATTCCGCTCATCCCTTAGGGTTTAGGACGAGAAGCGGGCGGCTCTGTTCCGCAAGGCGGTGGCAAGGCACCTGCAGTATGCAGCGTGGGCGGCGGACGGCCAGGGCGTGGACCGGCATCTGTTCGGGTTGAAAATGATGTTGAAGGAGGGTGAGCCGACGCCGCCGATCTATACCGACGAGGCGTTTTCCAAGACGAACCACTGGGAGCTGTCAACGTCGAATCTCTCCTCGCCCTTCTTGGACGGCTGGGGCTATGGCGAAGGTTAGTCTTTCGGCTCATGGCTGTCGCATGTGGTGCTGATACGCCTGGTAGTCGTACCCGATGGATATGGTCTATCGTACTCCATTGGTGACGAGTATATCCGCTGGACGATAACGAGTCTGCAGAGGAGGACGGCGGACCTGAAGCACTACATTGCGGAGGCGGCCACGGAGACCAGGCAGATGATGGAACGAGCGGCGGCGGCGGAAGCAAGTAAGCAGGGCGATGGAAAGGCGAAGCTGTGATGTTGGTCCGTTGAATGTAAGGAGCTTGTCGGCACGGTTTTCATTTGAAGTTATGATACCACTTTGCTCGAGCCAGATCAATGATGTGTCTGTACGTGTGATTGACCCGATTGTCAAGCACTCGCTGGGACGTTGCAAGCCACTGGCATCTGCTGCGAGGACGCGAGTGTTTGGTACCCGCGTTTTGTGTTGAGTGGTGCCACAGCACAAATGCCAGAAGTTGTACATGATGACTTCAGGGCGAACGCTTCAAGTTCGACGGAGCATCCATACGCGCCCATGTACATAGCACTGCGACCGCGGTCCGCCTTGGGTCCGCCGGTACTTAGCTCAATATCAATCTTGACGCTCACGTTCCGTATGGCGCTCATCATTCATGCAACCTGTACATGTACAACCGACTAAGTAGCCCCTTCCGGTCTTCCACCGCATGAGCGCACCCACCCCAGCTCGGTGTACTCTCTCCAGCTGCCCACTCCCTGTGGACGAAGCCCTGTCGGCGTTAAGCTGAACCAGTTGGTACCACTAGCTCATCGTCATTGTCCCGCGCGCCAGCCGTGTAACGCCGCACCGCGCTCGGACACCCCAGAGAACCGCGTCACAGTCTGGAAATGGGCCGCGCGACAGCGGCAAGCGCGATGGACGAGCCGTGTCAAGCTGAACAGTCGACCGCAAGTGCGTATTCATTCAAACTCTCCATGGTTCGCTTGAAGACTTACTTGGGTCACTTGTGTAGACCCGAGGCGGTCTTTGTTGAGGAAATGGAGAGACAGCATCGTCTTCAACAAGGGCGACACACTCGTCTTCCCTGCAGAGGGCCATTCGACAGGGGAAACCGAGACGGGACTCTCACCGGGCGTAACCCTCAATGTCGCACCGAGGATGCCGCCAGAGCTTTGCGACAGGATCATCGACCATCTCTACCATGACCGCGATGGCCTTGTCGCATGCTCCCTGACGTGTCGAGCATGGCTGCCTGCGTCGCGACTTCACCTCTTCAGACACGTTCGCCTGCAAAGCAAGACCATCCCATCATTCTTGTCCATCCTCACAGCGAATCCCGCCATTGGGCCGTATGTGGAAGATGTGATGATCCTGGCAGGGAGCCAGGGGTTCACCATACCAGAGATTGACCAAATGAGGACGTTGCAGTCATTGAAAGAGATCCTGGACCGACTTCCAGCTGTGAAGATTCTCAGGATCCCTGTCTTCTTCCGCATATCCATCATCGAGACGGTGATTCTTGCGGCACTGTCCAAGTCGCTGCAGGCCATATTCTTCTCCGGCCTCTTCATAACTGACCTCCGGTCGCTCTCCGATCTATTAGCCTCCTTCCCTCATTTGCAGTCGGTCGCATTCTCGAACGAGGTTTTGTGGCTGCCCGTCATTCCTTTGCCCCCGCCAAAAGACGGCCAAATTACCCCTACTCTTCCCCTCCGCCATCTACGCATCAGTGTCCCTCCCAAGGAACACGGCGCCGCGGATTTCGTGAAGTGGTTGAATTGGCGCTTCAAGCTCCAGGAATTGCGCAGTATTAGTATCCGGTATGGCGAGCTATTCCGGAGTCGTGGCATGCCATCTGGCGTCGGACAGCTGTTCAGCAAGCTCGGACCATCGCTCGAGAAGCTAGAGATTGTAATGCCTCGCGATGTGCGCCTCAAAGGTTCGCTTGCACCTATGCACCATTGTTTCCTTACCAACATCGAACCTTACAGCCATGCACTTTGACCTGAGTCATTGCACGAAATTGAAGCACATCTCGTTCCCGTTGCCCAAGAAGTTCAAGGATCTCGGTGTCATCCGCAGCGGCCAGTACTTCTTCCCGGCGTGGGCTGCAATATTCTTGTCCCGCGTCAAGACCGACAGCGTGCGCTCCATTGCGTTCACGCTCAACTTCCAGAGCAACAACGACCTCCGCGACCTCGCATACATTGAGGAGATCGCCTTGCCGCTGTCGCGGCCGGAATTCAGCCATCTGACGAAAGTCGAGTTCAGGATCGCGGGCCGCTTCGAGCTGCAGATCCGGCGGTTCATCAAGGAGGAGTTGCCTGAGCTGTATGCTCGTGGGATCGTCTCTTTTGTGTGAGTAATGCGAGAGATGTTTGGCGCGGTCGTTTCTGATTACTTGAGATGCAGGGCTGTCAAACCTCCGTCTCGTCCCCCTACGCACAAACGATCGTGTTCAGAGATGGCGCTTCGTAGCATCCACATTGTATGATGCATTGATGTATTTATTGGCACTGTCATCTTGCTCTCTCGTTGCACTTACGCATGGACTTTCGCTGCTTTCTGTACATGTAACTTACTGGTAGCTTGACATTACACCGTGCTGCTGAGTACGTCTTCTGAACACGTACTTATCTCTGATATCTCATCAGGATCTCATAACAGCGCCGAGTGTGTTGCTGCAATCTGAGCCAACTTCACCTACAAGTAAGTATAACACACTAACAGTACATGCCACTGTAGTTACGCCGAACTCTCTGTTGGGTAGCGTCGGTACTAGAATTGGAGGTCGACGCGGTCGAAGTGTATGTAAGTTAAGATAGGCGCCGTTTAGTGTGGATTTCAATGAGATCTGTGTTTCTGTCTTTGGCGCTCGCAGTGGTGGCTGAAAAGTTTGAAGCAAAAAACTGTGCAGTCGCTGTACAGTTGCCACCCATGCCGCCCCAAAGCCCCCCGCCCGCCTCCCCGCCCGCGAACGGCGGTGATGCATCAACCTCAGGTGCGTAGCAATGAGAACATGTTGTCTGCCCTCTACCTCATAGGACGTATGTGTGTGTGTGAATAGAAGGAGACAGCGAATCTCTCCAGACCCTCAAGCGAAACTACCTGAGCCTCCTGCCTCAGGAGCAGATCATTGAGATATGCCTTGCGCTCGACGTTCATGCCACTCAGCATGTTCGCGAGTCGGTATGGCCCGCTAATCTCCATGCCTCCATACAAGCCCTGAAGAATGGTACTACTCCGTCGACACCAGGCCCCGTCGTCGCTACCGAAGGTAGCTCGCCGTATGACCAGCCAGCCAAGGATGCGTCTACAGAGCAGGTACACCCGCCACGGTCCTCCGTAAGTGCGAATGGCGTGCCGCCGATGGCCTCTTTGCAGGACGATTCTACACAATCGTCGCGTGCCTCTCAACCGCCGCCGTCGTCCGCAGAGACGCCGTCGCAGGCAAGTGGTCCCTCGATCGATAGGCCACCGACCGCTGGCCCGTCCACGACACCAGCGTATCCGCGCTCGGCTGCAAACAGCCCAGCTCCGCATTCATCCACTGCGCCTCTGACTCAACCTCAGCCTCACACGCCGTACCCATACGCGCCGTATGGTTATGTCCCAAAAGCATCTCAGCAGCCCGCCTATCCTCATACTCCATACTATGCCACGCCCCCACCTGTTCCCCCTGGTTATCCCCATCACTATCCGTATGCTGGGTACCCGCCTCCCCCAGGCTACCCGTCGACATCCACTGGCCATCCAGCGTATCCGCCCGCTGGGTCGCCACCGCCCCCAGCGATGGCGGAGCCTCCGCCAAGCACTACTTATCCTCTGCCGCCCGTGGAAGACTTGCCCCAGTATGAGGACATGATCGTTGAGGCTCTGATGGACACGGGCGACCCTGAGGGCGCAGCGCCAAAAGATTTGTTCGCGTGGATGGCTTCGCGATACCCGCTGCAGACGAACTTCCGGCCAAGCGCGAGCCAGGCCCTGCAGAAGGCTTACAAGCGAGGCAGGCTTGAGAAAGTGAGCGGGAAGTATCGACTGAACCCGTCATGGGAAGGTGGCACAGTGAGTGTAATCGTACATACGGCGTCACAATCCGTAGTCTGATGCATGGCTTGCTACTACAGACGTCAAAACGCACCACCCGAAAACCCCAGACACACGCACAAACGACGTACATGCAACAGCAGCCACCTTCGTCACCCTTCACCAACGCCCCCCTGCATCACCGATCCAACCACGCGCCATATCCTCAGGCGGGCCCACCGGGGCAATACCCCAGCTATTCGTACGGCTATCCTCAGCCGGGTTACCCCCAGTATCATACACCAAGCTTGCCGTCATACTACCAGCAGCAACCCAGTCAACAACCGACGACCGCCAGCAAGGCGCCCGCTCAGAGCTCTGCATCCGTGCCGACAGCGGTCCCCGCGCCGTCCCCGTCGACCACGGTGCCTACGGTAGCTAGTAGCGGCAAGGACGGTGCAGACAAGGCGCCTACAACGGACGGACACGACGCGAATGCGTGGGAGGCGGCCCAGCATATCTTGGAGGCCATCAACTTCAACACGCTGCACAGGATCGAAGACCCAGAGCAGCCCGAGCTTCCTGCCGCCGCTTCTGCGGCGCAGACATCGGCTCCTGTGCCTGCGGCCGCGAGTATGGAGACACGGCCGGCTGCGGAGGCGCCGCGGACGACACTCACTGAGGACGAACGAGCGTCGTTGCAAGCACAACTCGCCCTGCTCGCAGCGCAACTCACGGAAATTGCAAACGAGAGCGATGATGAGGATGGGGAAGAGGTGGAGGCCCTTGCCCGTGCTCAACCCGTGCCCGAGTGGTCCCCAGCGACAGACGTACAGACGCGGCTTGCCAGTCCCATGGATGTGCAGCCGGAAGCGACAGAGGTGCGTGAGGGCAATCCTCTCGAGGAAGCCGCTGGCCGCGCGATGGCGATGCTCCTGGACAACCTGGACAGCGCTGCGCAGGCGATGGCGCAGGACGAGGAGGAGAGCGACGAGGATGAGGATATGGAGATGGTGGAGGTGCCGACGTACGTGGGGAGCGATGCGTTGCGGATTTGAGGCTTGCGATTCTGTTTTCTCTGGTTCGTGTGGTTTGTGTCTCACATCATGGTTACATACCGGACTGTACCGTCATGCTCTCTTACCTGTTGTTGGTCGTCGTCGTCTTCTCCGCACTTCAAGTTACTGGGATCCTCCAGAAAGGCACTCTTCCCGGTCGGATGCGTTCTCTCACTCGTGACCCATTATATGTACCACAGATTGGTACCGGTGGGTTCAACGATGCCTTATATACCATCCCGTAACTCACTGGATGTGAGGACAAGAAAAGCCGCCACAAGATGTACGAGAACGATAGCCGCGGGCTGCGTAGCATATTCTTGCCGGTGCTACATACCTCAAGTCTTCTTGGGATATCACATCGTACAAGCTCTCAAGCCCTCGTATTTCATATGAGAACCTGCGAGTGCTGCGTCTATCAGACGTCTCCTTCCTCTCTCAGCTCATCTTCAGACGTCCGCAACCGCGTTAGCTCCCCATCCCCATCCAACACGGTGCATCCAGTTGATGTTGGCCGATTCTTAACGCCCTTCGAATTCGCATAGTCTTCGCAATCACTATTTGTAGCGCACCATGACGCCGAGCCCGACGCTAGTGGGCTAATTCTCCCGTACGTCTGTCGCTGTAGGTCTCCGTCGCGCTTGCTCGGCTGGAATGCATCCTGGCGCGTACTCCATCCTGGTTCCGTCTCTCGCCTGGTCAATGCGCTCGACGCGTCGGCAGACGTTCTCGCCCGTGTCGTCTGTTCGCTGATTCTATCTTCTCTCATAAATGGACATGATCTTGACGCGAGCCAAGGCGGAGTCTCCGGGCTCTTCAGAATCATAGCACAATAATGCGTTCACTCACGGAAGCAGCAGGAGCGACATCGACGTGCAGCTGCGCGTTGTATCCCGTCGGTCTCCCGCTTTCTCACTGTACAGGGAACGGCAGAATAGGCAAACGAAGGAGCAGAGTATACGGTCGAGTAATACACTATCTCAACTCCTGCAATTGGATAGGCAACGGGAGTTCCTAGCGCGAGCCGCAGACCGTCGGCCGCAATTCACCCGCCGGATTGCATACAGTACGTACCGCATGGATCCCAATTTGCTTTTGCGACACCTTCGACGAGACGGTTTTAGCAGGAGGCTCACGCTGTACGCTGCGCACATTTGCAATGGCAAGTCGAGGTGGCAGGCTCTGCTGTCGCTGGCCGGGCACGGCAGTTGCGTGGCTCTCACTAGCGGCGGCCCACGAAAATACCTAAATGTGCGGAGGCCAAGAAGCCCAGCGAAGGCCCAGCGAGCAGTGGAAAACTGATGAGGCTGCAGACGGTGGCAGGGCGTGGACGGATATGGGATAGCGCTCGCATGCACTCCGCGCCGAGTACATAAAGTAATTATCGACACCCTCTGCCACGAGGGAACGAAGATGCCATCTCGTCCACATCTCGCCCGACGCTCCTGTCTTTTCTCCCAGGTCTGAGTCCTGCCTCAGGCTGCCTGCATCACAGCCGGAACGCTCCCTCTTCCCCTTCGTCGACCTCTCGCGGTGCGCGCACCGCACCGCCCGCCAGCCGGCCTTTACATTCCTTTCTACCACACTCCTTTCATCGGGTTTCGGCCGTGACGACGTCACGGCGCCATGCACGCGCGCACTCGCAAGACGAGAAGACGACACAGTGCGCAGACGCGAGCTCTGCACGAACGCGACCCGCCCCTCATCAACCTACCCATTCCCTTGCCCGTCCCCATTCCATCCATTCCCATCCTTGGACCGCTGCTCTCCCCTCTGATTGGCGGCTTGCCATGGCCCACGCCGACCTCTTCCACGGTGCAAACCACGTCCCCGCCAGCTGCAGAGCCCACCACTACCACACCTCTCGTACCCACGGTAATATCTACACCCCCGCCTCAGCCAACGAGCACTGCCGACGCGCCAAGCCCGACAGGCTCCGGCGGAGATGATACGGGGAGCAGCGGGCCGTCCCCAGACAGTGTTTCTGGTGGTGGTGGGGCCTCCAGCGATGGCGACGGGTCGGGCAGCAGCAGCGGATCCACTGGGACGAGCGGGGATGGCTCTGGCTCTGGCAGCAGCAGCAGCGTCGGAGGGTCGGATGGCTCTGGGGACTCCGCTCCCGCGAACAGCGGCGACGGGACAGGCAGCGGAGACATCAGTGGCAACGGGGGATCGACGTCGAGTGTTTCAGCCGGGGCAGATCCTGTCGCCGGATCATCCCAATCAAGTGCCCCCGCCCAAGGCGCTGGCACGACTTCCTCCTCGCTCTCAGGACCATCGGGGTCGTCTGCACAAGCATCTGGTAACGCGCAGGGATCATCCGCAAACGCGTCTGCAGCCATGTCTGGGGGCTTAGCAGCTGGCCTTGGGGTTACGACAACCGCGGTTCCCATGGCCGTAGCGAACGCGTTTAGCGGGTCGACCGATTCAGCGTACACCTATGCGTTTGTAGCTACCTCCAGTACCGGAGTAGCTGATGCCGCTGCAACCGCAGCAGGCACAACAGTCGGCGGTTCAACTTCTAAAGGCTCGGGTTCCTCAGGCTCGGGCTCGTCAAACCCTGACGGCAACGGGTCCTCGTCATCCAGCTCAACGCCAGCTTCCACCCACCATGGATTATCCAGCGGCGCTATTGCAGCCATCGTCGTGGTCCTAGTCCTGCTCTTCTTCCTCCTCGTCATCGTGCTATTGCGTCGACGCTCAGTCACCCAACGCGTTCGGAGGCGGAGGAACTGGCTCGTTGGCGGGCAAAACCCCCACAGCGGCATCAGCAGCTCCCGCTACTTCAGCGACCATCCCAATGGCAGCACGACTCACATGTCCCAACACAGCAGCTTCGGCCCCGCCACGTCACACGCGCCCTGGGAAACGTTCAACGAACCCGTCGCCGCAACCGCGGAGGGGAGCGCGCCATCTTCGCGCGTCGAGCTCTCCGTCCCGCCCGTCGGCCGGCAGATGACGGGGCTCACGGAGCCCGTCTGGACGAGCCACCTCAACGGCTCCATAGTGTTCGCGCCCTCGGTCGCCTCGGTCGCCGCGTCCGACCCCCTGCCCACCATCCGCAGCCCCGAGCGCACGAGCTGGGGCAGCCACCACTCGTACGCGCACGAGAGCTCCGGCGAGGGCGACGACGCCGGGTGGGTGTCCTGCCCCGAGAGCGCCGCGGTCAGCACGCGCAGCCACGGCCTCCCCAGCTCCATGACCGTCCGCCCGTTCAGCCCCTCTGAGGCGTGGCAGTTCCCCAAGCCGCCCGGCTCCCGCGCGGACGCGGACGACGCGCCGCTCCTCCCGGACGACCGCCGCCGGAGCCGCGTCGTCAGCCCCGAGAGCATGTTCGAGTCGGGCGTGTCCTCCGAGTACGCGACCGCGCCCGAGAACCCGTTCGCGGACCACGCCGCGGAGGCGCGCACCGTGGACGTCGACGCGCGCACGTCCGAGTCCGTCGACGCGGAGACGGCGATGCACTTCGCGCGCGTCGAGACGATCCGCAGGCCGTTCGTGCCCGCGATGGAGGACGAGATGGGCGTCGTGCCCGGGGAGTGCGTGCGCATGCTGCGGCGGTTCAACGACGGGTGGGCGTACGCGGAGAAGGTGGGCACGCGCCGGAAGGGGATCATCCCCATCGACTGCTTGCGCACGCCTGGGGAGGACCTGCCCGCGTTCCTTGCGGCGAAACGCCTGAGCAGCTACCGGCCGACTAGCGTGCACACAAAATCGGAGGATACTGGAGGGTCGAATGCCGGAGTGGCCATATAGAGTGCGAACCACTCCGTACTTATTTAAGCGTGGTACGTGCAAACTTGGACGATTACGCTTCGCACTGGACTGACGCTTTCGTGGAATGGTGGCAGAACACTGACATTCCGCATGTCGCACGCGCCGCTGACAAACTTGGTTAGAATGTACAACACCGCACAAGTATACGTGCTCCTGTCCTTTCGTGTGTATACCCTATCCCCGGCCGTGCTCTGCTCGCGCCGGGGGTCGGTCATCCGACTCATCCTCATCCTTTAAAATTGTAGACACCATCTCGCTTCATTCTTGGTTGATTATTCACCTGCTGTACCATCTACCTACTACCCCCTGCGGCTGTTGTACGTATGCCGTGCCGCTCTGTAGCATGTTGTGTTATCGAGTACTTATTGTGTTCGTTCGTTCGAACCTTCGTCTTCGTTTCGCTCTGGGTTGTCGCGTCTTATTTACATGCATTGTGACGAGACTTGCTAGGGCATTTTTACTATGTGGATCATTCCGGAGTGTGCCATGGACTTTGGGTTACCATGGGGCTATGGTACATAATGCATAGTCGTTTGATATTTACATGGGCGACATCACCTCGGACTTTAGGCTGGGCCATACATGAGAGAAGTGCCCACATTGGCTTTCAGGATCTCGGGCTTGGATGGTTTCTTTTCGCGCGCGAGGGATACAATCATTCTTCCAATTCCACCATACATGCATACTGAGTACCGAGTACTGAACATTGGTGCAATGATAGCGTACACCCCTCATCAAGAACACAAAAAGAAGACAACGAATGTCTGCCCCATATACTACCCCAGTTAACCGGCACTAGCCTCGCATCGGCAGGAGTCCCACGTGAGGCTCATCTTATACCACTCGATGAACGTTTTTATAGCCTCTCTTATGCCCGTTGCGGACGACCAACCGGGCAGGAGTCGTGCGAGCGGGTGACCCCGCCCCCACTCGTCAACTGCAAGAGTTGGGTGCCGGACCCTCGCCAGAGGTAGAGCACACCCCACACCTGGGGTCGGACCAGGCGCGCGATGCAGCCTCATGGAGGACCGGTCTCGAGGCGACGCACGCACGGAAGGAGATACTACATACCGGGGCACGGGCACGGACAGCGAGGGGACCTGACGGGTCGACGGGGATGCCATGATCATAGGTCATATATAACATAGGGCATTACACCGCGCCGCCGCCACGGCGCAGCGGACGTGCGAGTCGGGGGATATGAGTACAGCGACAACAGACAGCGAAAGCAAGACGCAGCGAGAGACAACGCACGACCATACAAGGACATACAGCACCCGACTCCTCTGCCCCTCCATAGCGACCGGCGGCGGCGCTGACGGGGGCACGTCACACGCGGCTACCCGGGTGGGAACGACTGCACGTTCGCGCTCGCGTGGCCATTTCGCCGGCCGTTGGACCCGTTTGCGTATGCGTACTCTTCTGGGGGTGGCGGGCCGGTGCCCCGTTGGCCGCCATCGGTGGTGCAGGATATGCGTGCATGATACTGGCGAAGGTCGCAGGCACGGGTGGCGGCGAGGCGCCAGACCTAGTGGGATAGTGGCGTGCGGCCTCGCCGTTCGACGTGCCGGGATGATAGGGTGAGTGGTGGTGTCCACGAGGGGACGGCATGGATGAGTGCGACTGCGAGCGCGTGTGATGAGCGGACATCTGAGGCGGTGGTGAATACCTCTCCCGGTTCTCCCGCTCCCGGTGCATGACGGGGGAGTGCGACATCCGTGTACTTGACGGCGACTCGCCGCGAACTGGGTTGTTGCCGGTAGGCCCGTAATCTTCATACGCAGGATTACTCGTGCGTGAGCTTCGTCGTCCGCGCTGTGGTGGTGCGTCCCGAGCATGTGGGGGAACATATTCTTGATATTCTTGCTGGAATTGAATCGGTTTCATGGTAGAAGGCGGCGGATGATATGGTTGTGGCCTCGACGGATCTTCCGCGTCAACCTGTATGATTTGCAGCTCTCTGTGGTCCCCCTCCTTGCCTCTCTCCGAATAGTACGGGCCCCCGTCTGGTCGGCCACCTTCCGCCTGGTCATTATCCTCCGGAAGCGCCGGGATCACCGCGGCGTGCCTGCCACCAAGGGGTCTGTGGGTAGAATTTAAGTCACTTGTCGCCCGTCTGCGCCCTCCGCACTGACAAAAGAAGGGAATGCGACGCTCACCCGCCCTCGACGAAGTGCTGCCAGACGTAGTCCTTCAACTGATGCGCGTTGGGCAGTTCCTGGATCAGGTGCTTGATAGTGTTCTGGCCGAGCCCAAAGAAGTCTGGCCCGAAACAGAGTTTGAGTGCTGTCGGTTCCGTATGCGGTTCGCCTCCTTCACGATGGTCGACCACGCGCCGGTCGCGGTGCCCGCGAGGACTTTGTGTTCAGGTTTATCCTGGGGAGTTATCTGGAACGTCGGCCCGTCGCCTCCGTCAAGGATGGTACAATGGTAGATGGCCTCTGCGTCGGGGTTGACCATCGACAGGTAGCGCCTGCGAGGAACGAGGCCGGAGCGCTGAGCTTTCAGTCACGCACAGCTATCGCGAACACGCACCTGGTCACCTCGTAGTGAATGGGAAAGATGTATCGCTCGGTGTGGAAGTGCTCGCGCATGCACACATCACCGAGGTTGATGACGGTCATGATGCCGACGACAAGGGGGAGGAGCGGTCGGCCTTTCTTGTCGCGGGGCACCATGGGTATGCTGAAGCTCTTGCTCTGCACGGTATGCGCTTTCAGTCGCTTCGGCTTTGCGTGACGCTGAATATCCGTCGGGCGTGACGCGGCGAGGGCGCCTGACGACGATGTACGTAGGGTCATCTGCATTTGACTTTGCGACGGCGGCGCGTTTGCTATGGCCTCTGCTCCTGCGGGCCGAAAGGACGGCGAGTACGCCGCACCCGGCACAGGCGGGGGATACTCGTCATGCGGGGACATCATGGGGGAGCCGGGCGACTCAGAGCGGCGGTGGCCCTGCATGAGGCCGTGCGGCAGGGGGGGCTGCATCGACGACCCCGGCGGGGGACTCGCCTCCCCAGAGGGCGGCGCGGGTGGCTTCAGTCTCAATCTGGTGCCCGAGCTCGACACGAGCACGGGCGGTACCCCATTTCCCTGGCCCTGCATTGACGGGTGCGGTGGCGCGTACTGCTGCACCGGGACACTCATCTCCTTCCCCTTCTGCGTCGTTCGCGGCCGTCTCGCCTGCCGCCGTGCCTCCCGCGCCTCGTCCTCTTCCTGCTGTCTGCGCTGCTCCTCCTGGCGCTTGCGCGCGTCGGGCCCGATGTGGCGGGAAAGGACAACAGGATCAATGTTGGGGTCTTCCTGGTCCACCTCGTCAATGGCCTGGCGGAGGTTGCTCACGAAGTGTTTCTGGCTGTTTACGGACAGCAGGGAGCGCGGAAAGGCGGTGAAAGGGGGGCCGGGGATGGGTGCACCGGGGTTGACCTGGGGGTTGGTCTCGAGCTCGGTGATACGATCCAGCAGTAAACTGCATTGGAATGAACAAGGGCACCATATGCCACTGCGGAGGAAACTACTTACGCGCGTTCTGCTCGCCATTTGAGGTTGCGCTCGCCGGACCTTTGTAGCTGGAACTGAGACTCAGTGAATTTCTGAGATCGCCGTGGCGCACAAGATCAACGTCAGTGACTGGGCACGACACGGATCTTTCTCGCAGATGCGAAACGTGCATACTGACCTCCTCGAGTTCCTTGTACTTGCGCACGAGCTTTGCGTATTTTTCGGGCACGTCCGGGTCCGGGGCCTTCTTGGAGCTGCTTTCGCGAGGCTGGGAGGCCTGCGGGGGCAGTGGTGGTGGGCCCATGATGATTTCGAGGGGCGGAGGCATGTTTTGTGGCGGGCCCATGCTTGATCGCGAAGGGCGGCTCATGGTGGTCGAGAGAGAAGAGGGGCGGGGACGCGCTGGGGTCCAGGGGCGTAGCCCAGCCAGGGCGAAGCGACCGTCGCCACCTGTTTGGTCCGATATAAATCCCACATTGAAACACTAGTCAGCTCTCCCAATCACGCAGATCATCTGCTTCTTCTTTCTCAGAGCACAAAGTCGCCTGCGACGGCATTGTATATTGTTCTCCGCGACGACGCAGACAACAGCTGCCCGTCGCGGCGCGCGCAGCAGCGCAGGCAGGCGGGGCACCGAGGACGACGATTCCGGGGAGCTTTGCGAGTTGGCCGGATATGGAACTCGGCGTGGCGTTGATTGACTGTTTTGGGCATGGCTAAACGCCGGAATCTTCTTCCCACTACGCCTCGTATGCGGACCCCGGAACTCCTCGTATGCTACGCCTCCCCAGGCTCACCCTTCTCCCGCTGCCGCGAACCCAAGGCCGACCACCGTCGCGCACAGAAAATGCATGCAGGGCGCCGCGACGGGGCGCACAAGGCCGCTACACTACACAAGGCACGCTAGCAACAACAGGAGAGGGAGGCTGTGAGAGAGGCGGCGGGCGTAAGCTTGCCTGTGGACGGGTCCAGATGATCAAGGCCATCTGTCAACTGACTCCGCCTCCGAATGCGGTCATCGCCATATCGCCCTTCCCGCGCGTCTGCGTGCCTCGTTCCTCGCAGCACGCCTCCCTTCCCCACCCGAGTGTCCTCCCCCTTTCGGGCATCACCTCCCCATATAAGGCAACCGTAGTATTCGCCCGGCCGCCCACCCGCCGCGCCCCACCTAGCCGTTATCTGCGAAGCTTCCCCGCGAGACCCCCCTTCGCGATCAGCACCGTTACGTCCAACTGATCAGGCAGCGGTGGGCACCGTAGCGGCTTCGGGGCAGATGGCCCACATGTGCCGGCTGCGGTGGCTGTAGGCCTGGACAGCATGCACACTGCCCATTCATTCCACCATCACACCCGTGGCGCCAAGCGCGCGACGCAAGCATCCGCATACCGTACACCCAAATGCGGCTATGGTGCTGTCATCGAAGTCGGAACCACCGTCGACCGACGCCCTTCCAGGCCACCGAGACGTCGAGCGCTGACAGCCATGTGCGCTACAAATCTGGTTTCATTGACAACGTCGATCCCTATTACATTGCTATAGCCGTATTAGCAAAACGTAAGGTGGGGACTCGTCATGTCGTGTGGCATGAGCCCATAAACATAATACGTATACGTGCGTGCGACAAGTCGGTACAGAGACATTATGGAGACAGAGACAGGGAGACTTCAGAGAGAGAAAGGCGACGTTTTGGACACGGGGAAGTGGAAGGAACATGGGATGGCGGGGTGCTTCGACGCCTAGGCAGGGAAGAGGGACACGAAGACCGCCAGCACCGCCTTTTGCGAATGCCGGCACGACCAAGAAACAAACCGAAGGGGAACATGCAACTGTACTTGAGGGAGAAAACTGCTGTCCGAGGCGAGCCGAAGGGGCCTATTCTACTAACGATCGGATGGCATGCGAGCGACGCCAACAAGTCACATAAACCTATACCTGCAGAGGGAGGATCTGGTCAACAGACTTCCCCGCCTCCGATCAGCCACGGACCCGAGCCCTCGCAAGGCTTGACAACTCACCTGGAAAATCGAATCACGGAATGCATAGAGCGAAGACTACCGTTGGAAAATCTCCGTGATCGTCCTCCGCCTCTCCTTCCTCCCCGAAACCGTCGCGTTTCTGTTCGCGTTCCGCTCGTCCCGCTCCCGCTCCCACGCGCTCTCCAGGCTGGCCCTGGGGCGCGCCGCGATCGTTCTGCGCCAGTTCTCCGGCCGCTCCGTCTCGTTGCCCGACATCGGCGAGAGGACTGGCGCCGCCTCGAGCCGCACAGGCGGCTCCTCGTCCACGGCACTGGAGGCGTTCGAGGACGAGCGCAAGCGCGCAGAGGCTAGAGATGCACGGGAGAGGGTGGCGACGTTTCCACTGGGCCCCGCGCGAGAGGACCCGGACGACTCGTTGCGATCCATGCTGGGACGGTAGTGTGCCGTGACGGGAGGTTCCCCGGGAGACCTCTCTGCGATACGGTCGCGGTGGTGAGCGAGGTCGTCGCTCCAGACGGTTGAGGATAGAGTTGAAGGCGGATGGTTCGGCGCGCACGGTGAGGTTCGAGGAGCTAGACACCTTCCTTCGAGAGGCGCTGTTCTCCGACGAGGAGGTGCTCACGGTGCGAGTGATGAGCGATTCGGATGGCAATGTCGAGAGGGATGGAGGTACGGAGACGGGCGCGAAGTTGCGTGGGCGCTCTGACAGCGCCGAATGGGACGTCCGCGAGGTCGGTGTGGGCGAGGGTTCGTACTTGTCGGGGGAGTCTTGACGCGAGAAGTTCACGTTCGTCTGAATGGGCGCTAAAACCTCCGGAGTTGCACGCTGTTCTCGTGGCAAGTACAACCGGCGCATGGAGGATGAAGGCGCCATATGCATCGTGCTGGCCTTGACGGTCTGCGGTGTCCCATCGACAGCATCCGTGACGCTGCGCCCCTCGCTGCTCGAGGTCGCAGAGCCTCGAAGGAGAGCAGAAGCGGGACGCACGTGGCTTCTCTCCAGACTAGACAATCTGGCCAGCGACGATTCCCGAACGTCTCGTGGGTCCCAGCTACGTCGGGTCTCACGGCTCTTCCTTCCATCAGAGCTGCGTCCGCCGCTTGCAGTAATGCTGGGATCTGGTGCGAGGCGGTTACTCACGCTCTCGTCGAGACTGACCGTGCGAAGGTGCTGCTGTGGATCCTTGCCCGCGGTCCCCTCGCGGAGCACCTTGCCGACGCCGAGCAGGAAGCCAGTCATGTTCCGCACGACCTCGTCGCTCACCCTGAGGTTCTCCCGATGCTCCGCTCCAACGTCTCTCCAGAGCTCAGGCAGGTTGACACTCGTCGATACGTCGGCGACCTCTGCGTCGATCTGAGCCTCGAGCGCCCGGTTCGTCCCAGACTTCAGCATCCCATTGAGCTTGTCCAATGAGTGAACGAGGTGCTGTGCATTCTGGAACAGCTCCGGGATCGTATTGGTGTGGTCTGACCCATTGGCGGGAGGCGCGAGAGCTGCGACTCGAACATGGTGAGCGCCTCCAGCATCAGCCGGCGGTGCTCCGCGCTCATGTCCTTGTTCAAGCCAGGAGACCCGATCGGTGCGGCGGAGGCTGCCCTGATAGATGCAAAGGGCGAGGAGTAGGCACGATCGGAGAACTCCTGTTGGGTTTGAGGAGACGTGACCGGCTCCCGGTTAGCCAGCGCAAACGTCGACTTGTACGCACGCAATCCAGGAGGGGCCGTCCTCGGTGGCAGCATCTCGGCAGTGTCGTGGTGCAAGGCTGCCATGGACGTCCCGGGACGAGCCAGCATTCCTCCTGAACGAGTCATGCGCTCATCACGTCTGTGCGAGTTGTTCACGGGAGTGTGCAGGTCGAAGCGTGGCGGGCCTATGCCTGGCTCTTGATAATAGAGGATTCCCAGTAGACTTCGTGCGTCGAGGAGATTCCGGTGCAGTCGGCCCGCCACCGAATAGATCGTCTCCAGGGTCCCGCCGCTTGGTCAATCCCGCCGCGCGCAGCCCTTCACCTACCAAGCTCCTTCCACCATTCCCAGCAAGCACTGTGTCCGAGCTTCCGCCTCTGTGACCCTGTCGGCGCCCAAAGGACTCGACGCTACCGTTAGCATGATGTGATGGCTCCTCGTCTTCCACAGAGGCAGACAGATCCTCCGATAGCCACCGCGTCTGATGCTTCCTCGTGAGCTCACGCACTGTCGAGTACCGAGCCTGTCCTTGGCGACGAGGTGAGACCTGTGTGTTGGGTGGGAGACCTGTTCTGAATGCTCGCGGTGAAGAAGGCGATGCCCTGTCATGGCCATTGCGATTGCGATGTGGGGTAGACGGCTCTCCCTGAGGCTTTGATTTCATTAGCATATAGCTATACATACATGAAAAAGATCCAACGTACCTTCTCGTCTGGGCTCCTCCGGTCCCTGAACTCTCGTGGTAATGGCTGTCGGCTCTTCTTCCCCCCACTTCCGGGGCTGCGGCGTGATGAAGCGACAGCTGCTAAGGCGGAGGTCAAGACATCCTCGTCGTCACCCTGTGCATGGCGCTGGCTCTCGTCCACAGACATCGCCATCGACATCCTCTTCCGCGGGGCTCGGGATGGGCCAGGTGACGGAGCTCTATCTCTGTCGCGCTGCGTACGGCCCTTCGCAGGAGATGCAGGAGCTGAAATTCGCCTCTCCCGGACGGGAAAAGGCGCGCGGACTTCAGGGCGCGATGGCGGTGTTGCGGCGAATTCATCTGAGGAGTAAGAGTGGCTGAGGTTATACTGGCTTTCACGCTCTGTTTCTGAACCCGAGTGGGAAGTTTCGATGCGGCGGGCTGGCGTCGGGAGAGGGTTCGATGCTGATTGAGGTCTGGCTGAGGCGCGCGACAAGGACTCATTTGTATAGGGCGGAGAGACGGGCGTGCGGGGATTGTTCGAGGGTGCCGGGGAACTGGTCGGTGCTGGGGAGTTCAGGCGAGATATGGAAGAGAGCTTGTCGAGGACCTATATAGCGTAAGACGAGGTAGCACCAGCCGTACAGGTACATAGGCCGCGGGACGGCGTTTGGGCACCATGTATGCGCATAGACATGGGAGGGGGGAATGAAGGGACATCGCACCAGGTTTGTGGGATGCGGGGCGTTGCGAAAAACGGAGGTTGTCGAAGAGTTCATGTACGCCGAAGTCATCAATTCATCGCGGTTGTGATATACAGCGTTTGCAACCGAACATATGGATTTTGATTCTGTCAGAAGTAAGGCCGCAACTGTCCGGTGAAGACTCACCATTCGATTGCGCTGCGTAAGGCTTCTGACGCGGTCCAGGGCGGAAGAGTTATCTTCTTGAGCGGTTTTCGACTGCCGCCTTCTACCGGACAGGCGTGCCGTGGTATCCTCCTCGTTGTCAAGACCCTCCCCATCCTCCTCCTCGTCCGTAAAGACCTGGCTGTTCCGTTTCACGTTGCGCGGCCTGTCGTAACCATGAGGCATTTCGGAGGATGAGTTCGAACGAGACGCGCCAGACCGCTGACGGAGACTGCCGGCGCTGTTGCTGTTGCTATCCCCCACGCTTCCACTACCGGTCGAGTTGGTCGCGGGCGGCGAGGGGAGTCCTGAGTGGTGCGAGGTCGATGGGCTAGGCGGTTCAGGGAGTCGGGCAGAGATGGAGGGAGGAGGTGGAAGTCGAGCCTGAACCGATGTAGATCGCCGACAAAGGACGGGACCTAGAAGCCAGTGCAGGACGAGGTGGCATTGGGCGAAGCAGTGCGAGACAAGATCATGAACAGGAGGTGCCCACTTCGAGAACGACGCAGGCGATCGCTGTCGTCGTCCCCGAACGGCGTGAACGGCCGGGAGTTGGTGCGAAAGATTCGAGACGGAGTCGGCGTTACAGTGCACGTTTCTTTGCCTCGTTCCCAACGTGCTGCCACCTGCCTCTTCTGGTGCACTCTGTTGCCCAAGGCACACGGCTCTCGATAATCGCTCGCCTGCCTGCAGCCGAGCTCAAATGAAATAGCTAAAGCCTGAAGGCTTGAGTAGTTGGAATAGGTCGACTGGGTGCGGTAAAGAGTGGGTGTAGTCAAGGTGTAGTAGAGCTGCTACGCTGCCCACGTCAAGCTATATGTATCACCGCGAACAACGGACCCGGACACAATACAACAGTCGCCAAGTTACCCATCCACTTATGCAGGCAACCTTCTGATGACGGAAAACCGCAACCGCATGATGATGGCACTCATAGTTGCTGGTACACAAAGGGCTGCAGCTGTTGGTCTCGTATTGTAGTTAGATAAGCACGTACCTGCTAGGTAAAAACTTCTACCATACGCATTGCTATTGCCGGCTTTTACGTTCCGCTACAGAGACTACGTACGCGTAGTAATACGGTTGGATCGTGTACCAACTAATGGCCACCCCCCTGCAGGTTGAGGTTGAAACATTCACTGGCGCACGACAACAAAATCTATGTACAATGGCACACTGCCAGCCGTTGATCCGTAGAATAAATTGCGGCCGCGTATGCGGGTCGCGATCGGTTCATCCCAGGCATGCTACTAGTAATAGTAGTAGCAATGGGTCTAACGCGGTGAAAGTTTGAGCTCGGTGGACCCCACCATATCCTTTCACATCTGTCACAACATCACCAATACTCGTTTGCACTTGGAGTAGGGAGGTCGGTGAGCTGCGCAGCTCGTTGAGGCATGCGATGGCACAAGCATAATCATGCAAATGACTGTCTTGACAGTGACCTGCGTGCGATCTCTCGTCATCGGACATCGCCAATCCAGTCATGAACAACATACCTATACGGTGTCGCTGAAGCCACATCAACCACCGACGGCTTGCGCATCTGATCGTCGGTTCCGAACTATTCGTCGTCCGTGCTGCTCATACTTAAATATGAATGCCGCCCTAGCATATGCTGCACAGTCTTCGGGGTACACCATGTTCACCCACGCACCTCAGTATCACTGGCCGCCACTGAAGTGGGAGCGTGAATGACATACCCAATGAGTGAGTCCTGGGCACATGCTTGCATCGATCACTGCTAGCTGCGATTCCACGAGCAAGCCCATTAACAAGGTCCCAGTAAAAACAAATGATACTTATCACCGTCTTCGGAAGTGTACCGTGTCATGATTGCGTCAGAACGGTGTAAGTCGCATGTCGTGAGTCACTGTGTGGAGGCGAGTTGGGATGGATTTGAGATTTTTTGAACCAGGGTAGACGTAAAGCCTGCTTGAAAGAAGCCTCGTAAGTAGTGGATGCAGGGATGATCGACTTGGTGGTGCCTTAGTCGCCGTTCCGAAACGAACCTGATGCTTTATGCAGGACCGCAGCTTGCTTCTCCCAGCTCTTCCCAGTCAACAATTGAGTGACCAAAGCCCGGTACGTACCAGTGTGCGAACGCCCCGTCATCGAACTAACAGAACGCTGCAGGGTGAAATCTCGGCCCCGGCGATCTGTCCTACTAGCTTCCCGGGACAGACTCGCCCGCAGGCCGTTAAGCTTTCTCCCGTCTCCCCATCCACCCGTTCTTCCGATGCGCAGGTAAACTCCCTATCTCCTTTCGGCCCGTGGCTCGAATGCAGGGATGAGATTTCCGCATGGGTCCGTATCTTCTCATTCTCTCTAGATCGCGAGCGTGCTTACGTTCGAGACTTCATTTTGGATGAGCACTTGCGCACCTGGGCCTCTTGGAGAGCCTCCTGTGTGACTAGACTGCACGGAAATCCCGTGCATGGCCCGGGGCCGAACCGAGGACACGGTCGTTACATATCGACGCACGCGCAGAGCACTGTCATCGTTCATGATCTGCAGCTGCTCTCATGCGAATCCCATGAAGCCATGTCCAGAGAGAAGACCTGCGCAAAGATAGCAAGCTTGATTATGAAGCTGAGAAGTACGTCCCCTCTCCACGTGCGATCGTCAACCTTACTTACCTGGAGCCTGACCAGCCCCGCCTGGTTCTCCGAGTCACCGCGAACCTTGGGGGTTTGTGCGCGACGGGAACGTAGGTTTGTCTTGCGTTTCGCCGGGAATCAGCGGGTCTATCGGATGCAAGCACCTCAGGCCTCAGGACTATCAAGCAAATACCATGACATTCGCACCGCGCAAGGCAAGTTCGACTACCAGAGGGTCCTCCGGACCCTGTCCACCGCCTTCTACATGTCGTCAGCGGCCGAGCAGCCGTCTCGATAACAGGCTAACGTCCGCCACGCGGCGCACACGCCCGCTTGACGACCGGGTCGTCTACCTCGGGGCGGAGCGTACATGAACACAGGCCGGATATCGTGCTTCGCTGATGCAGGAAGAAGGGGATCGTCGCTGAGGATTTAGGGACGTGCGAAGCCGCCTGGGGACTTACGTCCTCCTCGCGTACTGGCGGGCGCAGCATATGTTTTGGAGCGCACGGCGAGAGTGTGGCGAGTGTATCGCGCCATTCATGGCCGGTGAATACAGTCGGGGACGATCGCGCTGAACGTTGCTTGAATGGGTTGCGCCCCCGTTGGGGTTTATCTGTTTTTTTTCTACTTTCTTTGGCAGTGAATGCTCGAGGATGGACATGGCGCTGTGACGAGCATGTACACTCACGATTTTCGAGTAGCGGCGAAGAGGCCACCGAGACGTCCGCGTTCGTTTGATGGGCAGACCTGGCTCCATGTGGTTAACGCGGGTATGAACCAGAGGTACGGACCTTTGTGTGCTGGGGCGCCGCCACCGTCAACTATGATTGATGCCAGACATTTGTCGAGCCAGGATCTGTCTGTGCATGGCAGGGCCAAGGTCATTACAGAGTCATTGCACTTGATCGTCTCCCAAGGAAGATGTGGCACCCCGAGCAGAACCCGGCGCCGCCGATATGCGCCCGCACAGGGACGGCGGGAAGGCAGAATGAGTGTCTGAAGATAGGGTCCGTGAGATCGTGACGCAGCTGAACTACTGTACATTCCGTCATGTTGCCTGTGCTGCCAAGAATCAATGTCGTCCGTGGTGCCAAATGCGGAAGGCACCTTCCTTATCCGGTAACAAGAAGGGTGCACACTATTCTTCGCGTTAGAGGTTCAGAATCAATCGTCGGCGCGTCCACGCGAACCGGGGTAGTGACGTAGCGGTAGAAAATGCCCGATGCGATGTTAATGGAATCTAGTTCGGGTCGCATGTTTTAGACGTTGCGCGTAGCGCGACGCCTGGACCTCAGGCAGATGGAGGCAATTCGAGTGAGAGCTATGCCATCAAAGGTGGCGATGTCGGCGGTCGAGGCAACAGTCATGGAATGTGGGGGCAGCTTCGGACGGTGTTCGCTTCAAGTAGGCGTCATTGTGGGGGACAGTATCAATGGCGCGTGCTGGGATCTGCGCCGGTGCAAGCTGGCTGGGTGGCGGGTGCGACAGACAGGGGCGCAGGAGTGTGTCGCCGCAGAGTCAGACGTGCAGCGGGTGGGAGGGCGAGAAATAAGAAATAGGCTTCTGTGCACGGGAGGCCAAACAGGGGCAAACAGAAGGCGGCGGGTGTGGGAGGAGGACGATCGCGCAGACGGCCATTGATAGCATCCCAGCGGGCGGCCTTCTGCTCCAGTCTCTCTCTATTTCAGCCCACAGCTCGCCGAGCATGGGCAACACCGCTTCCAACCCCCAGTCCCACCCCTCCCACCGCACCCAGTCCCCCATCCGCCGCGGCAGCCCTGCCCGCAGCCCCTCCAACCATCGCGTCCACCGCTCTCTCAGGCAGAAGAAGAGGTCCCTCGAGCTGCCCGACCTGGCGTCCCTCGCCCTAACCCCCGCATCCTCTTCCCCATCCTCGGTCTCTCCCCATGGAGCATACCGCAGGCCCACGTCCCCCATCCCTATCCCTATCTCTGCCCCCGTCCAGCAGAACTTCGGCCCCCAGAACAACCTCCCCTCCGCCGCACGCTTGGCCCTCAACAACGCTCGCAACGGCAGCCGATATGACCGATCCTACATGAATGTCTACCCCTCCACGCGCTCATTCATGTCGCGCCTCCAAGAACATTCGCCCCCGCGCGAGGAACTGCCGAGGACAGAGTTCGTACCCGAGATCGTCCACAGCACGCTTCCGCTCGCCCTCGTCAAGGCCGAGGAGGAGTTGAGTAACCCCGAGCCTGTGCAAGTGAAGATCGTCTATCGCGGAAGCGGTCAGTCCGTGATTCTTACACGTGCGGGCGACGACAACTGGCAGGGCAGGCAACCCATGCAATTTGAGTGTGTACCATGTCCATATCCTTGATGCTGTCGCGCTCATCTGTTTCAGCTCCACCAGTGGGCAATGGTTCACCTATGTCAATCTACTCCCAGGAACGCATCACCTCAAATTCATCGTTGACGATCAGATCCGGACTTCGGAGGACTATCCCCAAGCTGCAGACGACCGTGATGGGTCGCTCGCGAACTACGTCAGTGTGCCTTTCCCCTCCTCCAACGCGTCCCCCTCCACCACAGCCATAGCCACAACACCCGCTTCATTCACCATCTCGCCACTCGCGAGCCCTCACCATCAACACCCCGCCAACGTCAATTCCTTCTGGAGTGATGCGAGCAGCACCGCCGGCGATGTCAATGGCTCAGGGCGCGAGTGCGCCAACCCCGAGTGGACCACTGAGATTCCGCCCGAACTCATCGCAGCCGCCGCCGAGGAAGAGTCCTACCTCGCGTTGCAAGAGACCGCGAGCCAGTCGCACGACATGTCGAGCAACTCCTCCGCGAGTGGCTTCAGCTCCGTGCCTACGCCCAACATCCCGCCTGCGCCTGTGCTTCCGCGACACCTCGACAAGCTGATCCTCAACGTGAAGCCGCAGGCGGTGAGTGGGAGCCCCGTGCCGACGGAGCGCGAGCGATCAAGGCGATCAGGGCGGGATCGCTCGAAGCGCGAGCGCGACAGGGAGAGCCGCACACGCTCCAACCACCTCGGGATGTGCATGACCGCGAGCGATATGAATGGGGACGTACACGACGGAGGAATGCATGGACCGTCGCCGCTCGGTCTGCCCGTGGTAACGGCGAGTGGGACAGACGTGACGAGCGCGACGGTTGCGGCTGCGGACGGCGTGGAGAGGGCGAACCGCGTGGCGGTGAAGCTCGACGTTGCTGGCCTCGCGGACGACGCGAGTGTGCTGCCCGTGCCGTCGCATGTCGTGCTGCACCATCTGAGCACGAGCGCGATCAAAAACGGCGTCCTGGCCGTCGCGAATACGACGAGATACCGCAAGAAGGTGAGTGTCCCGCTTCCGTGGATCCGCGCATGGTCTGGCGAACGCTGCACGATGGGCTACGTGAGTTGCCTGCGCTATTTGACGTCTCATCTCACTCTGTCCGACCTTCATATCCCTCTGCTGACTCCAGAACTCCGCGTCTTCGCAGTATATAACGACGATCTACTACAAGCCGACATGAAAGCAGCCTCCGGACCATATACGCCTCGGGCTCCGATCATCCACTCACAGACATTCAGCATAGAGTTCCCATAGCCATCCTCATCCCATCCCATCCCATCCCATCCCATCCCATCCATACCACGCTCCGTCCCGCAGCACGATGATTCGCTTCCCCTTGTTGTATGTACACAACGTCCCCCTTGGGCTCCGCCGCGCGGTCCGACTAGAGATGTACGTGACGGTCTCGGCGGAGCCCTCGCTTTGTTCTAGACTGCCTCGCAGCCCGATCCTACCTGCGTGTGCACGCCGCCTTCGACTCTGTGTTGGAGGCGGCTGCTTTCTGACCTTCCAGCCCCCGCTCAACGAGAAACCATCATTGACAGCAATATCCGTGTATCTATGCATCGCCTGCGCTCACTTGCTCTCCGCCATTTACCCAGCGCGTCTTCCGGTTTTGTCGTCCGTCATCATCATGTTCCGTGCTATGTATCATGCCCGTTCTGTTTCGTGTGTTGCTTGTCCTCACTGGTCTACGAGTACCTCATCTTGCATATTATACCATCCAACTCGAATGACCCTGAACATCAACTGTTTGCCTGCTGCTCGTTGTGTGCCGGTTGGTTACTGCTTTCGCAAGCCGTTATGTCCAGGGTATGGTGTCCCTATGGGGTTCGTGGGATCCCCTAAGCTCGAGTATGTACGTACACAACACCAGTGGCGGCGAAATAAGCTCTTGTCCAAGGATCGAGCGCTGTGGACAGCGCTCCGACCTCCACTTGTCAACATGATCACCATGTTCGAGGCAGATTTCATCGTTTACTGTTCGCTCCGCCGGATGGGCGGACGAGTCAGGAGCCATGGCCACGAGTCTACCGCGTTCCACTGCCGTCCGAGTCCGCTCAGGCTCTCCTGTCTCGCGGTGGGCCCTAACCCTTCGTGACTCCTGCTGAAGTCTCGATTCCGGCAACGGTACTGGTGCGACCGCTCCTAGCGCGATGGCCATTGAGATCGAGACGGCCCGAGTGCGCGGCAGTCGACTACCGGCGACCCAGCGACGCCTGATGCTTGGCAGCAGGGGAGTCGCATAACGGAAAGTCGCCGCGCAAGGAAGAGCCAGCGTGAGAGCAGCCGAATCCGGTTCTGCAGAGTGCCATCTACGCCTCAAGGTACGTATCCTGATTCATAGCGTGTGCATGTCTCATTATATGCAGGAAACGACGTTGTCCAGTTAAACGAGCAGGGCATACATGCCGCCGCACGATTTGTACGTGTCTGTCGAATTCGACCTCTGCGCCGTACTAAAACGATCTGCCACCAGATTCACAATCGTCTCCAGACAGAGTCGTACACCCCCGTACCTGGCGTACACATCCACTCCACCTCCTCCCTCCTGAACCCTACTCGCCGCCGACCCCTCACTCGCGCCTGCCTCGACTGGATATTCGTTATATCCTCGCTCAACTTCAGTTTCTGGTCCGAGCTAGAGGGGTCCCCGATCGGTACGGCGTGGAATGGCGGACCGCGTGGGGGAGTAAGGAGAGGAAGGTGCATACGGGATACTGGGCGTTAGTCGCTGCTATGGACAGAGGTGCGTTGCACGCTGTGTTCGGGTTCCGCGTTGTAGCTGAAACATATTTTCAGCTATTGAAGAGGGCATCCCTATAACTGACCCGGAGTTCTACTCGTCAAGTACGGAGTGCCCGGACGAAGTGATCGAGCATGTCTTCCGACCGGCTGCACAATGCAGCGAGACGATTCCCCTCCTCAAAGAGCGAATTAATATTCTGCGCGAAAATGGGCATATCTTGTGCAAGGTACGTACCTGCTCTTGAGTGTGTGGAAGCCCATGCTCAACCCACCATTGCCAACAGCATTATGGCGGCTCCTTCCAGGGTTTCTGCGACGCCTTTTTACGGAAATATAACAGCAAGGGCACGAGTCTGCAGCTCGTCCAATTGGTAGTCGACACATTCCCCTCCTTTCGAGATGAGGCGGTCCTTGAGGGACAAAAGGGTACGTGACTCGTGCGAAACTCACGCGCACACGCTGAATGTTCGTGCAGTCTGCTTCTGGAAACGTCCCCAGATCCTCGTCGCGGAGACTTGGGCGGCATTCTTCCCGGAACATGGCTCACCACATCCGTTGTTCCCCGCCGACGCCGCCATCAGCCAATTGACGATGTTTGCCGACTACCGCGTCCCGCAAATACTCCACCACCTACGCATCCTAGACTACCCTCCGGCCCTTGTGAAAAACTCCGTAATCATGAACATTTCCCTCCCGCGTGTAAGGACGAGATCAGCATCCGTGCCGCGAGCATTGTGGCCGTGGAGAGAGTCCGACAGGACATTCTGCGTCTCCAAGCGCCATCGAATGGGAGAGCGGGGACAGATGGTGAAGTGAGCAATGTGTTGATAGACTTCTACCTATGGGACTTGGCGAAGAGGATTGAGGGCGGCGAGGATGTCGTCAAAGATATAGATACAAACGATCCCCTACCCATACACCGGACGAGGAGTATTTGGTATTGAATCGTTGATAATGTCATTACGAATATATGCTCCATAGTACATTCGTAGTATATGTAATAGTTCGTTATAGAAGGATTGCAGGCTTCAAATATGGTTCCCGACCTATGATTGCGCCGATGTCAGAACCCGCCCGACTCGTGCAGAATACGTTATGTATGCCAATACACGTAGTCCCTCGTGTGATCTCCATACCATAGTCACTCGCGGCTCGGAACACTGCACTCATATCTTTAGTCTCCGTACATTGCCAACGCAGGATCCTAACTCACCTGTGATGTAGTTGATTATACAGCAAGAGGACCCCTGGATCCTGAAGCCAGGGAGACAGAAGTCGCCTCGGGCTTAGAGCCAGTCGAGTCTAGTCCAGCATGGCTATCCGACAACTCGTAGGTTTCGCTATCGGGTTCGAACCACTCCAAGGTGTTGTCCCTCTCCGTATATTGGGTGGAGCTGCCTGCCACGGCGGAGCCGAAATTGCCCAGTGCACTCGTGAAGCGAATGTCGGACACGTGAGAAGTCTGTGCTGTCGTGCTGTCGTTTGGATTAAGGGCGGTCTTCCGTAGATTGAGGAAAAGTGGGAGAGAAGGATGATTGAGAATCTGTCGGTGGCATGACTGTGAACAAGTGCGACAGAGCAGTCGGATACGAAGGAGACATACACGTTTGAAAACACCGTCATGTTGTTGTACACCTGGTCAACGGTCAAGTACACGCTGCTTGTCCATTGTCGCGAAACTCACGTTCGTTAGCCACAACGTGGCGTTGAGGGTGTTGAGATAAAGAGCACACTGGGGAAGTGTCAATGCGTTGCATGTCGACTGCAATCGCTAAGCTGCCCACCCAAAGTAGATGCTCCCTACGGCGAGATTGCAAGTTAGTACTGCATGACTCGAAGGAGGGAACAGGTCGAGTGCACGCACCATCTCTAAGAAGTAGCGACGTGAGAGACACCTTGAGATTCGTGGACCAACCAACTCTGGCTACGCGATACGTGACTCGCCATGTAGCGAGCAAGACAAGCGCATCTGCAGCAGTGTTGCAAGCTCGTGTTGCAATTTGAACTGTGCGAGCCGCCGTCAGCTACTACGGTCAACCGGGAACAGGGAGCATCTTACGCCTGTAGCAGTATAGATGAGCACCAGGCAGCAGAACTGAGCAATACACACTAACTTATTCGCGAGTCCTCATCGCTCAATGCAATGACACAACCGACAGGAGGCGGCGCCGCTGTCCGGTACTGTGAATGAAAAGTCATGATGAGAGCGAGAAATTCAGCCGGCTTGGGAGAGACTCACTGTGAACAAGCAATGCACGACGTCTGTCGCAGGGCCTAAGAGGGAGAGCACCAAGATGACTGCAGGTACACGCCAGTTCCGGCCATTGATTGCGTATACACGCAGTGCGGCGACCACTAGATGTCGGAACAGGTCAAGACAATACGAATGCCAAGCATAAGCACTCACATCCGAACGTAATATACAGTGCCGCTGATACGGCGACATAGCTAACGTAGATTGAATATCCCCTGTAGTGGTGAATATAATGATCAACGATCATCTACCGATCACCATCATGGATCATACTACTAACACCTGGCACATGTTCAGGAACAGATCTGCAAGTTGAGGTGGGACTTACTTCGCAGGGTCCAGCATAGAAGGAAAGCAAAGTTCCCAGGAGCAAGTACGAGAAGGAAAAGAAGTGCATGCACCCGAACAGGGCAGTGACCAATGTTTTTCTGCGCATCCATACGACGTCGACCTCCTGGTTGAAGTTAACGATGCGATCATACACATATAGGGCTATGGCAATTAATCCCCGGTGGTCAGCGAGTGCAACGAGCAGCGAGATCTATTGATATCGCTCACCAAGGGTCGCCGTGACGCAGCAGTTGGTCGCGAAACTGAGCCGGAGCCAAGGTGTCAATGAACATCAGCTGCCTTGACTGCATGAGTGATCTCGACATACGTACGTAGCCTTCAGGGATGCAATCACCTGCTGGGATTGCTCACTTGCGGACATATCTTGGCAGGAGTGCAGGGCTTCATGGACGCAGTCAGCAACTCGAGGATCGCAGCGTTCCTTTTAGCTCGGAGGAGAGCATTTGCGACGTGCGTGCTATCGACGTTTCCCTGTCACAGCGGACAACGTGTTGATAGCTGTGTTCGCCCCATGATCGAGCCCATTCACAGCCTTGGGCGGAGTGGCCCAGATACTTCCTCTGGTTCGGATTTGCAATCAACCCTTTATCGTGAATCATATGGTGAGGCTCGGAAGCTAATGCCCTGCTGGGAAGTGCAGTGCAGCCGGCAGTCATGATGCAGCATTACACTGTTCAAAAATAGCCCACAAAAAGCCAGCGAGTGTGGTTCCCAGTTCAAGATGCCATCGCAGTCGAGGCGCACGCGGTGGCTGAGTCGACGAGGTGCGGATCCTCGAAGCAATCGCGCTCGGTACCATTATATCGTTACGTTTACCGTCTCCGAACCATGTGCATGAGTACCTGCAGTGGCCCGCGTACTGACTCGCGCGATCGAGAAACACAGACCTTGGGGCTTGGTTGTAGCTATTGATTACGTGGTGCACAGCAGCACACGTGCGCCCGGTGGCATTCATCATCAGTTACCAGAGATAATGGAAATACTCGAACTGAACTCACCGTGAAGCTCGGAGCTTGGGCTCCATGTATTGGTACGTATACTACGTTTGCGGAATTCCCCTCGGTAGGTAAAGCGTTGTCGTTCTGTTAGGGTTCTTACGACTTGTCCATCCGTCCTCAGATCGTGTTTAGTACGATCAGTGCTTTCGGAGACAATTCGATTATTGTCGCTGTGAGACTTGAACCACAAGTCGATCGGCCGGCCTGGTAAATAGAGAAGGACTTCAAATAGTCGGAAGGCGTCGACAACGAACGGCATGAATAAAACTCTTCAGTGCCCATGCTCCGCCTGTCTCCGAACTCGACACTGTCTGGTGCCACAATACAAGATACCCACACATGCTTGGCAACATCACAAAAACTACAGTAGGATGGCATCAGTGTCTAGAAGAGACCTCAGCATCCTAGTTCAGACAATGGGGACCTATATGCACTCACACACCAGCGCTCTAGATGGGACATCTGCACACGAGCCTCTACGATTGACTGGCACAGGCGACACTATCCTCCCACAACGTCTCGTGATGAGGATGCGAGAATATCGGAGTCCGCTGCTTGCGCCGAAGTAGTTGCAAAAACTCGGGTGTGCTAATGGGATGCCTGGGCCCTCTCCTGGCCTAGAGGCTTCGTTTCATCGTCTGCCCATTCTCTCGTCGTCTTCGTTCTCCTCTCCGTATGGACTGGGCTTCCTGCGACTACGGAGCCGAAGTCGCCAAGAGCGCCTGAGAAGCGAAGATCAGACATTTCAATGATGTCCATCAACTGGTCTCGGGATTGAGGGCGGTCTTTCGTAATTGAGGAAGAAGTTAGATAACAGAATGACCGAAAACCTGCCAAAGAGATCTGTGATGTGTCCACCACACAGGGACCAAAACGCACACGCCTGAAAACCGCAGGTTTTGATATACCTACTGGACAGTCAAGAGGGGGTTTGTTCACTTAACATGGCACTTACATCCACACCCACAAGAAACGTTGAGGATATTGAGGATCAGGAGCACGCTATGCACTGGTGAGCCCTTATTCGGTGTCAATGCGGTAGTCTCACCCGAAGTAGAGGCTGCCTGAGAATTGATCCAAGGTAAGTAGGAGACGGCCATTAATCAGGTATCTACCATCTCTCAGAAAAGACCGTAAGGACGAGTTCACTTGCATGGAACGGTTAAGCTTGATGACTTTTAAGTGACTCGCCACGTTACAAGCAACACGAGCGCGTCCGCAAGGGCATTACATGCCCGAGTGGCAACTTGCACTATGCATTCTCAGTCATCTGGCGCATACAAACGGGCAAACGAGCCTACGTCTGAAGCAACGGCAATGAGTACTCGATAATCATATGTTAGTTTAGAAGACGGACTTATTGGTAAATCCGGATTGGTCAGTTTAATGGAACAGCCACAGGTGGCGGGAGTGGGATACGATACTGCCAGGAAGGGTTAGGTATCAGCCTGACGGCGATACTAGTTCTTACCGTTTGAACGCAGTGCACGATATCCGTAGCGGGTCCTAAATGGAAAGCAGCACGATGAGGAGAGGAATACGCCGTTCTCGACCATCGATGGCTAGTGCACGTAATGCCGTGATGACTGAATAGGTGTGTCCAGTGGTCAATGACATTGGCAGAGATAATGTGATTGAACACTCACGTCCGAGGATAGCGTACCATGCTCCTCCAACAGCAACGTAGAAAATGTATATGGAGTATGCACTGGGTCAGTGTAGCGGTCAGTCACTTTGTCCGGATGGTGAACCTAGTAGCGCAGCGAGTACAAACATCTTGTGTCCCATCAGATGGTGTCAACACTTGGCATGCGCGTGCATAACTTACTTCACAGGGCCCCGAATACAACGCAAGTAGCGTTGCTATGAACATCGATGCGAAGGCGAATAGATGCATGCATGTATAGAGGACAATGACGTATGATTTTCTTCGCAGCCACACGACTTCGACCTCTTGACCAATGCTAGTGGTCCGATCATACACATATAGCGCTGTAAATAAGAACATTGAATATCTTTGACGCGACAACGGTGGCTTTTCGCATTGGAGGACCCACCGAGGCTCGCTATGGTGCAGCAATTCGTAGCGAATCTACAGCAGGCACAAGTCACCGAGTCGATGGCAAAAGTGAGTTCCATGATTGTGCGGCATATTGACACTCACGTATTCTGCAACGCTGCGATCTCCTCCTGCGTCACTTGGGTCGTGGCCATATCTGAGGGCACCTCAGATGTAGGGTCGGGATGGGTAGTCCTGCGTGATATATAAGTCTCGCAATAAGGAACAACTGGCAACTTACATCCGGCTTCCATAGCACATTGAGCAGGTACCGCGTTGATCGTTACGTTGGTCAGCTGTACTGGCAATCTATCAGCTGAACCGATGATACGGTGTGCCGGAAGCACTCTGAACGTTACTAGTGTTTCATCCGTCGGGCCTGTTTTCACGACCCATCGTCTCGTCATGTTGTGAACAAAGACTTACGTCTTCGTACACGAGGAAAGCCAAAGCTAACAAACGTAGACAGCGCGCCATAACCTGTGACAGTGTCGAGTCGCACCTTGATATCCACTTCCGATACGACATCAGACTACGTGGATCGCGGATGGAAGCGTGCATGTCTGTGGAACAACACGCTGGTGCGGGTGAGCTACATTGACAGATAGGGAGATACACCACCGAAAGCAGTCACCACATACCTGATGCTGTCAAGCTGCACTCAATACAGCATGATCGTATATTCCTGAGAGCGGACATGGGTCGGTTTCGGTTGACAGATGGGCATCTTATGTGGACTGTGAATCGAACGAGGACGTTCATTCACAAGAACGCTGCGAACTGTACCGATTCGAAGCATAAATTAGAGTTCACATTGACAGCTCGAGGTGACATGGAATCCTGTTATATGCCTTTGAGCATGTGCAACGATCCTAGCCGTAAGGAAGCATATGTGACCACGTACCTCCGCAATCATAACGAAGCCAGCTCGATAGACTCCAATCTGCTGCTCCCACATGAAGGAAGCTGAAATTGGACAAACTGCTCCGAGTCGATGGATACCTTCCGGATCCTACGGAAATGTGGTCACCGATGCAGTATATGCTAATGGGCGGGTCAGTTTAACACCAGTGCATCGGGGCTTGACGGCCATCGCATGGCAACATAGCGATACATTGGCGGCACGGAAAACAGCAACAAAATGGCTAATGGTCATCGGACGCCTCGCCCGTTACTCTTCTATCTCCAAGTCGCCATACGGTTTCGCGCGGAAGTAACTTTCGTCGAAATGATGCACACGAACGAATCCATCCTCTCCGCCAGAGGCATAACAATCACCCTTCGGGGAGACAGCAATGCTAACAAAACATCAGCATCCGTTGAGGCATCCATTCGCGGCAAATGGCACTGCAAGACGTACGTGTTGACGGGCCCGAAGTGACCCTTGACGCGGCCAACCTCCTCCTCGAAGACCTTGTGCCAGAACCGTGTTTCGAATTTACCCTGCCGTAGTGATGTGGTCGTCACGCTCATGGCGTCTTGTCCACCACCCAGTAGGACGTAAGGCTTTCCCCGTGCAATTGCTGCGCTGTTCAAAGGAGTTTCAGTTGTGTATGTCTTGAGGACGGTAAGAGTCTTCGTCTCATGCAACTAAAGAAGATGACCGTTAGTCAGAATGCAGGGGACTGGCGTGGTGGATCATACACGAGCAGTCTTGTCCTTGCTACTGGTGACGAAATAGGACCGATCTGGGCTCAAATGAAGGTCTGTCACGACATCCATGTGCGCGCGTTCGTTGTTGAGCACTTCCTCTCCGGTCTTCGCATCGAACAACGCGACCTTGCCCGACTCGTGTCCCATGAGGATGAGATTGGGCACGTGGGCAAATGCGCAAAGAGTCGCCTTCGAGCCAATGGGGTTGAAGAACGACCATGGTTCCTTCGATTCTGTAGGGCAGACGAGGACCAGTGAGATTGGAGGGCTTAGCTATTTCTCAGAGTTGCGACCAATAAGAGACATACGATTGGTCCCGTCTCCCTCCCTGTCAATGTTGAATACCCGTACGGCGCACTGGTGACCCATCCGTTGCTCCGTGATGCAGACAACTTGCGCATCATCCTCACTCCAGGCAACACGCTTCACTGCAGTAGGGAACTCCCATGTATATAGGCATTTGCCCGTCTCGACAGACCACAGGCGGAGGGTGTTGTCTGCGGACCCAGTGACCAAGAAGCGAGATTGTGCTGTATATCATGGGTAAAGGGGGATTTCGACCTCAGTCAACATCTTGAAGCCCGGTGAAGAGTGAGAAAGCGCACAGTCGACGTCGACCGTCCAGACCGTCCCGTTATGCCCATCGTACGTCCCGAGCCGCTCTCCATTGTGCGTGAACCAGACGTTGATGATGTGGTCTTTTGAGCAGGAGAAGAGGAGGTCACCCTCTTTGTTGAACTTGATTTGGGTCAATGACCGCTCGTGTCCTGAGATGAAGCAACCGATTTGTATCATGCAACTTTCTGCTATTACAACAGAGACAAACCTTGCAGAAGGATTGGTCTCTGCAAATGCTGTAAGTGACATATCTTACTCGTCCATGAATGCATGCTCACCATTTTTGTACGGGTGCGAGGGAGGAATATAAGTAGAGATGCACGCAGAGGAAAGAATGCAGACTGAACGATTGGGCATTCAAGGCTTGAGAATGAGACAGCCACCGGCAACGGCCGGAGGATTGATTCACCTTCCCGAAAGAGTCGGACGCGCGATAGGATCTGGCGTCTAAGGTGCCGCCCGGCCCCGAAGCCGTTTGATCAGAGAGCGCACCGTCTCTTCAGACCAGCACACCGTTTGTGCGGGTCGCGGGCTCAAGCTCGCCTTCGTCTGCCCCCCCTCGCCTCCTTCGTCGCTGCTGCCATCGAATTCTTGCGCAGACGCAGCACATGGCCGACTTGGACGGCGCTGCGCCGGTCATACCTCCAACAGCGCTCGCACTGCAAAGCCTAGGCACTTCAACGAACACGAACGCAACCCCGGAACCCGAGCCTCCTCGCAAGCGCAAGAGGACCGAAGAACAAGCCTCCGACGGCTCAAAGATGACTGGTGATCCTTCTCAAGCGAACGATCGCACCGGCAAGATGGATAAGAATGAAACGCGTGTTGTACCTATGCACGACGAGAAATATTACGATGAGAGTGCGGATTGTGTAATCAGAGTAGAGGACTCTCTCTTCAGGGTGAGTTCATCATTAATAGCCGAGGCTAAATGTGTCCAGCTCGGCTGAGACTTCCGTTTTTTCTGATACAGGTGCACCGTTTCTTGCTTGCCCGTGATTCTTCGGTATTCCAGGACATGTTTAGTTTGCCTACGGGAGAAGCAAACGAGGACGCTGCGCAAGAAGGCTTCAGTGATGACGAGCCGATACACCTCTTTGGCGAAACCGCGGAAGCCTTTCGAATATTCTTATCTGTGCTCTATGCGCTGTAAGTTGCGCGATACCTATCATGCAGACAAGTCCCTCTGACACTCTTTTTAGGCCAGAAGAGCTACATGCATACAGGACTGCATGTTCAGACATATCTCGTCTGTTGACCATCGCTTCTCTTACAAACAAGTATCACTTCCTGAGCACCGCCTGGTGGGCGTCTCTGCTCTCTACAGCGTCACATCGGGTGAATTCGGCCCACCTACGCATCTCATGGGCGATCTCACACGAGCTTCCACCGCTGCCCTCACACGGATACTGGAGGTTGCCATGCGCTGCGGACACAGACGATTGATCGACTTCGTCGTCGAATCCTGGTCGAACAGGATACTGAGCAAGGAGCTCGCTCCCCGCGCGGCGATGCGCTTGGCTGATAGGTGGGACCTTGACGGCCTGAGAGGAGTCGCCTACTACGTCCAGCTCATGGAGATGGGAAAGGATTTCGAAGGGCGAATCCGCATGGGTACCAACTCAGCGTCTACGCAGACTCAAGAGTGCAGCCCCACACCCGCAATCGTGCCTGCGAGACAGGACTCTGACGGTGCGGCAGTTGTGCCCGCACCTACAGCAGACGCAATCCTTCCCTCGGAACCGCCAGGCGAAGACGAGACCGCACCACTGACCTCCACTCAACTTAAGCGCCTCCTTTCCGGATTCTACGCCTTGGTCACCCTCTGGGACCACCTTCGCCTGAACCCGCCCGCTTTCCCTCGCCCGGATGGCTGCACGTATCATATGCACGGTTGTGTCGCGACGTTCCGTACCGTGTGGTGCGAAGCTGCGCGGAGCGAAAAGACGGCGCGATACGGGAGCGCAGACGTTGTCGGGCGGCTCCGTAGCGTGGAGGACCAGCTCCGTGCAAGCACCGACATGGCTTGTGCTCTCAGCCCCGGCTGTAAGCGCGAGGCGCTAGCTGCCGTAAGGAAGTGCGTGAAGGAGGTGCAGGAGGGCCTATCGGCCCGCTTTGTGGACCTGACAGTCACCGGCGATTGAGCTGGCAGGAGAAGATTGGAGGCAGTCTTGGGCCCCACGATCTGGAACTACCATGGCCGATATACTCCCATGCAGGGTGCTTCTGTGCATTCTCGCCGCCCGTTAAAACACTGTTGTGTGTGTCACGGACATGTAAATAGTGATCACGTGTTGTACTCGTAGGGGTTGAGCATGTACGTCCATTTGTTCCTGTTGTATTGTATCTAGCACTCATATTTAGGTTAGCACTACTGACTTTGGACGCTCATTGGAGGCCAAAACCGCGTACAGTCTCGTAGAAGCATGGAATAGGCTTTTTGACTTGCCCGGCCTCGAGCCGTCTCGACTATGGTCCCTGGATGCGGCTCGAGGCTCTGGGCCAGTCCAGCTGCAAGGGCCCGAGACTCCTCGGCTTTCGAGGCCGTCCTCTAGAACGAATATGTAAGTGTTTCATGAATGCGGTGGACCCGATGTTCCTTATACAGGTGGCAGGGCTACAGCGAAGGGATTCTGCGACCCCAACTTGCGCCCTTCCTTGCACCTTCGGCCTCAATGTCATTCGACTGGATCTTGTCGACCCAAGCTTCTAGATGCTAGTATGCATTCATTGACAAACCATTGTCGGCTTAGCTCCTTCTCTGTGGTGGACAGATCCTGCGTATTCCTCAGGTCGTCGCGCTGTCGAGCTGGCTGACGGACTCATCAACTGGCAGACCTGCTCACAGGACAGGGTTCTGTTGCTCAAGCTCGCATCGACCGTCTACCAACTCCTATCGTGCCACCCTAGCATTCACAATGTGGAGATCTATTATGATCGAGTAGACGATCACAAACTCTGCCTCTACTTCGACCCGGGCGCGTCATTCGCGGTCATACATGCCCGTCGAACGTTTGTGCTTTCAACTGTCTCAATCCATGTCGGGAGCTGGGCCGTCGCTGTGTCTGAAGGGGGAGGTAAGCTGACACACCGCTCCTAAGGCAGTCCGTGGACCGTCGAGCCATGAGCTGGTGGCGTTGACGGTGTTGATGTCAGGTCTTACTCTCAATATGGTGCAAGATCCGACACATTGGTGGGCGGTGACAACATAGATCCGGTGTGGCGAGGGCGTTGTCATCTGAATCCGGCGATACGGTGAGTGGCTCAGCTGGCCTAACATACGGACTGTGACGTAGTGTGTCTACACCTATGTGCCCGCGTACTACGTTTAGTGTGCACAGCGTCTCTCCCCCTGACGAACGGTGTGGAGCAAGAAGCCGCGCGAAGAGGTGGTTAGTGTGGGCTATGACGGAGAGGGGCCGAGCTTGTTGTCGAGTCGGAAGGTGTGCATTGGATCTGTCCAGAAGCGTTGTACGACCCTCGGGCGCTCGTCGCCTCGCGTTTGCTGACGATGTCGCTTGGATCAGATGTCTTTCGTGACATACACAGCTTGTCGATACATCCGAGCGTGGGTGCGCCCAGCACTCTGCGAACAACCGGACGTCACGCGCGAACCTCGACAACCAACAGTCCTGATAACTCCGTCTTGCATGCGTTCACGAGAACCCGGAATATTGTCCCCGATTTCCGACAGGAATTCACGGTCGGATGGCAGCGTCGCTTCGGGCGATAGTCAGTCATAGATTGGTTATCAAGAAGGTCCCGATGAAATGGTCTCTGCCTCGACGAGGAACACATCGCGGGATGCGCACCTCTTCGGAGCAAAGTTCGTCTGATATTGGCATTCGTCAGTCATATTGACGAGAACAGTACGTATGTGCCGTCCACCCCCTGCGTAAGTCCGCCTGTTACTCGCCCGTACGAACGCGCCAGTGCTCATTTCATCAGTCGCCAGGGGTTCTACTTGACAGGGGGCGCGCAAGCCCTGAAACTCGGACGGCCGAGACCACTGTCGTCCCCAGGAACAACGCACCGGCGTGAGCCTAGCTTTCCTCCGACATGGCATGGGCATCAACACGCTCTCGCTGCATGCCAGTGATCCTGCGCCTGCGGTCAAGGAGCGGCCGAGTTCAGTTGAACCCTTACCGCCACACGGACGGTCTCGCCCAGGATCGTCGGATGGCGGTTGGTCACCGTCACCCCGGGCGTCGGTATGGATGCGGATTTCGAAGCGTCTCGGTGAGCCGGGGGCTGGTGCGACTGTCGGACTCGCAAGCGGTCCCACTATGGACCGCTCGATTTCTATGTACCGAGGGGAGCCAGAAGAGACTGCGGACGCGATCTCGCTTCAGGTGAGTACTTTGTGCCAGTGGAGTACGTAGCATCACGCCGCGGTCCTTGAACACAGGCTCGCAGCCTCTTCGGAAATGACCATGGGTCATTCGCCTGCAATCCGTTCTCCCAAGCATAGATGTCCCGTCGCAAGAGGGAAACCCGATTCTGGAGGGAGGAAATCCCGCCCTGGGGAGGCGTCCGTGGAAGATATCTCCGCCGCCAGGTCGGGTGAGGCTGCAGCGCGCGAATACGATCGAATGTGCTTCTGGCCAGCGGGAACTTGCGCCAGAACGCGTCTGTCGACACTGCCTTCGCCTGCTGACCGATGTTCCGTGCTCTTCCTGCTGACATGTACGTTCACTTTCACTTCCTCGAACGAGCCGTGTGGGCCGACTCAAGGCCGACTACTTGCTTATTCCGTTCTATAGATCCGCGGGCGCACGCTTCTTACGGAACATAGTTGCCCAGAAGGTGTAACCGCACAGAGCTCCTGGACTGACCTTGTAGCACGACCTAGTACGCTACTCTGACATAGCAACGGAGCGAATTTGCATCATTGACCAGCCAAGATTTACTGTGGCATGTTGCATGATCCTACATTTGCTCCAAGGGAGCAGCGCACAGGCCGTAACGCATGACTGCTCCGTATGCTGTATCCACGCGCACATTCAGAGGCATTTCCGCGGAGGATCCCGAGGCACCGTAGGCTGTGTGTTGGATGATCTTGATCTTGCACAGGGCCTGCGCACGTCACACGTTGTTCGCAGAGCTTCTATCCACATACGCTTGTCATGCATACAGCAGCAGCGTGTTAGGGGCTTTCCCCAGGCTTTCCTGACAGCGCATCGCCGCGCCCCGACTTCGCTACACTCCGTTGGCAGCGTAGGATCCGGATAGTATCCGAATACAGTAATTACGTTACTTACGGTAGTTGCGAATATTATGTCAATCGGGGATTTCTGACAGTGACACGCGCACGAATCTTCCGACGAAAGTTCTCTGCAACTTTCCGGCGCACCTTCCGAGTGATGCGTATGCCTTTTCAGCGATGCTCTGGCTGGACACTCTGTATCCAGCAGTATTCGCAACTTGCTGTGACGGGGAGGCGCAGCAACAGAGAAGCACACGGTGGATCCGCCCAGTGCCTCGTGGCCATGTCAATGGGGGCCTTCAAAGCCACTACTGTACGTCGCACGACCGGCGAAGACAATTGTAGCTTGTCTGCTGGGGTGTCTTCTCGGAAAGAAACCCCGGAATACCCGAATAAATTACTATGCGCAAGCGAGGTCTGCGTTCGCATGATATCAGCGCGACGAGGACCCTCTCCGGTGCCGATGGAGGCAGCGCAGTGCCCCAAATGTGTTCTGTCGAGTGACTAAGGCTCAGGTGGACGGGCAGGGGAGGCAGTGGTGGGCGATGGGATCTTGTGGAGCACGAACTTGGGAAGAGTTGTGGGGCGGTTGACCAATGAGTACTGGTTGGGAAGGCAGGTGGAGCGGGGTGTATTATCACTGTATTGCCTTGTTAGCCACGCTTGGCACATCTCCGTCTTGATACCTGCAAGATCTCCGACGCATCTCGAGATTCGGGGTATAACAAGCGGAGCGGGCATCATACGACGTACGTGCGGGGGCGGGGAGATGTGTGGGGGTGGTCCTGCGGACGTAGTACGTCTGACAGAATTGCTTGCCGGCGAAGACGCGCTGGTTCGAATCCGCGACGGGGACATTTCTTGAACGGGTAGGGTTGAATCTGAGATGATTCTGAGACGCATCGCAGGGCAGGGTGACACGAGTGATGATGTCATTCGCCCTGTTTGCGAGGCGGGGAGAGTGATCGGGTCACGGTGGCAATCGAGGATCGCAGCGCAGATCCGTGCGCGGTGGCCAGGGTGACATCATCCAATCTTGTCCGACCGCTCGTCCAGCGCGCCTGTCCGCATCCCTCCGCCATTGCCTCTCCTCAGTAAGAACTTGCCTTCTTTGGCTACCGCCAGTGCCCACAGACTCCGCGGCCACCCCTGGACCGGTGGTCCGTCCCGCGTGTCGCGCACGAGGACGCATCTTCTTTCGCCTCTACACGTCGCGCCGGGACGACGCGAACGCTGGAAGATGATGTGGGGAGCGGCGAGCGGCAAGCTTAGCAGAGCGAGGGCGCAGGTGACGTCAGGGTTGGACACGGTCGGACGAGGAGGCAGGGCGCCGAGCGAGGAGTGGCTCAGGGCTGCCATACTTGTCGCCCGTCGTCCCGCCTCCCCGTCCCAAAACAGTGGCTCACCCCAGGGCACCCCTCGCACCGGCCAGGAAGGGGGCGCTTCGGTCACTCTCCACGCCTGCTCCCCAATCTCAGCTGCAGTGAGCCACCTCATCTCACTCACTCGATCTCGGTGCGTGCATAATAGCCCCAACGCGTCCCCTCGCTGCCTACAGACCTCCCATCATCCACCTACTTAACGCACTCTGCACAGCCACGACCATGCAAGCCGTATTCACCAAGCAGGACCCTGTAGAGGGCCGCAGCAGCACGCCCAGTACGCCTCGTCCCCACAAGTCCTCACCTGCCTCCGTCTCCGCCACCAGGCCGAGTAACAAACCCGCCGCCGCGGCACCGTCCGCGCTGTCGTCCCCGACGCCCAATCCGCCCGGTGCATTGCCTTCGCTCCCGGGCACATCCATTCCAACATCCTCGGCCAGTGGCTGGCTGCCTCGGCCGTCTGGCGGACCAGGAATTCCGCAGGTGAGCCTAGCGTGTTCCTCGTTCGCACGTGGCGCCCATATCGGGATAGTTACCGCGCGTTATTCCCACGGACACGCCGTCGAGTGTTGTGGGCGGAAGGATATCTTTTTCATTCCATCGTCGTGGCTGGCGCGTCCTCTGCCCAGTCGACCGCACAAATTATTCTTTCTACGCACGCGAGCCCTCGTCGCGCGCACGAGTCCTGTTATTTTCCTCGGCCATGTCGCCCGCCTGAAGTTGTCCGCTCTCTGCTTCCGCCGCTCGTCCACGCCATTCCTTCCTCTCGTCTTGTAAATACGTTCTTCCTCTCTTTAACCGACTTGCTAACGTCACCTCTCCTTGTCCGTCGGCCTGACAGCAGTGCATGAGCGTCCTCCGCCAATATCGGTCCTCGACGCCCGGTCATTCCAGAATCCGCCAGAAGATTTCCCGTTCGATCTTCAAACCCCCCTTTATATGTCGGGTAATGCCAGCAAAAATCGGCCGTCCAACGCTATGTCCGAGTCACGATCCTCTGCCTCCTCTTCCGATCAGGGACGACCTGGCTCCCGAGGACGTTCCCACTCGCAGGCATCCAACCCCTCTCGCCGGCAACAGCTTCGGCAGTCCTTCCAGACCCCAATATATCCCGGTCCTCCTGCGAATGCTCCCCCAGAGCCTGTCTCCCCTGCCGCCTCGCCACCCTTCCAGAGCGTCGCCGCCTCATACCAGGCCGCACCCTTCACTGCGTATGGCCAGGGCGGTCCGTTTGTAGGACAATACACGATGTCTCCACCGCCGCCCGTCAGCATGCCGCAGTACGCCTACGGCCCCCATCATCCCGGCCTGCACGCCCCAGACACGAGCATGCATCCACCACAAAATCCGCTCTTGGGGTACAACCCAAACACGCTCGTGCCCATGATGCAGTCTCCACACAACCCTGTCTTCCAGGGTTACGGCCGTTCGCCTGACGGCTCCTCACCCTCCAGCCACAGTCGCTCTTTTCCCGGAAGTCCCGGGCCTTCGGCTCTGTTCTCCCACTCCACTCACTCTCACTCCCAGTCCCCAGTGCACGCCTCACCGCCCTCTCCTATGAACCCCCAGGGATCTGGCCCGCATCCCCAGACGATCCATCCGCCCCACTCCTCTCCCTATGCTGGCCAGTCGCCGTACGCGCCCTTACGGTACTCGACGCCCCCATTTCCCTACCCTCCGCACTCGTTCACGCCGTCACCCTCGCTGTATGCGCCGCACTCGTATGCCCCGTCACCTTATCCTCCGCATTCTTACACTTCCAGCCCAGACGGAAGCCAAGAAGGCCGGGGCACGTGGTGGTACCTCCCGCCTGCGCGTCCTGGACTCGCATCGGGTCAGTACGAGTCCTTTCAGAACGCCTACTCCGTGTCGTACGGGGCACCGCAGCGCGACATCGACGCGTACTCGCAGACGCCGGGCTCATCTTCGCACCCTTCGCCTGTCTACCCAGTGTCACCACGTCAGGTGCACGGCTCCGCTCCTTACTCCCCTGGGCAGGCGCTCCCTCCACCAGCCACGCCCGATCCTCTGCAACCGGCGCGTCCGCCTCCACAGGCAGATCCTTCTACGCAACGCCAGATGCCACCGGAGGCGGGTACCTCCGCCGCCTCGAGTGCTCGTTCGGGTACAGCGCAGTCCCGCAGAGGCCAGCCACGCTCAAATCCGCCTATGCAGCGCTCCGAGTGGGTCATGTGGGTCGGGAACGTGCCCTCCGACGCGTCGTACGACGAGCTCTGGCGCTTCCTTAATCGCACGCCGACGCCGCCCGCCTCTTCGTCTGCCTCTTCGTCGAGCTCGCGAAATAATGTCTGGGGCGGCCTGATGTCCATCTTCCTCATTACGCGTTCGAACTGCGCGTTTGTGAACTTCACCAGCGAGGCGCACCTGCTTGCGGCGATCGACCACTTCAACGGGCAGCAGCTCCGGCCAGGCGACCCGCGCTGTCCGCGACTCGTGTGCCGCGTGCGCGGACGCGAGGATGACCTGAAGGCGGGCGTCGGCGGGCAGCGCGGCGCGGGCCTGCACGTACGCTGGATCCGCAACCAGAAGGAGAAGGCGGGGAGCCGGCGCGGGCGCCGGGCGAGGAAATGCGCAGTCCGACGAGCAGTGAACCGTTGACGACGCCGTCGAGTTCGCCCAGCGATCCGGCACCCTTGCTTGCGCAGCTGAACCTGAGCAGCGATGAAGAGGGCGGGAGACATCGGTACGGCCCTCACCCGCACTCGAGCAGCTCGGGATCATATGCGAGTACGAGCTCGAGCATCCTCATGCAGCATTTTCCGAAGCGCTACTTCATCTTAAAGTCTTTGACCCAGGTACGTAGTCGGATGGATCTCCGCACTCGAGGCTGATTCACCGATAAACAGCGAGACTTGGATATCAGCGTGAAGGAAGGCCTCTGGGCCACGCAGAAGCACAACGAGCTGACGCTCGACCAGGCGTATCGGACCAGTAAGGAGGTGTATCTCATTTTCGGCGTGAATAAGAGCGGCGAGTTTTACGGCTACGCAAGGTACGTTCACATGGGGGGCGAGGCAAGACAACACGCGCAACAATCCCCATTGACGCCGATTCTTACAGGATGGCCGGTCCGATACAACGCGGCGAGCATCGCGTTTCGTGGTCCTCGCGCGGCGACTCGCCGACTCGCCGCCGCGCCAGCCGGTCCTCGGCGGGCGGCCTCAACAGCCACCGTTCTTCAGCCCCGCGGAGCACAGGTGGGAAGAGAGCCCGCTGCCTGTGTCGCCTGACCCTCCCTCGCAACCGCCGCCGTCGTCGTCTGCCACACGCCAGGCCCTGAAGCTGCCGACCGAGTCTGAACATGCGCCGCCCGTCACTCGGCCCCGCCTGAGATGCACCGGGCGCATCGCCAGCTGAGCAAGCCTACCGGCGGTCTCCAGCCGCAGACGGCCGACGAAGGTAACATTCCTCGCGCAGTTACTCAGCAGTACGACCACTCGCGCTCGCTGGACATGCAGGCGCACGTCAACGAGGCCATCGCGCATGGTCCGCAGGGGTCGCCACACGAGTTCGAGCTCGACCCCAAGGAGCCTCTGAGGCACAGACGTGAGCACTCGGCCCCTACGTTGTCCGCGCCGGAGGAGGCGCGTAGGTGGGAGTCGGTACCGCAGGAGGCGCTGGACACAGTGGCGGAGGAGGAGACCAAGGCGGCACAGGACGACGCGCCGCAGACTGATAAGGAGGGCCCGTCGTGGGGCGAACCGTTCAAGGTGCAGTGGATCCGCACCGAGCGGCTACCGTTCTACCGCACACGACAGTTGCGCAACCCGTGGAATCACGACCGCGAGGTGAAGGTGTCGAGAGATGGCACGGAGTTGGAGCCGGCGGTAGGCCAGGCGTTGCTGGAGGAGTGGGACAAGCCTGCGCCGCCGTCGCCCCCTGCTGAGGCGCCCGTGGGGGAGCGACGGGCGAGGGGCCCCGCGACGGGGAACCCCAGCTGCTAGCTCGTCAACACAGGCGCCGCCGGCTGGGGAAGGAGGATAAGACCACGAGAGGCCACCTGGTGTGTGGCGGCGCGTTTTGATCTCACTCACATTTACGACCCGAATCTGACTTGCTTTCCGCAAAATTACGCAACGCACGCACACACACGAATCGCACGCACTGCATCCACGTCATTGCATACACATCATATACACTATTTAACACCTACTCTACTCGCGACCGCGCCCGGGCCATTCACGATGCCCCGGGTATGTCGACATTGACTAGGGTACTACTGGGATTATTGAGGTCTTACGTCTAGGGTTATTGATTGCTGCTCTTTTTGCATATCGTCGTACGTGCTCTGTTCGCTGCACCGGCATCGCTTCCTTGCTCTATGACCACTGCTAATGGTTACCAATTCGATTCAAGTTGTAGCAATAGGTAGAACGTTTGTCACACTGCTCTCTGTAATACCTCGCATTATGGCATTATACACGATCGCGCCTTGTGCGCTGGAACTGCATCATATATTGGCCCGCGCACCATATCTTTAACACCGTGGACTTCGGCTGATTATTTCTGCCAATGCGCCCGATCCCCGAGCTTTGTTCGTCAGCATCTTCAGCTGAGCTGAGCATGACACCAAGATAATCGATGTCTGCACTTGTTACACCAGTTCTGAATTCGCGCTGCGAGAAGCATCACTCATTATGTATTCTAGCATACTATGTTGATGAAGGTGAGATCTTACATGCATGACGTTCAGCTTCCAGGCTGAAGCACGTAGCGTTCCAGCTCGTCAAGAGTAGCAACAGATGCCGCGGCAAGCGGAGCGACCAAAGAGCGATGGACCGCGCCCTTCGGGCTTTGGGCATCCCAGACTTCAAGGTACCCAGCCCGACGGCGCGCGACCCGATCAAGCCATCATGTGGCCGACGCGCGTATACGAACAACCAGGGCGGGCGTTGTGCGCGGCTCGGGCATCTCGGGAGGCGACGCCTTTAGATCCTGTCCCGATATGGCTGCTATGCCCGAAGGGCACCACTCCGGCGGACCGCCGCATCTAGTACTGTACATAAGCACCAGGTGCGGAAGCTCCTGTTCGTTCGACTTGGGTAGCCACAGCAGCGGGAAAGACCACCGACGATCGCAAGTTTGGCGAGGTTTCGGACCCGGGACGGCTGCTCAATGAAGAGTGATTACGACCAGGCGCGGGCCCGGCGATCGAATGGCAATTTTGTTGGCGTCAGGAATTTCAGCATCGCGAAGGTGCGAGCATTACTAACGCTGCAAATTCCAGACATTGAAATACCAGTCAATCGCTCAGCTCGCAAACATATTACTGTAAGACCACATCAACATGTTGTAATCGAAGGAGTCCGATATTTTTCATTCTCCAAGTCCAGCAGAGGACTGTATCTAGTAGGTGGTAAGTATAGGGTACATCGGCTCGGGACGCCAGTGAGGGTGTAGTAGTGGATGTATGTCGTGCTGGTTCAGAAAGAGAAGAAAAGCAATAAACAAGAAGCTCGGCCCGTCCATCAAGTCCGGGTATACACAGAGCAAGGGGAGCGGGGCAGAGGCGAGATGCAACAACAACAACGTAAGCAAGGAGGATCTAGCGGGACGGTGGGAGGGGATCGCAGAGGTTGGGAGAGGTGCTGAAGCTCCTGGAGTACGTAGAATGCAGTGCAAGCGGGGCCGAGGTCGTCAGGTATCATTACAGCGATAGCGGGAGTCCTTGAGTGTATGTGATCTACAGAGGAAGCGATGATACGAGTAGGTGCAGCAGGAACGCTGCAGCAAGCGGAGCCCATGGTGATGCTGTTCGCCATGAGATTGCACCCCTGTGGCACCAGAACGTCAGGCATACCGTATGCATTTCGTGGCATGAAGACATACGAGTTCTGGGGCGCCGTGACGATCTTCACTGTGAGCACCGCAATGAAGCCGTCGTCCGAGTTTGTCACGTTGTTGGACGTCGTGAGGTTGTGGTTCACGGCGTAACTCGTGTTCGGCGCGTATCCGTACAAGTACAGGGCAGTTGTTTCGTACGTGTACCCGTCATATGACGTCTGCCCTGTGTACGATGTACCATTCGAGACGTTGGCAGTGGGAATAATGTGGGTTTGGTTGGTGATATTGCCGATGAGCCAGTCTCGACCCAGGTTGTAGCTGGTAGAACCACCGGTGTTTAATCATCGCGCAGGATAGGATGTTGCATGCGTTAGGACTCACCCATTGAACACAATGTCATGACCGTCTTCGCCCGACTCAGCAAACGGAATGATAAAATTTGCGCATCACGTACCTGTTTCGGGAAGCTCATATGATGCCGCCATGAACACCGCACCACTGATGTTTCGTTATACAGTGGTTAGGATCTAAAAGGCAAACGCACGTGTCATGCTGTTCCCATTCTGTATCCAATACCGGAAATGGCTTCCACCCTGTATCGTCTCCTGGCACGTACCCAACTCGGGATCCCCGTAGTCCCACCGTATCTCAGCGGTTTGGTTAGCTGCGAGTAGAAGTTAGTGTCCAAGCCAATCGCCAGTAGTGGGCGACACAGCGCTCACTAGACCCATTCCCGTCCCCCAAATCCGCTCTTTGTGGAGTGCCGTCGTGCTGACCGAGACATTCTGTCGAATACCCGAAAGAACTGCCTGCAGTCAGTTATCCCTGCACGGAGTGAAGGAACGAAAACACGCACACAAAGTAGTTCAAAAGCCCTCCGTCTGGCTCTTGGTTGACAAGCACTGTCGAGTCTGAGTCTCCTGAGATGACGACATTGATTGCCTCGCCCTGGCCCGGAGGAAAGGTGCCGTCTACTTGCTGCGGTCACGAGGCGCATGTCAGTTTCAGGCATCAATACGTCGAGTGCCGTGGACGTATTGCCGGAAGTCCATCGGTCGAAGAGAGCAGCCAAACGCACCGTGAGCCAGCTCCCGCCATTATCCGTCGGGTTGTAGAAACCGGGCGCAGGCACGCTGGCCCGTCGCCAAAACGGGCTTGGGGGCGCTCCGCGCGCGTCGAGCCGGGCGTCGGGGCTTGGGCTAGCATGAGCAGGAGCGATGGGGGACTGAGGGCGAGGAAAAGCCAGGCGAGGGAGGCCATCGTCGCTGGGAGACGGCAGTGGGAGAGAGAGGAGAAGAAGGAGCGAAGAGAGCGAGCTGGGCGTCGTGAGACGGGCGATTGTGTATGCCCAATTTGGCAAGCGCCCACGGGTCCCCCACAGCCGCTCGACACTGTTCTATTCTCGGCGACCAGCCCACCGTACTGCGAATAGGGATTGCTCTGCTGCGTTCACTTCGGCCTCTTCGCGCTGCAGCGGGGTGCACTCGCGTCCGTCGTCAGCGAAAACGCAGCTTCAGCCACCGCGGCAGATCACCCCGTCCCGATGTATCTACTTATGACCGTGCTTGGCGTCTGCAACCGTACACAGTACTTGTACCGCCTCCTTGCTCATTCTCATGGCTACAGCATGTTGCGGCGCGCAGTGGTCTCAGGCTGGGCATGGCTCGTTGTCGCTGGTGTTGCTCGCCGCATCGCACAGGCGCTGCTGGTGGACGGAGAACGTCGGCCGTCCTGCCAGTGGTACGCTTGCGATGCGGCTTCGGTGCGGTCTACGCCGGAGTTCACTGACAACATGACACGGTTCCCATCCTCGACCGTGCAGCGACCATGCCCCGCATATCCAGCAACATGTGTAGGCGCCGTTGTGCACGATGAGCTCGACAGGCTGCGACCCCCGGGAGGTGGAGAGGTATGTTGTCATCTGCAGGCGAATCCAAGGCACGCCAGCATTACGCGAACGTAAGTGTGGTGGGGTGGCGGAGCAGGGTATTTGGGATGGCCAGTGTCTGACCTCTCTGATACATATTCAGCCGAAGGGCTTCCCTCCCTCGGTGCCACTGAACGTCCGCCAGGCTAATCCTCAAGTCGCTGTTAGGCTGTCTGATGTTGGGAGAAAGGGGTCCTTTGTGCAGCGCGCTCTAGCGACGCGCGACGCATTAGAGCCTGACTGTTTCGACTACTCTTCAAGCTCAAAGACGATCAATATCTTGGCTATACCTGCAAGCTCATTCAAACATGGCTCATCGTGATAGGAACAACCAAAGGCGGATTGTTCATCTGGGGCCTATTCAATTGAGCTCGAACAAGTGATGAGCTTGGTGCCTCCCAGTCGTTCGTGTTAGGGCCAAGACATTCTGTTCTTGATTCTAACAACAGAAACCCGTACTGATCCTTGGGTCTACGGCGGAGACTCTACACATACCTGAACCATAGAGTCATGCTGACCTCGCGAGAGCATACAGGCTCTGGGCCTTTCATGATCGCGCTCAATTGCAACATGTTTAGTTACTTATCCTGTACAGTCGTACGTGGCATAGCTTCATTGTTACACTATCAACAATTACAATATCAGCAGCAGAGCAGATGAAGCAGAGTAGACGACATGGCAGAGGCCATGAATCGTAGCAATGGAGAGATTGGAAAGAGAGCGGATGGGTACGTGTCCAGCACGCACGTGTATAATCGACTATGGAGGGCACATCCCGATGAACATGTCCTTGGTTCGCAGTTGCGCTTCGTAGGTAGGTTCCACGACCTCTCGCGTCGGCGTTCGGCTAGACATTATTGGATCGATGCCAAACTCGGCCAGCATGTTGTTTTTGTACTGCCTGACGACGCGCGATAGACTCAGCATGGTGCGGCCACGATGGGACTACTATGAGTGACTTACATGGCCTCATCACGCTGCGCTGAAGTCAAGGTGAACATCCGTTCGCTAACGGGCGGAGAAATTCTCGCCAAGCTCAGCTGGTGTGGGTGCCGAGTCAGCTTGAATTTGGAGCCCCGCAAGTTCCTGCGCGAGTCTAGGACAGATAGTCAGTTGGCCACATCCCCTCGACCCGAGGATCTACATACTCGATGTTGACCGTGGCCTTCGCAAAATAGTTCTTCTCTTCGTACTCGAACACCGGGGCTGGCTTGCCAAAGAGGGGGCCGGGGACATCTGGGTCAATCGTCATTCGATGGAATGATGCCATAACACTATGGGGTTCAAGGCGTGTGAGCATCCATATGTGGCGAGCGCGTTAGACGACGCACTCATCAAGAGGAAATTGCTTCTTGAAGTCCTCGATCCAGTCCTTGATCCCCTTCGTCTGCTCCTCCAACTCGTTCCAGTCCGCGGCTTGCGCCATCCTCAGGAAGACTCCGGCTCAGGTCGGTAGGAAATGAGGGACTTGTACGCAGACGGACCCACACGAGCTGCGCCCTTTTATGCCAAAACTGAAACCTAATCGATGTGCCACAAATCATGGCACGGCCTATCATGGCTGCTTCTTGTGGTCGCGACCACAGAACAAGGTTGTCCTTCATTCCCTCTTTGGTCCGGAGAAGGCCCGCGTGATCTTCTGAATCTCAGAAGGTCGCCACGATGAACAAGAATTGCCTTTTAGGGCGCGGTCATTATCTTTGACCTGTCGCGCCATCGAGATTCGAGATTGACATACTTACTAGTACTTACTGCACTGAGTACACGAGGCATTCGAGCCGTTGATAACACCGCCGGACACGCAGTCCAGAATGTCTATGTCCGACAGTCGAAGCCGAGGAGTGTACGAGGAGCTGCAACCCATTGCATCACCCCAGTAATCCGATACCATTGAGGGTAGAATTGAGTGATTATCGAGTACACGTAGGAGGAGGAGGAGGAGGAGGAGGAGGAGGAGGAAGGGACTGCTTAGCTTAGCGCGCAACGGGAGACAAAACACGCATCCTTCACGTGCCGCGCCACAGACGCGACGCGTCGCTTGCCAAGTTGCCATCCCTTCAGCTTCACTTGGCAGCCTCAGGAATTTTCAACTCCATACTAAACATCGTAGTGCTGTACTGATACGTTGCGCCGGCTGTTACTACCTGTACGCATTGGCACGCGGCATACACATCTCCGGTAAGCTATGCGACCATCCCTTTGTTCCTCATATGTCATTGCTTACCGTTTTCACAACGTCTGATAGTGACTAGCCTCTCGGACGCGTCTCTACTTCTCAGTGTCTACTCGCTGCACACGCACAGGTATCTGGATCTTTTGGCACTATCCCGCCATTCATTACCCTGTGTTGCAAACACACGACCTACGCGGTATCCCGTTCAATCAGGGAGCCTACCGTTGCAAGCTCAAGGTGAGACGCCACGAGGAGACTATACCGTCTGGGCATAGCTAATGAGTCACACGCTGGCATTTATGACCCCATTAAGTAGCGTACCCCTCAGGTATTCTCACGTGAACATGGATGTGGACTCTAGCAAAGACAACGAACGCCCGGTTCCGGAAACGCGCAATGCCCCTCCACCTTTCAACAAAAGCACCGCAGATGTGATTCTCAGATCATCGAACGGGGTCGACTTCCGCGTTCGGAAAGCTATCCTGTCGGAGGCATCTTCCGTCTTCGAAGATATGTTCAGTCTACCCCAGCCAACCGACCATTCGAATGGACCTACGAATAATGGGTCTTCTGGAGATACGAGTGCAGACTCGGAGTATAAGGACGGGCTTCCGGTCATCGTCGTTCAGGAACAAAGTTTCACCCTGGACAGACTGCTGCGCCTTTGCTATCCCGTCCCGAAACTTCCACTTCACACCATCGACATCCTGTCACCAGTCCTCACTGCGGCCATCAAGTATGCCATGGACGATATCACGCTTATCATTCGGGAAGATCTGCGAACCTCGCCAGGAAGCTCCCCGTACGCACCTACTGCCTGGCCGTACACCATGGGTTCGTGGAAGAGGCCGAGGAAGCTGCAAGGGCGACGTTGAAGCTCCCCCGGCGCATGCTGTACACCTCCATACCCGGAATCCCGGAGCTGGACCTCGTTGACGGCAAGGCACCTCTTCTCCTGCTCGACTACCACCAGCGCTGCTCCGATGCACTGTCTAGTCTCAGAGTGCGTCTACCGTTCTTATCGCGTGATTGGACGTGGTTCAAGTGCACCGCGGAGGGAGATGTGTGCCCTTTGGGAGACCATCAATACATATTGGCCGATGGAACGTCCGAAGAACCCGCCAAGTGGTGGTCAGAATATATGCGGGCAGCAGTCGATAAACTCGAGGATACCCCGTCTAGCGAGGAGGTTCGATCGGACACGCAATTGTTTGAAACGGCACTCAAGAAAGCATACGGATGCGAATCGTGCAGAGAAACTGCGCTGCAACAAATGCGCATCTTTACTGTGCGGTTGATGGACTACATTGATACGCAAGTGTCCAAGGTCAGGACCGAGGCCTTCTGTTGAGCGAACCGTTGGTTGACATAGTGACTTATGCACGTCCTGATTTGGTGAAGATCCCGCTGTCTTTACCTGACAATTTACGCCCGGCAACGCGAGGTGATCGTCGACGTCTTAAAACGCTGGCCGAAGAAAAGCTACGGTTTCAATTAAATGTTTATCAAATTCATGTATAACCGAGAAACAATACTGGATCCATGCCGACTGACAGTACGTGCGACGACCGTATTGCATGTTTGAGTATATACAACGGTCGTCCACAGACACGACCTTATATAATCATGCGAGTTATCAAATCTGAAACGTCCCGATCTGAAGGCTCGATTCTATTGGCCCGTGACAAACATACATCCTACGGATATCACGCCTGAGGCCTCTTGTAAAGTCCCACCTTCAGAGGCATCTCGGGCTTCGAACTGGCCTTGTCAACAGTCGGGTACCATACACCCGCCACGTTCCACACGACCGGCTTCTCTGGTAGCTCGAAAGTGAACGTTGTGAGGAGGACAGAGAGCACGACCTCTGCGTCGGGGTGTCAGTGATCACAATCACCGTCGACGAGCGCGGAGTGAACTCACTCATCTCCATCTCCGAAAACTTGAAGCCACTGTAAGGACAATCAGCTCAATAATATCGACGAGTGCACCCACTAGGAGATGATTTACATGCAAGCTCTTTTGCCTCCGAGGAACGTCATCCTACGTCAAGTATGAACCTACTTCAATGCAGCACAAGAAGCTAGGCTGCAATCAACGTACAGGTTGGAATAGACACCCGGGATACGAGCATCCGTAACATTAGACGGAAGTGACGACAACCATCGCTCGGGCTTCCACTCGTATGCGTCCTCGCCCCAGAGCGCCTTGCTCGTGTTGCATCCGAGGAAGCCGAGTATGACCTGCGAGCCTTTCACGAGAGGAATTTCATCCATCCTGGTGCCGTCTGTGGCAAAGATAGGTTCTGACAGAGGCAGCACGGTGTCCTGGGTAGCGCTACACGGATGAACACGACGTATGTCAACGTTCGCACGGGCCTTGTTCCTGAAAGGGCTTACGCTCGGTACAACGTGGTAACCGGAGGATATCTGTACACGCTCTCCGAGTCAATGATTATCCCACAAGCATAGGATAAGAGACGTACACTCTCAACGTCTCACGACAGACACTATCCAACAAGGGCAGACGGTTCAGGTCGTCATACGGCATACCGTCGGCAGCGCCAGCACTCAAGAGTTCCTGACGGAGCTTCTTCTGAACAGCCGGGTTCTGCGCGAGCAAGTGCAGAATGCGGGAGAGCGAGTTCGACGTTGTGTCCATTGCCGCGAATATGAGGATCCTGACAGGCCATGAGCTAGACTTCACATCGGCCTCCAAGGAATCATAGTGAACTCACGACATCTGCGCGATGACCTCTTCCTCCGAGAGTCGATCCGCAGCGTCCGCCACCGAGTTCGCGCGCACTTGAATGGTTTCAGACATACTTCTCACACACAGAGGAGGGTAGTGGCGTACTGAGGATACTCATGATATCTTTGCCCTCCGCGACCTGCTTCACCACTTCCGCGTCACCCTTTTGAAACGCGAGCTTCTTCGAGTCATAGATCGCGCGGGCATGGAAGTCCATGGTATCCACAATCTCCTTCACGGCATGCACTGTGGTCCCACGCGGGAACGCGTCCACGACGGCGCGCCGCAACCAGGCCGGGACGATGTTCTGAGTGATGACTGTCACCTGGCGGTAGAGCCTTACGGCGAAGAGTCCTGGACTGCGAATCGTGGCACAACAATGAATATCATCCGTTAATCAGTGTTAAGAATCACAACGAAGGCCTAGAGACCGAGGGCGTGATACGCACGCAAGCAATTTCAGTGCCATTCCATATGCGTCCGTGCTGTCCTTCACGAGTGGGTCGAGTGAGTGCCCGAGACCACCTTGGCCGATGAGCTCGAGCGCCGTGCGGCCCATCCAGCCGAGCATGTCGATCTCCCGTGGGTCCTCCGAGTCGCTGACGCGAGATTCGATCGCAGCGCGGAGCTAGGGCGGAGCGTGATGAGTAATTGAGTGCCTTGAACATGCGACCAGAAGTTCGCGGGTGTGCTGACCTTGTAAACGACGTTGTAGAAGAGCGGAAGCATGTGCCGCATATGACTGACGGAGAAGACGGGGTTGAGCAGCTTGCGCTGACGACCATGCTGCGCGCCTGCGGTAACGTGTCACTAACCATGGCTACTGGACAGGGACGAAGGGAAGCGTACCTAGCGTTGAGACCAACGCATTTGCGCCAAATACAACCTTGTTAGTCCTGTTACTCTCAAGATGTAGCCTTGCATCGCCACGCATAGTTAATAAAACGTGTACGCACGCAATAAACTCCGGGGTTTCGAGGAAAATATGCTCCTCCTTGATGAGAACGGTGTGAAGAGCCTTGGGATCAGCGACGTAGAGGATCGGAGTCTGTCACGCCAACACAGCAGACGCATTCAGTTTCCTACCGAGTCATCCTGTGACACAGACGAATCGAACGCACACCCAAGAATCCGTCGAGCTTCACGATGGGGCCGAAATCATGAGCGACATGTTCCTGAAAGCCAGCCGCGTCGCGCGAAAAGAACTGCTTCAAATTGCCTAGTGCATGGTCAAGTAAACACGAGACGGAGGTAAAATTGTGCGGAATGGCACTTACCAGTCCAGAACGAGGCTGGCGGCGGCCCTGGAATGCGCCTCAAGTGCGCAGTAGCGATGCGGACGCGGACAAAAGACAGTAGCTGCCAAAAGGCCCAGCCGCAGAGACCGAGAAACAAGAAGGAGAGGCTTGAGAGCATACCCTTGGAACGGCGATAACAGCAGCGAGTGTTCTGATATCACAACGACGCGCGGCCACATTATATAGACCCACTCTTGTACGCGGACATTCACCGCTTTACGGCACTGAAAACCGCGATAGAAGCTACATTGCGTGTACAGCGCTGAGTCCGCGGGCCGTCCAGACAGGGCATGACCGTGTTTCTATCGGGGTATCCATCCCTTCAGTGGTAAGATCTTGTTGGGCGGTATGTAAGATCTTCAGTTTTAGCACGAACGAGACCATATACACAAAGGACACGGACCACACAGATTCAAACCCGCCCATGATGCGGTGTGCCTGATCCGCGGAGCGTCCCTTTTCCTGCGGTGGCCATAGAGTTGGCGGGTGCATACTTGCAACGACGCTCTGGGTCTGTACAGGTGCGAGCATCGAGGCGACGTTCCCACGTTTTAGTAGACATTTGAGTCAGTACTTTGCTTTGGACATCAGTAAGTTGCCGGGCATGGTGGACTTGAGGTGTGATCCCGTGCTCACGGTGTCAGAGCGCATTACACTGCGCGAACTCGGCGAATCCCATGAGGTTGTTACGAGAACGAGAGGGAACGAGGCACGTTCTGATACTATAGCTTGGGAAGTTGTACCCCGGAAGTCCGTGGGTGGATACTTTCAATTGAACCGTCGACGCCGCGAGACTTTGTGAGTTGCCACATCACCGCTCAGCGGTGGCAACAGCCAAGCTAGTACATAAGGATCTTCGTCCTGCAAGCATCGAACAACCTTGACCTCCGCGTTGGAATACAGTGCACAGTCCGGTAACATGGATGGCCCGTCGTTCGCGCTCAGTAAGCGGCGGGGCCGCGTAGTGCCTCGGCAAGGTAAGGAAGGGTTGGTCAATTGGCGGCCGCGGACCGGACTCGGAGTTAAGGATGACTGTTGAACGTACGTCGCCAGCGAGCGGGTCGAGAGCGAGTCTGCCAGCGGCGTTATGAATGCTTTGACGGATGTCGGTGATGTATGGTTCATCAGTGAGCCAGAATATTGCCTGCAAGATACGAAGCCAGTGCCGGCTTACTATTCGGAGCTCTGAATCGCAGCCATGGGTGCCTCAATTGAGGGACTGTTTGGCAAGGACGAGCGGATATGATACACGTCTATAGTCGGGCCGCCCTTGTGACAGTGATCAATCGACCAATCGTTCCGAAGCTTTCAACTCTTCCTCGGGGAACTTGTAGTGACGGTAGTCGGATATAGAAGCACTGTATGATCAGGCAGAGATGTGGTCACCACAGACTCCAGGTGCACAACTTTCCCTGATGTTGTCAGTACAATGGTAGATGGACGTTTGAACAGTACTTACTACTGTTAGTCTCCCGTGAGCAAAGTATACAATTCTTTCAACCTTCGCGCGCTCCAGATATTCATGTCTGTAAGTACTGTAGCAGTTGATGTCGAACCAAGCGGTCGGTGGCGTGGGTAAGTATAGTATTTGGCCACAGACCGTCCTCCGTCAAAGAGGTCTTCGTGACTTTAAGGGTCTGCCTAGGGGAGACTGAGTATTTGAGTAGAAGCTAAGCTGCGGTTCGATACCTCAGATTTAGAGTCTGCCAAGTGGTGGAGTCGTATGGATGTCTGGGTACACGATATGGTCCCAGTGTCCTGCTGCAGAGTGCACAGACGACTGCACCTTCATTATGAGACTTCGCATATGGCCCAGCCGGAAACGTACAGTGAGCCCGTTGGTGTGTAGTATCATGGAGTTGACCACAATCTATATCTCGGGTAGCTACTCTGGTGCTGATCATAGTATGAATTGTCTCTATCCGAAGGCTCAATTCGATTGAATCGTGACAAACTAGACATCCCATAGTATCACGCCTGAGGCCTCTTGTAACGTCTCACCTTGAGAGGCATCTCGGGCCTCGCACTGTCTTTCTCGGCAGTCGGGTACCATACACCCGCCACGTTCCACACGATCGGTTTCTCCGGCGTTCGAAGGTGAACGCTGTCAGGAGGACGGAGAGCACGACCTCTGCGTCGGGTGTCAGCGATTGCAATCGTCGCCGACGAGCGCAGATTGAACTCACTCATCTCCATCTCCGAGAACTTGAAGCCGCTGTGAAGATATCAGCTCAATGATATCGACGAGTACATCCAGGAGACGATGTACATGCAAGCTCTTTTGCCCCCGAGGAACGTCATCCTGGTCAAGTATGAACATACTTCAGACAATGCCTCACAAGAGACCAGGCTGAATTAACGCACAGGTTGGAGTAGACACCGGGGATACGAGCATCCGTAACAGAAGACGGAAGTGGCGACAACCATCGCTCGGGCTTCCACTCATGTGCGTCCTCGCCCCAGAGCGCCTTGCTGGTGTTGCATCCGAAGAAGCCGAGTATGACCTGCGAGCCTTTCATGAGGGGGATATCATCCATCCTGGTGCCGTCTGTGGCATAGATAGGCTCTGACAGAGGCAGCACGGTGTCCTGGGTAGCGCTACACAGATGAACACGAAGTACGTCAGCGTTCGCACAAATTCTGATTCAAGGAGGGCTTACACTCGGAACAATATGGTTACCGGAGGATATCTGTACATAGCGTCAGCGTAAAAGGCATGCTCCACAAGCATAGAATAAAAGACGTACACCCTCAATGTCTCACGACAGACCTATCCAACAAGGGCAGACGGTTCATTCGTCATACGGCAAACCGTCGGCAGCGCTAGCACTCAAGATCTCTTGGCGGAGCTTCTCCTGAACGTCCGGGTGCTGCGCGAGCAAGTGCAGAATGCGGGAGAGCGAGTTCGAAGTTGTGTCCATTGCCGCGAATATGAGGATCTTGCAGCCATGAGCTAAACGTACATCGACCTCCAAGGAATCACAGCCACTCACGACATCTGCTGGATGACCTCTTCCTCCGAGAGTCGGTCCGCAGCGTCCGCCAGTGAATTCGCGCGCACTTGAAGATATTTAGACTTGTTCAACACGTACAGAGAAGGATGGAGGCGCACTGAGGATCTCATGATATCCTTGCCCTCCGCGACCTGCTTCACCACTTCCGCGTCGCCCTTTTGGAATGCGAGCTTCTTCGCGTCATAGATCGCGCGGGAATGGAAATCCATGGTGTCCACCATCTCCTTGACGGCGTGCACGGTAGTACCGCGCGGGAACACGTCCACGACGGCGCGCCGCACCCAGGCCGGGATGATGTGCCGAGTGTAGATTGTCACTTGGCGGAGGACCCTTAGTTCAGATATTCCCGGACTGCGAAGCGTGTCAGAAGAATGAAAATCATCCGTTAATCAGTGTTTGTTCTTCAACGTCACAGCGAAGGCTGGACACCAAGTACGCACGCGATCGATTTCAGTGCCTGTCCATACGCATTCGTGCTGTCCTCTATGAGTGGGTCGAGCGAGTGCCCGAGACCGCCTTGGCCGATGAGCTCGAGCGCCGTGCGGCCCATCCAGTTGAGCATGTCGATCTCGCGCTGGTCCTCGCCGACGCGGGATTCGATCGCGGCGCGGAGCTGTACAGGGCGGAGCGCAGTGAGTAATTGACAGCGTCGTAGACATGCGCCGGAAAGTCCACGGGTGTGCTGACCTTGTAGACGACATTGTAGAAGAGCGGAAGCATGTGTCGCATGTGACTGACGGAGAAGACAGGATTGAGCAGCTTGCGCTGACGGCTATGCTGCGCGCCTAGGGTAATTTCTCACTAAACCACGGCCATTGAATAGAGACAAAGGGAAACGTACCTAGAGTGGAGACCAGCGCATTTGCACCGAATATAATTGTGTTAGTCCTGTACCATTTTCAGTATGTTTGCATCACCACGCATCTCCGATAGAACATGTACGCACGAAATGAAGTCCGGGACTTCATGGAAGATATGCTCCTCTTTGATGAGGATGGTGTGAAGAGCCTTGGGATCAGCGACGTAGAGGATCGGAGTCTGCCACGCCAACACAGCAGACGCGTTCAGTCTCCCGCCGAGTCACCGCGATACAGACGGATTTAAACTCACACCAAAGAACCCATCGAGCTTCACAACGGAGCCGAAATCGTGAGCGATGTGGGTCTGGAAGCCAACCGCGTCGCGTGCGAAGAACTGGCTCAAATTACCTGTTGTACGGGCAAGTGAATACGAAATGGAGGTCGAGTTGTACGGACGGGACTTACCAGCTAAGAACGAACCCGCCGGCGGCCCTGGGATGCGCCTCAGGTGTGCCGTAGCGATGCGGGCACGGACGAAAGACAGCAGCTGCCAGAAGACCCAGCTGCCGAGAGCGAGAAACGCAAGGGAGAGGCCCGAGAGCATATCCGATTCCTTGGAATGGCGACAGCAGCAGCGAGTGTTCTGATATTACGACGATGCGGGCTCGCATTATATATGCCCGCCCTCGTACGCGGTCTTCACCGTTCCAAGGTACTGAAAACGCGACAGAAGCTGCATTGCGTGTTCAACGCTGAGTCCGCGGGCCGCGCAGACAAGGTATGACGTTCCTATCGGGAAATCCATCTTTTCCGTAGTAAACACCTGTTCCGCAGCATGTAAGATCTCCGCCGCGTCAGCACCAAGGAGACCACATACACAACGGACAGCCACACGGACCGCATAGACCACAACCCGCCCACGCCGCTGGTATATATGTGCCTGATTTGCAGAGCGTACCTTTCCCCCGCACACTACAGCCGCCGTATTGGTGGACGCGCGATGCTCTGTGTAGTTGCGGACGTCGAGGCGGCGGCCCACGTCCGTGGCGACTTTGATCCAGGACTGAGCTTTGGACGCCACTCAGTAGCCGGGCACGTTGGACTTGAAATTTGGTTCCGTGCTCACGGCATCAGAGCGCATCAGAGAGCGCGAGCGGCGGGCCCGGCGATCCCGGAAAGTTTGCGGAGATGGAAGAGCTCGTTGTTCCCATGAGGCTGTTGCGAAACCGAGAGGGAACGATTGGAGAACGAAGCACGTTCTAGCTTGGGAAGTTGCACTTCGGAATTCCTTGGGTGGATACTTGAACCGTTGGCGACTGTGATTTGCCACATCGCCGCTCTGCGATAGCGACAGCCAAGCTGAGGATCATCGTGCTGCAAGCATCGAAAAAGCTTGACTTCCGGTCCGACGATGTGGTTGGGCCGTATTCGCGCTCCGTGGAACTCGGAAGGATCAATTGACATGTGCCAGTGGGCTACGGCTACTACGAAGGCCGCGTAGTGTCTCGGCAAGGTATGTCCTCGCGGGCTTAGGATTCTTAGAAGGGGTGGTCAATAATGAGCGAGTGGAGTTCAGGAGGTGACCGTGGAACGCACCTCACCAACGAGCGGGTCTCCCAGCAGCGTTACGAATGCTTGTCAGTATCGGTGATGATGTGTGGTGAGCCAGAATGCTGCCTATATATAAGGTACGTAGCCAGTGAGTCACCTAGCGATGGCTTACTATTCGGAGCTTTGAATCGCAGCCATGGGGGGGCCGTAGTAGAGTGACAGGTTGGCGAAGACGTGCGGATGTCATACTTATACACATTCACAGTGCCGACCTCGGCATGCCAGTGATCAATCGTTCGGAAGCTTTCTCATTCTCGGGGGAAGGCTGGCATCAAGAGCGGCACTGCGGCAGAGACGGCTTCACCACAGACATGTGTATAATGTTCCCTGATGCTGTCAGTACAACGGTATGTTGACTAGGCAATGACTAGCTGAAGTATGGACGTTTTGAACAGTACCAGTACCAGTATCACGTTGAAACCGAATCTTGAACTTGAAGCAGTCGGTGGCGTTATAAGTTTGTGAGTCGAAGCTGCGGCAAGTTGAGATGCATACAAGTCTGATGACAGTGACGCGGAGCAACTACACTACCTCCTATTCTATCGAACAGTGAGTCCACGAGTGCTGTGTGTCGCTGACCAGAGATTGGAGACACGCCTCAGAGTCAGTAGCCGCTCGAACCTGCCGGCTTCGATCGCCCTTCAGGAAAGTCCGAGGGGGATCCCATTCACGCCTGGGTATACTAGCAGCGCAGAGAGAAAGGTCCGTCAGGAGACAAGTCAATGGTCCTCCGTGCATATAGTAGGCTGCCATCGCCCACTCTGCTACCATCTGCAGCGTTCTTCAGATGTACACGACAATTTACTCCCGACAATGCCAGCTGCCAACCGTCGAGGTCATAAGACGCTGGCTGAAGAACAGCTACGGTTCGAGTTATTGCTTATCAGGTGCACGTATAACCAAGATGCAATGTATTCATACGGACGGACAGTACGTACGACGGCCGTATTGGATGCTGGATGCACGATATGCAGTGTCCATCCACAGACACAACCTTTATTAATGGGAGTTGTCATATGGCCCTGTCGGAAGAACCTAGTCTGTTAGTGTACAATACAATGAAGTCGAATCACTACGTCGAGCAACCACTCTGACGCTGATCATAGTCTGAAACGGCCCGATCTGAAGGCCATGGATATCACGCCTGGGACCCCTTGTAAAGTCCCACCTTTAAAGGCATCTCGGGCTTGGCACTGGCCCTGTCGACACTCGGGTACCATACGCCCGCCACGTTCCACACGATTGACTTCTCCGGCAGCTCGAAGGTGAACGCTGTCAGGAGGACGGCGAGCACGACCTCTGCGTCGGGGTGTCAGTGATTGCATTGGTCGCCGACGAGCCCAGAGCGAACTCACTCATCTCCATCTCCGAGAACTTGAAGCCGCTGTGAGTACAATCAGCCCAATGATATCGACAAGTACACCAGGAGACGACGTACATGCAAGCTCTTTTGCCCCCGAGGAACGTCATCCTGCGTCAAGAATGAAGATCAATTCCACACAAGAAGCTAGGCCGGAATCAACGCACAGGTTGGAGTAGACACCCGGGATACGAGCATCCGTAACTAGATGGAAGTGCGACAACCATCGCTCAGGCTTCCACTCGTATGCGTCCTCGCCCCAGAGCGCCTTGCTCGTGTTGCATCCGAGGAAGCCGAGTATGACCTGCGAACCTTTCACGAGAGGGATTTCATCCATCCTGGTGCCGTCTGTGGTATAGATAGGTCCCGAGAGGGGCAGCACGGTGTCCTGGGTAGCGCTACACGGAGAGTTAGCATTCGCACAAACCTTGATTCAAGGATGGCTTACACTCGGAACAACGTGGTAACCGGAGGATACCTGTACACGTCCCCAGCCTGTTAAGCATGTTCCACAAGCAGAGGAGGAAAGACGTACATTCTCAATGTCTCGCGACAGACGCTATCCAACAAGGGCAGACGGTTCAAGTCGTCGTACTGCATACCGTCGGCAGCCCCAGCGCCCAAGAGCTCTTCACGGAGCTTCTCCTGAACGGTCGGGTGCTGCGCGAGTAAGTGCAGGATGCGGGAGAGCGAGTTCGAAGTCGTGTCCATCGCCGCGAATATGAGGACCCTTGCAGGCTGTGAGCTAACTTTACATCGACCCCAAGAAATCACAGCCAACTCACGACATCTGCGCGATATCTCTTCCTCCGAGAGTCGATCCGAGCGTCCGCCATCGAGTTCGCGCGCACTTAAAGGTCTTAAGACATTCCATCGCATGAAAGGATAGTGGCGCACTGAGAATACTCATGATGTCCTTGCCCTCCGCGACCTGCTTCACCACTTCCGCGTCACCCTTTTGGAACGCGAGCTTCTTCGGTCATAGATCGCGCGGGAGTGTGAGTCCATGGTGTCCACAATCTCCTTCACGCGTGCACGTGGTCCCACGCGGGAACGCGTCGACGGCGCGCGCCGCAACCACGCCGGGACGATGGTCATGAAGTTCTCAGTGGCCATTGCCGCTTTGCGGAAGATCCTCAAGCCGGAGAGGCCCGGACTGTGTATCGTGCCACAGGCTCATGAGTGTTGGTTCTTTACGATCACAACGGAGGCTGGGACACAAACGGTGTGATACGCACGCGAGCGATTTCAGTGCCAGGCCGTACGCATTTGTGCTGTCCTTCACGAGCGGGTCGAGCGAGTGCCCGAGACCGCCTGGCCGATGAGCTCGAGCGCCGTGCGGCCCATCCAGCTGAGCATGTCGATCTCCCGCGGGTCCTCGCCGACGCGGGACTCGATCGCGAGACGCAGCTGCAGAGGGCATAGCGCGGTGAGTAACAGCAGTGCCATCACATGCGACGGGAGGTTCGCGGGTGTGCTGACCTTGTAGACGATGTTGTAGAAGAGCGGAAGCATGTGCCGCATGTGGCTGACGGAGAAGACGGGGTTGAGCAGCTTGCGCTGGCGGCCATGCTGCGCGCCTGGGGTGATGTCTCGCTAAACCATGGCTACTCGATAGGGACGAAGAGAAGCGTACCTAGCGTTGAGAGCAGTGCGCCCGCGCCGAAAATAAGCTTGTTGGTCCTGTGGCGTTTTCAATATGTAGACTTGCATCGCATCTTAGAGCAAATGGGTACGCACGCAATGAAATCCGGGGTTTCCTGGAAAATATGCTCCTCCTTGACGAGGACGGTGTGAAGAGCCTTGGGATCAGCGACGTAGAGGATCGGGGTCTGTCACGCCAACACAGCAGACGCGTTCAGCCTCCCACCGAGTCGCCCTGTGACACGGACGAATTTGAACGCACGCCCAAGAACCCGTCCAGCTTCACAATGGGGCTGAAATCGTGCGCGACATGTTCCTGGAAGCCAGCCGCGTCGCGCGAGAAGAACTGCGTCAAGTTGCCTGGTGTATGTTCAAGTACTAGTGAAGACGAGACGGAGGTCGAGTTGCGCGAGTGGAACTTACCAGTCCAGAATGAGGCCGGTGGCGGCCCTGGGATGCGCCTCAGGTGCGCCGTAGCGATGCGGACGCGGACGAGTGACAGCAGCTGCCAAACGGCCCAGCCGCAAAGAGCTAGGAACACGAGGGAGAGGCCCGAGAGCATATCCTTGGAACGGCGGTAGCAGCAGCAAGTGTCCTGACATCGCGACGATGCGGGGTCGCTTTATACACGTACATCGCGTGTGCAGCGCTGAGTCCGCGGGCCGTCCAGACTCCAACCAGACTCGGCGACGCGGTACTTATGCCGGGTAATGATAGTTCCATCAGTCAACATACTCCTTCAGTGACAGTAAACGTTAGACTTCTGTTGGACAGCAGGGAGATCTTCGCTGTCAGCACCAACGAGACCATATAGACATGACGGACAACCTGCCCATGCCGCCAGCGCGGGCCCGACCTACATTTACCCCGCACACGCTGCGGCGGCGACGCCTTGTACAGTTGCGGACGTCGGGGTGGCATTCCCACGTCCGTGATGGCATTTGAGTCTGCCGTCGCCAAGTAGCTAGGCACGGTGGTCTCGAGGTATGGTTCTGTGTCCACGGTGTCAGAGCGCGTTACAGCGCACGGACGGTCCCGAAGGAAGGACTCGTTGTTCCCATGATGCTGCTGTGAGAGCGAGAGGAACCGTTCTAGCTTGGGAAGTTGTACTCTGAAGCCCGTGGTGGACACTACTTGCAGTTGAACTTCGTTGAGCGTTGAACCTTCTGAACGTTCAAACGTTCGAGTCGGGCTCCGCGCGAGTGATCAGTTGTCCCGAAGCTTTCTCGTAGTCGAAAATGAACTGGGGCTATAGCGCTAGCTACCTTACCGTAAGGAGTGGTATTTGAGTCGACGTCAAAGGTTCAATACATACAAGTCTGACGGGTGTGATGCGCAAGTGCATCACCTATGTTCTACAAGCATTGGGTCTACGAGTCCTGTATATGTGTCGCTGACCTGAGAATGGAGACATGCACAGTGACAAGTTGGAGGACCATACACAGGCGTTGGCGCTCGAACCATACCGGCTTCGATCGCTCTTCGGGAAAGGCCGAGGGGATGCCGATCGCGCCTCGACTGGCAGGCCTGCAGGCCGGTCAGCAGACAAGTCAATGGTCCTCCACTGAGCAAGCATGCACACACGGTTCTGGCCAGCTGCCATCGCCCACTCTCCCACCGGCTCAGGACTACAGTACTTATCATCTGCAGCGTCCTTCAGATGCTTCTCCAGCTCCGCATCTTGCAGCAGTGCCCCACACAGTACCGGCCCCGCGTCCGCCCGCGGTGCACCGCTCCCCCGTACTGCAGCCTCTGCGCGGTGCCCGTCCATTCTTGCTGCGGCCAGCGGCAGCGACAGGTGCTGAGCTTAGCCCGGCGTCGGGCGACGTATCAGTAAGTGACGCTCGGAGGCGGCGGGGGCTCGGATTTGTCAGACTGCGGTGCGTCGCTCTGATCCTGCACCCGTCTTGCGTCAGCGTCCGAGCGCCGTCCGTCCAGCCCATTCTCCTCGGCACGCCTGTGCACGCAAGTATAAGTGGCTGCCTGTGCGCGACCGCACGCACCCGCATCCGCCACCGTCCTTGCGCTGCGCCCGACTCGACCCAGCGCCTGAGCCGCCTTCTTGTGTCTGTGTCTCCTGGTGTCTGTGCCCGCGCCTGTGCACGCACATACTTCCGTTACAATAAGCTCCCTTCCTCGACCGCGCCACCTTCCGCGGCACAGTCCTCAAATAAAGAGTGCGCACCACCCAGCCCTCTGCCCTCTCCACTCACCCACTCTTCTAGACTTCACCTCCACCTCAGCTTCGCACCGGACGCCACACACCATGTCCGCCGCACCATCCACCACCCAGCCCATCGCCATCTCGCACACCCGCGCCTCCGCCAGCTTCCTCGAGCTCGCCTCCCCCGCAAGCTCCTCCTCATCCCCCTCCTCGCCCACCCCCTCCTCCGCCTCCTCGAGCAGCAGCGCCCTCTCGCCGACGCTCTCCGACTTCGCCCTCCCGCCCGCGGACCCGTGGCGCACCGCCGCCGCCGAGGCCGCCGCGGGCATCCACTACGCGCTCGAGGCGTTCCCCGCGCCCGGCCAGACCGTGCTCGGCCCGCCGTTTCGCAACGCGCCCCTCGCCGTCGGCGCAGGCGCGCGTGTCGTGCTCCTGGACGCGGAGGGCGAGGACGCGGGCACGCTGCATGTGCGCGCGCGCGTGCTCGAGACGGGCGAGGTCGGCTATCTCCCCGCGTGGAACGTGGAGGGCGCGCTGGAGCGCCTCGCGAGGGTGAACATGGAGTTCAACGAGGCGGTGAGTGCGGGCTCGGTGTTGGCCCGGTCGTTCTGAGTGCTGACGGGTGTGTTTGGGATGTACAGGCGACCTGCCCCGCGGAGCGCACGACGCTGTCGCGCCGGAGCCATTCCGCGCCCGACGTCTCCCGACGGCCCGACGCGCACGCGGACTCCCCCTCCTCCTCCCCCTCCTCGCACCTCCACGCCATCCTCGCGCACAAACACGACCACTGCATCCCGTTCTCGACGCGGCTCACGTACCGCGCCGCCGGCCCGGCCTTTGCGGAGGACGACGAGGACGTGGACCCGTTCCTGTTGGACGCCGACGAGACGTACATCGGGCGGACACGCGGCGCGCGGAGGAAGTCGGTCGGGTTTGCGGAGGTCGCGCGGCCGACGGTGTTTCGGTACCCGAGTGCGGCGCTGGTTGAGGCGTACTACGGGGAGGCTTTCGAGGAAGAGGAGGAACACGAAGGGGACGAGCGGGAAGAGGGAGGAGGGAGGAGGACGAGGAGTGGTGGTGGGCGGGGTGGGAGGAGCAGAAGGACGCCAGCGAGGATACGTTTGTGGACTGCGATTGAGGGACCCTGGGAGAGGGAGGTGATGGCGTGCCACAAAATTACGGAATACCCTAATATGACGGTGGGCGAGAGGTGCGCTAGAGGGCTGCGACATGGCGATAGGGACTTGGCTTGACGATTCCGACAGACTGTTTGGGTCCGCGTGTGTATCCTATCCCTTGTACCAACAGTATGTATTGATAAGCTCGGGACTTGGAAGGTTCTCCTACTGTGTACGTACCAGCACTACGTATCCGATATGCGTGTATGCTCAAAGGAATGATGTCGACGCTTAGTCTCCGTGCGTGCGTCATCCGGGGCGCGATACCGTCCAATCAAGGCACCGATTTGGGCGTCCAAGTTATTTTGAGCGTTGCATGCTATGCCAGACCTCGTCTTCAAGCCCAGGAATGAATTCGAGCTGCTTGGTTGTTCTACCAACTGGATTACCATGTTGTACGTGGTGTGCGACTGACGCAGTGTCGAGCACTGTCGACTCAAAGCCACACACGCCCACGTGACCGCGTCACAGAGCCCCGACGGCAACGCGTTTGCCAGGACTCGGTGGTGGCAGATGTGACGTCAGGGGGAGAGGCCGAGGCGGGCCGATGGCAGACGCGGGTCCCCCCGCTGCCTGCCTCCTACGCACCCTCCCCGTCGTCTCCGAACCGACTGCCCCGACCCTGCGTCTGCCGCACGCCCGTCTGCCTGCTGCCTTATAACCCCCGCCAAGGGCCTGGTGCGTCCCAATCTCCTCCCCCTCCTCCGATCCAGACCGCATACAAACCTACCCATTAGACTAGTTATTTTCTTTCTAACGACCCCTGCTTACGACCACACCGCGAATCGAACATGAGCGTCGCGTCGCCGCCACAGCCGTTCGCGGTCCCGCAGTTCACGACCAAGGACTACTCCTCGTTCTTCCTCGCAGGTGCGCATATATGCTTCCTAGCCGCCGCCGGCGAGCTAACCGAGCGTACAGGCGCGCTATGTTGCACGTAAGTCAATGCCCACCGTCCGCGCCAGCCTAGACACAGCGCTCATCGCTCCCGCCACGCCAGCGTCACGCACGGCGGCATGACGCGTACGTCGCGTTTCCCAACCTCGCACAGCGCTTATTGACAACGCGTCCCACTGGCAGCGATTGACGTCGTCAAGACGCGCATACAGATCGACCCCGCCATGAAGGGCCAGTCCCTCCTCTCCGGCGGCCGCCTCATCGTCGCAAAAGAGGGCGCCTCCGCGCTCCTCACGGGCTTCGGGCCCACCGCCGTCGGGTACCTCGTCCAGGTGCGCTCCAGCATTCTTTGTCTCCGCCTTCCGCGCGGTGTGCTGACGGGATCGCACGACCTCCTCACACGATCAACCAATCCGGCACCCGACTCGGACTGACGCTCGTCCGTGTCCCGAATTTGATGATCGTACCGGGTGGCGCTCTAGGGAGGAGCGAAGTTCTCGGGCTACGAGTACTGGAAGAAGCAGTTCGTCCAGATCGCGGGCAGCCAGGACGCCGCCGTCGCGCACCGCACTGCGATCTACCTCGGCGCGTCGTCCGTCGCGGAGTGCGTCCCCCCGCTCCCTTCCGGCTCGGTCCTCGCTCACGCGGCTTTGCAGGTTCTTCGCGGACATCCTGCTCACGCCCCTCGAGGCGACGCGCATCCGGCTCGTCTCGCAGCGGGGGTACGCGACGGGGCTCACGACGGGCTTCATGCGCCTCGCGCGCGAGGAGGGCTTCGGCGGGCTCTACGCAGGCTTCCTTCCCATCCTCTGCAAGTACGTCGTCGTCCCTTGCCCCACGCGCGCGTGGTCATCGAGAACGACACGAATACTGACGGCGCCCTTTGCGAGCGCAGACAGATCCCGTACGCGATCGGGCAGTTCACGGTGAACGAGTTCTGCCACGAGCTCGTGTTCAGGAACATGTCCGAGGAGGCGCGCGCGAACCTCTCCGGCACGGGCAAGTTCACGATCGCGCTGGGCAGCGGCGTCATCGCGGGGTTCGCCGCGGCGATCCTGAGCCAGCCCGCGGACACGCTCCTCTCGCAGATCAACAAGGGGCACGGCCCCGAGGGCTCGATGGTGCACCGGCTCGGCGTGCTCGCGCGCGAGGCGGGCGTGCGCGGGCTCTTCGCGGGGCTCGGCCCGAGGATGGTCATGACCGCGGGTCTTGTCAGCGGCCAGTTCTTGCTGTATGGCGTGATCAAGGACGCGTTGAGCGCGCCTCCGGGGCTGGAGATACATAAGGAGGGGAGCGCGGTGGTCAAGGCGTAGGTGAGGCCGAGTCGAAGGGCGGTGGTAGTGAGTGGGTGGTGATGCGGATGCATGGTCGGGAGTGAGCTCGGTCGTCGATGTGTTGGACTCGAGATTGCGCGGACGAAGTATTTTGTTGTTTGATGATCCCGAGTGTATAAGCTTACGTGCTGTATATACCTGTTAGACTAGAGGCTCGTGTAATCCATACCGTCTCGTCTTGTCTCGATTCCGGTGTCCCTGTGCGGATATACTATCCTGTATGCAACATTCGGAAACAAGGGGTGCATTTTACGCATTGACCGACAGCGCACCAAGAATACATTGAGCGCAAAGACGCAGACCCAGATGTCGCCTTCATTCACTCTGGCTGCCGCCCAAGAACCTCCGCCAGCACCCGTCGCACGTCCTGTCGCGGCTCAGAATCGCCACTATCTCCATCGCACACCGGCTTCCACGCGAGGAACCTTCTGCACACTTCCTCCGCGCCCTCGAGGTCCCGCCGCTCGGTGTCACTCATCTCTTCGTCGAGCAGCTGGCCGAGCTCGTGTGTCGCGAGCAGTTGGCTGTAGAGTATAGGTATACACTTGCTTACGACAGTTGAACAAAATGCAGGCGGTGGACTACGTACCTGACGTATTGCGCCCGCCGGGCGACACGCCGCGGGATGCCGAATATTTCCGCGCACATCGCTGCGTGCGAGTCTAGCGAGAGGCCCTTCGCAACCCTCGGGACCGCCTCGTCTCAGCTCATGCTCACCACATCAGCTTGCCCAGACCCGCCTACCTATATAGATACGTGATCCGTTCGCCCGGGGCGACGCGCGCCTCGTCTTCCTCTCCGTCGTCTTCGACCCCAGAGTCCGCGTCGTTGGCGCCGCTCGCGCGAAGAGGTGGCCCGAGCTCGACGTCAGGAGGATCTGCATGTGCACGAAGGTGATGGGGAGCGAGGCGGGGTCGAGCAGGTCTTGCGTGAACACGTCGTGGAAGTGCGTCGCGGCGAGGACTTTGGGGCAGGCGGCGCCGCGGCTGGCGAGGTGCTTGAGGACGCTGCAGAAGAGCCCCGCGCCGTCTAAGAGCAGGCAGTCGATGTCCAGAGCACAGAGACGGATAGAAGCAGGACCAGAAAGGCGCGTGCAGCGTGCGGAGTGACCGAGGAATCAGTAAACGGAGCTAGCAGACTATAGACAAGCGGGTTGGAGAATTGGAATACGAGCCTGCAGACATAGTACCCTTCCCGAACTCGTCCAGCAAGATAAGAGACCGTTCCGTAGCGTTGCGCAGAGCGAAGGACACCTGATTCAAGTCGATCATAAAGGCAGACTGGACCTAGACAGAGCGATAATTGGAGGAGTCAAGCGACAAGAACGAACGAGAGGCGGCGTGATCACTTTGGACACTGATTCCCTGGTTTGAACTCGCGTGAAGACTGGGAAAAGCGTGAGCAGCGAGTTGGTCAAGAGATGTGCAGGGGTGTTACTCTTGTCAGCTATTCCTAGGGTGGCAGACTCAGCCGGAACGAAGCTGGCTATGTAAGCGAGATGTCCACTTGGAAGACAGTGAAACCTTACCATCCAATCTAAACTGCAATGGAGCCAATATCAGTGTGGGGGTAAGTAGATGCGGTCGTACCTGTGCCATGTACTGTATCATCGCGATTTGCTTGATATATACACTCTGCAGGGAGTTACACGAATGGTTTCATCGTAGACGCATATACGCACCTTGCCGCACGCGTTGGCTCCGGTGCATACGACAACGCTGTTCCTGTCCATCATACCATTCTGGGTAACATCGTCGCCGTCGGCGAGCTCAACGGCCACATCACGGCCCCCAATCAGAAGGGCGTCGTTGGGAACAAAGGTATCTACAACGAACTCCTGTAGAGGGTGACTGCGCGACCTCAGCAATGCGAGGGCTACAAGAGGACCCAGACTTACCGGCCCTGTTTAATATCGATGACGTTCTTGTCTACCATTCGTGGTCGAATGAAGTTGCATGATGTAGAGGTTTCTGCGAAGGATAATAGACAATCCAGCTCTGCACACACATCGCATGCATATTGCATGGGGCCCGCGTGAATCAGTATCCGCTCTGAAAGCGACTGCACAATCTCGATTTCGCGGTCTGTTGTCCGCATGCGTGAGCGACAATCGTCGTAATAACGGTATAGATTCTGGACTGACCGACAATCGAGGGGTGAAGGTCGCCGATATGAGCGTCCATGTCTACATTATGATCAATGCCCGAATCTCCATTGGTCCACACAATATGTACCGTGCATTTCCTGCGACTTGAAGTAAACGTGGGAGCTAGTTAAATTGTCAAGTATGACAAGACACGAAGGCGCATACCACTTACTCGGACGAGAACTATGGAAGGCGTCTCACATCAGTCATCGGCTACATGAAATGAACTACATACCTGGAAGGACCACCCGTCCAGAACCTGGACTCCGGCATCTGATTTCCATTCATCCAGCATTGGAACGCATATGAGGAACCCTGCCATGATCCGTTAATCTTTTCAGCAGAGAAGACGATCCGCGCATTACCTAGCTGAGGAAAGTAGACAACGTTCAGTGATGACGCGTAATCAGGAGGTATTGTCTCTGATATCTGCTGCGCTACCCTGGACTGATGTGACGCTCTCAGTGAAGTGACAGCTAACGGCGTAGCTGCGGCCTATCTACCAGTACGCTGTCGATGCCATTGTAAATATGCTTCAGATTGTCGAGTTCCTCGTCGATATGCGGGCGAACGCAAACACGGCCAGCGAGCGTGGATTCCTCCCAATCGATCTAGAGAAAGTGGGAAAATCGTTGCAAGCAGTGACGCAGAGCGTACCGTTTCATTCACAGCGCTCCCTACGTCTTTGAAACTCGCAACTTCCAATGCCTCAACGAGCTGGCGAGCGGCATGTTAGTTGTCTAGCATGGTAAGACAACTCTTCATCTTGCCTTCTTGACTATCTCGACATGGCCGGCATGGCTCAACTCAGCCATGGCATCCCGCAACATGAGCGAGTGAAACGTGAACTGATGCGCATGAGTTCACGTCGCTGTATAGATCTGCGCGAGAGCTGACCTTTACAAGACACTGCCAATCTGATACCCTCGCTTTGCCAGCCTTCATAATCCCTAGGATACGTGGTACATTTTTGATGCCGTTGAGATGTGAATGCATTGCGCAGGCCGTCGCTTGATTGTCAGGTCGCACGAAGCACGCGATGGCATCGTGGCGTGTATTAATGATTGAGAGTGACAAGGACGGGCGCAGCAGCCACTCCCGCATCAGAGCGCGTCCTAAGGTGGTCTTCGTGTTGTTGAGGATTCCAAATAGCGACAGGCCTTCCTTCGTCTTGTCCGAATGGATCGACGCGTGGCTCTCATCTTCGAAAACCTGCAGAGAGAACAGCGCATCGGCGTTGATCTGCATTGCCTGGGATAATGCCAACGGTTCGATGGCACGGACTTCCAGCCCGTTGATCCCTTCGTCATCAAGATCGCCGACAGCTCGGATCCGCGTAAGGTGATCGAGCAGAGCACCAACGCTACCGAGCTGGGAACAAAGCTTGAGTATAAGGTTGTATATAGGCCAGGGAACGTGGCTCACACACAAGGGTGTTGCTTCCATAGACGCGTAATTTGCTAACCGAATCGATGCATTCCATTGCTGCATAGTGGGGTCACCGCCCGCTTCCCGTCGTCTGCGCATGAATTCATAAGCATTCCGAGGCTCTGAACTTCCGTTAGACTCTGAAGATGGCGCGTCACGCGTAAGGTCCGGCGGTAGCTCCGAGAGAAGTCGCAAAGAGAGCAAACGGTCGCGGCCTTTCGCAGCTGAGAAGTCTTTATGTGGCCTTACTTGGAAAGTGCCTCCGGACGAATCCACTGGGAGAAGTCAGCCGCAAGCCACGTCCTTGTATGCGCGCACACCGGAACATACTGTGGTCGCGGAGCACGTCCATGAAGTTGTCGTCAGCTTTCGAACTCGTGATGGCTATATCTGGACCGCATTGCTCCAAAACTGTGGGGGACCGCACTGAAGATGAGCGCGATAACCACTGGTCGTAGGGCACGCACGGCTCTTCGTCAGATCGAAATGCTGGTTCTCAGGCGTATCTTCCAACGTGTATATGGTGCACTTGACTGGGTCGTAATATGCGCAACCAATACGTCCACTGCATGCCGACATGACTTAACATTTGCGCATATATGCCAAGAGAAACTCACAATTGGGCAGATGCAGCGAAGCAGATCTGGCTCGAGTAAGTTAAGAATAGTCGGACTGGTTGCGTGTGGCTTCATGCACGAGGGCGGTACGTACCTTCTCCGGCGTGCTCGACGTCCCTTCTTCAGTTGCATCATCTACGCTATTTTCTATAGTTCCCAAACCGCTTCCCCAACGGACCCTTTTGTTAACTTTCTCTGAGAGGGACGAATCGCAATCGTCCTCGTGTTCGCTTGAGGATTCAGGCCGCATGCGCTTCTCCTTGCCCTTGGTCCGGTCTGAGATCTTGTTCAGGCGAGGCATTTCTAGAACAACAATGCCACAGCTCGTGATAGCGTTCAAGAGGACAAGGTCAGCAACGACGAAAACCGAGAGTAGTCCACAAGATGCGCCGACGCGTCAGGATGCGTCGAGTATGCGCGCTCGTCAATCATGTTACAATGCACGTGGTCTCAGGATGGGACGCCTCCGCTCAACCTCCGCCAACTCGGAGGAGCAGCCTTCGCCCACAGGGCCGATTCATCGGCTTCTTTGAAGGGTTCAATTTCACTTCATCGCTCAACGGAGTTAGTGTAGTCCTACCGTACAGATATGCGGCCGGCTCATACAAGGCAAGTGCAAATGACCCAGTGCGTTAGATAGCATCCAGAAAGGTACAGCGGCGGTCAGGACTACTCGGGCTAGGCACCATCCTCACTTCTTCTGCTTGAACTGCAACAGTTCAGTTGCATCGTCCGCAACTGCGTCCGATAGCAATAAGTCCGCAGCATTTAGAAGAATACGTCCAATCGGAGCTCACCATTGAGTAAGAGGCTGTGGGAGTCGAGCATCACGTTGTTTCCAGATGTCGCAAGCAGTTGTGCAATGTCTCGGGCTGCCTCCAGCCTCCGCAGCTCAAGGAAGCCCTTGTTTGAACGTACGGCTTCTCCGATGAGCTCGGCACTTCTTGCCTCACCCTGTGCCCGGACGATGATAGACTGCGCCAGCCTCAACCAGAATTCATGACGCGGGAACAAATGAACGAACCTGCTTCTCCTGAATGGCCTGGTCCACCAAGAATGCAGCCCGAAGCGCGGTTTGTTGTGCGACCTAACACAAACATCAGATAGAGTACTGCGCTGCAAGAGCTTCAATGACGCACCTGCTTGGCCTCGACTGCGTGTGTGAACTCCGGTGAGAATGCAACATGAGTTATAGACACGTCATCCAGCACGAGGTTGAATCGTAGCGCACGGCGCGTCAAGTTCTCGCGCACTAAGCGAGACACCTATGTGTATATAGGATAATGGGGCTTGTGTGAGAAAGAAAGACCCTGCAGAAATCCTGAAGAAAGAAACGAACCATCTCACGCTGCGTGATGAGTTGGCTTGCATTGAACTGCGCCACGACGCTCTTCAGAACCTCGTTGACAATCGACGGGAGGACGCGTTCGTCAAAGTCTGATCCAAGCTCCCGGAATATTGTGGGCAGGGAGTTGATGTCCGGCCTTGACAGGACACGGCAAGTGATATTGACCATTTGGAGATCTGAATGCACAATTATTCACTGGATGGGAGAAGGGACGCGGCTATAACGCGCCTTTTGTGCCAGTGAGACTAGCAATATTGCGAGGTTTGGCACGGATGTCGAAGACAATTGGTGTCTCGAACCATGGCACCTACGCTGAAGTATGCATACGGGTGCGCAGACATTATACAAGGTGTACTCACCATAAGATGTGTACCTTCAGCATACACATCGGGCGTCACACCGTGCAAACTGGTTCGCCACTGTATGAAGGCGGGTTTGCACTAGTAAAAGCACCCTACTCACCGAGTGTACTTGATCGCCCGGTGACCACCGTCCACTTCAGAATGCACATCAGTGATTACTCTAGAGGAATGCGAGTATTGCTCACCGTTGAATAAACTTGCGTTCAGCGCGAACCCTCCGCCAACGAGCGCGACAAGTAGACCCGTGCCAGCCGTGAATCCCTTTCCACCTGGGAACCGGCTGCCTCCACCCGAGCCGCTCTGCCTTGCTCGTTGCAGCTGTTGAGCGAGCCGTTTGAAAGCCTCCTGCGAATTCATGGTGTTCCGAGATGTACGGTGTAGGAACCGTGAATCGCACAAGCCTGAGTGCACTCAGCGGCAGCGACTGACGACACGGGAAGGCAAGCTCGGCACCGGCATCCGCCGGAGATGAGCGTCTAAGACATCCGTCCGCTCCTCACCATTCGAATTTCGAACTCGGAGTCACTCTCACGTTTCCTGTGTCGCACTCTGACCCTCCCAATCCCTCGCCAGTGTCTGTTAGATTCGTCTGTCAAACCCAAGGCACAGGTCGTTTCTCAGGTTTCTAACAAGATAAACGCCGCAGCGCGTGGGCTTCGTCAAGCACACAAAACGTAATGGACGCCGACGGAAATGGAACCTTGAGCAACGTCGTATGCAGCATTGTTTGTCGGAACAATCGACATAGATCTTGCTGACTTCTGATGTGCACAGTTAGGCTGGGTGTCTATAGCGTGCTGGTGAGTTTGAGCTGTCAACGTGCCATGCAATGCGCTGATATTACATCATCTCGAAGGCTTGTAGTGTACACTCCACAGATCTACGAGAATTACCGACTCAAGTCTGGCGAAGGGCTTAGCGTATTCTTCGTGGTCACTTGGTTAATTGGAGACCTATGCAGCCTCTCAGGCGCTCTATTGGCGAATCTATTGCCAACTATCATCATCCTAGCCACATACGTGAGCAAACATCGCTGGCTAACTCTGGCCAGGAACTCCGGGTGCTGATGCGCTGCATCACAATCAGTATTCGGTATGCGACTCGATGCTTCTATTCCAGATATACTACTATCGCTGGACCAACAACACACCATCAAGGGAACCTGCCCTAGCATCTGCGGAATCGGCTGCTCAAGATCTCGAACGAACACCCCTATTGACTCATAACGGTAACGCGGCAGAAGCCAGCGTGAAGCCCTCGATCATCCGGAATTTTACGAAATATGCCGGTGCCCTGTGTTTTGTCTTCGTGGTCGGCATTGCCGCTTGGGCGGTGGACGAGCATATACATCAAGACCAGGCTTCACCGAATCGCGACGAGGTTGTTGAATGGAGAAGCCAGGTCCTTGGCTGGATCAGTGCTGCTATGTTCCGTAAGTTTGTACATCATCTGAGTACTCGATCGCTCACCGGATCGAAGTCGGAGCTCGGGTACCACAGATTGGTGAGGGACTACCTCTTTTGCCTGGTTACAGGAATGAACGGAGCGCATGGCACCAGTGAAAAATTTCCAGACGAGGTGTGAAGGGCTCTCGCCCTTCCTCTTCGTGTATTCAATTACGGGCAACACGACCTTCGTCCTGGCTATTTTGGCTGCCTCGATGGACCTCCAACATCTCATCACGAACGCATCGTGGATTGCGGGTGAGTGTACACCCGATGCATGTCCCGCACTCCTCACCTCCGTCGTTCTCATCAGGGAGCGCTCTGACGGTCTTTTTGGACGTCTTTGTAAGAATGATTGTGTCACTCTCGCGCGCACATCCTGAAGATTATTCTCAGGTCCTCTCGCAATTTGTCTACTACCGAAGCATGGACAGTCGCCAGCCTCACGTTGAAGTGTCATAGAAAAGTTCATGTTTACCCCAGTTGGGTACAATTTCTGTAGTCATGTGCGACAGCAAAGATCATCGCAACCCATTAGTGTAGCGTTGCCACTATGGCCTGGTGTTTAGTAGACGCTACGCAGGAGATCTAGACAAGCATTGGCGTTACCGAATGTCGACGCAAGGAAAGGTCAGTCTGATGGATTGTGCCCGGTACCGGGTACGATATGAGGGTGCGATAAGGCGAGACAGAAGGGTTTTTGGTCAGCTTGGCCTGAAAGTGTGGGACGGGGCGATAAATAATGGAGAGCCGAAGCGCGCTCGGCCACGAACCAGCAGCCATCCGTGCCTCGTTCCCTCCCTCGTGTTGCCTGCTGCTGTTCGACGTCCCACGTTGCAGGTCAGCTCTAAACATTCGTATGGCATCTACGCTTTGGAACGGACATGCTCCCAGCCTCGTGCTCGCCCATCACCAGCTCGCAAAGAAAGCCCATTATCAATGCCAGATCGCCCGCCCGCCATATATTCAAGAGCCTTCATGGCGAGCGGTCCCTGCAAAGGCCGTCCTGCGCGCCCTCGCCTACACACAACGCTGACCCGGGTATTTCGATGTCGTGGTAAGTTCCATTACTCGCCTCGTGTCATCTCGTACTCGAAGTGACCGCCACGCGATGGCGCTTTTCTGGACGTTTCAGGCAGTGACGCTTTGAGGGCAGAGGCAAGGCACCTCCAGCTGCAGCGTGCCCTTGACAGAGCCGTTTCGAGATAGCACGAAAGCAACGTCGCATCGCCCCTGCGGACAATACGCGTGTGCCGCCGCGCCGGACTCGCGCCCCGCTTATAAGTGAACGTCTCCCGACCACTTTCTGGCAGTTACTGTCATGCGCCGCACATCAATCCTTCACGCCTCCGCTCCTCATCACGGCAGGATGCACGCCTCTTCCGTCGCCGCTGCCCCTATCGACCCGCCACGCGTCCGGACCACCCTCGGACCGAGGCCCCCCGAGCCGACGTCCCCGCCACCTCCGTACGAAGCCTACGAAGCATACCCAGCATTCACCACAGTTTCGCCGGGGATCAGTACGCGCACCAACTCGTTTCCAAGACCTCCGGACGGTCTTGGAGATAGCTCCCGGTCTCGTGCCCGGAGGCCGGCACAGAGCCTCTCGATTCCGCATCTCCGCGAAGCTATACACACCCTCGAGTCGAAGATGGCGTCACTGCTGAACGAACGGGATCTCCTCGAGTCTAGGCTAGAACAGGCGGTGCGCATGCAGTCACCCGTCCAGCGGCTGCCGGACGAGCTCCTCTCATCCATTTTCGAGATCGGCGTACTCGATGGAGACGAGGAGGATCCCATCACCCTAGCCAACCTGATGATCGTCTGCCGGCAGTGGAGAGACGTCGCGGTGGACACGCCTGCTTTATGGTCGCGGATCTGGATGGGCACACGCCATTCGTTCGAAAGGGCGCGAGTCAAGCTGGAGCGTTCGAAGACAGTGCCCCTCTACATAGGTGTCGACTTCAGCCCGCGCGTGGAGTATGGCAGTGTATCTACCGAAAGCCTCATGCTGGCCATGGACCTCCTACGTCCAGCTATCTGGCGCTGGAGAACATTCCACTTGACCGTTCCCAATAGGCCACAGGCGCATGCCGCGTTAACGCGCTGCAGGGAACGCGCACCTCTTCTTGAGGTGATGGCGGTGCGTATCGGCCATTCAATGCAGGAGGATCAATTCTTCAGAGCGCCACTACCGCTCTTCGATAGCCACACGCCACGCCTGCGCTCCTGCTCCTTCACGTCGTTCAACTTCAATTGGGACACTGCCCTTGTCACCCAGCTACGTGTGCTCAAGTTGGGAGGGTATTGGAACGCGCAGTCTCCGTCGGTCGACGTCATTCTGAGGATCCTACGCGCGTGTCCTCTGCTTGAGGAACTTGCGCTTCGCAATATGTCCGACGTCGAAGCGGATTCGTGTTCTATGGCAGACTTCGACCCACCGGAGCAAGATAGCTTCGGCGAGCGATTAGTGCATGTGGCAGACGCAAGGCCAGTGCAGCTACCGCGTCTGGTGGAGGCTTCCTTCTACTATTGTGGCAACGTTCGCACCAGGACCCTCCTCAGCTTGCTGTCGTTCCCTGCACTGGAGCGCATCGAGCTATGTTTCCTGGACAACGTTTCTCCGTTGTTGGAACACTTACGGCGGCAGTCGCTAACGCGGTTACCATTGCGACATGTCCGCATCGAGTCCAGTTACTTCAACGAGATGAAGCTTGTCAGGCTGCTGAAGCGGCTTCCCGCGCTTACCAGTCTCGAGTTCGTGGATGCAGATGACGTCTCATCAAATCTTCTCAAGGTGCGTTCTGCGTTCCTAGCTTCCGCAGACAAGAAGCTAAACACGCGCATCACAGATCTTTGCCACGCCGGCGGCAACTCAAACATGGGTCTGCCCCAAGTTGACTAGCCTGTGGCTGGAAGGGTGCACATCGGTCGACTGGGAGGCTCTGCGAGCAGTTGTCGAGTCTCGCCTTCCCGCGCAATCTCGCGCGCTCCCACCGCCGAAACTATCGCGAGGTAGTTCGACGTCAAACAGCGCGCAACCACCTAGAACCTCGTCTTCTGCATCTGCCTTCGCCACTCAGGCTCAGATTCTGTCCCGAGTCCCCGCTGCTTCTTCGTCATCCGGATATGCCTCCTTGATAGGCCCCCGCCGTCTGGAATCCCTTAATCTGTCTCGCTGTCATCAAATCAGCAGGGAGATGGTCCAGTGGCTTCGCATGTACGTGGTCGATGTCAGGTGCGAACCTACGAAGGGTGTATGGGGAGAGCCGCTTCTGGCGTAACTATTTCTGAACGGACCTGCGCATCGGTGATATATCCGGTCCATTCATGATCGTATACCCAGGACGATACTCGCCATTTTGCTTTCTGATCGAGATTTTGTTTCGCATCTTCTGCTTTCTGTACCATGTTTTCTCATGCTATTTTGTTGCGATTCGACTGACCCCGCAAGGCACGTAAATATTGTAGTAATGTATCCATACAGCATGTACAGTCAGTGTACCTACCCCCGATTGATGATGATCGTACAAGTGTCGATTGCTAATTGGTGCTTCGAATTCTACACGTCACTGATCCGCTCGGCGGTCGTCGAGACGGACTGCGTCGAACGTGCCTTGACCTGTAGTTGAAGAGGTGCATAGTCGAGCACTCCTTCCACCCCTGTGCTCGCAACATCACTATGCCCTCTATTCTGATCATCAATCCAAACTCAACTGAGTCTATGACCAAAAGCCTTGAGTCTTTGGTGGACTCACTCGGCTTCAGTCAAGTGCGTTCGCTCATCTTCGTCATTCTCTGTGGTCTCATTATACGCGGGTACCTCAGACAAAGTATGGCTTCTTCACGGCACCATCGGGGCCGAAGAGCATCGACAATATGGAGGACGCGGCCGCGAGCACAGCCCACTGTTTGCCTCACCTGGAGCCCCTGCTCAGCCAATACGACAGCTTCCTCGTCGCATGCTACTCAGAACACCCACTCATTCCGGCCCTGAAATCACAACCCGCCGTCCTGGAGGGTAGGAAGCCCGTCACAGGCATCTTTGAAGCGAGCATCAGTGCCAGCCTACAGCTCGTTGGACCCAAACAGCAGTTCGGGATCATCACGTCCGGCAAGGCATGGGAGGTAATCCTCGCGGACTCAGTATACAAGTACCTCGGTACCGAGTCCAGCATCAAGTTCTCGGGCGTCGAGTCGACCGGGTTGAACGCGACGGATCTGCACAGCGGGTCCGCTGCTGATGTTGAGAGACGCATGCTCGAGGCGACGAAGAGGTTGGTGTGGAAGGGCAATGTAGGGGTAATCTGCCTTGGCTGCGCGGGTATGACGGGCTTGACCGAGCTCGTCCGGGAGGTCTGTTTGGCGGAATTGGGAGACGAAGAGGGCGGAGCGGTTAGGATCGTGGATGGCGTGCAGGCTGGGGTCGCATTTCTGGAGGGAGCTGTGAGGGCTCGGAATTGATTACTTTATACCTGGGCCTCGCTGATCTGGCTTATGTGAATCGCTGCTACATATGCTGCTGCAAAGCTAGAGTCTGCAACACTATATAGATGGGTACTTTGTATGGTGGAAGATTTGCCGGTGGGGGTGATCATGAAGACGCAGGTATGGTGTAGAGTGACTCAGCTCGGGGTGGATTGAAGCCGAACTGACTCGACTGCTTCACCCTGAATACACGCACCACGCCACAACTCTTCCGAGTCCCCGAAAACTCACTTGATACCCAACCGCTGCCACTGTACTGGTAATGGCGACTGTCACGCATTACATCTACTCGCACTATGATCCTAAACAACGCGATGAGCTTGAAAGGGCTACTGGGCAAGTCCCAGAGCCCTTAGAGCCGGAGGAGGATCCATGGCAGACCGAGTCGGCATTCGGTGTACAACGCCGCATCGCAGCTGCACCACACTTTGTGCCAGCGATCGTCTCCTACGATGAGATCAACAATATGATGGGAACGTCCCAGATAATCCCTACGGCCGTGGAGGAGAAGCCGAACGTTGAAGTGAGCAGCTGGTATAGGTCGCTGACCCGGTTCAGCAGTGCTCCCGTTGAAGACGACAAGAAGCCCATCGCTTCGACCTCCACCACGCCCGCGGGTCCTTCCATCCCAAATCCCTCTACATTCGTACCGTCTGCCCACCCAAAGCCTGTGAAGCCTACCAAGAACGACTGGTTCATCACCCGTGCGTTGCGCTCAGAACCACCGACCGGTCGTTCGACTCCCTCCACTCTCGCAGACATTCTCTCCAGAGATCCACCACCAGACACATCTGGCAAGCCATTCACGCCGCCTGTGTTTCTCCATCTTGGCCCTTCAAACAGAGGTTACACGATGTTGGAGAGGAGTGGTTGGAACGAGGGCGAGCCGTTGGGCGCCGGTGTGGTGAGGCGACCGCGAGAATCAGACGAGGATTCCCCGCCAAGGAGAGCTAAGCAGGGCAAGGGGAAAGCGGTCGTGAAGAAGGAACAGCGCGAGGTGAAGTGGGATCCAGACGGAGACATTAGCGAAATCCGCAAGGTGGACGTCATCGACCTCACTCTCTCAGATCCAGAGGATGAGCCCGAGGATATCAAGGACGAAGCTGACGAGGTCGACCTGCGACGTCTCTCCACGTCCTCCCTCGCGGAAACGGACCTACCCTCATCTCATAACCCGAAAGCACTACTTACGCCACTCCCGACTGTCCTGAAGTCGGACCGCCTCGGGATCGGATTGAAGGCGAAGACGGTTGGGCCTCACAAAGTGTCCAAGAAACGAATCACCCACAACCAAGCTGCGCTCGCCCAACATATCCGGGAGACTGAGGAGCTGCGTCGGATGAAGGCTCTAGTGGGACGGGGGTCAAGGGGACTGGCTCGCCTGGCAAAGGCAGAGACGGAGAGTAGACGAAGGCTGTTGGCCAGCCTCAATGACAGCTGATGCTACCGGTACGCCTGGGCTGCTACCAAACTCTCTTGTATAGATTTGACACTTCATATCTCGCCGCCTTACGCCGTCGAGTACTGACAGCGTCGTATCAAAGATGAGATCCATGGCCACATCTTAGTTCTCGTAAACCTGAAGCCTCCCGATGCTTGCAATGGAACTCCATGTGTTCATCGTGAAGAGCGACAACACTGCCATTAGTAGTGCCTCTGACGCCTCTGACAGCGACACGACGGGAATTTGGCATAAGTACTCCGATACAAACAGACTTCCGCACGCAATGCGGCGACTTGCGCCTTGTCATGTCCTTGACTCGATCTCGACCTATCCATGGTCTAAATCTCCGAATATTAGATTAGAACGAGCGTGTGTTACAGCAGGTACGGGGCGCAAGCAACGGAGTGGCGAGAGGGGGACCGACAGATGTGAATAACGAGGGACGACTTCCAACAGAGCACCGATACCAGAACGAGCGAATACAGCGGGGATAGGTTAAGAGATCCTGCATAGTGTGTACGGGTGGAGATAGCAGTAGATTGCGGGCGATTACTAGGATGGGATATGCGGTTGAGATGACGGAACGGAGAAATGGTTAGACGGGGCTGACAGGCATGTTGGACCCATCGTAAGAGAAGCCTAACAGTGATGGTCAGCCCGGCAAAAGCCATGAAGTGAGGCGCAGGCAACGTACCAGCGAACTGTGCCTGAACGGTCTGCGAGAGCTGAGAACCCTCAACGACACTGTCCATGGGAGCTTCAGTCGTGAACACGGTGTCGAAGTTGGACACATCCTGCACGATAATCAGCACATCGTACGTCGACCCGTTATCTGTCGGAGGCACATACCACAGGACTGGTGACGCTGGGTTTGAAAGGCGGTTGGATCTTCTTCTGCACGAGCTTCTCAAAGTCAATGTTCTTCGCGAAGAAGGGGTGCTTCCGGATCTCGTCCGCGCCGTTGAGACCGAGACGCTGCGTGGGGTCGCGCGTCAGAAGACCTGTCAAGATGCTCCGTGCCTGCGAGCCAATCTCGTCGCCAAAGACAAGGGGGCTGGTGAGGATCTTCTGATACATTTTATCCGTGACCTCTGTGTCCTTGTCAGCTAGTTATAACATGTTGAAAGTGGATGCACCGACCATCGTAGAACGGAGGGAGACCGGAGAGCATCTCGTACAAGAGGACGCCCAGCGTCCACCAGTCGATCGTCTTGTCTACACAATGACGTCAGCCTTGCCATGTCATTTAATGTGCTGCATACTCACTGTATCCGTGCCCACTCAAGATCTCCGGCGCAAGGTACTCTGGCGTCCCGCAGAACGTGTTGGTGGTGTCGGAGTCCTTCATGTTGAGCTTGCACAGCCCAAAATCACAGAGCGCTATGTGACCCGTGTAGTCAAGAAGAATATTCTCGGGCTTCAGGTCACGGTAGACAACGTCCAGCTCGTGAAGGTGTTCGAGTGCCAACAGCAGCTCGGCACTATAGAAACGACTGCGCTCCTCGTTGAATCGCTGCTCGCGCTGCAGATGGTGGAACAGCTCTCCGCCATTCACGAAAGCAAGAACGAGGTACAGCTTCTGCTCCGACTGGAAGCTGAACTTGAGCGGTACAATGAACGGGCTGTTCACCCTCGCGAGCACCATTCGCTCCGCGAGCGTATGGGTGATCTCACCGCGCTCGACGATGTGCTGCTTCCGGAGCGTCTTCAGGGCGTAGATGCGCGACGTGTCGCGTTTTCGCACTTGCATCACTTTCCCGAAGCTGCCCTTCCCGATGACGGTAATCAGCTCGAAGTCGTCGATCGTGAGCGAGTGCCCAGAGCTCGGCTTGAATGCTACTCCGATTTGAATTTTGCCAGCGCCGCCGGCAAGCTCATACCACTGGTCATCTGGGGAACTGTCCTCGAAGTCAGGCGTGAACCGCACACCGCCCATGAAGATGTCATTGCCCATGTCGTCGGCAATTCCGTCCCCGCCGCGCTTCGGCTCCTCTGCTCTGAGGTAGCATTGGATCGAGATCTCCGAGTGTCGTGACACGTCGCTGGGAACACTTCAGGGGAGGAGACAATGGAAGCATGAAAGGGACTCACAAGTTGGTCTCGTACATGTACAGCGGCTTGGACAGGTCTCCCCCGAGTGGTGTGATCAGCACTTGGTTGACCTCGAATTCCATGACCAGGTAGGGAAGCCACCAGCACTGCTGCCTCTGCACACTGTCTCTGTTACTCTTCCTGTTCGCGAGGCGATGCTGTGTGACACTCGAGGGCGACACAGACGCGGCGAGCTTCGCCTGCGCGGAGGACAGCGCAGCTTGTACCGCTGGCGGCATACCTTGGCCAGAGGGCAGCGCAAGGCCCTCCGCCCACAGGACCCGGATGGCAAGGAGGCCCGAGCGCGACAGAGAGTCGCCATTGGGGTTGCCAGGCGTCGGTGTGGTCGAGCGTGCAGCACCGTCATTCACGGACAGAGCGTTCGCGGACGGGCGCGGCTTCTTACCAATACCTCTCCAAGACATGGTTGGGGTTCCTGGGGTTCCTTGGTTCCAAGAGACAGATGTGAGAGGGTATAGAGCAGAAAGGAAACCGAGCACAGCTCTGGTCGAGGGTGGGTGGAAGAGAGAGGCTATGCGGATGTGAGATGCTGATCCTTGACCGCATTCGCCTGCCTCGCCTGGCCATCCCGATAAGGCAACCCCGGTCGATAGGCGCACGGTACCGTTCCTCAGTCGGTCAGAATGAAGGACTGGCAACCGTCAGACGAGTATCATGCGGGAGAGACTGATGTATGACTCTCGTGTCTAGAAAACCACCAAAGAAGCCCCGCTTGGCGAGGGCGCGAAGGGTCCGTACGTATTAATTGATCAGACCGTGACGTTAGGGAGCTGCAGGAGTATATGCCACTAGCTAGAGACATGGCAGGGTACGCAGCTGCGAGTGCATTGATGTTAATCGACGCTGTCCAACCGAATAATTGAGCAACTGCGTCACTCAGCGATGTTGTAGTGCTTGTACTTAGCACCGCACATGCAGAGGGCATATAGTGGATTGTAGGTCACATGACAAGTCACTCAAGGCTTCAGCCTTCATTATCATTGGGGACGTTGGCGACGTAAGTAAGTATCTCGTTGGAACTTACCGACGGACATGAACTGCCGTAGCATCAGTATCGGCGTGTATAAACCTGGATCAGAGTCACTTTGACGTCCATAAAAAACAAAACTGAATAAGTTACAAACAATCCCGGGCGAGAATGACTCTAAAGAGCCAGTGAACGGAACCTCTATTCTCACTCGTTGTGTACTGGCTGATATCGATCAGAATCTCGAACTAGCAGTAATATAAGGCTTGCAACCGTGCTGATGCCCTATAAGCGCAAAGGACCGTTCTCCCCCGTCAGCGAGCATTGCTGAGGAGCACGTCACGTCCACATACCGCAATTACCCAGAACACAGCTTGGGGTACAGTGGAGATGGTACTCAACGAAGCAAGAATATGAGTACTTCAATCGGGGCACTATGTCAAGAACTCACGCTGCCATCAAGGTGCCCAGTATGATGGACGACAATAGCATACCAAAGCCTGAGGACATTTCAATAGCCGCCAGCGCTGATGCTACGGGATATGTCGCGCATGAGTACAACTTGTCTTCTATTATACCACGATATACTTACCGTGGTCTTCTGGCGGAACGGTAGATACAGCTAGACTGCGGAGAACAGGGCCGCGTCCGACTGAACAGCCATATAGGACGATGGCTGCATCGATTTCAGTGCTTAGCTTCTTCACTAGATGGCCAGCAGCAACTTACATGCGAGTTGGAGGCCCCGTCCCGTCGCAGCGGTCAATAAGAGCAGAGCGGCGACCTGAATGATTAGGGACCCGATGACAATGTGCACGTCCATTTCGTCAGTTACTTCGCTGACACTCTCCGAATCCGACGTCGTTGACAAGTGGGTCGCCTTCAAATAGAGTGGCCGTAGTAAACGCCGGACGAGTAGCGGTATTATCAGAGTCAGGACCACGACGTACGTTAACGTCAGGGTGGTCAAGACGTATCCTGTCTACAAAAACATCTAGTACGACATTGACTAGATCAGTATAGAACACTCACCTCTTTCGGCGAATAGTCGTATTTGGTAGTAAGATACACCATCAGAGCAGGCAATACGTGGCCTTCCCCCAGTCCGGCGATGAATATATGAATTGCACAGTACAGGAGCCGCAGATTGAGCCTCCCAGTGGAGTGGTCACGGGTTGGCCGAAGGGTTTTCAACGGGAGGAGGGCAGCGACTACGACGCTGCGACAACAGCGCAGAGCCGCAACTACGATGTTCTCCGTCTGAGCGCCGTCGTCCGATCGCGGATGCGAGACCTCCACCCCTTGCGCCTTTTGGTGTGTTTCAGGAATAAGGGTGATGACGTAGATGAAGTTTACACATTGCAGGCCGAGAGCAACATAGTACACCGGGGCTGTAGCGTTATAGCGTGTGGTGATAGCGCCCCCGATAGAAAATGAGAGTGCACCGCCTGGTCGATTCGGTTTCAGATACATACAGGCAACAGGCAAACGAGAAATTCCCTACCCAGCGTTGCCCAGCCAGAGATCTTGCTGAGAGCAGGCGTCCTATACGGGAATCAGCCTTCAACGAGGGATGCGAATTGCACGTAAGCGCACCTCTGTTCTGCTGGCACAAGGTCTACAACATATGTATTCATAAGGAAGACAAAGACAGTGACGGTTGCGATGGATTGACACAAAAGCCACAGAAGCAATGCGAATACCTCGACTGCGTCTGGGATAATGGCCGTACTCAACATCGAGACGTCCGCACAGATTCCGACAGCTATGACCGTCAGAATAGCTGGCTTCCTTCCGATATTGTTGGCTATGGAGCTCAGAGCACTGTAAGCAATCAGAGCTAAGTTAACATCAGCTCAAGGACACGTAAAATGGCGGATAAGCTCTGTACTCACATGCGAGCCCCTCAACGATGGCTGTGACCATCAAGGCAGTGGTGAACCTCTGCTCTACGGCAGGGATAGTGCAGAGCGCGTTCGGGATGGGGCCGTCCGAAGGTATCTTGTTGGGGTCATTGGTCAAGTACCACCAGCGGCAAACGATCTTGCGAATTGCGTCGATGACGGTCGTCATTGGAAGGTATGCAGCAAGTTGGAATAGAACAGCGACAGGTGTGATGAGCACGATGGGCGAAAACCGTAGAGATAAATTCCGCGATGGAACTCCCGCTGCAGCGTCATCCGGAGGATGTAGCAGCGGTGTTGTCTCGAGAGGATCGGCTGGTGAGTTAGAACGAGGAGACGCGCCAGCAGCAGGAGCCTCGTTAGTCTGGGTGCTCATATTGATGACTGACTATATGTGTAGGCTAGAAGTTAGTAGAGGGAAATGAGTGGACGCGAGTTGTGGTGCACGAGCTTGTATTTATGAAAGGGAAGGGAAGGAGATAACGGACTGCGAACGCAGCACGCACAGCGGATGTTCGAGCTCGTGTGGACCTTGTGCACTGGCAGCGTGTTGGCTCGAGCGCAGGCACTCGCAATCTGTTCGCTATTCCTGTCAAACGATATCATAAGTCAATACAATCCTGCTGATAGCCTGCGCGGGGGATACCTCAGTCACAGGGCAATCGGGTGCATGGGTTGAGTGAGACCTTGACTATTGAAGAATTGGACCACGCTATATGCTTGTATGAGGGACTACGCAGCCCTTCGAAACGCGAACAGAGAGCACGCTGTGCTATAGCAAGTGCGGGTTTTGTCCGGTTGGTAGCGTTTCGATAAGTATGCCGCTCTGAGGCGGAGCTAGTGCCAGTGTCAGCGCTCGAACTTCACATGCGCTTAAGTACAACCGCGCCGCCCTCCGCCCCGAAATAGAAGGCTGGACGCCATCTCGTGACCGACGCGTCCTCAAGAACGCGCTCTGAGCTCTCCGAGTTGTGCGCCGTTCGACGCTGGATGTCCTGCAATTGTAGGCAATTGCTAAAAATTCACTGAAGCTGCCACTTCATGGGCGGTGTTTAAGCTCCAGCTCAAGTTTGGCGTGCATGGACAGTTGAGACTCACACTATTCACGATGTCGACGTCAACCCGGGCTCCCCAGCCTAGGCTAGTAAGGACACACCTGCACTGCGAACTGCTGCATATGTCTCTGCGGGTCCGGAAACACACGGCAGCCACAATCGTCAATCAGCATCCTACCGCAAAGATCCCAGAGCTACGTACCAGTCTGCAATCATTTGTGTTGCGACTATCCCATATGATATTCAAGTTCGGGGCTGCCTCAGGCATGCTTCAGTCTGACTGGACTCTTTTCAATGCATCAAAGAAGTTCTTGATCAGCTAATAGAATTGAAACACTCAGCTCACAGTTTGCGACGGACTCGACGGATGGTCTCAACGCTAGCCCTAGGCCTGAGGCCTCTCAGCAGACAGCCGGTATTGTCCACAAATTCCGGGTCTTGAAGGCTCTGTGTCCTTCGTTCTCTCTAAAAAAGCGCTGCTGGAATAATGACTGGAGGGTCACACTCCGAGCCGTTCAGAAGACCCTTGTGTCTTGACTCTGAGATCCTTCAGTTCGAGTCGAGCAAAGGCTTTGAATGGTGGTCAATTGATGTAGACGCCCGAATAGGTTCCAATAAGTACTTTACGGCGGATATCTCCATAAATGGCAACTGGTAAAACCCACCTGCCTGCTGAAGTCATCCAGACGCGTCACGCGTCGCGGGCGTACGCGTCCACTCGAATCGTTTCCCGTCTCCTCCAAAGGCGTCCTCACGACTCGACCCTTCTTCCCGACCGCCCTTCACTCCCTCTTCTTACTGTCATGGCTTCGACACAACCCCAAACCCGCCGCCAGGCAACAACAATGAGAAGGCACCAGATTCTACACCATCGTCCTCGGAAGCACCACAGGACGCTATGGACATCACTCCGGACCAACCTGCCGAAGAGACATGGGCGGACATCCCTGAGGAGATCATATCCTTGAGCACGGACGAGATCCTTACACGAATACGTCTCATCGACAATGACTTGAAGGTCCGTCCACACAGACTTCGCGTGTAGAGCCTGACGCTCAGGGAACCTCCAGGTGATGCGCTCGGAGACGTTACGTCTGCAACATGAGCAGAATGTCATGAAGGAGAAGATTCGGGACAATGGGGAGAAGATCAAGCAGAATAAGGTCTTGCCTTACCTTGTGGCGAATGTAGTCGAGGTACGGCCGCTCAGTCACCTTAGTAAGGCTATCAGCTAACGGAAGCAGATTCTGGACGTCGACCCTGAAATTGAGGAGGACGGCGCGAACCGAGACCTTGACTCTATGCGCAAGGGGAAATGCGCTGTCATCAAGACCTCGACACGACAAACCGTCTTCCTCCCGCTCATCGGTCTCGTCCCGCCCGAGAAACTCAGACCCGGCGACCTTGTCGGTACCAACAAGGATTCGTATTTGGTGCTTGACACGCTCCCGGCGGAGTTCGACTCGCGAGTGAAAGCAATGGAGGTGGACGAGCGGCCGACGGAAACCTACACCGACATCGGAGGGCTGGAGAAGCAGATCGAGGAGCTGGTCGAGGCGATTGTCTTGCCAATGGAGCAAGCGGACAAGTTCAAGACGCTCGGCATCAAGCCTCCGAAGGGCTGTCTCATGTATGGTCCTCCCGGTGCGTCAGTCTCGGCGACGTCTGGTCGCGGTCCGCTCACCTTTGTATCGTAGGTACTGGCAAGACGCTTCTCGCGCGTGCGTGTGCGGCCCAGACCAACGCGTGCTACTTGAAGCTCGCCGGACCTTCGCTCGTACAAATGTTTATTGGTGACGGTGCCAAGCTCGTGCGGGATGCGTTCGAACTCGCGAAGGAGAAGGCACCCACGATCATCTTCATTGACGAGCTAGATGCTATCGGTACCAAGCGGTTCGATTCGGAGAAGAGCGGTGACCGTGAGGTGCAGCGGACAATGTTGGAGCTTCTGAACCAGCTAGATGGCTTCAGCAGTGATGAGCGCATCAAGGTAAGAGCACAGTTCCTGTCTGTGCCTCGCATCACTGACCGTCCGAGCCAAGGTCATTGCCGCGACGAACCGCATTGATATCCTCGACCCTGCTCTGCTTCGGTCAGGCCGTCTGGACAGGAAGATCGAGTTCCCGCTCCCGAACGAGACTGCCCGTGCGCGCATTCTGGAGATCCACTCACGGAAAATGTCCGTCTCCTCTGACGTCAACTACGAGGAGCTTGCCCGTAGTACCGACGAATTCAACGGTGCACAGCTGAAGGCAGTCTGCGTGAGGCCGGTATGATCGCCCTGAGGGAAGGTGCGACGAAGCTGAACCACGAGCACTTCCTGGGTGGTATAGCTGAAGGTGAGTCCGGAGCACTGTGTTGCACCTGCTTTTAGACGCAGTACTGACATCTTTACCATAACAGTCCAGAGCAAGAAGAAGAACGACCTTGTCTATTTCATGTAGTCCCATTGTGTTTGCTCTCGTACGGTACAGTCTTGATACATTTTCTCTCTTTGATATCGCGGACCCACTCGTATTCAGTGCCATCAGTATTGGCCCAGAGAGGTTACCTGGTCACTATGAGTAGACAAGATCAGCAGTGCACGTCCTGGGCATGAGCGTAGTCGATCAAACTGACCAGCCTAGAGTTCACGTTCAGGCTCAACCTGCTCTATGTGAGACAGGACTAGCTACGCTATGTAGAACGACCGGAAGGAAGACGTCCTTTACAAATCTTTCACGGAACTGGGCACGATGCTCCTGAATCAACAGGTTGAGTCTACAAGCAGCAGGAGTTTTGGGCCGTAATCGGTTCGGTTTGCTTACATCCACGACTGCTGTGAATCATGATCACAAGCAGCCGAGCGGTTTACGAGCATTCCATCAACCACTGCTTCACCGCGCGGGGTCTTGCCAGACCTCGGAGGCACAGCGACCTCGCGTAGAGACACTCCACCATAGGTTCATGGTGCCGAGTATCATATCGATATCGGCGCAGGAAGGACTACCTACTGGGCGTTGCATTCGCGTATCCTTTCATTCGGAAACCTTGGACGATCATGCAGGTACGTGCGTACCAGAATATCTACCGAATACATCACACGATCATAGTAGCAGCAGAAACCAACATGCATGTACATCTCAGGGAGAACCAGTTGCACCATTCGCCATAGCATACAACGTCTCCTTGTCGCCGCTCTCATCAACAAGTGCGCGAAGCATACCACGTTCGTTCTTCAGGAGTTCGCTAGGTTTCCCGAACTCCGCCTATTGAAAGTCATCAACATTCATGTTTATGATCGGAACATGTAGGTCACGTACGATTCGGCCCGCATCGAGCACCATCTGCACCAGACTGTATGAGCTGCAAAGTAATCTGAAAGATAGGACAACTGACGATTTTGTCGGCATCCATGATGGTCTGCAGACGATGAGCGACAGTGAGCAAAGTCACGCCCTTGTCAAGTCCTTCGCGTAACGATGCCTGAATCACAGCATCCGTTGCATAATCTCAAGGCAGCGCTGTCAGCATTTCTCTGAACCACGCTCTCACAAACTCACCAATCGCGGACGTAGCTGAGATAGCGACAGTGGTTAGATGTCTGATACCGCTTGGAGCACATCACCGACCTTCGTCCAGGATCAGTAGCTTGCTCTGCCGCACAATGGCTCTCGCTAGAGCCAAGATTTGGCGTTGGCCAACGGACAGATTAGTTCCTCCACTCGCGATGGGAGTGTCGAGAGTAATGCGGCCCTCGATGAGGTCGCTTTGTAACGAGAACAGGCCCGCAGATCTTAGCGCGTCGTTCAAGACGGTATCATCATACTGCTGGAAGGGATCCAGATTCTGACGTAGCGTCCCACTCAACAGCTCTGGCTGATGACGAAGTCAGATTACGCGAGTGAGACACCTGAATGGCACATACCACTTGCGGGATGATTGTGATAGTCGATCGGAGAGCGTCCAAGTTGATGTTATCCGTCGGTAGCCCGTCGTAATACACCTTGCCTTCGGTGATGATGCATCGTAGCAGTGCCAAAGTCAAAGAGCTCTGAGAGCGTAGCATCAGCAGTCGAACGCCTGATACTCATACCACGGGGCCTACCTTGCCACTACCAGTGCGGCCGACTGATGGTTATATGAGTGACGTATCCTTGCGCACTCTACTTGCACTCACCTATGCCAACTCGCTCCCCTGATCTCACCTCGAATGAAATCTCATGCAAGACGCGAGGTCCATCCTAGACCAACTCAATACGCGCCCACCCGGGAAACCAACACAGGACACACCGGAGAGTATCGAGCGGAGAGCTTATCGACTACAAGTCTCCGCTGGCTGGCCAATATGCGGGTGGAACACCTTCGGGTGTAGGTTTGGGCTCGTGCTCGATCTCAAGGTATTGCTTGATGCGCTCCAGGCTGTGGTCATGGTCAGAGGATTTCTGATCTCATCTTCAATCTCGCACCTGTTGCCTGGAAATATCGAGAATGATCAGAGACCGCGTTCAGTCAATAACTTGAGACATACCTGATATTTCCAATTCATTGAAGAACCTCACCCACCATAAAATCATGCTGCTGAACCCGACTGTGTAGACGTCAGCATAGAATGTGAGGACCAGCATGAATATCCCTGACCTGCCATGTTCAGGGAGAATCCAGTGTTGGATGCGGTGATTGCCTTCCCGTATACCAAGTAGGCAGCTAAAGCCGCAGAGAAGAACGATCCGAGGGAAGTAATACGGATGCCCACCCAGCTATTGAAAACATCAGGGTGCCTGACTACATAAAGGTAGTGTTCAACGCACCGATTGAGGTTCCAGAATGTCCTTGAAGCCCGAGTATATCGATTGATACGCACATACGACTCTTTTTTGAACGCCTCCTGCGCACCATATGCACGGATAGAGACTGTCTAGGCGATTAGTAATCTCCCTGCTTGATAGAACGACACATCGCGTACTGAGACCTGCAAAAGCGGCTCCGAAGTGGCCGAGAACTGGAGCCTTCGCATTGCTTCTTTCACGTTTGATCGCGAGTTGCGCCTTCATGTAGAACTCGCCAATCCAGGCACCGACGGCGGCAATGAAAACACCAGGGACGACGAAGATCGGGGATATCACCACCACCACACCAAGCTTCATGAGCATCTCCAACGACATCTCCACGATGGTACTGAACCATCTTGCCACGGAAGCGTCGACTGCGTCGTGTTGCTCAGTCTAAAACCCATCACATGCAGGAGAGAAACGTACCTTCTTGGATGTCCTGGGTACATCGAGCGATAATTCGAGATGTGGGTGTTTTGTCAAGCCATCTACAAAATTGTCATGACGCGTCACGGCAGTAAGTTCCACCTGCTTACCTCATTGTCGTCGCCAGAATTGAAGATATCAGGTCATCGTGTACGGTTCTTGATGCTCTCAGCGACCCAAATGTGTATACATAGTAGGCTGCCGTGTGGAAAAGGACTGATATGATCATGATCGACCCGTATCCCCCGAGGAAGCTGAAAGATGATGAGGCGGTGCAGCCTCAGATTATCTTTGAGAACATACTGTGGGACTTTGATTTCGGACGCAGGCATTTCTTCGTACTGTCGAGCCCAATATCCAAGGAACCAAGTTTGCAGGATGCTGAAAGTCATGTAAAAAACTAACCCTCCAAGGAAGCTCAGCCAAAAGAAGAGTTGATGGCTCCCTCCCAATGCATGCATAAAGAGTTTCACTGATACGCTGTCACTAACAGTTGATAAGAAGAGAATACTAAGACGTACTTGCTTGCCAACCGGCATGCCCGACTTCGACTTCTTCTTCAACAACAAGTTTGCCATCCTCCTTCGGGGCCTTTTCCGGGGTCTGCTCGTCAACGGTGGCTTCCGCTTTCTCGAGTTCCAGCTCCTCCTTAGCAAGTTCAGCGGCGAGTTTCTTGTCGTGTGCAAGAGCATTAGCAATGGAGCCTTGACTAGACACTCTACCATCTGTGCCCAGGGCAACAACAAAATCGGCGATGGGACTAGCCATAGAGACATTATGCGTCTATCGCTCATGGGATCAGAAGAGTCGAGAATCCAGAATGAATGTGTACTCACAACGAGTAGCACCGTTCGCCCACGGACAAGATCACCCTTGAAACATTTCTCGACGATCCATCGTGACGTGTGAACGTCTAACGCAGCGAGAACCTATCAAAAAGTTCAGTCTATGGAAAGGAAACGTTGATGCATGTCTTTCACATCGTCCAACAGCAGTATCTGCGACTTAGAGTATATGGCACGGGCGAGTGTTATGCGCGCCTTTTGCGTATGTGAGTATGGTATGAACGACCAAGCACAACACTGCATACCTTCTGACCGCCACTAGCATTCAAAGAGTCAGCGAATGTCGAGGGTCGCAATAACAGATGTGACAGTACCTCAGTGTGATGCCCCTTTCTCCAACCTCCGTCTGGTCACCAGCAGCGAACAACTCGAGATCGCGTTTCAGCGCACATTGCTCAATGACTACAGCAGTTAGTATACCATCGAGCGTGTACAGCATGCTGTCTCAACACACCCTGTTGATAACGTTCCTCGTTCAATGGGGCGCCGAAGAGAATATTGTCCTATTCAAAGCTAAGCAATACCATCGTCATTCTTGCGACGTGTCGCTTACCTTGATGGTTTCATTCTGACCCAGGACTCTTGCGCGGCGTAAGCAATACCATCAGTCCGAGGTAGATTGTAGAACGAATCAGGACCGGCGGGTATGTAGTGCATCTCGCCCAGCAAAGCCATCAACAAGGAGGTCTTTCCCGAGCCAGTCGGGCCAATCACGAGATTGATACTGCCTTTCCTGAACACCAGGTCGTCGTCGATACGCAAGGTAAAATTCCTTCGCCCGCTTCCAGGGGTTGAAGCCGCTAAGCCGCTGACTTGATCTGCCCAGGTGAAGGAAGCATTGCGGAAACCAATGACGTCGTCTTCCGGCTGCGCTGCGATCTGAGTCTGGATATCATCAGGTTGCTCAGAGTATTCATCCAGTAGTTCGGTCTGTCGCGCAAGTTGTTTCTGTCAGTCACCGCTATGGAGTGGAGTAGAGAAGGCCAACCTTCTGCAAAAACTCATTCACTCGGTCCAGCGACACCTTAGCTGTGTTGCAGAATGTCAACAATCTGATGCCTCTCTATGGTTCATGGACTTACCTCGAATCATCATAGGCACGAAACCAAAGCCCATATGCATCAGCTGGCTGAAAGTATCGAACACTGCATACATGTCAGCATCGTGCGTTCCGTTGGGGTCGCCACACATACCCGTGATAGATGAGAAGACAGCAGACGCTGTGAGACGATGTGAGAGATGCGTGCACGGGGTTAGCAATTGCTTCACCTGTAAGATCTCGCTTCATGATCATGGTCTGGAAGCCAAAGTCAATTGATAGTGTCCATATCTCATATATTCCAACTGGACTCACGTATGTCGCGTAGGTCACGATCATGGTGACCAAAGGAATGGCGTGGCTTGAGACTAGTCAGACTAAGCTCGGAAGGTCGCAGACACTCCGTGTACGCACTTTAGGTTATTGTTGATGAGGTCGAGCAACTTGCTTTTCTTCACGAGCTCCAGTTCGTCCTCACGTTTCTCAGCCAGTTGCTTCCCAACTCGGGGCTCCCAGCCAAACAATTTGATCATACGGATGACGTTCATGGCTTTACAGGAAAGGAATCAGCATGTGCACCAAAGTAGTGCGCTATAATGCTCACTTTCTGTCGCGCTCTGCACACGTGCATCGGTCTGGGGCGGAGCGTGTCAGTCACGCGCAGGCACGAGCGAGAAGGAATGAGTGATACCTTTTCATCTTCGCTATCTGGACCTTGCGAATGCGTGTTGCAATCATACCGGGGACAGGGAACAAGAGGACGATGGAAGCAAGTCCCACAAACGCACTATGCGCCTAGTCAGTCTACTGTGTTTGCTCCTCATGACGTGTGGCCACTGACCTCCAGCCCAAGACGGCGTACAAGAACCATACGCAACAAATGATTTCGACGGGAAGCTTGACCACTGCGACGCAATACAATTGTTGAGCAGCACAATAACCGGCATATGCCAAACACGCACGGAGGGTCAAGAACTCCCTACCCCAGGCGAGAGAGGTGAGGTCGGACGAGATGAGGTTATTGATCTTCCCGACGACGTTCTTGCCCTTCTTGTCATCGTCTGCTGGCTTTGCCTTCTCCTCCCTCCCAACAACTCTGTTGGCGTCCGCATTCTGTGCAGCCACGGGAACCGTCTGTGTCGTGGATTTCTGCTTTCCCTTGCCCGCTGCGGAGTCGCCCTCGCTGTCGTTACCATTTTCCTGAGCTGTTGGAGCGGTAGCGCTCGATTCAGCGTCGGAAGCCGTATCGGGCGTGCCGGCAACGGTCGTGTCACCTTCACTTTCAGCAGGATCTTGCGATACGTCTGCCTTCATGCGCATGCGCAGAGCATGCTCAAAGACGACTTGTGTGATGATCGCCTCCACTTGAGTTAACACTCTGTTCTGCACATGTTACGATGAGCAGTGGTGAAGGAGCGAAAGCGGTCGACGCACGGAGAGGTATATGTACACAGAGCCGAAGTTGTATTCGAGGATCGGTCCGAGAAGCAGCATCACGATCCAGAACCAGGGCCGGACGGTGGCGCCTGCGCCGTCCGTCTCGACGTACCTGTGGACACGTCAATAGACTAGACACGAGAGTACAGATTGTTTAGCTTGCATCAGGATATATCGAATAGTCAGCGGGCCGATGAACTCTAAGATAGTCTGTCGAATGCAATGTAAGCCTGCTTGGGTGTGTTTATTCAAGGCCACTACAAACGCACGCCAAAAACGGTCGCGATGGTCATGACGATCCACTCCATTCCTGTTCGAGGTTCATCAGCATGCATGCATGCGCGGAGATAAGACACGTTTAAACATACGGAAGACACGCAGGAGACCCCACATAAGATGTCTGCCCTTCGTCTTCACTCGGAACGGGTCGATTTCCTTCAAAGCTCGTCAGCAGACAGGTAATGAGTCTCAAGACGATGGACACACATTCAGACTGCGCTTCATGAGATTTTGCGCGTCGTCAGAGTCGGCCAGAGGAGGCAGCATGTCAATGGTCAGGTGTTTGACGCGCGACGCAAGCATGACCGTCGGGTCAAGGTAGCTAAACAGCATGAGTGACAGGATAGAAGCCGTTTGCTCCTTGGGCTGGTTCGCCCATGGATTCTACACGCCCATTAGCTGTCTACTCTCTCGTCTAGTTCGCGTCGCATTACATTGACATACCTCTGGATCGAGAGAAATGTAGCGCCGAGGGATCATGAGGGGCACAAAGATACTACTAATGGTCAAGAGTGAGATCCTGGCCCAAAGTAGAGGGCCCTCTGCGAGATCCATGGGCTGTAACGTGAACGTCGCCAAGGGCCAGAGATCGCGGTACGCGTAGACCGACAACGCAGTGAACAGAATACAGTTCAGGTGGCGAACAGCCGTCGTACTTAGGACGGGACCAGCAAGCAGCGAGGTGATGCCAAGCGCTGATGCGTACACCTGGACAATACAGTTAGCATTGTCGTACGTATGAGAGCAAGGCGGACGGTCGCTCACGTAGGTAACAAAAGTGCCAACGTGGAAGATGATCTCGAAGCTCTGAGGCTCCCAGGTTTCAGAGTGGCCCAGGGACTCGGTCGCGCTGTAGATGGACATGCCCAGGAGCCCCAGGGTTGACGCGGCACGCAATCCATTGAACGCGACGAGGACGACGCCCCCGTGTTCCTTGACGTATTTTACCGATGCAGACGCGTTTTCACTCTCTTCTGGAGCATGGAGAGGCTCAGATATGGGCGAGGGTTCGGACTGAGCAAGCTTTGCGTACGCCTTTTGGGTACGAACATGCAATGCCAACTGTACCAGGAATACAAGGATCGACAGCGCAGCGACTCCAGCAGGGTAGAGTAGCGTAGATTCCGCGAAACTACGTTTGTTGTGAGCTTAGAATATGTTACGAGTGTGTAGGTTGAACATACTCGATTTCGCCTCGTGCCGCAGTCAGCATGGACAGACTGTGGTTGCGGGCCCTCTGCACGTGAGCGAAGACATACTGAGCAGGTCCTGGTATGCTTGGTATGCTCGTGGACCAGTAACTGAAGAGCTGATCTCTCCCCATGTCCATTTTGCCTGGAAGGCAAGACACTTGAAGGAGGTGGTGGAGGAAGAAGTGACACAACCAACGATGACTGACCAAGGGTCTATGTACCGTTACAAGCGCGCGCAATTGTTCTAAGGTGTCACTGAGCATCTCGATCTGTCAAATGAAGACGCTTGCTAGTCTCGCGTGGACAGAGAAGACAATTCCTTCAACCTCCGCCGGCTCCGGATATCTTTGTCTAACACGCTTGCCGGCTTGTATGGCATGCAACGGAAACTACGTGGTTGTGAGATATGCACTCATCTCCATTAAGAACTTGGCCGTCGTACCTTGCTCGTCGACACCGGTTACCTGGCTGCTATAGTCCGAGCAGTGCACATCCTGGGCATGAGCGTAGGCAATCATATTGACCAACCTAGAGTTCAGGCCTCAGGCTCAATCTGCCCTGCGTGAGACAAGCTAAGTACGCTGAAGTGAAGCTGCCTCCGTGAGTGCTAGCAAGTAGCGCATGATTGGCGCTGCGATATAACCTGATGGAAGTCGGTGCGATTGGCATAAGCTGACAGAGCTGTAGCCTGTAGGCAGATTGATTGTGCACACGGGTGCTTCTGTGCTCCCGGCGATGAGAATCGAGTGAATCAGGGCGGTGAGCGCACCCCCTCGTGGGAATACCGCCTCGGGGACGAGCCGGCGAGCCATAACAGGAGATCGAGGATGGACGTGGACTATCGATAGTGTCCCCGGCATCATCTTGTAGTCGGTCGTGCACTGTCGCGCGTGGTGGGTCGCGTCGTAAATGATCACAGTCGGATCAAAGAGGTCCCAGTGTGGTACATGCAGCAGAGTAATTGTTTCTTAGCCTGACTGTCTCCGAATCTGTATGTTTCAAGACCCAACATTTGAACATACTGAAATACTGCGGTGATCACTGTTAGTAACCTTTGAATTTGAGTGCTAGATTGATCTACACACCTTAAACACATTTTAGGAGCTATTACGGGGCGCATAGTCACTCGTTATTTGGCAAAAACAAATAGTTTCCGTCTGGCGTGCACTGTGCCGCGTGCGATGTCCATTCAGCTGCGCAGCGTCTAATTCCCAGTCGCCCGGTTCGTCCCCGAGGCGGTATTCCCACGAGGGGGTGCGTACCACCTGGCAGTGGCTGGCACGCGGGCGCTGCGCGCCAGCGTGCCCCTTGAGGCCGAGTCAAGGGGCCGGCGCGGCGTGTCTTCTGCACTATTTCAGCGCATTCGCCGTATTCGATACTCGCCTTCGTACTGACACCATATTGTACTCTAGTACACAGACAAAGTTATGAGTTATCTCAAATTGGACACAGTCTAGTTATTGCCGCAGAGCAGTATTTCTGTGATGACATTCTCGAAGTCCATTTCTTTTACTGTAGGTGCACTGCCGCACGTTTGACTGACCTACTGTAAGGTATATGCATGTCAAACTTCATAGAAGACTGCCCTCCCCTCCATCAAAGAGGTCTTTAGGGCCTGAGGCGAAGGGAGACGTCTAGACTACTTAGTGGCGATAGTACTGTGTGTCCTTAATAGGGTAGCCCGAACCTCCCCCGATCGCATTCCCACGGAGGGGGGTCTGTACCAGTGGGGCCAGCGCGCGCCGGCCCCTTGGGCCGAGTGCAGACGCGGCTCTACTATTACGGATTCACTGCCACAGTGGGGCGTCCGGATGGGCCCGCCTAAGTTTTTGCCAGACAGGCCAGCGCGGACCGAGTCGGTCTTCGATCGCCCGCGAATGTCGTCCGAAGCGGACTCAGAAGATTTTGGCGCCGAGGTTCTGTCGAAGATGCACGCGTATAAAGGCCAGGACGCGGCTTGCCCCCACGCAGCTTCGCTCCACCCACCCACAATAATCCCCCATCATCTATCAAGCATTAGCTCCTCCTCACGACAGACATTCGGCATGAAGTTCACGACTCTCCTCACCTCCGTTCTCGCTTGCGCGGCGTCCGTCTTCGCACAGGGCACGATCGACCAGCCAGTCGCTTGGACCTCGATCATGCCCAACTCCGTATTTAACTTCTCCTACTCCATCAACGCCGACTACTGCAAGTCGAGCTACGGCTTCTCCGTGTACATCATCACCGAGACCCCTACCAACATGGATCCCGCGCAGCAGTGGATGAATGGCTATTACCTCGGGCACTATGACGCTGAGAACTACCCGGGTGAGTACAGAGTACAGAGGCCGAATTTGACGTACCTACATACTTAACTCTCATCTCTCGCTCTCGCAGCCGTTCCTTACCCTACGAACCCGGCGCCACCCAACTTCACGATGCCCAATTTTGCGAACTCGCAGGGCGGCTTCGGCGCCGGCAAGAACGCGTCCAACGCTACTTTCAACGTGATGGTCATGGAAGAGTGGGACGATTGCTCCGTGAGTCCTTCAATCTGATGTCGCGCCGCTGCCGCTCACCGTTCTGCTAGGGTTCCCTCGGTAGGAAGATTGGTCTGACCATGACTCCGATCGTCTACAACGCGACGGAGGGCTACCAGTAGGCGGAGATGAACGCCGAGGCCATCGCGCGGCGATCCGCCTGAATTGCTCTCCTTGCTGCGGCGGGTACGAGGAAAGGACCTTTGTCACGAACTCTCTGAGGGAATGTTCCCTCGGGACTCTTTATGCTATTCGGACATGATGAGAGGCTTCGTCTTTCGGACTTGATTCTTTGTTGTATAGCATGACCTCTGAAGATCTGATGTGCTAGCCGTTGCGTTCGAATCCACAGCTCTAAAAGAATACCTTACGGACTCTGCTCGGACGTCAGCAGTACTAGTTACCATTGAGTCTCGTTGTAGCATTTGAGTAATCGCAGGATGATATACTTGCGGAAGGGACAATTAGATATGTGTACGAAAGTTTGTGTAGAATTGATCGGTTGTTGCTGGGAACCATTCAGCAGTGTCAGTGAAGCTTGCAGACAGAAACACAATGCATCTTTGCCAATGCGCCGGCAGTGAGGAGGACACTGTTGAGCAAGTCGGCGATGTCGACTCCTCGAGCGCGCCACGTGCATCAACTATATCTCTGCGACGCCTGGGGAGTCCGCGTTTGTGGCTTCCTAACAAGTATCCAAGTATCCTCGTTCGCCTTAGCTGTTACTACGATACCCCCAGGGCTCGTTGAGCCAACATGGCCAGCGACAACCCATCACCCGAGGACAAGCTGCGGTACGATGCCGCGAAGAAGGAGCTCCTGCAGGCCCTCTCAAAGCGGCGGAACGTAGACAAACAGCTGGTTCGTCCCCGGTGTGGCAAGCCTCCCTCGCGTCTCCTCATGTCAACAGTCCCACCTAGAGGTGCAGATATACAACCTCGAGGCGTCGTACCTGACGGACAGCGCGGCGCACAGTGGCGGGAACATCCTCCACGGCTTCGAGGGTTACCTGAAGAACCCGACCGGAGGGCGGAAGAAGTACGAGATCCACGACAACGACCGTATGTTCTCGAACAGCAGCACGACGTACAAGAAGGCGCGTCGTCTTGCCTCCTCGCCAATGGTGTAATTGACCCGCCCCCCTCCAGTCGCTCGAGCTCTCCGGCGAAGGCGAAGAGTCAGGACCCGGGGATGACTCGCGAATGTCGACCCCCGGTCTCACAACAGTGATTGTCCCTCCTGCTCCGCGGAATCAGGAGCTCACCGCCGCGCAGCAGAAGAAGAATAGGGATCGCGAATACCAGAGAAAGAAGCGGGCGAGTGCGCGCGCGACGGCCACCCCCATGAGCGAGGATGACAGCCAGAGCGTCGCTTCGTCAGGACGGAGGCCGACGAAGAGGGCGCGTCTGGCGGACGACGACTAGCACGGTGCAGCTGAGTCGCGATGGCGTGGTCGTCGTCGCACAGACACCTGTACGCTGCCGGGACCGCTACTTACTATGGGTATGTGATGATGACCTGTGGTTTGGGACTGTTGTAGGATTATCCGACTATGCTGTATCATACTTGTACTATGCTATGAGATGTCAGTCAATCCATGGAGTGGCTGTCCTGTGTTCACTATATATCGAGCGTACCGAGGAACTTCTTCATCTCAGCCTCGCTCATTCCACCACCATCCGGGTCTGCAGCCTCAATACACCTTGAGACAGCAATGATGTGCCTCGCTTCCCTTGCATTAACCCATACGCGCCCATTCAGCCCTGTCGCCGTTTCATGAGGGAATCGTGAACCAAGCATTGGGAGTAAGAAATGGTTTGGGTCGAGTAGCCTGGACCGCAATGGTGATGTAAGGACACAAAACTCAAGACAGAACAAGTACTCTCACAAGCGACACATCTTGAGACTGCAACGCACGACGAAGCCCCCTTTGAGCTCGCCGAAACCCTCCGCCTTGCGTGTCTGCGCGTCGAAGCACTCCAGCTCGGGCTCCATGTCCTTGTGCGCGAGCGACACGCGTGCGTATAGCAGTGACCCGACCTATCTTTTATTCGAAATCAGCGCTTTCCGAGACAGTCCGTCCACGCTCACCTTGAGGTTTGGTCTATTCCGTTTCGTCGCCCCCTCAAACGCCAGCCCATCCAGATTCGCCATATGCGCCGCCCCGATGTCCACCCTCCAATTCTCCCCACTCCGCGCGACGACCACGCCGATCACCGACTCTTGCGGCGCAGGGACGTACTGCCTTCCCTCCCGTAAGCTTCATTATTGCTACCAGGAGGCCACTCACCCGTCGGGCGTTGCTCTCTATCCACCATCGTGCGCGGTTAGCGGAGTGGTTGAGCTCGCCGGCACGGGTCGCGATGATCGAGGACTCCCCGGACGGGCCTGACTGCTGGAGCAACCCGGGTCCTAGCTTGAGGTTGACGTGCTGCGCGGGAACGAGCTCCCCGGGAAGGACGAGCGACATGGCTGCGATGAAGAGTCGAAAGGGCGATCGAGAGACGGGTATCGGGAGAGCATTCAGACGCCTCTGAGATTTGAACGATCGACGCCCTCAGATTCAAATCGTACTGAACGCATGGGCGAGTCGGAATCGCTCGTAAGCACCATGTCCACATCCTAAGATGGGCTCGTGTATATACCGTTAGCGTGTAGAGATATCATGAAGTCTGGGTATAACGTCCATGCCTGCCGAAGGCATAAGCTAAGAAAGAGAACGCAGAGTTAATGTATTACAGCAGACGAGTCAACCACAACCGGGGTTCCGTGCTCCGCTTCGTATATAACATATGTACAGCGAATAATATCACAACGAAAGGAAAGTTGCTATACCAAACGATTCAAAGGGATCCACGAGACCGAGGAGGGGAGATCGTAAAAGAACAGGTATTTGGCAGGCGGACGCAACGCGAACACACGGGTGTCGCTCATGATGTTCCAATAGTGTTTATACGTAGAAGCCGAAGACCAAACCATAACGTCCAGACACAGAGCCGTCAGAAGAATAAATAAGTCGTGACGAAAACACCAAGCGCGATGACGATGACTACCTGCAGAGGAACGCCCTCCGCCTGCATCATCGTATCCTCCATAGTTGTCGTGCCGGTGATTGATGTTCCCACCTCCGTCTCGCCATCCCACGTACTGCCGTCGTCCGAAGGCGATGTGGGCCTACGTCGCCGGAACTCAGTAGCGTTCGTGATCGTGGTGGGCGCTGCCGTGCTCGGCTCAGGCATGGAAGAAATGAGATTGCGAAGGCGCTCAATCTCCGCCTGTGCCTCGCGCAGCTTGATGAGGATGTCCTCGTTGATGTCAGGTGCGGGCCCAACAGGTTCAGAGGGAGGCGGAGGCTGGGGCGTGTGAACGTTGACGTTGACGACGGGTGCCTCATCTTCCTCACGCGAGAACTCCTCGTGTGGTGATTCCTCGTGAAGCTGCGCCAGTCGTGTTGGAGGCGGTGACGACGGTGCGTCATGGTGGGTCTCCTCTTCTTGAGCCGCCTCGCCGCTGTGTTCCCGCACGGGCTCAGGAACGCCATTTCCATTGGGATGCTGACGGACAGTGCCGTAAATCTGAGACCTTTAGACTTGTAAAGGGGCAAGAGATTGGTGGTGCTTACAGAGCGAGAATGGTCCTGGAAATCACTGACTCCACCTTCTTCCTCTTCAGGCACTGTCTGCCCTTCCGGCGGAAGGTACTGAACACGGATCTTCTGCGAGTGGACTTCCTCCGTGTTGTCGGCCCACTACCAGCGATGTTCAAAAGACTTTCAAGCGTTTGTAAAGGGAAAGAACGTACAAGATCTGGGAGAGGCATTGTCTCCTTCTCCGGTGTGATGATGGTGCTCTGAATCAGAAATTTGTCCTTGCACTTGATGTTCAATGGCGGCTCTTCCTTCATCGCCTGCAGCATAACTGTATATACCGGGTGTAGGTTTGCCGTGTATCCCGCGGTCACTTCGACATAACGTACCCTGAACTTCCACAGTCTCTCCTGGCTCCACCCTCCCAGAGTTTGGCCGTACGCAGTACAGCTACACGAACCGGTTGCGTCAATGATACCTGTAAGCGTCCAGACGGAGCTGACGGCACCTTGGGAGCAGTCGTTTTGACTTTGAATGCGACTGGTTGTGCATTGTGGTTTGAGATGGCTAAACCCCGCTTAACGTGCTGCGTGAGAGGCCCTGTGCGAGACGCGTTAGCTGCGGAGGTCCCAGGGCCGCTACGTGCGGCCTACGCACTGTTGAAGCCGAGGACGCTGCTCGGGGTGAGCGCAACAGACATTTTGGAGGCGGCGGTGTGGGGGAGAGGATAAGAGTGGGTCTGCGCTATGATAGTGATGACATGGGCCAGGACGCGTCGGCGTGCTGGCGCGGGATATACCGAGCCATGCTCCCGCGCCTCCTGCAGCCAGGCCTCCGCAGTGCCTCCGCACGCACCTCACACAAGCCTCGCACAACTCTGCGTCCAGGCTGTGTCGCAAGTGCTGCGTATGCGGGGGTCTCAAGGCCAGGTGTCAAGCGCGTACAATTGCCTCGTGTTGTATGTGTGTGGATATTCATGATCTATGTAGCGAGTGCTATGTACTACTACAGAATGGGTAACGAAACGGTGCACGAATCCCCCAAAACAAGAGACAAACTATCCGGCAGAAACATTATAGGGTCGACTAGAAGGCGAAGTATCGTCGTAAGTATCATAATCGGTAGAGAGGCGCGCAAGTTCAAAGTGGTATGTATGTATCACTTCTTGCTAAGTGCCTGTAGCTGCACGTATTCATAGTAGCCACCCTTGAGGGAAAGTAGCTCATCGTGTGTGCCAGATTCGCTGACAGCGCCGTCCTTAATGAAGTATCTAGGAGGGCGATTAAAACGTGCATTCGTGCAGGAAGGCGACGAAACGCTTACATTCGGTCGGCGTTCTGGATGGTGATAACCGATGGGCAATGGCTATTGTCGTCCGACCCTTCGCGGCCTTGTCTAATGCCTCTTGCACAACCTTTTCTGAGTTGGAATCGAGAGCTGATGTTGCCTCATCGAGCAGCAAGACCTTCGGGTTACGTAGCAGTGCACGTGCAATTGCGATACGTTCTGTAACCGCCAATCAGTACGGGTACTTGTACGTGTAATCTAGAAGAACATACGCTTCTGGCCACCGGAAAGCTGCGAGCCCTTGCCACCGACCTCGGTATCGAAGCCCCTGCACGCAAATCAGCATCAGCTGAACAAACTGAAACACAGGCAGCACGTACTGTGGCAGGCTCTGAATGAAGTCCAGGATGTTGGCGTTCCGACACGCGGTCTCAATTTCCTCTTGTGTAACCTCAGACTCCGGCTTGGTAGCACCGAGGAGGATGTTCAGTTTAATTGTGCCAGAGTACAGGGTCTGGGAAGCACATGGTCAGACTAAAACATCGGCGACACAAGCCCAGGCAACATACCGGCTCCTGAGAAACCAATGCGATGTGCTTGCGGTACTCCGAAACGTTGTACTTCGAGATGTTCTGTCCGTCGAGGTAGACAGTGCCGTGCAACGCGTCATAGAAACGCTCAATCAGCTGGATCCTGCATGAAACGTCCAGTCAATGCACACTCCAACTCGTGGCGCCAGGGATAAACGTACGTTGTACTCTTTCCGCAGCCACTAGCGCCAACCAAGGCAGCGTAGGTTCCAGGCTCCACATCGAGGTTCAAGTCACGCAGCACCCGCACACCAGGACGAGTCGGGTAGCGGAAGTGCACGTTCTCGAAGCGGATATGACCCTGGACGTTGGTGGGGATGTCGCCCTCCGGTGATTCCGCGTCGATGTCGGGCATGGAGTCCAGAAGCGCGATGATATCCGCGGCGGCACTCTTGGCCGAAGAGATATCGGGAACGAACGAGAAGACGTTGCCGGCCTGGATAGCACTGAAAGTCGAGCTCTGTGGACGCGCACAAAGAACAGTCAGCAACTCGCGCGCCTTCCTTCGTCAACACAGACTGCGTACCATGAGGCCAACGAAGAACTGGAACGTCGAGAACTCCCCATTTGCCACAAGCAGAGAACCGTACCAGAAGATGAGGGCGATGACGAAGAATGACATGGCCTGCGACAGCGCGTAGATGCCGTTGCTGTACAGTGCCGACTTCTTCGAGGTTTGGAGTGGACCCTCCAGACTGTCGCTATACAACTGAAGGCAGTCGGCTTCGCGGGTGAGCGACGCGACGGTCCGGATGGCGCCTGCAGCCTCGCATGCAAGCTGCGCAGAGTGCTCGTGTTCACGCTTGTTCTTCTGGTCCTTCAGAACGACGACGCGGAGACGAATGTATCCAGCAGAGAACAGCACAGGAGTACACGCTGAGAAACAGACATTAGCTGGACCAAGACCCCACTTCTCGAATGTATGCTTACCGAGAGCGACGAGACCGAGCTTCCACGCGAAGATGATACCGATGATGGTACCACAAATCAGAGTCGAGATGGCCTGAACGATGCTGGATCACGAAAAGCATTAGCGACGGGCTCATCTCAACTCAATACCGAGACTTACGCTCCCAACGTGACACCAGCGAGACCATTGACCTTCTGAGGGTTGTCACTCAAGCTTGAAGTGAGTTGACCAGTCTGTGCGACGCCTGTCAGCTTCCCGACGCACAGATTCTCACCAGATACTTACGTTATGCTCGTCCTCATCGAAATACTCGACTGTAACACAGAATCAGTAATCACGTAAGAAAATCAACAAGACGTCTACTCACTGTCTTGTCTGATGATAGCACGGAAGCTGAGCGAACGGATCTTGTTTGTCAACTGAGCAGCGGTCGAGGCGAAGAAGTAGTTCTGGAAGCCGATGGCGGTAGCAGACAAGATCGCAATGAGGAAGAACCTACAGCAGCGTAAGCTCAATGTCCATCCGACCGACCTATCATCCAAACTAAAAACTCACCACAAAGCAACCCGGTCGCCATCATGTCTGCGCACGTGAGGGTCGGTGCTCTGGAAGCCGCTGATACCCTGAGCTATAGAACAGGGTTAGTTCCAGCATCCAAGTGCCACCATCGACAATGCTTACCGTATACGATACCAAACGCCGGGTACGTCCCTCCATTGCCTGTAAGCGAGTCCAGTCAGCGGACGTTCCGGCCCCCGCCCTACCAACCGACACTCACAAATCGCCGCAATCGAGCCAAACAGGTACATGTGCCAGTTCTCGCGGTTGATGCCAAAGAAGCGGCGGAAGATCGTGATCGGCCCGTACTCCCTGCCCGCCTGCCTCGCCTTCTCCTGACTGCGTTGTTCGAGGATCTGCGACGCGAGCGACCGCCCAGACTTGGAGCGCGTGAGCGGGACCTCAGCCTGCGCGGCCTTCTCGTAGTCCTCCTCCTCCCCGACGCTCGCCACGTCCGTTACATCGTCGCTCGAGTCGTTCCCGCGCTTCTCGCGCGCGTCCCGGAGCCTCTGCGCCGAGACGAGCCGCGAGTACGGCCCGTTCTCGTCTTGAAGCAGCTGGCTGTGCGTGCCCGACTCGAGCAGCAGCCCATCGCCCATCACATAGATGCAGTCCGCGTCCTTGATTGTCGACAGCCGGTGCGCAATTGTGATCGTCGTGCGTCCCGCCGCGGCCTTGTCCAGCGCATTCTGCACGATGCCCTCGCTCTGTGTGTCGAGCGCGCTCGTCGCCTCGTCAAGCAACAGGACCTTCGGGTCCGACACGATCGCGCGGGCAATGGCAATACGTTGTTTCTGACCGCCCGAGAGGAGGAAGCCGCGCTCACCGACCATAGTTTCGTAGCCTAACGGGAGCTTGGTGATGAAGCCGTCCGCGTTCGCCTTGATGCAGGCCTCCTTGATTAGCTGCGTCTTCTCGTCCTCGGGCGCGTGTTCCCACTGGGTACCGATGAGACCATGCGCAACATTGCCCTTAATGGTCGTAGCGAACAGTGTAGGCTCCTGCGACACAAGGCCAATCTGACTGCGAAGCCACCTAAGGTTGAGGTCCCGGAGGTTGATACCATCAATCTTAACAACGCCCTCAAGCGGGTCGTAGAACCGCTCGACGAGCGAGATGGTAGTCGACTTGCCAGACCCAGAAGCACCGACGAGCGCAGTTGTCTTGCCTGCCGGGAAGGTAATGGAAAGGTCCTTGACAATGGGCACGTCCAGACGGGACGGGTAGTTGAACTTGACGTGCTCGAAGGTGATCTCGCCGCGACAGGACTCGGGCCTGAGGCCTTCCTCGCTCGCCGAGTCGATGAGGGGAACGCGGTCAATGGTCTCGTAGAGCTTCGCGGCGGCACCCATGCCGTGAGTGATAGACTGCATTTCAGGGGCCAAAAGAGCGAGGGAGAATGACCCGATGAGAATGGCCAAGATAACATTAACGATTTGTCCAGCGTTGGAGTGACCTTCGTTAATGAGTGTGGTTCCAAAGTCAAATGCTACGAATGTTTCGTGTTAGATTGCGATTTGGACCGGACGAATGAATGAACATACCAAGCGCATAGCCTCCATAGATGACGAAGAAGAATGTGGCCAATCCGCAACCGTGGAAGATCGCGGCCTTCATGTCCGCATTCCTGGCCCTCGTGATATGCGAATCGTACCGTTCAGCGAGAATGTGCTGTGAGCCGAAAGCTTGCGCCGTCCGCACTGTCGAAAACACTTCTTCGGCCAGGGTGCCACCGTCCGCAACATGAGCGAGAGACAGCCTTCGTCGTGTCAGTCTACGGCTGCAGAAATTCACAGGGAGGAAAGTGAATACTCACTGCATATAACCGGAGACAAACTTGTTCATGACTCCACCGGTGATGGCGATACAGGGCAGCATGGATGACATGGCAAGTGCCAAACGCCATTGCCGGACGTACGCCAATACGAAACCAGTGACGAAGGCAGCGAAAAAGTTGCACACGATGGCGACCTTCTCAGAAATACCTTGTTGAACCAAGTCTGTTGGATTGTAAGAAACATTCAGAAGTTCAGAAAAGATGATATGGGCGTACGTGTATCCGTCTGAATCCGCGTTGCTACCTCACCAGCACCGACGTCATCGAAGTACGCAATATCCTGTCGGAGGACCGCTTGCAGGTAGCGCTCACGAATTCGCTTCGCATTGACCTCAGCGGTATACACCCAGATAGCCATGTATGTGTACGTGCAGGCAAGCATACCAATACCTTTCTCACCGGTAAGCCACAGGTTTGCGAGATCATTGTCATGGTTGAGGTACATACCGATGTAGACCAGGTACGACGCATCATTAGCGGAGGTGCTCTTGAAGTTCTCCCTCGCTGCTGGCAGCCTTTGTTGAGCGCCTTGATCGCCGGCATTTGCCTGTTCCAATGTGGCTCCGAAGACGACGAATGCGTTCGTGAGATTGCCAAAGAGCAAACTCATGAGGGGCTTCGGACGGAATCATTAAGCAGTGTTTGGAGATGCAATGATAGACGATGAAACCGACCTGGGCAGCACCGGCAGCAGCTGCCGCAACGATACCAATGACATCCATGACGATTTCCGCCTTGGTGGAGAACCTGCGGACGGGGGATAAGGCGGCAGATGGGCGCAAGCGAACAGCAGGCGTACCGAAGAGTTGAAAGAATGACACAGGCTTGGTGGGCGTCGTAGTGGGTTTGTCACTGTCCGACGTTGGTATGGGGTGTGCAGCGATGGCCTGCTGCTTCTCCTTGTCGAGGTCGACAGGGCTCTCTCGTCGGGACATGTCGACCGCCTTCTCGTTGGAGATGGATGAGTTGCGGGCGTCCTTCTCCTGCACGGACTCCGCGGTGACTGAAGCCGCCATGGCTGCGTACGGAGGCGACGCGAATAGGAAGGAAGTGTACGAGTCGGACGAGGGAGGAACCAGAGGAACGAAGGGAATACCTGGCGCCCGCGGCGCACGGGTCTGTACCTTATACTCCAAATAGAGCGTGCGCGTGCGCACTCAGCTCGGCACTGGCTCGACTCACGCTGTGGGGCCGCGCAACCGACGTCGTTGTCCGGCATCCGTGCCAACGCCACGCTCCCCTGAGCTCGCCCCGCCGTATCTGGCTGCGCGTAAAATAGATTTGTACAGACATAGGCTTTACGCGGGTCGCGGCTCTCTGACTGCGTGGCCCTCGTCGCTGGGAATGGCCTGATTCGTCTCGACGGGCGAGGGAACGCCCCAAATCCAGCCGCCAAATTGGCCCACAATCTCCGCAGCGGGGGACCCCTCCGCTTACGAGGCCAATCTGACGTGATCATCCCCGCCCCGATGGGGATCTCGCCCAGGCCAATCGACATCGCCCCGCTGCAATTCCGACGCCAAGCTGATCTGTGCCTGGCCGCCACTCCCCGCCACATCGCGCCCACATCGCGCGCCGCCCTTGACGCCCCTCGTGCCACACCATCGCTGCCTCTCCGAGTCACATCCCAATCATGCTCTGCTGGCCACGCCTCCTCTCCGTGCTCGTGTTCTCACCGCGGCGGGAGTGCTCTGCAGCTAGCCGCACGACCGTTGCGCCCGCCAAAGACCCAGGCAACCGCCGTACGGCCGGAGACAAATTCTTGAATTCTTGGAGGCGACCGGGGAATTCCAGCAGATCCCAGCGCTAGCCGAGCGTATGTATGTTGACGCGTAAATACCGACCCGCCCGATCGGCAACCTACATACAGTACGTGTCCTTCCGCTCGCCACATGGAGATTTGGCCTCAGAGGAGTGTTTGACTTTTACTTCTCACCGAAGGACTGCACGCGCATTCGTTCAAAATGCACCGTCAGCGGCAAACTGCGCTCCGTGCGGCACACACGCTGTCCTGTCGTCCGGTGAGTGACCGCGATATCGATGTTGTCCACATGTCCCGGCCCAAATCGGTGTGCATGCCCATCACAGGCATCGCATCCCCTACTCCGCGAAGTTGAGCGTGCGGCATCTGGACTGGCGAGCTGACATGCAGGCCGGGCCGCGATGACACGCATTATGGTGTGATCCAGCCACGGCGGCAAGACCAGGCTCTTGACAGGTACCAGCCCTCCTTGTCCGTCTGGCTTTCTGTCGCTCCTTGGGCGCTCCTAAATGGCTTTGGTGCGGACTGGTGGCGGAGCTTACTTGCCCCCACACACACCCGCGGCGTAGACTCGGCCTGGTGGTGTCCGCTCGGACGCGGGTAGCCAAACATAGCACTGGGTAAGCTAGTTGGCTCAATCTTGGCGACGTAATCCATCAAGCTGATGCCGACCAACTCTGGTATCGTACCCATCCGTGTGGACGCACCCCACCAACGCTCCGACGGGGTGCATACACAGGGATGGGTACGAGATCAACCAACTCAGGAGCACACCAAGTGCTGAGCGCTCCAGTACGCACCTTGGTAAGCGTGCATTGACCGGGATGAGTCGGGAATTCTTTGACAGAATCTGAGCCCGCATCAATCGGGGACTTTGCAACGTGTAGTGATGGCGCATCATTGTTCACGAGGTGAGTCGGTGCTGTGACATATCCTCGCTCCCGTACACAATTAATGACATGTCCAGAGTCATTAAGAGTGGCGTTGGATGTGACTCGTCTACGAAACTGCCTAGACAGATCGCTGCGATATCACGGCGAAAACTGGAAGAGAGCGCTTGTTAGTTGCAAGTCATTGCGGATGATACCGGTGTGCCCGGTCGTGTGCCATCATCTTCTGCCAGCTACTTGACTCTAGTAACTGCACTGCAACGGAGAACACTGCCCAGCGCACGCATCGAAGCCGTCGGACTCGGGGTGGACACTGCCAGGACAGGAAGTGACGCTCAGCCAGCCGCCATCCTGCCAGGCAGACCACCGACGGATCGGCAGTAGCTCACGTTGACGCCGTTAACGTCCGTTCCCCAAGGTTGCACCGACAAGTCGCACAAGATCGCATTCGCGTGCCGCTGCACGTCGTGTACAGGCGGCTCAGCCGCAGGTAGCTACGTCGCCCAACGGCAGACAAGCCCAGCCTTTTGTGTTTTCATCTCCTTCATCCCATCTGCATTTTTTGCGTCCGAGCTGACTGCACCCTCACGGCTCACATAGCGGGAAGGTCGGTCTCGTTCTCCTCCCCCTAATGGAGTCATCGGCGGGCGGCATAGTATGTCAATCAAGCTTCGGCTACCTGTGGACCACGGTCCCGTCGCGGCATGACAGTCCCGTCATGCTGTTGCACAAGCTGCACTGCGGTGACTCCAGCACCCGAGGTGACAAGGCGTCGGCGACGCCGAGAGCACGCGCAAGCCTTGACCGAGCGAGACCGCGTTCAAAGGCTGCCCTATTCTGCGGGGGTTGCAATTACATATCTTACCGGAGATGTTCTGGGGCTTGCGCGTGCTCAGTTTTAGCTACGGCGCCGTTGTGCCTACGCAGTCCGGGTTGCCGGACTGGCCGTACAGCTGCGGTCAAGCCGCCCCGCCGAACAAGCTTCGTGCACGCTGGTCTGTGCCTCATTGAGACCTCCCTTCCCCTGCACCTAAAGCACCCGGGTGAGTATGCATCAGTACCTATCTCAATGCTCGAAGAATACGCTGGTATCCTTACTCTCTGGCCCTAGGAGAACGCCCGCTAGCAGTTTACAAGAACGAGTAGTGTATTCTCTGACCATATGCCATTGATTTGACCTGATCTCGGGTGGGGCGGCGCCCGCCGACCCCGTCCGCGAGTCTTGAATTTGCTACAGGAAGGGCGAGAGAGAGAACGGATTACCTGCTAGCAGCGGCGACCGATAACCCGTTATGCGTTCAATTCTGCGCTTGGACCTGGCTTGGACGTCCTTCTGGCTTCCTAGTCACCCGTTTAGGTTCGCGAAGGGCACCCGGCCACATGTGCCCGCTGATTCACAATTGCCCGTCATGCTGTTGTCTATTGCTGGCTACGGGCTCCAGCCATAGCACTGGTACCCGTGGCATAACTCTGAGGTGCGTGTCGCGGTGCTTAGCTAGCTCACTAAATTTAGCATGCCCCGTCTCACCAGACTCCTCTGTCCGACAAGATGGCCGCTAATACGGAGTGTTCAATTCGGCGAGAATCGATATTCAATTCAGTTCAATGCGGCGCGATTACAGGCTCGAGAATGAATTTAAACGCCACCAGCTCGTCTTGACCTTGAGCGCAGATCCGCGTCGACATGTTGCGGGCGCATCGGCGATTAGGCCATCGCTGTACCAACGCATCATCCGGTCAGCACATTGCATTCTTAGATTTCTGACGACGGAACTCACTGAATGCACTTCCTCTTGAACTATTGTATGTGATTTCATCGATCGAGATGCGACCGTATAAGGTACTGCAGCTGCCCTTGGACCCATGTGGATGACGCTCGCTGTTCTTCGCGCGTGCCAAACGAGGCTGCAGCCAGCTTGTGGATTACGCGTAGACGCAGGTTCTCCTGGTGGCTCCGAATGTTACTGCCTGCGACTCCTTGGTGCGTCGGACTACAAAGGATTGTGAGTGGACTAATCCGGACGAGCCGCGGTGAGTCCAATGCACCTTAACCATGCATTCTGACTCCCGATCATGTCGTTTGATTTGCTTTAGGAAGGCATGCGGAGAGGGTGAGGGCGGCTCCCGTCCTCCGTAATGGGGGCGCGGCACAACGGGCACAAGCCATTCTGTAAGGCAAAACACCAGTCAGCCGTTCCCTCGCCAGCCACAAGCAACAAAACAACTAACACCATCGTCGAGCCAGTGAATCAAACTAAACAGGGAAATCAGAAATGAGTAACCCATTCCACGCGCAAACAAGCAGCTGCCCTTACTCGTTGGTGCAAAAGACGTGGTTGCAGCGCAGCCTTATGATTGCGGAGCGGCGGTCACGGCGGAGGGCATCCGCCTCGTGCTCCGTAACGATCTCCTCGAACCGGACCATGCACACGGCACATTCGTCTTGAAGGCCGTACCCGTAGCGGCGCAGAAATTCCTCATGCTTCGCCATCAGGTCCCGCCGGCGAAGCTCAGAACCAGCATAGGCCTGCGCTTCCGAGTCATGTTTGGTGTGGTCTATCCCCGAGTTGATGGTCAATGTATAGTCCTGCTCAGCCTCCGTCTCCGCCCCGCCGATTAGATCGGGGTCGTAGGTCAAGGCGGATCCTGTCCAAGCAAGAACCCGCTTAAAGAAGAAGATTGCTTGGATACGGGCCCAGTATGCATAGAGGCTGGAATCCTGGAAAAGGTAGTTGAGAGCACCCGGGAACGCGAATTCGAGCGCCAGACCCAGATTGAGGTAAACGAAGAGGGTAACGAGGAGGACAATAATCCCCGAAGGTTCAACGGCCTGCGTCATGGTTGTAGAGTTGCAGAGTGTGTATGGACCGTGGTACGCGAGGTAGTGAAGGACTAGTGATGATTCAATGTAGGAAATACTTATACGAGCGGTGGGACCGGTATTTATTTCACCTGAGGAGGCTGACCGTGGCTGCCTCGAGCTCCCATGGACAATGTCAGCCTTGCATTAGCGCCGCCGGCGGGCAGGCCAGTTCAGAATGGCATATCACTGGGAGTTAGTCTGCGCACTCAAGCTATGGGGTGATCATATGGAGCTCGTGTACTGCACAAGAATCCAGAGGGTGGACTAGGTCGGACCATGTCCGACTGTGCGGACATGTGGAACTTGCGCAGGTTGGGCACACCGATCCGATGTATATGTACGTTATGTTCGGATCGTGATCTCTGTTGTAGATCCTATGGCCGGCGAGCACATTTCAAGCGCAACGATACATATCATGACGACCGTCCAGAGGCTATTGACTGACGCCAGGGTCACAGCCACAACGAAGTAGCGCATTGTCCCCGTATGATATAGACGAGCGAGGATGAAGTTACTGAGTAGGACTGCCAAACCGGGAGGGCAAGGTGATGAATTCATGGCATCTTGTCACGGTACCGGTACTCCATAATTGTAGGATCCTTCTGTCCAGCACAGTTCGAGTATGAGGCTAGTAGTGGTACACAGGTCCTAGCAGACAGCCAAATCAAGGCTTGTATCGATAAAGCATTAGCTGGCACAAAGCTGCTCAAAGCTGGCACTTCAATTACTGTGACTTATCCGCGGTACGAAGCGGAAGCGAGCATGCCTGGGGGTACGCCTAGAACCATGTGCTCAAAACAAAGCAAGCCCTTCTAAGGCGTTGAATAAGAGCAACCTCTGGCGTCTCGTCCGCCTGATTTGATTGTATCCCCCATTCTGTTAGTATACATTGTGCCTTACTTACGCCCCCACTTGGTGCACATTCCGACGCCTATAAAACCCTGTGACTGCCTTCCTATTCCGTGTTCAAATACTTGTCGAACCACCGGAAGACCTCGTAGTTCCACTTCAAGCTACAATGACCACCCTTCATCAACACAGCAGCGTTACACGGAGACGCATCGACATACCTGTTCATATGGTTGAGCACCCAATGGTTCTCATCCGGGAATATCACCAGCCGACTGGGCACGCCACGCCTGTCACGGTGCAAGCATCAGTCACCCAGCCTCAGGCATCTCTAAAGCCGAAGTTCAAACGCACTGCTGCAGGACATGGAAGGCGCTGATGCCCTCCGTCTCGGGCAACCGGTAGTCCTTACTTCCATGGATGATCAGCATCGGCGTAGACCACTTGTCCGCAAAGTTCGCGGCGTCGTATCTATCAGCGGAGGTGAGCTTAACTCTACCTTTCATTCCGTGTCAAGGTAACGCTGGCGCGCGACGCACTTTGCGAGGTTCTGCTTAGCGCGTTCGTCCCACGGACGACCTCCCCACTCTTCGTTGAACTGCGCGGACGACTCGCGTGAGCGCGTTGCAGAGCACTACAAGTTAGGAGCACTCACGAAGAAGAGCTCGTCAGTGGAGAAGCCGTTGTAAGTAGCGGAGAAGACCTGCAGGCATATTTAGCCTTTCGCCGTCGCTCAAGCTCACAGGATACCCACGCCATCATGACACACTAGTGCTTTGAAGCCGAACCCGTATTCCGGGTGCCCCTGGATCCAGCTTGAGAAATGTCAGCTCGTGTACTCTACGTCAGTCGGGGAACGTACTTGATGGCGTAGCCGCCCCAACTCGCACCAGCGGCGACCGCTTTGTCTGGGTCGACCTAGAATAAACCGTGACTAGGTCAGCATTCCAGTACCATCGGGGAGCATCTGTCGGACAGCATACCTCAGGGTAACTGTCAAGGATGTATTTGAAGCCTTTCTGCATGTCCTCGAACGGCCGGCCGCCCCAGTGCTCAGAGATAGCATTGGTAAAGTCTGACAGACCGGACATAGTCAGGTTGGTGCCAGTGGCGCAACACGCCCACTCAGAGACTGCTTACTTTGTCCGAAGGACGTCGAACCAGTTGGGTTCATCGCAATAGTGAAATAGCCTTGTGAGGCGAAGACTTGAGGGCGCCGTCAGCGGAAAATTCGTGATGACGTCGGGACGCATAAACTCACTGTTCGGGTTCCACCTCGTCGACCATTGGTCTTCCCATGCGCCCTGCGGACCTGGAGTCAAGTCAGCGCCCCTCAAAACTGTCTCTTATTCGTCGTCATCATACCTCCGTGGATGAGCATGAGGATCGGCCACTTCTTCTCCTCTCCCTTCTTGAACCCCGGCGGCTTAACGATCCATCCATGCACCTTGTGCCCCTCCGCACCCTCAAACCAGAAGTCCTCGCCTGCCGCCAAGCTCTTCCCCTTCAGCGCGTCCTCCGCGAAGCGCGTCAACTGCTCCACCTGCAGCTTCGCCACACCTGGCTCCCGTGACTCTGGTGCGAGCAGATCAAGCTGTTCGAGCCCCCGTATCACGTACATATTGTTCGGCGCGGTCAACGACGAGTGTGTGAAGAGTAAGCGGCCGTTCGGCAGGACTTGTGCGCCGGAGGCCGCCCCGGTGGAGGTGAGCTCGATGGGCTCACGGTACGCTGTAGCAAGGTCGGGGTCAGCGGTAGACTCGGAAGGCGTTGGAGGGATTGGGAGGACGAAGATCTTGATGCGGGCGATGTCGCCTGCGGTGAAGTAGATCGCCTTGCCGTCTTCGGAGAACTGCGATATTGACCGATTAGCACGGTGCGGACATGGTGAATTGTTATGCATTACCTGTAGGGCGTCCGGCGAACGGTCCCAATGCTTGGTCAGCGTGTACTTGACGTGCTTGGTCAAGTCGTAGATGACGACTTGCGCCCTGTTTTCGGACAGAACTCAGTGCGGGGTGTCTATGCATCTGCAACGCCACGGACCTGTCAGCCTCGGCGCCGTCTTTGTCGAGCTGCAGCCAAGCCGCCTTGTCGCCTTGCTTGCTGAGCACTGGGCTACGAGTAGCGCCGTGCTTGCCCGACGTCAGCTCCACGGGCCTGCCAGCTCCGTGGATGTCTATGAGGTACACCTGCGACGTATCAGTCGGTGCTGCCCACGAAGAGGCATGTCGGAAATCGCACGTTCTGCTTCGTGTGCCATGCAGGTGGCAAAGCCGGATCCTTGACTGTGTAGACGATGTGCGTCTCAGAGACGTCAAAGTCGTCCGTACCTCCGAACGGCTCGACCGGGCAGGTCTACGCTGCTTGTAAGTGTCGACTGAGCACTAGTGTTTCCAACTTACATGACCGGTGCCCTTCAACAGATTGACGAACTCAGAGCCGAAGACCCATGTCTTGTCCGGAGACTTCGAGAGCGTCACAGAGAACAGCGAGGACCTCTTCGGCCCAACCCACGTGTCCCAGTGCCTCTCATACGTGTCGTCGAAGACGTATGCAGTATCGCCCTTGTTTTCCCAGGCCTCGTCGTGTTTCTTCACAGCCGCCAGGTCCCCGTCCGAGTACACGTAGTCCGAGAAGACCAACACGCCTGCCTTCGTGGCGTACTTGAAGTTCGCCGCGGTGGACGTAGGGAACTTGCCGACGAGCACGGGAGCCTCAGGGACGAGGGAATACTCCGTCTCATACTTGACAGAGATGGCATAGAGCGTGGTGACCTTGTCCTTGTCTTCGCCCTCAGCGACTGCGTGGCCGACGGTTCGGGAGTCGAGCCAAAAGGCTTCGCCGCTGTCTGTAAGGGGGATCTCGAAGGGCTGAATGGAGGACTCGACGGAGGCGATGTAGATCGACTTCGTGTTTCTTGCAACAAGCATCCTCGGCAATCCGCAGGCTACGATAAGATTGATGACACTCACTTCTTGTCACTCAAGGAATACTTGCTGACCTGGACGAGGGCAAGATCGCCAGCAGGATTTGCGAGCCCTGTGCCCGGCCTCACCAGCTCGACGAGATCCTTGGGTGTAAAGATGTTGGTGCCCTCTTTGAAGGCAAAGTCAGGAGTATACGCGCTGGGCATGGCTGCCTGAGGTGTTATGGGATGAGGTTCCAAAGGCACCTGCGATGCGAGACCGAGCACAGTAATTGGGAACCCAGCTGGGAACCACATGGCGCGATAGACCGTGACCGATGCCGGGCCTAATTATGAGACGAGTTCTGTACAGGATTCGAGCAAGCCGTGTCCTCGCGTTCGCACGACAAGGGCCGTGGCTGCTCGTAGGTCTGACGTGCGAGCGAGGAGGAGGAAGAGGAGGAGGAGACCATTTATTTAGCCACCCGGACCGACTGACAGCACCGTGAGTCCGTGACGCATGGGCGCCATCGGCATCTTGACGATGTGACCACGCTCACCAAGTACAGCACCACGACCCATAGGACCACGTACGATGAAGGTATACTATGTTGATACATCTATTTCTCCCGATGAGCCCCCATCCATTACCCCAACTGTGTCTTGCGAACTTGCAGCTGCCAAACCTATCGGCCCTTGCCCATAGTATGACCATCACTGGCAAATACTTATGATCAACGACGACCGCGTAGGCGCCCGTTGACCGGAGCGGTACCTAGGCCTAAGCGCCTTAGCGTTCGCGGGACGCCAGCGGCGCGCCCAGTCCCAGATCAATCTTACCCTGACCTCTACGCCGCGCGTGCAGCCGCGTACGTACATACGGATGATGACACTCAGTACTCAAGTACTCAGGACGCGCCGTCTGGCTTTCCGCCTTCTGCACCGAACTTCACTGGTCGTTCACTCTCATGGCTCCTGGTGCTGGAGGAGATATCCTCGAAGATGGGTTCCTGGTGCAGTGGAAGGGCACCAACCCGGCGACCGGTGAGGCGTGGAATCCAGTTTGGGTGTCGCGGGACAGCTGTCCTGCAGACATGATAGCAAAATGGGAGTCGTCAAAAGTGGGAGACGCAGATCGTGTCAGTGAGACCCTCGGTGCGCCTTCCTCATTTCATGCAACCGAACTTACAGCATTGACTCGCGACTCAGCAGAGGCCACGGTGAACACCCTCAAACGGTCTGCCTCCCCAGTCACGGCGACAATTCCAGACTTGCCGATCGATCGCGACGTCGAGTCTTGCAAGAAAAAGCCGAAATTAGAGAAGCAGACTGGCTCAGCAAAGGGACGGTCCACCTATACTGGCTTTCGGCCGTTCTACCAGAAGCCTAAACCCAAGCCAGTCCAACGTAAAGTGGTGAGAATGTCTGCTTAAGACTCACTGAAGTAGCAAGGCATCATGAGCTCACATTCAAAGAAGACCGCAGACAAGCCGGTGGACCCTCCACCCAAAGATACGGCCACAGTTCAAGACAGCGGTGCGTAATACTTCAGACATAATTCCAAACTCGTATTTACTCTTTACCCAGAAAGCAGTGCTCATTGGTTGTTGGACTCCGTTATGTGCACGAAGAGAGGCATGACGGTCGTCATATCAGGCTCTTCGGGAGGGCACGAGGACCGCGGCTGGTACAACGGCGAGTGCGAGGGCGAACACGGTGTGGTCAAATCGGTCTTCAACACGGGGAACGGAACCTTCTCGTCCACCGCGCAAGTGAAGATCTTGAACCCTCGCGAGGGCGCCCCCTCAGTCTTCGCGATCCCTGTCGAGTATCTTGTCCCAGTGAGACCCGAGAATCCAGGACAAAAGGCTCTTGTGCTGGATGGTGACTGCAAGGGCGAGGTGGCGGTCATCAGGGAGGAAGGTGAGGTGGTCGATGAGTGGTTTGTCTCGGTGCGGAACAACCACTTCGAGATCAGTGGTGAGAAGCTGGTCCTCTACTCGGAGGTTACGGATACATTCTGAGCATGCATCGCAGTATTTCCTGTCCTTGTCTTCCGTCCTGCTACTGAGTCTTCTGGCCATCGTTGACTGATGCCTTGCTGCGGCCTGCATGTTTTTCGTCTTGCTGTCGACGCTATCTCTGACGAAGCTTACTCTAACTCAAATTAATTCTGCCATGGTGCTTTCTGCGTATTGTTCTTGCAATATTCGCTCTTCGTCAACAAAACACGCCATGACATGGTGCAGACTCATACAATCCCAACTCTCAAACATATGTACATACCGCAAACATACCGTCCGAAATGCTGAACGCAAGGCACCAATCACTCCTGTACGACCTCGAAGTCGTCCTTCAGCTCGCCAATGGCGATCCTCAAACCCGCCCATATCGAGTCGAGCAACGCAGAGCCGTTCGCCATCCCGAACACGAGGGTCGAGGCATAGAAGAAGTTCGCGTTCCCTGTCCCCTGGGTAAGCCAGAGGTAGTGGAAGAGCGGGAGGAGCAGCGCGGCGTGCAGATGCAGCAGGGCTGTGACGATAGGGTGATTGAGGTCTGGAACGGGTGTGAGAAGTTAGAGAGGAGAATTAGGGATGCCTGGGACGTACATGGGAAGGTCTCGGGGAAGAGGGACAGCATGCTGAGGAAGAGACCTGGGTCTGACAACGTTGGGTACGCCTTGAAAATACTCAGGATGCCCAAGATGAGGAAGCATGCGTAGAGGATGTCATGCCTATGACAAGATGTGAGCTGTACGTAGTGGAGCGTTTCATTTTGGCTTACTGGAACTTGATGCAGAGCGGCAGTACATATATCAGGAGATGCACCTAAGTAATGCAGAGTCAGCTTCATGTTGAGAGAAAAAAGGAGAAGCGCGCAGACGTACCGAGAAGACCATAAGGAAGAATGGCCTGAAGTGGTCGAACATCTCGGTGAAGAAGTACCACCAAAGCCCAGGGTTAGGTGTTAGATCGGGCAGCGTCAGCCTTCGGCACGATGTGAACACGCTAGCCTTTGCAAGAGCAACGAAGACTTACGACGCGCCCCACGTTTTTTCTAGCCAGGTGAGATTCCCGCAGACGAGCGTCGCAGCGCCAGAGAGGAGTACGGTGTAGACCGCGAACTGGCCTGCAAGCGGTGCTATTCGCCGGACGCTAGTCTTTATGAAATGGGGTGATGCCAGATGTGAAGTCGGGCTGGAGGAAATCAGCAACAGGAGCGGGACGAGGAGGAGGATCGATGGGAGAGACAGCTGAACCAGGAATGCGAGGGTCAGTAGGGACGCTGACGCCTGTTCTGCCAGACGGTGAGTCAGGACCCTAGCGGAAGACTTTTGCAACATACTGCGACATGCAAACATTATAGATAGCAAACATAGCGAGTTCTCAAAGCTGGACGTCGACAACCCCAGAGACGGCAGGAAAGTATACGGGTTAAGGAGATATCTGAACCTCGCGTCATGTCTTGCAGCAAAAGACTTGGATAAAAGAGACGTACAGCGCAGCTATGAGGCTATCTCTCGAGGTGGTTGACACGTTTTGTCGTGCCCTCCATATGTGTACCAAGGACCATGCGGCTACCGCATCACTGGTGGTCCACAGGAGTGGTGCTGTGACCTCGCTGAGTGGTATTACGGTGGTAAACAGGGACAGCAGCAACGGGGACTGAACAAGTATTTGAGTTAGCTCAATTATGAACACGACAGCGCTTACATGGCGGAAAGTGCTTCCAGAGTACGGATCGATTCCATGTTTGAAGAGGTAGATGCCCTCCTGCACTGAAGAGAGTAACCGTTAGTGCCAGTCATGACGTTCCAGAAACTGAGCGTACATCGCGAGTAGGACGTCAATGGGCTCGACAGCAGATGATCATCCCGCAAGTAGTGTGTCAGAGGCGAGAAAGCGAGAGCGAGTCTACTTGCGACGAGAGCAGGGAAGTCACAGTGAAGTCCATTGACGCCACCGACGCGAGGCGCGAGCGCGAACACCCCTTTGCTCTCAGCCACCATCTCCGCAGAGTCACCACCATGGACGGTTCGCAGTTCCTGGCATCGTATGTCAAACATCACCTGCCCTACTTCACACCTGCGGAAGTCGAGAAACTCTCAGACAAGCAGCGGGGGAAGCTGTCTATCACGCAAGAGGAGAAAGCCAGACAGCAAGCGTGCGGGTTTATTGAAGCTGTGGGTGCGAAGATTGGCTTGTACGTCCTGTTTCGCAGTTGCTGATATACTGGCAGCATAACTGACGTAACGGCTGTTCGCGCAGCCCAGGAAGACGATTGCCACTGCGCAAAATCTATACCACCGGTTCCATCTGTTCTTCCCGAGGAAGGACTTCAGCTACTATGTCTGTGCCCTCACTTTCAGTTCCTCTTTGATATCTCTGAGATGCCTTGCAGGACGTCACTTTGGCTGCTCTGTATGTCTCCTCGAAGATGCATGACACACTAAAGAAGCCCCGTGAGATTTTGATGATTAGCTATGGGGTACGGTATCCTGAGCTTGTGGCCAAGTCCAAGTCTATCGTTGGAGAAATAGACATGGACCCTCAAGTTCGTGGTCTTCTTCATCTCTCCGTGTCCGCCGATGCTAACGCCGGATTGTGGGTGCTTAGACCGTAGAGCTCGACCGTCAGCGACTTCTAGCGGTGGAGCGGTTGATGTTAGAGACCATATGCTTTAACTTCACGTCCAGAATGCCCTTTCCGTACGTCATCAAGATAGGACGATCTCTAGGAGGTATGAAGAGCTACCCGTATCCGTATCTGCATGCGAAGGCTCACGCTACGGCAGCCACCAAGAAGCTCACGAAGCTTGCATGGCGTCTCACAATCGACAGGTCAGCGAAGTCCAGTGGCCTTCTCCCATTACTTACCGTGTGTCACACAGCTTCCGAACACTAGTGAACCTTGAGTTCCCACCACACATCGTCGCTCTCGGCTGCATATACCTAGCTGCGTTCTTACTCCGTTCGATCAAACATCATCTCCCGATGGACCCGACTCCGCGGTGTGCCACCAAATCGTTGCGTGGCTGAGCAAGCCTGAGGCATGGGAGCGACAATTTCAAGCACACGTAGAAGACTTGGAAGGTGCGAAGCGCTGTCTTTGGTTCTATTCTATCTTGCGGGATGTTGACGGTCATGGCAGAAATTGCGTTTGCGGTGATAGACTTGCTCATAGGGGCGTCTCAAAGCACCAACCAAACACGTCGCCTACGACACCGTCCTCTCCATCCCCGCATTTAAGTCGAGCGCAAGCTGTCGCGAAACAATACCGCCGCCTCTCCCTTATAGCACTGACCAACTCATCCGTCTCAAGATTGTCATGCGGCAATCGGAGCATCCTCCACGACAACGGGAGAGCCTTGCGCAGTCGGCTGAATACGAAGCATCACTCCTTGGCCGAATGAAGGGACGGTGCGGTTCCTCTTCGGCCCTCCTCCCGTATCACCCACATGGTCTTCGTAATCTGTCGAGCATACTGACTCTGATCACAAATACATCTGGACCGACCCTTTGTTCACTGCTTCCACGGAGATATTGAGGTCCTTCTCGCTGCCTGCTTCAAAGACGCGTCCAAAATCTGCCGAAGCTAAGCAAAAGCTAAGTGATCAATTTCTGGGCCATGCTCGGCGCGAGTATTAAGCACTTGACGCGGATGCTGTCTACTACATATTACCCTGTCCTGCGCCCGCGGCCCTGGATTCACGACGTCCCCATATGTACCAGCGTGTGGATGGCAATTATAACGTGCTTCCATGATACGGAAAGGAAGTCGTTCATAGCCAGCGAAGGTGATGCGAAAATGACCTCGTCCCCGAAGCTTCTGCCAGACCAAGCCTCAAACAGCTAAGTACGGCGTACTTAGATGGGAAGAAGCACGGCAACGTCTATGGCCGATGTGTCACGCAGCTGGGCTGTGAGACACAAGGTAGGTAGTATATACTGAAATTGTGGTCATGTACACGAGTGCGATTGCGCCAGACGATGACAGAGGTACGGTAGCAGTAAGTTAGCTCGGATCTGTACTTACATGAAATTGAAGGCGGTCGCGACGCGATAGTGGCGACAGTCACCATGAAAGGTGTTGCCCCTAGTCAGGCGACAGAAGAGACGCGGTATGTCACGCGTGACATGCGCGTGACACCGAACCGAACTGTGGTTCGTATTCGCTGCTTGGACTGCACTCCGTCTCGTGTGCCCACTATCTAGCCGGCCTGTGCTGCCGCAAGCACTGCGGCCAGTCCTCCTCTTAACGGCTGTCTTTTATCACCACGGCCTATTTGTCTAGGCTGGGTACATCGTCCATTCGAACGCGACGCGTTCAGGCTTCCCTCCAGCCACCTTCGTTCTTCGTCGCTCTTCTCGGCTCCTCCTGCCCACTACTCCACGGCTCGCCTAGTCGAACGCGCTCAATATCGCTTGGCCAGCTACTTCAGCTGCTCCACTTATCGACGCGCCTGGATAGCGCTCTATTACCCCGTGTCGCGCATAATCTTTCTGGATCAAGACATGCCTGCTGCAGGACTACGAATCGACACCTCCATTGCTGTTGCTGGTCCCTCATCCAGTCGACTGGCTCTCTCTACCCCTGCGTCTGCACGAAGCTCACGGCTGCGTAGTGCTTCTTCTGCGTCGACATCATCGTCGATCTCTGGCGCTGCTGTGCAGGCGGAAGCTGGTCCGTCCAACTTCCCCCAAGCAGCGTACGCCGCTCCTCGCATCTCATGGTCGTTCGAGCAATCTCTCACGTACGAGGATGACAATGGGGAATACGTCCTGGCGATGCACGACTATCAGCCGGAGGGCCATGACATCAACTGCCTCACGTTCCAGGCTCGGCAAATCATCCGAGTGTTAAATCGCGATCCTAGCGGCTGGTGGGATGGCGAGGTTGAGGGGAGGAGGGGTTGGTTTCCGAGCAACTATGTGACCTGTGAGGTTGGTCTGCTGACGGAGGAAGAGTTGCCGGACATGACGGTACGTACATCGCTGCTGTGTATGTGTATGATTAATGTGAGGTTTACTTCGTATATAGCGCTCGCGGTCAAGACATATCCATAACGCATCTGTGAGCTCGAACAATCCGTGGACGACTCCAAGCAGTCGAGCTGCTGATCGGCATGAGTTGTTCTCGAGGACAGACCACCGTCCATTACACGCAGACGGCGGAGGTACAGCGGACATATATTGTCCGCCTCTCATGCGTCCTCTGCTTCATGGTCTTTCTCTCCTGCAGAAGGCAGCAAGAGAGAATCGCGTTGCCCATTTCCAGCCATCGACGGCATTTATCATCTCATGCGTCCGAGCCATCCTCTCCGACGTCGGTTGTTTTCAGCGAGACGCACCCATCTTGAAGCGCCACGGCATCCTTGCTCAGGAAAGGAAGCGCATATTGTCTGACCTGGCCTCGCTTGTAACGCAAGCTAGGAAAGCTTCAGAAGAGGATATGGGCGACGACCTTCGCGAGCTCGAGGTGGAGGCCATGGTCAGGTTAGGCGGTAACCTATTCGCTCACGTCCGAGGGCTCCTGGCTCTCCTCGCCCAGTGCGGGATCAGACTACCCGCGCATGGAGGCCTTCCCCCTGGATCAACCCTTGGCACGCAGACGCAAAGCTCGGAGGACACCGCAGTGTCCGACGATGGTGGAGCTGGGCACGAGTGGGGAGGGTACGAGAAGTCAACCAACGGCATCGTCCACAGACCGTCTTCGAAGCAAGTGGTGCCGAGTACTGCAACACCAATGCGTGCGAAGAGCATGGGTGATCTTAAAGCGCAGAGACCTCGACCGAGCGATGGTGACGTTGCGCAAATGCCTACGGACGGTCATTACAAGGTTTTCGGCGGGTCGCTTCGTCAATCATCCACTCCCCGCCCGAACCGATACACTGCCGGTGTGATGGTTCGCCATGAGGCAGGAAACTCGGTCAGCAGCAATTCGTCCTCGTCATCGTTCTCCTCCATCGACTCGATAGCCACGCCTGCCACACCTGCCTTCCCGTCAGGGCCCTCGACAACACCCGAGGTCATGGAAGCATTGCGGTATACACACGACCAATACTTGTCCACAATCGCAGCCTTCATTGGCCATACCCATTGGCACTCGCGTTCGACGCATGCGTCCAGTACTGGACACATGTACGGACTCATTCGCGAGGTGGTGGACATGGTTTGCAAGCTATTGACCATTGTCGATGCCGTCCTCAAGCATCCTGACCTCCCTGCGGCGAAGTCTGCTGGCCTAAAGACCGCCAAAGAGGCCCTGTATACCATCACAGGCAAGCTAGTCGACTCGGTGCGCTCGCTGACGCTGCCAGCTCCGGAGGGCATGTCGGAGGAGGAAGAGAAGAGTCTCATCTTGCACTGTGCGACGGATGCCCTGAAGGTCGGGGCAGATTGCGTTGCTGCGGTCAAGAAGTGCTTGCGACGAGCCACGGAGAGCGGCCCTTCATTATCCACCTCCCAACGATCAATGAGTCCGACATCGGTTCCCCTCGCAAGTTCTCGCAATACGTGGCCACCACATGAGTCGCCCCAGCAAGTCCTCCAGCTTCCACGCGTTGCGCCAATGTATGTCACGAGCGAGGCGGACGGAGACGATCAAGACCTCACGATCCAGGCGAGGACATTATCGTCCCCTGAAGTTACTCTCCGGATCGAGAGGCAGTCCGTCGCCTCGCCAACTGAAGCCTCGTTACCGAATCCTTGGCAGCCGCCGGAGCCATCATCCCTTTCCCCGACCTTTCCATCGTCAAACAAGCCGCTGCCGCCGTTGCGCATCCCGTCCCGGGATGTCAGCCCGGACTTCCCGTCGCCAGTGTCATTGACGCATACGGAGGACGACAGGACGACATGGGAAGGAAGTGACAGAAGGCCGTACTCACCTGCTTCGTTCGACGAACAAGTACTGCGTGGTGGGTTACCTGCTGGGCCAGAACCAATGAGACGAACACTAGTCGCCTGGACCCTGTCGCACGATCATGCTGAAGATGATGTCGCATACAACAGTGACGGCCAGCTTGTAGGCGCGACGTTGTCGGCCTTGGTCGAGCGGATGACGCCCCACGATTCCGTACCAGAGCAGGCGTTCTCCTCCGTCTTTTTCTTGACGTTCCGGCTGTTCAGCACACCCATGGATCTCGTGGGCGCCATCGTTGACCGCTACAACATCAAGCCTCCTGCCGGCCTGAATGCAGACGAGGTACAGACGTGGACACAGCGCAAGGGATTCCCTATCAGATTGCGTGTGTCAAACTTCGTGAAGATCTGGCTGGAGACTCACTGGCGTCCCGCTGCGGACAACGTCGCACTGTCGACCTTGCTTGATTTCACCCGTGATTGCCTCACGGAGATCTCTGTACAGTCGTCCAGCGCATCCTAGAGCTCATTGCTCAGTGGCAGTCGACAGACGAAGCAGGGTCAGCCGTCAAGGCCGACCGGGCGCGTGAAGCTCTTGTCTCTCTCAACCCTCCGTCTGTGCCCCTATCGGAGGTTCCTCGGCCCGTCATGACGAAGAACCTCCTGAATGCACTGAGACAAAAGAGCTTCACCTCGATTGCGATCACAGACTTCGACCCGCTCGAATTGGCTAGGCAAATGACGACCATGGAGAGTCAGCTGTACTGCGCAATAAAGCCGGAGGAGGTATTGGAGACTGGCAAGGAGGGCGCGACATCCCCTATCAACGTGAAGGCGGTGACCTCCATGAGCACGGCTATCACCGGGTTCGTGGCTGAGAGTATCTGAACGAACCTGATACGAAGAAGAGGACCTCATTGGTCAAGTTCTTTATCAAGCTCGCGGACGTGAGTATTATATCTCGACTCATTGCTCGTGCCCCAACTCACTTGTTCGCCCAGCGATGCAACTCCCTGAGCAACTTTAGCACCCTGCGTGCGATCCTGGCGGCGTTGGACTCCTCGACTATATCACGTCTACATCAAACATGGCAGGTAAGTGAAGTGTCATGCCTGTAGTCGAATGAGTCTCACGCGCCATTGCCGATAGGGTCTGTCGCAGAAGTACAAGATGCAACTCGAATCCTTGCGGAAACTCTCTGACCATGCGCGGAATTACCACGAGTACCGATCTCGACTTCGTAACACTGCCCCTCCTGCCATTCCATTCCTCGGTGCGCATAGAATTTCCGGATGCATATGCAGAGTTGCTCATCTCGTTCCTGACTAGGTTTGTATCTCACCGATGTCACCTTCTGCCGTGAGGGCAACCCTTCATTCCGACCCTCGCCCAAGTCGCCCGACAAGAAGCTGTTGAACTTCAACAAGTATCATAAGCTTGCGCGCATTGTACAGGGTTCGTCCAGCGTGCACCCTTCTTGTTTAGATCACAGCTGACGTCCTTGCAGACATGCAGCGCTTCCAGACACCCTACAATCTGAAACAGATACCAGAGGTGCAGGAATATCTCAGAGACGCATTCGAGAGGTCTGCGCGGCAAGGCGACTTGCAGGACTCTACCGGCGCAGTCTCATGGTTGAGCCCAAGCATTCCACCGACACTCCTCCCACGAGCGACGTCCGACAGCTGTTCAACTGGACTCGTTCGCAGTCACACCAGCCTACACCGACGTCTGCCTCTGCATTATGACCTTCTTCTGACTGGCCTTCCTCCATTGCTTTCGTGACGACTCGGACCTCGTTTTGTATGCATCTCAAGCATGGACCCTGCGTCTCATCTGTCCTTCATACCCTCTGCTCACAGACTTGTGACTCTATGATACCTCAGTCTATTGTGAATTTATTCGCTGTCTATTTGTTGTACACACATCGCATGTCTGGGATCCCCGATGTAACAGCTATCTCCTATTGTTATCCGCTTCGTCTTGTCTTTTCTTCATCAAAAGTCGTCATCATTATAGTATGGCTACCGACTATGGTCGTATCGCGTTACGTAGAATCCGATACCAGTCTTGTCTCGCTTCTTGAGACCCTCTTCATCTCTGTGGTTGAGCTTCAGACTCGGGTATGTATCTTCTTTGACATCTGGGCCGAAATCAAGCACAAATGGACGTGACTGCGTCGCACCGAAGAGACGGGAGCTCTCGAGGACGACCGAGTACACGGGAGAAGGGTCATTCCCCGGCGCATGAACGCTCCACCCCGCGGAAGGGTTGCGGACATCCCACAGAGCGACGACACTGTGGCGCGCGGTTCCTGCGGCGATGTAGCTAGAAGCACCCCCACCACAGGAGACGGAGTAGTTCGGCTCGAAGAGCCAAGGGTCGAACATCGAGAGGACCGGGAGTAGAGGCGCCGGACAGCAGGGGTCGGACGAGTAGGCGCGCTTGGACGAGCGAAGGTCGTGGACGCGCACAGGACCGTCGTACCACCCGGACACGATGATCTGGTCCGAGTGCCCCCATGGGGAGGTGGGCGGCGCGCCCGCGATCCCGTAGACCGCTGACTGCTTCGGGCGCTCGTCGGCCGTTCCCGAGGTGAGGATGGCAGACGGGCTGGGGGACAGGCCGGACGGGTGGATGTCGTGCACTGAGAGCGGGTCCGCGGAAGAGGTGCCGAAGACAGCGTAGGGAGTCGAGCTGCGCGCGGAGAGATGGGTCGACCAACCGCGAGAGTCCAAGTCGAGAAATTCGGGAACAGGTTCCGCGGAGGAGAGGTTCATGAAAACTGCAGTGCCGCCTGAGGAGAGTGATAGCATGTAGTCCCCGGCTGAAGAGACGCTCTCTACGATGTCATCGCCGTGGAAGTAATTCCCTTCACGGAGGAAGGGTCGATGTGGAGGGGCTGACCCTGCTTCCTGGGCTCAGAGAGAGGGAGGGTAATGCGCTCTAGCGCGCCGTCTGCAAACCCGACATAGACGGTTTGGTCCATGCCACCATCTTCGACTGAGGCCATAGTGGTGATGTCACGATGGGCTTGCAGACGTTGGCTCGTGGTATAGGCACCCTCGAACACTATCCCTGGTGCATTCCCGGCTTTCGAGCGGTGAATGCATACGAATAAATCGTATTTCCTGCTCCGACGAATAGCCTGGAGCGGTTCACCGCGAGAGCTGGTTGCAGCTTGCCCATCCATTTCCGGGCCAGCGGACGTGCGACGAATTGATGATTCGCCCAGTTGCGGTCAGTGATCGTGTGATGGCTGTGTCCATGATAAACCGGTCTGTAATTCACTTCCCGGAGGCAGAATCGGGATCAACGTACCGGACTTGTGCATACGGAGCCCATGACATGAGGGACTTGGAAAGGCTGAAAGACGGTGGGCTGTTTTGACGGGCGTGCAGGCTCCATCCGAACTCGCTGACCTATGGGGAATCCGTTTGTATTTCCCGCTAGCCAATCTGAGTTGAGGAGACTCACCAAGTCGTACACGGATGTGCATGTTTCCGACAAAGCCGCAAGATCGCGTGCAGACAAATACTGCATGATGACTACAATTACATCGCTGGGCAGTCGCTTGACATGCATGACGCTACTCCGGGTCCGGGTGAGTGTAGGTTCGAGTAGGGTTGTGCTCGGTTCCACCGACGAGAAGTGTATTTGCGTTCGTATATCGAGCGAGATGGGTGTCGAGGGCTGAGCTGGGCCTGGAGGATGTCTGGCGTGGCCACTGCACTGGAGCTGGCTTGCAACTGGGCTTATGAACCGTACTGTAGCTCTAATTACGTAAGCGGCTTTAAGGGAGGGAGTGATCGCGATCGTCACGCGTGTGCCGAGGCGTCGTTGGCGTGGGCGTGCCGCTGCTCTCTTCCACGACACACAACGCGCGCAAGACAATCCCTGACGCTTGCTAGCGGGCCAGGACATGAGAAGGGATGTTCGGATTCTACTCGTAGGCGACGGTGAGCCCCCAAGCCGTCCTCCGCGCCCCATTCTGATCCACTAGCTTATGCCAGAGGCTGTCGGCAAGAGTACCATCGTCACTTCCTTGATCAAGGAGTCATTTGTTGCCCACGTACGGCCATTCTCCTCGATGGCGTGGAAGACTTCTAAGTGCTACGCACGACCTAGGTTCAACGCATAGTCCCCGAGGTTACTATACCCCCAGAAGTCACGCCCGAGAATGTTACCACCTACATAGTGGATTCCGGCAGTACGTTTGCCGCCACGACCCCTTGCTATAGCTGACCAACTTTGGACGTAACAGGCGGTCCGCCGGATCGGCCGCACTCGAGTCCGAAATACGGAAAGCACATGTAATATGCGTCGTATATTCCATCGACAACCCGAACTCCTTCGACCGAATACCGACGTATTGGTTACCGTACTTCCGACAACTTGGTGTCAATGTAGGTTCTTCTGAGAAGCCAATCACTTTGCTGATTCGACACGTGCAGGTGCCCGTCATCCTGGTCGGTAACAAGATTGACCTCCGAGGGGGGGAGGTTACGAACGAAGCTTTGGAGGATGAGATCATTCCCATCATGAACGAGTTCAAAGTGCGTCTACCCCGGATCATGCTGGGGCTTTTGGACTAAATGTAGCCTCGTAGGAAGTAGAGACATGCGTGGAATGCTCGGCAAAACTACCCTTGAACGTGTCAGAAGTCTTCTACTTCGCTCAGAGGGCTGTCCTCCACCCTACTGCACCATTGTACGACTCGCGAGATCATGTTGGTGCGCAGGCATGTGCTGGAGAATTTGTGCTGATCAAATACTCTGGATAGGTCCTCAAGAAGAGTGTATCGCTGCGCTGCGAAGAATATTCAAACTCTGCGACGCAAACAAGGATGGCATCCTAGATGCATCCGAGCTGAACGAGTTCCAGGTGCGTCCGATTTTCACGCCTATCTACCTGTCTGTCTGAATCGCCTTCAGCGGAAATGCTTCGACGCTCCGCTCCAAGCTCAAGAGTTGGAGGGGATCAAAGCGATGGTTCAGGAGCACGCCGAGGGCGGCGTTCACGGTGGTGGACTCACCGAGGCGGGATTCCTGTACCTCCACACTATCTTCATCCAACGCGGTCGGCTGGAGACCACCTGGACTGTTCTGCGCAAGTTTGGTTACGCTGAGGATCTGCGGCTGACGGAGAGCTTCTTGTATCCGAAGCAAGCATTACGTTCTTCGATAATATCCCGGGAAGCACCGCTGACGTATCACCATAGATTCGACGTCCCGTACGAATGTTCTGTGGAACTGAGCCCGAAGGGATACCAATTCCTGACTGACATCTTTGAGACCTTTGACAAGGTCCGTGTCACCTCATGCATAGTCTAATAGGCTATTGACCCGCTATAGGACCAAGACGGCGCTCTGAAGACAGAGGAGCTAGAAGACCTGTTCAGTACATCCCCCGGCAACCCTTGGGCGGGACAAAAGTTCCCTGATACCACCGTTGCGGATGACACGGGTGCCGTCACATTACAAGGATGGCTAGCACAATGGAGGTGTGCACAATGCTTGGTCTTCACGGAAACTGCACCCTTACCACGCCACCGGCTTCAGTATGACCACACTCCTCGACCATCGAACCACTCTTGCATACCTCGCGTACTTGGGTTATCCCGATGAGCCCCGGACGAGCGCGCTGCATATCACTCGACCACGAAAGGTTGACAGACGGAAAGCCAAGGTGACGCGCAATGTCTTCCTCTGTTACATCTGCGGTGCAGCAGGCTCGGGCAAAACTTCTCTACTCCGTGCATTTGCCGGGAAGCCATTCAATGAAAAGTACGAGCCACGAAGAAGATGAACTCTGTTGTCAACTCAGTAGACATCGACGGCTCAGAAAAGTACTCGTGGTGCGTCAGGTGTGCATTCAATGTGGTCATCCCCTCTGATCAGCTTTGGCAGTTGCAAGAGTTTGGCTCAAATACGAGGCAGAGACCCTGCGGAGTCCGAAGAAGACGATTTGGCGGATGTCGTCGTCTACGTACACGACTCGAGCGACACCAATTCGTTCTCGTACATCAGTAATCTGAGGGTGTGTCTGTCCAATGGTCCGGTCCGGGTCTAACTGACAGCCTCGCAGCAACAGTACATTCTGGACCATATACCAACGTATTGTGGCAACGAAGTCTGATCTAGACCTCGCCCAACAGGTGCGTGAGCGTTTACAGACGTTTGCATAGCGATTGCCTGACCGCCCGAGCGGTGATCTTCAGAGACACGAGGTACAGCCAGATGTATACTGCCGCAGATTAGGGCTACAGGTCCCTGTCGCTGTCAGCGTCAAAACGGGGCAGACGGCGGACGTGTTCCACGCCATTTGCAGCGTTGCGATGAACCCGTACGTAGTCGTGCTCTCTGCATGCTGCAGGACCCTCACATGTGCGCTTGCCCAGCAACTCCGCAATACCAGGAGGCTCAGACCGCGCGATGACAGCCGCTGCTCGCATCCGGATGTATATCAAGGTGTGCACGCTGATCGGTGGTGCGGCGACGGGCGTTGTGCTTGTATATCGGACATTTGCCCGGCCTGGCAACAGCCTCAGTAGCGTAACGGCGCAGTGGATAAACTGGATCGTGGGCACTGCATCGCGGAGAGAACTCTAGCTACTACCTACGCTACTTTGACTACTTATTACTACTACTACTTACTTCCGCTTAGACCATGCTACTTCGACCTAGGGCTGTGTGCTGATCAGTGAAGGATCGGGGGCAGGAGAGTGACACGAAGCGTCGAATGTGGTAAGGATTGTGCGGGAATCAAGGGTCCCAGGACGCGCGACTCAGGCGTGGTGCCGGCGCCAATGGCCCTGTACACTGCGCGCGCGGCAACATGACATAACTTGCAAGAGCCTCCATCTGTGCCGTGCCAATACATCTCATCTCTGCACTCTACAACCACCATCGATCACGACCACCACGACCAAGACTTGCACACCGTGCTCCTGAGTGATCCTCGAGTGATTTCCAGACAATAGGAGTGGACCCAACACAAGCGCACTACTCACCTCACGAACTCACGCAGCGTTCACGATGGATGAAGACATGGATTTCGACTCCGGATCTACCAGTTACCCCCCGCCCGAGGCCTATGGCCCGCAGCAAGAATACCAGGTGGATACGAATGGTGCGCCACCTCCAGATGGGCGGAAAATGCTGTATGTAGTCTGTTGCGGTGACGTCTGGCGGTACTGACTCGAGGTATCGCCCATCAGAGACCTCGTCTTCGTGCAAGACTGCACAGGGAGCCAGGGCAGCTATATATCCTCCGCCACAAGGAACATTGAAGAGATCTGTAACCACATCTACGAGTCGGGGAAGCTCCAAGCCGGGAAGATCTGCGCATCGGGCTCGTCGCGTACAGGGATCATCCACCCCAGGACCACACCTATGTCACGAAGAATTTCGGCTTCTCCTCAGACATCTCCCAGGTCCACAGTCACCTCTCGAGCTTGTACGCATCGGGAGGTGGCGATGGGCCGGAGGCAGTGACTGCTGCACTGTCGGAGGCTCTAAACATGGAGTGGAGGCCTTACGCGAGCAAGATGGTTGTGCTCATCGCAGATGCGCCCCCACACGGCATCGGAGAGTACGGTGATGGTACGTTATTTCCCTTGATACCTGCTCGAGTTCTTCATGGGTCGTGCAGGGTTCGACGAGGGGTCCCCGGATGGAAACGATCCACTGCAGATTGCGCGACACATGGCTAGTCGCGGGATCACACTGGTATGCTACCGTGTCGAATGACGTCGTTTTCAATATTTGACTGCGTGTAGTTCTTCGTAGCATGCGAGCCTGCTTGAGTGGCTACGCGGTAAGTGTATTCACATCGGTGTGTATTACTCAGTTTGCTCAGTACGCGACAGACTTCTTCCAAGCCTTGGTGAACATCACCTCTGGCCTGATGCTACCCCTCACAACCGCGGACCTCCTCACACATGCAATTGTGGGCAGCGTCCTGGAAAATCTGGATATGGAGCGGTTAGTCCGAGAGGTCGGAGAAGCCGTTTCGCAGAGGATCCTCGGGAATAATGAAAGCGTCGATGATGTCGCACGGGAGCTCCACGAACGTCTCCTGCTGCGAAACGAGAGCACTAAGAGGGTCGTCATCGAAAGCATCTACCGCGAATCGAAGAGGCGAAGCATAATGTGAGCGTGTACATGAACTCGGGCTCCCTCACGGAAGCACGTCCCAACCTCAAGAGAGTATGTCGCTGAACCTTCCGCGCCTCACACGCTTGCTCATTTTGCCGTAACGCAGGTGCCCGGGACACGTTTCACTGACAAATACCTCCACGCTCGGATGTCCTCACAGCGCTCATACGCCTATTCCCCTACGCCCCGCGGTCCAGCACGTCGGTGGGCGCAGCACCTGCCAGCCCGACGAAGTCGCCCAAGCTGTCCGCCTCTCCGCCGCGCAAAGTAGTCACCGACTTTGCCGCCTTCGGTGCGCCGAAGAACGCGAGCGTATTCGGCACAGCGGTGGCGTCGACGCCGTTTTCACTTGCCGGCGGAAAGGCGGCCTTTGGCGGCATTCGTGGCGCGCCGCGGACCACGGCGTTCGATGACGACGATGAAGAGGAGGAAGATGGTAGGCAGAAAGTCGAGCTGCGGGAGGACTCAATCACGCTTGACCAGGTGCGCTTGCCATTCCACTGCCAGAGCTTCGGGAGAAGTAGGCCGCTCTGGTTGTGATACTGACTTTTCCTGCAGGCGAGGCGTATTGCCATGCAGAGCGCGTGGAGGAGCATCCGTTCTTGAGGATCCTCATCTCGTTTGGTATACACGCTCGTCCAGGTGACGGTTGACTTGCTTTGTTGAATAGCTTCAATATGTGGCCTCTGACACTACGCACGGCCACTGTTGGCCGCTGTCCATTCCCTATGTACTCATCCAGTTGAAAACAACGCTTGTATGTCTAATAGTCAGTCTTGCAAATAGTAGCACTCCGTCGTTGCATATGTGATATACCAATATGACGTTGCCGAATGGAACACAGTACCATAGCATCATCGTGTAGAAGTACCTACGTGGAGGATACCATAATGGAGTTGTCATGAAGATGAAGACGACTTGCGTCGTTTCTCCTTTCCTGTCTCTCCCTGATTATCCGAGCACCCCTTGCCCTTCTTCCGCTTGCGCGACGCGTTTTTGGCCACGCTGGGTGCGCCTGGTGACTCTGCTTCACCCTCCTTGTGATCCTCCACTGCACCATCGCCATCTGCCGCCTCCGATGCTGCGGCATCCTTCAGCTGCAGCTTGCGTTGGCGGTGCTCCTCCTTCGCAGCCCGCTTCTCTGCTTTCTGCTTTTCCGCTCCTCTTTCTCGCGTTTCCTATCATCGTCCCTTTCTCCCTCCGTAGCTGCTGCATTTTCCTCCCGCTTCCGTTGCTTCTTCCCATTCCTTCTACCCTTCCTGCCTCGCCTGCCGCCTGCTCTCTTGCTTCTCGTTTCCGACGTTTCGTTTCCTTCTTTGTAGGATCTTCGTCGGCATCCGAAGATGCAGACCGTTTCTTCTGTTTCTTCGGCTTCGGCTGAGCGGACTCCCCGTCTTCGGACAATGGTTCGATGGCGCGCTCCTTCCCCTTCTTGCTCTTTTTCACCGAAGCGGGGATTGGTTCGCTAACTCGTGTAGGCTGGCTGGTCGATGTAACCTCGCCCTCTAGCTGAGCGGTCTCGAGAGGCTCGTTTGGACCAAGTACAGGTCCCCGGAAGAAGCTCGCGTAGAGCATGCGTTTGGCGGCTTCTTGTTTCGCTGTAGCCATTAGGCTGAGTCGTGGTGTGACGCTGCCGCTGCCGCTCGCCTGCGAGTCTGGTGTAGTGGTTCCGGATAATGCGGGCGCGCCCGTCTTCGGCCTGCGGTTTGAAATGATACCAGTTTTAGTTCGCTGTAGCTCGACAGTAGACGTAGGTGTGGCCTCGCTATCCTGAAGGACGATGAATGTCCGTGGGAGGTAAGGCGTGAAGTCACTCACGGAATCGTCGTCGTCGGGCTGGATCTTGACTTGGATGCTCATCGCGGCCGCTTCAAAGACACTACGAGTAGTCAGCTTCCAGCGTCATTAGCGAAGTACAGGGCAACGGACTCACTGATCCCAGAACGGGAACGCCTCGTCGCGATCCTTGCCTACGCCCGCGAGTGTCTTCTTCTGGGCAATCGTCACTGGGCGCGAGATGGCGCCTTGACGCAAGCCAGTGCCCTTGCCGCCCCATCCTTGCTTGACGAGATATGCGTGTCCGTCGATGGGCATGGCGACGGCGGGAGCGCGACTGGGCAGCACAGATGATGCTCGGTGTGAGGTTTGTAGACGCCCAACTCAGCACTCAAAATATGGTTGCACGTGTTTGCGCGTCGAGATCTCGATGGCACGGTGCCCGATCGCTGAGCTCATTTCCTCCTTGACACGGATTTCGACCCCACTCTCGCGTTACTCTCGTACATATCCACGCTCGACGACCGCTTGCCATGCCTTCGGCCGTCAACACACCAGATGTTTTTCCGCTCCTCACTCACGAAGCCTGCTTGCATTCCAGTTCTCCTCCTGGTACCCCAGGTTCTCAATCTCAGCATCAAGTCAACCATCATCCGCCCTCTGAGCCAGGATTTTCTCGAGTATTTGGACGCAGATGGCGTATTCATGCCAGAGGGGGCAGACGACACGTAAGCCACGCTCGTCTCCCGTCCCTTTACCGCGAACTGTCGCCGTCGCAGACCCGTAGAGAGTACTCTCTCGGACGAAGAGGACGGCAGTGGGTATGAGAGTGATTCGGAAGACGAGCAACATCGGAAGTTTGCATTCCCGGAGCTGGACGAGAAGATACGGGACGCTGTGTCGCAGTATGAAGCTGTCTTTCCCAAGCTGAACTTCTCGTCTCCTCGGGTGTGTATGTGCACTGGTGTTCTCTTCTCGTACCCCATGCTAACATGAAGTTAGGATGCGGCGTGGATGCTACCAGCATCATCGCCAATGAAATGCGTCTCACCCGCGACGTTTACCTGCTGCTGAAGTCATCGGATTTCGTGCAGCACGACCTCAATCCCGATCACGTATTCGATGGGTGCGAGACGAAGCCGCCTACGTATGACCTCGAGCTTGTGTTGCGGAAGTGGTATCCTGTCGACCGAAGTAGGGAGCTGCGTTGCTTTGTTCGGCACGAGAAACTGCTAGGTGAGTTAGCCGAAGATTCCGAGACTAAGATGCCAAATCTCCGTAGGCATATCGCAGCGGGACCCCAATTACTATGACTTCTGGAATGAGTCCAACACACAGAGCAAGGTCTTGGAAGCAGTGAAGACATTCTGGGAGAATAACATCAAGGAAAGTGGCCGGAGGGTGGAGGCGATTGTGAGAGCTTCACATCTCTGCTCCGCATCCTTGCTCATGTTCATAACCTATAGATGTCTTTGACTTCTTGCTCACCCGTGATCTGTCTAGAGGGCACATCATCGACTTCAACCCCTACGCACCACGAACGGACTCGCTCCTTTTCTCGTATGAGGACTTGCACGACTTGCTCCTCGCTCGAGGGGACGACTACTCTCCCCAACCGGAACTGCGCGTCGTTGACTCTCCCAGCCACCCAGTTGCAGCTCGAAACGCCCCCACACATCAGCACAATATGATACCACTGGAAGCGCTTACAATGAGTAGTGGCAGAAGTATGCAGGACTTTGCCGGAGCGTTGCAGGAAGAAATACGCAAGTCGATGCAAGATGATAGCGGCGACGACTGATGTACCCAAACCCTCCCACCTATTTGTAGCATATCGCACTGTACACATACCATCGCAGGGTTCAAACGGGTCTCCGCTGTATTTTCTATACAATATGGACAGAGGTCGAGTTCTTTTTCGACAAAGCATGGACATCCTGCTCTGTGGCACGAGGTGACATTAGATTGGAAAGCGAGGGAACCATGGAGGCAGACTTACGGATCCCCCATACGTGTGAGCGCAAGTCAGGAACTCTGCGCGGTAGGTCAAGAAGTGAACGTGCAATTGACAGCAGATAAGACCCACCAACGTGGAGACCGTCGTACAGCTTCTTCATCTCTGCCCGCAGCCTCGAGAGATCCTCCTTTGACGACGCTGTGTCCGAGAGTGCCTTCAAGTCCTTCTCTACCGCCTCAATGCGTCTAACATGCGCAGAAACCTGTCCAAACAGACGTAAGAACCTGACAGAGAGGGAAACTATCTAATAGGGAATATAACCTTCTGCGTGCTCAATGAAGCTCCTCCACGCTAGCCTGCAGCGCAGCAGACGCGAGCTTGTACTCCTCAAGTAGTGATAGGCTGCAAGAGACGACGCAAGGGAGAAGCCAAAGAGGAATCCCACAATTCTGTCCAACAGTAGTGAGCCAATTCATACACCATAATTGAGGGCCGAAGAGTACTATGGGACGTACCCTCCTCGGAATGCACCCACCGGCTTCTTGGGTGGTGGCACGGTGCCAAGGTTGGGCGTCGCCGGTGCAGCGTCGCGGATGACGCGAGTGGTCGACAGTGCCCTCCTAGAGAGCCCGACGAGGCTGGCCGCGCAGAGGCGGCGAGCCGCAGGAACGAAGAGGACATGGTCGTGCTGAGCTGAACGTGTAAGTAGGCAGCCGACCTCGAGAACCCGAGTGACGGCGACAGACGCGTCGGCCGGAAAAGGTAAGTATGGCCCACGTGATACGTGCCGCGAGCGTTGTGGCTGCAGTTTGGCTGCAGTCTGCAGTTCCGCGTCCTCGCGTTCGTCCAAGTTCCGCCGTTCAGCTTGCTAGCTTCACCAACAAGGGCCTATAGGCTATCTCGCGCTTGGAGCCTGCCTGATCTGTCGAAAATCCTTACAGTATCTAGCCTAATATCTCTCTGAGCAAGCTTTGCATTCCTCACATGCCTCCGAAACGCAAGTCAGACGACTCAGCCTCGCCGGATCCCCCCACAGCTCGCGAGAGGAAGAAGCAGAAAACCGCGTTAGCTCGGAATATAACTGTCCAGACTTCTCAAGCAACAGGTACTAGCAATGCATCTGCAGGCCCTTCGAAATCTGTACGCTTCAGCTTCAACAGTGAGTGTACCGATCAGTTCCACAGTGCCTTGTGTGACGCTAAGCGCGGACAGGCATGCAAGGCCTGCCAGCATCTATTGACGTGGAACGATTTGCCGAGGTATTACTGTTTGGAGAGCTCTGGTACAATCGATGCTCAGTACTATGCAGGCACGGGCGTTCGAGATCAACGCGATGGAAGAAGCCATGAAGAGTGCCCAGTACGTTATTCTTCGTATGCCTCTACGCAACGAGCCATTATTGACCGTCATCGCAGGTCAGCATCTACGAAGAGGGCCTGGCAAGAGCTACCTCGTCATTTGAGACGACGAGCAGCCAGTCATGACGTGCGCCGCGTCCCCCTTCGACTGAGAGACAAGGCCCGAGCGGAGGTCAGTGATATTCGTCTAGTGAATCGTTGTTGTACTATGTTGACCTGTGTGCCAATGACAGATGGATCCTCAGCGCAAGAAAGCGCTTGGACGACACGTCCCGAAACGTGGTAAATCCAAACAAATATCCCGGACGAAGCAGTTCCTTAAGCGGCAGAGTGAGACAACAGCCTCAACTCGGTTAGAACCTCTTTTGCTTACACAGCCCTCAGTCGATAAGACGTGGTTAGAGACGCACATATGGCATGCGAAGAGGATGCACATGGACAACATGTGGGGCTATCGGTTGGTGCGCGGGTGTCCAGCACCATGCGCGTAGTATATACTAACGCCGACCTCCAGGCAGTAGAACCCACGGAGAAGTCTTTCCGCCCCTCGCACAGAGCATCAGTTCATGGCTCCATTCTGCATGACGCATCGTACTTTGCGCTCGTTGAACTCACGGGACCGGAGGACATCCTTCGCGCCATACTGGACAGTTGTTCGGACTTTCAGGGCGCAAGTCCTGGAGCCAAACGGTGAGAAGCGGACAGATGTCGATCGTTTGACACGTCACTGACACGCGACTGCGAAGGTTCCTGACGGGCGCGAGAGTCTGCGAAACGCATCTATACAAGCATCGATCGTATCCATTTGATTTGGTTTCCCCGATGACCGTCCTATGGCAACCAGCCACCCAGAGCAACAGCAAGCCTGAGGGGGTTCAGTCCGAAGAAGATGGCACAAAGTCGAAGAAACGCCGCAGGAAAGGGAAGGGCAAAGACAAGGTGCATGACGGCGCCTCGGGCTCGGCTCAACCTGGGCGCAAAGTCTGGATACGCGTACACCCCTCCGCCGTACATGTCGCACACCAGACGCTTCGCCTTGCAGCATCATACGCTCTGGATGCCGCGAGGACGGCGGAGCCAAATAGGGAGGTAGCAGAGGTTGAGATTGCCGACCTGAGGGAACGCGTTAATGTATTCGAGATCATGGGGCCGAAGTCCAGTCAGGTTATCAAGGGTGCACTCAAGCCAACGAAAGATAACGATGGGACGAGTTTCCGAAGGTAAGCAGGTGAGCTTCAGTATAGGGTAATGCCATTGATAGGTCGCTATGGTAGTTCTGGGATTCCCTGACTAAATTGCAGTCTACTGGCTCGTTACCGAGAGGTATGGTGGTTGGCTTCACTGTGCACGACCTCGCTTAAGGTACGTAGTTTGCATCGAATGTTCGGGGTTGCTCATTCACATATTGCCACTGACCCACTCAGCTTCCCACCCAAAAAGCGAAGCTTGAAAGCGGACTTACATCGTCTCCGATTACAGTGTTCCCATCAGCGAATTTGCGCAAAGCGACATTTGGGACAGAACGTGCGTAACGGCCTGCGGAGACCAAAATACAAAAAGAAGACATCGACCAGCGCAAGTCTCAGGTAAGCCCTCGCGATTTGAATAGAGCAACATCGTGCTCACTGAGCCTGGTGCAGAATTTGGTGCCGGGACCATACTGCAGCCGACTCAGAAAGACGACAGAATACCTGTCATTCTTATGCAGCGCTCGGTCGAAAGCGCCTCGCCCATCTCACCTTCGTCTCCCCATCACACAAGCTCCTCGACTGCCCTGCATGGATGGACACTAATCATCCCCCAGGGCTGGGCCATGGCGTTCTTGCCGTCCCTCATCTATACGGGCACCCGGGTGGGTGGCCAGCGTGAACGGCAGACTCAGACCTACGAAGGCGGCTGTGCCTACTTCCCCCGTGACTATCCGTTTACCGATGCATATGAGGAATATGCGGACGATAGGGAAGCAAAGGAACAGGACAGATGGGAACGCAAGCCACCGGCGAAACGGGTGAACTATACAAAGATTGGGACCCGCAGTCCCTGGAAGCCCGATTGGGAAGTTGTCCTGGGACTGCAGGAGCTACCTCAGGAGCTGATCCCTGCTCAGCGAGAAGACGTGCAGATGGCTACACCGGATGAGCAGGCACCCGGCATCACTGCACAAGCGGGCAACGACGGGAAGCAAGTTCGCCCTTGGCTCCTTCGTGGACAGGACGTTCCCTCGATAATTCACAGTATCTCGTCTATGTTCAACCCTAGTGCTGGCCTGGCGGACTACATCGACCAGCTCCGCGTCAAGCGCGGCCAGGATCCGCTAGGCAACAGTGTGCGAGCGAATGAGTTGTGGAAAGGCGCGCTCGTGAGGGTCAGGGTGCTTCTATGCGGAAGAGGTAACCCGGAGGATCTCGCACTGATATACAAGCTTGACGACGAGGAGTCGAAGAAATGGAGCGAGGCGGAGGCTCTCAGTAAGCAGGGTGCTCCGGCACTGCTATCGGAGGATGCAGACGAGACGGAGGTGAGTGTAGAGATCGTTGGGACATTATAGATGTCACTAATCTTCAATCGTCATGAAGCTCTCTCAGCAGGCTCCCTCCAGAGATGCCATCATCGGCTATGTTACTACAGGACACTACTCATGTCTCGTGGGGAGGGACATGCCATCGGAGCCATACCTGTGAGCAACCTCGTCGATCTACAGCGACAAGCAGAACGGTCAGTCGCCCTTCCAATTCTATGGATGGGCCGCAGTACTGACAGACTTGGCTGTAGGTTGCGCACGCCGGACTCATTGCTGGTAAAGATTCGTGATCGAGGCGAGACGATTTGCAGAGCTGCTCGCCTCGAGGTGCTCACCTGAGACTGGATATTCCGGATGTACTTACCTGAGATGTTCGAACGCATTGATCTTCAAACAATGCACGTCGTGCTCGTACTCATCAGCTAGAACCCAAGGCATGTTCCACTCCTGCGAGAAGAAACAGCCGAGACAATACAATATAATGTGCGATCGTTCTAGAGTATACAGCAGTGAGAACGGGCGTGTGCAGAGAAATACGAAGTGCGACAATGTGACCAGGCAATGCAGAGGATAGCGATAGTGATTGACATAACACAAACGAGTCCGCCTTAGCTGATCTTCCATCTGTCCATGGCCGCCTGTATGAGGCGCGCCATGTCCTCCTTCGCTTGTTTCTTCGCGCTGTCTGTGATCCCATCCAGTGCGTCAATCTCCTCTGGCGATGTGCGAAAAGGGTCGAACTCTAGGACGTGACCGTCCTTTGTTGGAACAGATACCAATGCAGATAGTGACAGCAGTGTGGTTGGTCCGGAAGCGTCTTCTCCGTTTGGCTGGTGGTTCGTGCGTGCGGGAACGAAGCCGTTCGTGCTGGTTTGCGAGGTATTGCGGGAGTGAGGAGGGCGTGATGCTTGGGACTGCGCCAGGCTCGACTGTGAGTTCGACCGCGAGTGGCCACTTTGAGACAAATGAGATGAGGAAGAGCGTATTATGATACTGCTCTTCTTCTTGAGCGTTTGTAGGCCGTTCAGGGGCCGTGGAGGTTCAGTATCGCTACCGTCGGTGTCATCCAGGGCATCGCCCTCGGCCCCGGCTACCGTCTTCATATAGCCATTGAGACCGAGTTGGTAGGGGTTGGCGAGGGGTGAGCCGTTAACGCTCATCATGCTTTCATCCATCCTGGGCCAGCGCGGCTGAGGTGGTAGGACAGGATTGAAGGTGGTTGTGGAGGGTGGACGAACTACACGGGCATAGTGGTTCGGATGAGATCCTTTCGAAGGAGATGGTAGCTTCGACGGTGACACCGGTCGCGAAGACGGTTTGGAGAACAGGGAGGGTTTGCCGGAAGCCACTTTGTGTGGGCTAGGAGACGGCATTGTCGTGGACGGCATGCGCGGTGGTGGACGTGCCTAAGGACGATTAGATCTACGCACAGGAACAGGAATGCAACGACTTACAGTCCCGGGAGTCTTGGGTACGGCGAAGCGAGGCTTCTGAACGTGCCAGGGCCGGTCGTAGAGGGAGGTTTCTTCTTAGGCGTAGCAACGGCAGTACGCGCTAAATCTCTTGTCAATGCTGTGGACAAAGGTGCGTCACGGATACCACGTACCACTCTTGAGCCCCCTCGACGATTCCGCATCCCGCGAGCCCGCACCGGTGCTCGGACCAGCGGCTGCATTCGCTTCCTCTTGCGATGCAGCCCATTTTCGCTTTAAGGCTGTCCTGTCCATCCCGTTCTGTCCTGTTCCGAGCGCGTCGCGAGCCATCGCCTTCACACACTCCTGAACGTTCCCATTGTACTTTGCGAACTCTTTCAGTGTGATATCACGGACGACACGTGGTATTCGCGATATTTGACCCTCATGGCGGAGTCGGAAGTTCTCTAACGAGTCTGCGAGCCATGCTTCAATCTGCTCAGTTCGGTGCTGGACTGCTCGAAACAGATGTAAGATGGAATCAACGAGAACAAGAGAATGGGACGCGCCTTCGAGGTCAAGGTTCGCCAGAAGCTGTTTCTTTTCTTCTGCGGAGTATCTATTCTTTGATGGTGAGGCGTACATCGCGTGGGACGGGGAGGTGCTGAGGGGGCGAAGAGAAAGGCGTGCCACCGTGGTCGGACGCGTTCGACACGCCCGTCGGCACGTGGGCCGTGCGACGCGTCCTGCCACTCATCGATATCCGAGCGTTGTGGCCACCACTCGGCCCCTCCGAGTCGTTTTCGACACTCGGTCATGTTATGACTGGACTTCCTTGGCTCTCAGCTGGTGTGTGTTTGGCGCTGAGGTTCCGAGGCAAGATATAAGATATTCCGAAGATGTGCTATGAAGGCATGTGGTACGCAGGCTCCGTGGACGACAAGCTGTAGGTGTGCAGGGTCGTACGAGTCTCCTTTGTGCAGGGGATCTTTTCGACGAACATGACTCAAGTCGTGGAGCGATATGCAAGGTTAGGAGGCGCAGAGTCAATGCCAAGTATCTCATGACAAACTCTGCGGATTACGGTGAGCAAGACGGATCGACTAGGAGCATGGCAACCGCTGCTAGTAGCCCAGCGGAGTGGCGAACAAGTGGCGAATACGTCCATCTGCTCTTTCCACCTCATTGTTTCAGTGTTCTAGCCATTGAAGGGAAGGTCAGAAATCCTTCTACACGCGCGCATCATGTGGCGGTAACGCGGGCTGCAATGAAAACCCAGAACAAGAACACAAAAGACAGCTAGCGGCCCTATTATGTTGCTGTGCGCGGGCCACCCATACGGCCAAAACACGCAGATCCCGCGCTCAGTGACGCATGGTATAAAGAACCACCTCAAGTACAGATCGGCATTCGCATTCAGTGAAGCCACTCTCGGAGTTCACCCATTCAGCATGGCAGAACGCCACAATCCTTCGCAACTGGACGTACATATCGAACATCTGGAAGGAGAATTCGCGCCGCAATTGATGTACGAAGAAGACTCACTGATCACAGTGTCGTACGTGATATTGCCCGTTTATCGTGACACTATGCTCAACCCATTCAGAGCGTCAGCGCCTGCGATCCCAGCCCAACCAGGTCATGAAACGACTGAGGATTGGAACATGGAACAATGGTTTGCGGGCCTACCTTCTGGAGATTTGCTACTGGACTATGACCTCCCGATGTTATTTGACGAGCCGATAGACGTGGATGTCAATGGTGAAGAGTTTCTGGCCGCCTTCACGTGAGATATTTGTGTTCGTCAGCCAGGTAGAGCGACTTACCGTCGATGATCGCGACCACAGACAAGCGATAATGGAGGCGCCGCCACTTGGTGGCCGTGCCATACGATTCTGTGCAGTCTGGGCAGGCAGCACTGTCGGAGTCCGAGTTGGGACTGCAGCAGTTCCTCAAGAGTTTCCAGAGCTCTACGGCGACGTCAGACTCCGACCTTCCGTATATGCTGGATCTACCCAGTATTGGCACGTCCGCTGACGTCCTCCAGCAAACAACTGTGGACCAGAATGGAGGACAGCATGACTGAGGAAACGGACGCGCGAATTTGAAGATACAGTATCCGCCCTCGTCGACGTGTCGACGGACTCCTCACAAAGCCCAAGTTGCACGTTTTCCGTCTCCAGGGCGGTGATGTGCCATCCTGCGCCACAATTAACATTGTACTTTTTGATTTCGCATTTTACATACCGAGGATGTAATATGCAGATGCTTCTTCGCTTTCAGTCGAGATGTCAAATTGGTTAGACAAAGGTGTAAGCCCGCAGGATCAGCGCTCACGATCGAACCAGAAGGTCGAGACTCGAGTCCTACTGTCACTCTGAGGAGGAGGTCCAGGAGGAGGAGGAGGAGGACACGGTCACGATATCGTGTCGCCAGGGTGCACGTGTATCAGCGCTTGAAATCAGCTCCTCCGATCCTCTCTCTCTCGGGATCCTTTCAGCTCACCAGAAAACTCAAGAGTTGCTCCAGTCCAATAGTGGACCCGATGGTCTTGTTGTACAATCGTGACTTTCGATGACAATGTCTAGCTTCATGCGCTCGTGCGTCATGTAAGTTATCACTTCTCGAAGACGCGGCAGGCAAAAGACAACGGCGGCGCTCTGCCGAAAGGCAATGGAGTCTGTTCGTTGTGGTGACCTTCATTGTGTCGTGACGACTGACTACTATGTCCTACTAGACTTGCGCAGGAACTCGCGGGGTTTCAGATTCATGCTGATCCGGAACCACCAAGCCTAACGAGAAAATCCTGGCCGGCTTTGTCGAATGTATGGCCAGCATGAATCCAACACAGCGCGATGAGGTGTTGTAAGTCATCTATGAATACATAGTATGAGTCTCAGATTTTCTGGTCACTGATACAGAAGTGAAGTGCTCACTGCGTCACAGGTATCCAAGTCAAGCTTAAAATTAACACCAAGATATGATGCACCTCGTTCCCCGGTCCGAGTGACCTGCATTCGACTGTACTGCCAATGTACAAAACGGGCTCGACCACCAGGTTTATTTGCCAACAATAACCCTGTACTCGTATAGCTGTCAGCCTAGAGCCGCAGGCCGTCGGTTTGACACGAAAACCCCTTCTCTCGATCATGTCCATAGGAAGATCCAAACATTGTACGTGGTCGCAACCTTTGGCTAGTAGACAGCACCACACCGTTCGCATTTCTTCTTGTTATCGCACCTAGGACAACGCAAGATTTCATCAGCCAACCAAGCTCGTTGTGCCTAGGATGAGCCTTGGGACGACGCACAGGAGGAAGAGCAGACCAACGGGGAAGAGGAAGACGGAGCATATGATCCCGGCTGGACCATACTTCTTCGTCAACTGATGCTCGCCCCGCGCGCACTTGGCCATCACTGCACAAGCACGAGTATCAGAACACGAGTGAGTCCCACTGAGTGCAGAGACCGCATAGGGATTACTCACTCTCGAGCTGGTAGTTGTACCCAACCTGCGCATTCGTCAACTGCAGGACCGGCATTGGCTGGACATTGACTGCCGCAGGACCCGCAACCGGGACTTGGGGCACGGTGGTTATGTAGTACTCGGGGGGGTTGGCCGACTCCCCACCATCCTTGATATACGCGACGGGAAAGCTGTTCATCGACATCGGTAGAGAGGGAAGGATGCAGGTGCGTGAAACAGTGTCCTGTGGGAAGGCGACGAACTTGCTGTCCCATGTGCTGTCGCAGGCGCATTTATACGTGGTCATTGACAGGTGCTGCGCTGTTCACTCTCCAGATCGCAGTAGAGCCTGGCTGCTGCGTTTCAATGAGATACACGAAAGATTCAATGCGAGGCTGCGCCGTATCGAAACTCCCAGGGCACTTGTCATGCGCGGTTAACCTAAAGCGAAGATGTATTCACTCACTGTGGATATCTTTTCGACAATTCCCTGCAGCTCTGAGACACCGCGACATCTTCAGACATCTAATCACAGTCCAAGTTCGCTGCGGCTGCGCATCTGCTTCAAATTCGGTGATGAGTACCCGATGAAGCTTGAAAAAGCTTGAAAGCTTGAAGATGGGCTGTTACACACCTTCGACGCTTCAAGCCCTCATCGACATCTTGAACATCAATGGCGCATTTTTCAGTTCACAGCGCGCGGTAACAACAACTCTGCATCATCTGGGGCAATGGTCACTACCGAGTGGTGGACTCACTTCCTCACAGCGCGCCCAAGTTCAAAGGAAAAGAGAAACATAATGATAATGACCGTCGTGAAGTACAGTAAGTCCTGAGGCCTCCCAGTAGAATACACTATCCAAACATCCCCTCACCCCGACGGCAGAGGCGCGTATGAAGAGCCACAGCGAACACCACCATTGACATTTACTCGATGATCTGCCCACACCGCTCACACTTCTTCTTGACATCGCACCTGCAAACAAAGTCAGATCCATGCCGCATCGATGCCCACGAGAGAACAGGTACGTACAGAAGACAGAGCAGACCGATAGGGAACAGGCAGACCGCGCAGATGATACCGCACACGCCGTACTTCTTCGTCACCTGGTGCTGGCCCCTTGCGCACTGCGCAAGAACTGCATCGTCATCGGATACATGTAAGCACTTCACTCCCGCGATCATACAAGCACAGCAAAGGTACGCACGCTGGTTTTGGAAGCCGGCGCCGACAGCGGCGTCAGACATGGGCTGCGGTGCGGGCACGGCCGGTTGGTACGCGGGCGCGTTCCCGTAGTTGCTGCCGTACTGAGGTGCCTTCTCCATAGCGAATGACAGGGGACGTGAAATAAAAGGTCGATAAAAGCGTGAGGGCGACGAAAACGGCAAACGGGCTAAAGCTGGGAGGCGGGTTGAAAGTGAATGGGGTCGTAGCGTCGACGGTCTCTGCTATTTATTCTGTCAAACCAATATTGCGGGTCGGGAGGCGATGCATTTACGTCAATCACCGAGACCACAACCGAAGCCAACTGTCAAGCAACACCGCCCGCCGTTGCATTTGATCGGGCCATCACTCATTGGCAACACTGCCATCTCCAACAAGACAAGCGCCCGAACTAGATTACTATGACCGCGTCCTTAAGCTTAAGTACCAAGTGAAAAGATAGGAAGCCAAGGGCATTGTGGCTGATGCAACCTATGTGATCGCATGAACCACTGACATCCTGATATCTATCCAACGCTGCGCGAAACAGCGCCTTGGTGGTACACTAGCCTCGAGGAGGAATATTAAGGAACACCCCTATGTTACACCGCACCTCGACAGCGCTTCAGCTTCAGCACCAACACGAATCAGTGATAGATGCATCTGAGGATGCCCATCCGGCACGGTCAGCTGCAGCTGCACGACGCACGTTTCCCCTTGCACCCCGAGGACCGGTCGCAATCTTCACACAGACGCGTGCACCATAATCTCAAACCCGACATGTCCACAGAACAGCGTTGCAAACGCCTAGCCAGCCGCTGGACCACAGTGACAGTTGACCGTAACACACGTACGAGTAAGCTGGAAGCAGAACCCCATCTCCCGGACCGGGCCCGCCATGAGCATATGTTCCAGATATGTAACCGTACACCGCCTCGTCGTAGCGGACAAGATTAGGGATACATACACGACATGACGAGCGAACGAATGGCGAAACCGGCGAACGAGCCAAAATTTGGACACAGAAACAGAACAGGACCGGTGGATCTAACTAAAACACTGGCAACAGTAGAGTAAGTACATGATACAGGAGGTGGAAGGTGCACCCAAAAGACACTTGCCACCATACGAACTTGCAACAACAACGACAGTATGCCAACCATGAGAGCCGAAAATTAACACTGGCGAAGGAACAAAAGGAAGGAAGGAATGGCGGCCAGTAGTTCTGTCAAAGGGGGCGCGCCGGGCCGAATTCTATAGACAAAGGTAAGCGCAGGCGCGTGCAGGTCGTGTAGGCAGCTCTCGAAAGAGCGTCTCTCAGAGAGGGCAGCATCTGCTTGATGTCATTTCAGTTCCGAGGAGCCGTCGTCTTATACGGGGTCGGCAGATTGCGATGACTGGAGTGACTGTTGCGGTTGTCAGCGCGATGGCACACATGATGTGAAATGACACGCACGTAGTCTTTATGGATTGACACCTCTCTGTGCACGCCAACCTCAATAGCCTGTGGAGCGTGAGACTAGAAAGGATGCGGGCGCGTACAACACGTACCGTTCCCGTTTCAGCATCATGTTGGGACGCAAGCCGGGTCGCCTTATCGAGCATGAGGAACGTGGGCACCGTGGCGTGCTCGCCATCGGTGCCGCGGCCACGGACAACCCTGCGAGTATTCAGCCTACCACGCAGGAAACAGTGTTAGGGTCGAGCAGGATATTGAGCAAGGCGGGAGGACACACGTTGCCAGGAAGGAATTGGCGTACACTGGTAAAGGATAGGTGAGAACAGCAGGATGTGGGATACTAGCAATACATACACTTGCTCAGGACGAAGTAGAAGCCCATGAAGATGAAGTTTTCGGGCATGATGTCGTACTATGGCAGTGCGTCAGTGTCCACTATGATCTTGATCCGAACTTATACACAGAACCACGCACCAAGATCACAGTAGTCAGACTGATCGCACTGCACTCAGTCCGTCATTGATGAGGCATTGCATCATGACATCTCAACTGTTGCACGTACCTAGTGAGGAGTCCTGTGTTCATTGCGTAGAGCGTCAACCTGTTCACGAGTGAATCATCCCTGCAATCGATCGATCAATCATCAGGACACACTACCGCACACATCCATGAGCGGCGTGTACTGACTTCGAGAATCCTGTGCGCAAGTTCCGTAGGTAGTGGCACAACGTAAGAGCGGTGACTACGTCCGTCGCTACCCCCATTCCGAGCGAGAGGGTTCCAACGAGCTGGCAACGCAGTTTGAGATTGGTGCGCTCCGAGGTATGCGGCAGTGGGACAAACCTTTAGATCACCGAGTTTGGTGAGCTTGGCGACCTTGAATCTGAAGGTACCTCGGGTTAAGGTTCCAGAAGCGACATCCCAGGCAATCGTGCTCACGCTTCTGCGGTGTAGACTGGCAACAAAGTAGCACAATTAGCTCGGGCAGGCAACACGCGCTGTTCTCGTGACTCACCGCATGCCATCGCTAGCCGCACACAAACAGGCGTTTTAGGGCCGTCCTTATCACGCTGCCAAATTTGACGGACTTACCGAGCTGACCGAAGGTCAAAAATAGCTTTGAAGCCAAATGCATCAGCGCATGCGGAAATGAATAGTCGGGAAAGTTTACAATTAGGGTTGTAATCCAGATATTGCAGTTGCTGACTACAGCGAAGTGAGGATCCCGTTGGGAATACGGTGGAGGACGGGCTCACATCTCCAGACACGCATGGCGAAGCAGCTGCCGTTGCAGACTCAGCGATGAAATTACTAAAGACGTTGCTTCGAGTACTCACGCTTTCACGATCGCTCCCGCCGTCGCCTGGGGAACAATATGAAGTCCACGCGCTACAGAAAGTATTTTCACTCACGCCTAGTGTGACTTGTAGCTAGGGTGTCTGCATTAGCGAGAACAGCTCGGCACCGCGGGCGGATAACTCACAATCAATGTCCTGTCCGTAGAGGGTCAGTACGACTCTAGTGCTCAGAGATACCGACGTACCATTGAACGTGCATTATCAAGACTAGGGGGTTCCCCCAGTTGCTGAGAGGCAGTCAGTGTACTGGGAGGAGAGAAATATTGACTTGGACTAGGACGTACGTGACCACATAGAAATACACCGCGCATGCGATGAAAATCGAGTCGACGACTTCGAGGAGCCTAGATGACGTGTTAGATTGCACGTATAGCTACGCGCACCACGACGCACCATAGCGATGCTACCTGGGACAGAGCGGAGATTAGTCTGAATAATATGACGGGAAGGGGGCAGGAATCCGCACCAAGGCCTTGTAGAATGGACGGTCTTGGGGATATCGCCGGAAGTACTGGTACATTTGACTACTGAGTGTGCCAAGTAACCTGCAAGGACATAAGCATGGGTGCGCGGTGAGGCAAGACGCGTGAATACGCACACGCATGAGCACCCAAAGCCAATAAAAGCCGCGCCGAAGGTGGTGTTGGTATTGTAGTCCATGGTCGCGGGGGACAGGCGCGACACAGTGAGGCAAAGGAGTGTAGGAGACCCGGGGGGCGAGATGTACCGGACGCTCGTCCGTTTCGAGTCGACAGAGGGGGAGAAGAGGAAAAGAGAGCAGGCGCCAGGCGAGCCACGCTGTCCCCAGGACACGCCGGAAGACCGTCGAAGAACCAGTTGAGTTTGATTGAACGACCGAATGCGCCCACCGACTGCCTCCGGCTCTTGGGAGCCTGCCCACTTCCGTTTTGGGCAGACCACATGTATCCCGCCAGGCCGGCCACGATCAATGCATATCGGCTCGCTGATCTGGGCCTGGCTCGATCATGGAGTCCTCAATTAAATGCTCGCGTTCGCTCACGTGCCCGCGTCATCATATCATACCGCTGTCGCAGGTATACAAACCTCAGCAGCACAATTCCTACGCATCCTCTTCCTCCTTTACACTCACCAGCACCTCGTCCGGGGTTGGCAGGGCAAGGGCTAGAAGAAAGCAGTGAAACAGATCGAGTCAGCCCGTTGTTGGCAACAGCAGTACCTAATAATCAATTACGGCTACCGTTGCCGGTAACCACCCCTTCTCCGTCCTCCTGAATGCCCACCCCGAGCCTCGCGAGACAAACCAGAGCAACGCTCTCCGGTAGTCCACGTCCCGCATGTATCGTTAGTCCGCGCAATATGTGGGAAGGCGTCAGCAAACGCCTTGCCCCACCCGTGTCGGCCTTTCCACCCTTCCTTCTTGTGCGCTCATGCCGTACAAGGCTTCGCAGCGCCGATTCGTCGCGCCGAAGCGCGTCCAGTCCACTGCGGACGAGCAGCCGCACCATGCAGCCCGCCACCGCAGAGAGCATTGCGTACGGCGCCAAGTCGTCCAGGAGCTCCTGGTGCGTTCGGTTGACTGGGACACGCGACACTAGGCCGTCCTCGGTAGAGGGTTCGATCGGTGCCGGCAAATGGGCTAGACGCCATTGCGTCGCTAATTCCCGAATGGTGGTGAGAAGCCCCGGATGTGCGATGGCGACCAGATCCGTAGAGGCCGGGATTCTGTTCGGCCTCGCATTCTTGTTCAGGGAGGTCCATAACCCTTCCGATAGACCGTACGGAACTCCGACTGATCCATTGGGACTTGACTGCAACAGTCGCTTCACGTCGAAGAAAGGCACACCGCCGGGGGGCGCGTTGAACTCGGTGCAGGCCGCCGTGTCGGTGTACGAGTTCTTCACGTCGTTGGGTACGCCATCCTCCGTCTTAACGCCGAGTGGGTGGAGATACCGGCGGAGACCACAGAAGCGGCAGTAGGCTTCTGGAACCTGATCTGCCTCGGTCGCCTTCCCTTGCCGGTCGTCGTGTTTGGTAACATCGCTCCTAATTGCATGACGCGGGAAAAGGCCCTCCTCTTCCAACCAGAAGTACACATTCGCGACATTAAGGGTAGTCGGCGACGCCGGGGAGTCAGCTAAGGCGGTGTGCTCTCGGTACGCGGCGAGCAGCGCGCGAGCACGACTCATCTGGGGACAAGATGTCAAGACCCCGTCGTACAGGCGGAGAAAGAGTGCAGAAACACACTTCGATGGCTTTTCGCCGCCCAGGAACAAGGGTTCGATACTGAGCCCGTGTAGGCACCAATGCGAAGGTTGGTGACGACAGTCTGCGGGAGCGCGCATCTGATGAAGCCAGTCGAAGTCAATTGTGTGCAATGGGGACCGTATATTTCTCACCTCGCACAGTAATAGGCACGTCCTGCAGTAGCGTTCGTAAGACGACGCTGTACCCTGATCATCACCAGCAGCAAAAGCAGGATGCATAAAAGTCGGTTAGGTTCATACGGCCAGGTGCGGGGAGGATGTGGATGTAAACGTACCCCGTTCATCACTGTCAGCGCTCTTGTTGATCTTTTCGCCGCCTGCGTATTTGTCACGGTCGTCATCACTCTCGTCCTCGTCTTTCCATGTCAGTTTCCTGGCATCCTGTCTGACAGGCAAAAGCTGCGTGTTCCGGTCAAGTTCGACATCAAAAACTTGCTCGTCGCCGAGCACGGGATGGCCCAGGTGCAAAGGGTCTACCTGAATGACGTAGTAATACACATGAGGATGGCGCTGTGATAAGGAGAAGACATACGCACATCGACCCAATGTTCGACGTCCATGGGCGCATTCGCACTGCCTGTCCATGTGAGGGTGAGCCGTGCGAGGAATGGCCTATCAGTCGTGTTGGTAACGGCGAAGGGTGGCTCCGTGACCACAATAGGACTGATGAGCGTTGAAGGGGGTGGGTCGGACAGGCAGGTGACAGTTAGCTTTTCCAAGAACGTCGTGATGTGTACGCTCTGTAGTGAGTTATCGTCAAAGCGCTAGCGAATAGATGAGCTTCATATGTTACGCACGTAGGACGGGGACGACACAGCGAGACGCCAACGATGTGTATGTTCAGACTATCCTCGCGACGACGCTCTGATCAGGCTGTCAGCACATGCTTCGATGTTGTGAGGGGTAGTGTCGCTTACCTGGATGCATCCAGAGACTCGAATCGGCTACTTTGACACGAGCGACGATATGGAATCTACTACACGCAATACCCGCCGCAGAACCGCCTGCAACCGGCGTTCGGGTCTGAGGTCGCTCATCGTGATCATGTGGAGCTCGGTAGGCTCTGGAGGAACCTCATCTAGTTCCGGACGTGCGATGTTGCGGTGGCAGTAGGGTTTTCGCCAGCCCTTGCTTGCGACGAGGCTGCTGGTGAGACCAACGCTATCACCGAGTATGTCCAACTCTCGTCAGGGTCATCGTATACATTGACGGCGCGTTTCTTTGGCTCTTACCGAGGAAGATGCAAGAGCAGGGGTGTCCTTGTGGAAGCCCAGTGTCTTCGTGACCTCCGTGGCATCTGCACTTGCCTCGGGCAGCACCGCTGGCTTGACCACATCTGTCTCCTCGACTACTCTCGGTTGTTCACGTTCATTCCGGAGTCCTGGCATCCGGACATTGTCACCAGCACCCACCGCGATTTCGAACAAGCGTCTCAGGCTAGGCAGACTGATCCCGCCAAGTTCCGTTCCGTTTGCGACCACCCACTCGCGCTCCTCCTCCGCGACGATAACAGCGCAGCTCTGCACGCATTCATCGTGGCTGCCGAACTCGCGGCCGTGCCGTATGCGACAATGGTTGAGTAAGCCCTGCAGGTTCGAGAAGTCGGACCGTGCACAGTCTGTACACGCGAGCTTGGCTATCTCTGGCGGGTCGGTGTTGGTGTTGCGCAGGAATAACAGTTTCCTAACGGGCTGTAGCGGAGCTCGGGGGAGGCCCCTGGCGCGGGCGGGGGTAGCGCGAGATGCGTGCTGGGATGTTGCTGGGCCATCAAGGGACGTAGATGAAATTAGAGAAACGGGCTTCTCTACAGAGAACACCTCTCTATCGAACAGAGACTTGCTCGGTTCTTCTGCAGCCCTCAGTGCGTCCAGAGCAGCTGCCTGGAAATCAGAGACGTCCCATTGCGAGCTACTGCTGGCTTCGTAAGACATCTCAGACATTTTAGGACTCATACCTGGATATTCTTTCTCAAGGGCTTCCTGCAGCAGCAGCGCCCAGGTCAGCCGTGAATGCACCGTCTCACACAGCCGCTGTCTCAGGCCGAGCTCGACATCCAGTTCTTCCAGTACCAGCTGCTGCTGTGTTGGGCCACTGTCCTACGTTTCAGTTGTGTGATGTCTGTAGTGTACATGTCGCTGACAACATACGCTGTCCCGCTGGGTATGTCTGCCGTTCTCCGTCTTTTCTGCGGTCTAGGGTCATCTCGACTTTCATTCATGACGTATGATGCTTCAATATGTTGAAGAGTAGTCAAGACCGAAACTGTATTGTATGCGACTTCGAGGATAGCGGGATGCAGCAGAGCAAACGCGAGAGGCTCGGAGCTCAATTTGAGCTCAGTGGAAGCAATGTCGGAATTTGGCAGAGGCCGCAGGGCGGCGCCAGAGACCGTGACGTTACAGGCGCGATCCGTCATTCACGTGCGGGCGCGTAACGCGGCGTGTCATCGTCACGTCGCCGCGCGACTTGCAGCGCTGAGCGCGCCTCACATTCCAACGACCTACCATCTACCACACACCATGGGTATCAAAGGCCTCACCAGTCTGCTAGTGGAGCATGCTCCCAAAGCCATCACAGTAAGCCATCACAACTCTATCCCTCGCCAAATCTCAATTTGGTTGCAGGAGCATGAGATCAAGACCCTGTTCGGGCGCAAGGTCGCAGTCGACGCGTCCATGTCTATTTACCAATTCCTCATCGCGGTGCGGCAAAAGGACGGAGAGATGTTGACGAACGATGCGGGCGAGACAACTAGGCGCGTCTGTTCACTCATTCAAGGGCCGCCGTGCTCACGACTTCTCCGTCCACAGTCACCTCATGGGATTCTTCTACCGTACCATTCGTATGGTAGAGAACGGGATCAAACCTCTCTATGTATTTGATGGAAAGCCTCCAGAGCTGAAAGCCGGCGTTGTATGTCTTTATCTCGCCCAGGTTGTCCGAGTCCGGCTGACACAAGTCGAAGTTGTCCAAACGATTGGCACGCAGGGAAGAGGCAAAGGAGGGGGCGAAGAAGCGAAAGAGACAGGTTCGTCGAATATATCTTTTTATTCACCTTCTGACACAGCCGTGTGTTACTACGCTTAGGTACTGCCGAGGACGTCGATCGCTTCGCGCGGCGGACAGTAAAGGTCACACGCGAACACAACGAGGAGTGCAGGAGGTTGTTGGGACTCATGGGTATTCCAATTGTTATAGTTCGTATCTCGCGTCCCCATCCCTCCCACTCACTGACTATGGACCCGTAGGCGCCGTCAGAAGCAGAAGCACAATGTGCAGAACTGGCTCGTGGCGGAATAGTAAGATCAGGTATCTGCTCACATGCAATGTGCACGCTGAACGTGTTATCCAAGGTGTACGCTGCTGGTTCAGAGGACATGGACACCCTTACCTTCAGCGCTCCCGTCCTGCTGCGTCATCTCACCTTCTCCGAGGCGCGGAAAACGCCTATCAGCGAGATCAACCTGGACAAGGCTCTCGAAGGGCTCGAGATGAACATGTCACAAGTACGTCTACCCCATGTCGCGTTCCCGACAGCTCACCTCGAGTGTAGTTTATAGAGCTATGTATCCTTTTGGGTTGTGACTACCTCGAACCGATCAAAGGCATCGGCCCCAAGTCCGCGTTGAAGCTGATCAGAGAGCATGGCAACCTAGGAGCTGTCATCGAGCATCTGAAAGAGAAGTAAGAACTACTCGTGTGGTATAAGTGCAATCATTCACTCACCACTCACATATAGAACAGCTGCAAAGGAAGATACCGCAAAGGACGACGATGGCAAGAAGAAGAAAGGAGGCATTGTGATCCCCGAGGAGTGGCCATGGGAACAGGCGAAAAAGTTCTTCGAGCACCCAGACGTGACGCCAGCGAAAGACCTCGAGGTACGTGCTCCGTACCGGTGCGTCGTTTGGCACTAACATTCCCTAGGTTGAGTGGAAGAGCCCAGATGTGGAGGGGCTTGTGCAATTCCTGGTGAATGAGAAGGGGTTCAAGTATGTCCATCATTTGACTATCAGCGACGCATCCAGTTCATTATTTGTTTCAATTATCCAGTGAGGACCGCGTTCGCAAGGGAGCTGAGAAGTTGTCAAAATTCTTGAATGCGAAGCAACAAGGGCGACTCGATGGGTTCTTCACTGCTAAGCCTAAGACATCACCTAAGAAGGGCAAGGACGAGGAGAAAGGCAAAAAGGGAACGAAGCGAAAGGTCCGTGTGTTTGGCCATTCAGGAACAAGGCATCTTATATGCACTTCCTGTAGGCCGACGACAAAGACAAGAAGGTCGCAGGGACAAGCAAGAAGACCAAAACCAAGAAGTAGACTGATATTTCCTCATTTCCTATTCCACCTTCTTTATGGCGTTTCGTCGTCTCTGCTTAGTCGTTCTCATTGTGTTGTCGATGTTACCATGTACCGTAAGTACCTTACAGCTGTATCAATAGACTGGAACCATGAAATCCAATAGTCAGTAAGCGAGCACACGTTGTATATATATCGACCGTTACGACGAGACTACTTCTTCGTGTTCATCTTCGCCAACGCCTTCCCGCTTCTAACCCTCCCTTTCTTCTTCTCCCCCTGCTTGCCTACCGCCTTCTTCTCCCCCGGCCGTTTCCGCATCCGCTCCCTCTCCACCCGCGGCTTGGACTTCACGCCCTTCTCCGCGAGTACCTTAGCTTGCTTTTTCGCTATTCTGCGCGCGACGCGGTCGGATCCGTGGCCTTGACCTTCTTGCGCTCCTCCTTCGGCAAGTGCGAGATTTTGCCGCCCAGGGCGGGGTTACCCTTCGGTGCCTCGCGTCGGGAGACTGATGAGGGCCGTCGGGATACAGGCGATTTGGTATCCGGCGAAGGTTTTGCGAACTTCGGGAGCACCTTGGCGCTTCCGGGATCGTCTTGCATCGTTGAACGCGCAGCTTGCGTTTCGCAAATTTAAGCTGACTTTCCTCGAGCGCGAGAACCTCATCTACACATTGTCGATCCTGAATACCAGTCAGACTTAATGCCTGGGAGTCGATGAGATGCAGACATACCACAAACTGCACATATGCAAAGCCCTTCCCCATCTGTGTGTCCTTGTCCCTGACGATCCGCACACGCTTCACCCATGCCCGCGGTTTCTTGCGGACACTTTGCTCTCGGATGTCTCGTCCTCTTCATCGCTCTCCTCATCCTCTTCGCTGCTCTCGCCTTCCTGCTCACCCGGCTGACCCCGTTCAGCGATCACGAGAGTCTCGAAGAATGCTCGCAAATCCTCCTCCTTGCTCGCGAAGTCCAGGTTGCCGACGAATATCGTCATCTTAGGATCCCCAGCTGGTACACTGTTGCTCGGAGCTTCTTCAGCGTCCCTTCCTACTCTGTCGACTCTGATCGTCCTCTCCATGAACACGGTGCCATCACATCGCTCCGCTGCAAGCCGAGCAGCTTCATATGGGTCCAGGGTGGGAGCAGGTGGAGGCACGTTCTTCGGCCGGGTGCCAGTCTCGGGTATAGGGTGTGCGAATACGACGTACGCGTTCACAGCGTCGACGCCGCTGTGCAACTCTTGCTTGATGAACGCCACGCGCTTCTTCTCTTTAGGTGTGAGGAACTGCTTCTGGGGATCGTCTTCGTCCTCGTTCTTCTTTGCACGCCAAGACGCTGTACGATCACGGTCGTGTTGCCTGCTATCCTTCTCGTCTTTCGCAGGGGCCTTCCCCTTCCCCTTGCCAGCATCATCGTCCGCGGTAGGGAGCTTTGAGGTGGGTGCGGCGAACGCGACCGAGCGGAACCGCACCGATTCGATCTTCGAAGTAGGTACGAGTGTAGTGAAATGTCGCTTGAGCTGCTTTTGCAAAGGCTGCGTTGGCGAGTGGAAGGTCAAACTATGTGTCTAACATGCCGCAGTGGTGATGTACGCACCCGAGACTTGACAACCTCAACGGGAACATTTCCTACAAAGACTGTCCTCGCATTGCGGCGTTCCGGCGTCTCGTCTGATGGGACGAATTTGTGTTTCGACCTGCCGCCATCCTTGCGTTGCTCGCCCTTGCGCAAGGATTCATGGACCAACTTCGACGGGTCGCCTTCATCGTCCGAGTCGCTAGACTGCTCCTCATTCTCTTCATGCTGTGTCGTCGGTTGTTTTGCGCGTGCAGACTGCTCTGCTCCAGAATCTGTGTCCTCTTCTGGAACAACAGTCTTTCGCTTTTCGATGGATTTCTCGCGCTTTACGGCCTAATGGGCTTGCCGGCCTTGCTTTCTTTTCTTGATGCTTTGGCAACAGATTGACAAAGCGGTACTCAGAATGAATGGTGTACTCACATTTTCCTGTTCCCTCCGTGACTTCTTATGCACCTTTGGCTCCGGCTGCTCGCTCGTAGCTAGCTTCCGCTTCTATCACCTCCTGCTGGACTTGGGCGGCACTTGCAACGGGAGCAGCTTTCTGAGCGGCGCTAGAGCTACCTGTTGAAGGGCCTGCCTGTATGTGACGTGATCGATAATGTGTACTCGTCGCAACCACTCAGCAGACTTACCGCAGACTGGAAAATGGCGTCGAGACCCTTGTCCACAGGAACCATTTTTTTCCCAGCGGAACCGAGGAGGAAGGTGGCCAAGGATGCCATTGACAAGACCTCGGATAGCAAATTTGGGGCAAGTATTGTCAAAGTCGAGCGTGAATGGATGAACGAATGCCTCGAGAGCCTCGAGACCAAGCGAGCAATGATTGAATTGCATGCACATTGCAGAAGATGAATTGAACACGTGACTTGACGATCGCGGCTGTGACGCTCATCCCAAGCAAATCCCAAGTTCCCAACCGCATCCCAACTTTCGATGGCCCAGCTCCTCCAGCCAGGCTCGAGCCCTCGAATCTTGTCAGCTGTGTGCACAGAATAGTGACTTGCTCAAGATAATTCAAGCCAATCAACAGCCTGCGCTCCAGCTAGCTACATGTTCCAATCCCCCCGACCTATTGTATCGACGTTGCCTAGATCGTCCTTCGCTCCTCCCCCGTTACAATTTCACCGATACTCGAAGGCCCGGATCTCGAATGTTCCTATTGAAGTATTGGCTCGATCAACGGATGAAATCTGACGAAACTGTCGCAGACCCAGCCGTTGCTTTCCACGCATTATAATAGATCTCCAGGTGGTCGACCAATCCGGCCTTACGCGGCTGCCATCCCAGAAGACTACGAGCGAGGTACGGACGGAGTAGTAGCGTCGTGGTGATAGCCTTCTCAAAGACTGGGTACGTTTGATATATGGTCAGTTGCAATCCGGTGAAGAGGCCAGTTAACGTACGGTTCGTAGGCTGAATGTATTCATAACCCTGGGCACCAGATACCTCCACGAGCTTCTGCAGGACGTCATCAACGCTCTCAGTGAAGTCGTTTGCCGCGTCGAAGAGCAATCCTCCAACGATGGCTGATTTTTCGGCAGCCAGGCGGTACAACTCTCCGAGATCGTCTTGATGAATGAGTGCGTAGCGACCTCCCGGCGCGCCAAACCATTTCACCTTCCCTTCATCTGCTGTCTTGAAAAGCATGCCCAGGATGGATGCCGAGCGACCATACAAGAGCGCAGGGCGGATCACTATGCCATTCAGCACCGGATTCGTGACCACCTTCTGCTCGAGCGTCGGCCTCCACGCCACGAGGTCCACAGACTGGGTGATCGGCGTTGTGTCACTAATGACATCTTTGCGGTTTTCACCATGTACCCACGACCCCGAAGTATAGATGTATGCGAGCTTCGGGGCATGGGGCGGGCGGTACTGCTTGACAGCCTCCGTGACGGCGGCGAGGAGCTTCTCTGAGAGGACGTTGACCTCGCCGCTTATCGCCTCAATCACCACATCCAGGGTCGCGACCATCGGCAACCAGATGGAGGGGTTGTCGATGGGTGCGACGATAGGGATGACTGCGACAGCGGTCGGTTTTAGTGCGGACAGGAGCCAGTGGTTGGCTGAGCACTCACTTTCCTCTGCTGCCAACGTCCTCACCTTACTGTCCGAGCGCGTTACACCATAGACGATGTGACCGGCGCGCACTAAGGCCTGCGAGATTGGCAACCCAATGAAGCCGGATGCGCTAGAGGTTCAGTGCTTCAGTATACATCGTCGAGACAGAAGATGGCACTGACTTACCCTATGATGAGGACCTTCATACTTTTCAGTCGTGAGAGGAAGTCTGAGCAGGTCTGCAAGGGACCGCGAAGGGCTATATAAACCCCAGCCTCCTATATCGCTTCTCTTCCCTGAGCATCCTGGTTTGGAACCTCTTACTCATCATCTCTAATTCCGCAGCTATGTGCGTGAGTCTGATGAACTCAAATCTACTCTGAATGAGCTCCGTATAGACACAGAGGTTCGCACGAATCCGCATAGCTTACTCATGCCCACAAGGAAATTGTTATCCGTACGGTGTGGCGTCCGCAGACTTCGCGGTGATGATTGCTAATGAAGTTTCGCGCAGACCTCGTCGAGCAGTCGGAACAGACTCAAAGAACCTCGAAATCAGCATCATATTGACATCTCAAAGTATCGACGACGATGCGATCGACAGCCCCTCACCAGCCTTCCAGGCCTTGTAATAGATTTGAAGACTATCGAGCAAACCGGGATTGCGCAGGTACCAAGTCAATCGGTGGGCGGTTGAGCGGACACACATCCTCTAAGACTCTTCGGCAGCGAGTGACTGCGTCTTCTCTGAAGATGAGTCACCCCATAGACTATGTGGCCGTCGCGGATCAAAGCATGTACGATCCACTCGGCAGATCCTGACGCCCTGTCAATGGCACTGGCAGGTTACTGCGCGCTGTCGACGAGCAAACTACGCGGACAGGCCTAGTGACGGAACTCTCTTGGTGTTGGGCGTTCTAGGCTCTTTGTTGAGTGCTTATGACTCATGAGGTGAGTGATGACCAATGCTCTTAGCTCCCTACTACAATAGCTGAAGATAGCTTATGGTGGACGGACGCAGCCATGACTCTCAGGATCCCACATTTACGGCGCGCCTGGTAAGCATGGGCTACCGACGCACATCCGTGCGTACTTACGTGCTCACAAGCATTCAAGAGCCAGGTGCTCGACACGAACACGCATCGCAAGGCCAGTCCATACATTCAATCAGCGAATATTTGACACATCTGAACGAATTTCGATCTACAAACCCTCGCTGCCTTCCACGCATCATAATAGATGCCTAGATGGTCGACAAGACCAGCCTTCATGGCTGCCAACCAAGTAGGCTGCGAGCCAAGTACGGGCGGAGCAGGGAAGTCGTGGACAATGCGATCTCGTACACTGACAGTGGTCTTTCAGCGACTTGGTACGTAGCACTGTTCGAACGGACTCACAGTTGCTAGGCTCAATGTACTCGAATGGTCCCTTGGCCCCGGAGACTTCCAGCAGCTTGTGCAAAACGTCGTCGGCGTTCTCCGTGAAGTCGTTCGCGGCATCGAAGATCTGCCCTGCTGCGATGGCGGACTTCTCTGAAGCGAGCAGGTACATCTCCGCGAGGTCGTCGCAGTGGATGAGCGCATATCTTCCACCAGGTCGTCCATACCACGCAACTTTCCCACCATAGGCTTCTTGAACAGCGGGGCGAGGAGCGATCCCGAGCGGCCATACAGGAGCGCAGGGCGAATGACGATCCCGTTGAGGACCGGATTGCGAATGACGCGCTGCTCCTGCTCCGCCGCCAAGCGACTACTCAGCGGGGCTCGTGAGCGGCGTGGTATCGGTCACGATGTCTTTGCGGTTTTCGCCGTGCACCCATGTACCGGAGGTGTAGATGTAGGTCAGTTTAGGTGCGTGCGCGGGGCGGTACTTCTGCGCGGCCTCGGTGTCGCGTTCAGAAGTGTATCGGAGAGCGTCCTGATATCCATGCCCCCAACGGCATCGATGATCACATCGAGCGTCGCGACCATGGTCAGCCAGGCGGATGGATTAGATGTCTCGCCGATGACAGGAATAACTGGTCAGATATTGGGGTTAGGACTAAGGGGCTGATAGTTTTGGCAGATGCTCACTTTCTTCGGCGGCAAGTTGTTTGGCCTTTTGCTGAGAGCGTGTCAGACCGTACACAATGTGTCCTGCGCGGACAAATGCCTGGGCAATGGGGAGCCCGATGAATCCAGAAGCACTATCATGGGAATATGAACAATTGGAGAACACGTCGCAGATCAAAAGGTGACGTACCCAAGGACGAGAACACGCATGATGTGAGTTGAGTCAATGTACTGAAGGGCACGTTAGAGCAGGAAATGTGAAGTAGTCTTCGGAAGAGTCGTGGCGACAGCTGGGGTATTTATGCCAGAGGCTCGATGCCCGATGCGAGACCATGTCATCCTCCGTATGGTAGCGTCCGATTATGGCTGATCAAGCTTCGGACATACTGTACTTGAGCTGTGCTATGTACATACGAATAACACGTCTTGAACATCAGTGGGCCCATGTGGGACCAATGGACGTACGACGCGGCGCGCGAGATTGAGTAACCCACATAATCCTCCGTTCAGCTCGCCTTCGACTCCAGATGTGGGGCGCAATTTGACCCTCAGGCTCGAGCGAACCTCCGCGTCGGACCGGTCCCGAAGGACTAAGGCCAAGGTCTTGGTCAATCGACGGGGTATCGCGCAGCGCGCTGGCAAGTATTAGTGGGTTCAAACATCGGTATTGTTACTCTATGAGCTCTCTGTGGCGAGGCACTCACGACCCACAGCTGCACAATGACTTACCAGCGTACTGGCCAATAGTAGTACCATGGTCGGCTATGACTGGGATTTAGATGGCACGGGCTTCAATGAGGGTCTCAGTGCGTTCCGGTTCCGTGTATTGCCTCACGACCCACCAGAAGACCGATACACCTCAGGCCTCCAGGCCTCAAGCTTTGTGCCGGCTACTCTGGCGATATCTACCCTATCCCTCGATGGCCACGACCCCTTCATACCGTCGATATCTGACAAGCTGACTGCGCAGTCCCTAGGATATACTATATCGGTCAGGATCTCGTCCACCCTAGGTAGTCGGTCATTCGAGTCCCATTCACCATCACCCTTCTATAGCTATGAAATAAATTGTATAATGTATCTATATATCTCTTTACTACTTCTACACAATTTGAAGCCAATCCACTGAGAACTAGAGCAGGAAAAATCATCCTGTGTGATGATACCCATTTTTGGTAAGCAGTGGCTTGGTATCCCGGACCCCTCATCCATGACTAGGTATCTCACCCGGATTCTGACGCATCACAGTCTAGAAACAATCACACACACATATTTGAATATATTTTCATGAATTATGGCCCACGCAGATGGGTCCTGCTATGTAGTGAGCATTTCCGATGGTGTGGCCGACTTCCTAGTCGGCCAGTTTGCTATACTCTCACAACGAAAAGGCTCTGCCATTCTCCACACAGTGGGCGTATATTTTTAGTATTTTCTCATATTCTTCGGATGTCTTAACATGACCATTCACAAGACCTAGGTGATTACAGCACTCATAGAGCAAGGAGGGCTCGTGGAGTGCTAGGTGGCCGAGACCGGCCGATATAGTATAATAATACGATGATATGTGATGGCAGGGACCCTAGTACTTAGCGTGAATGCAAATGCAAGGAACGTGATTAGATTCCATATAATTGCACGACACGCACTACACGATGGCGATGAGTGCGCACACAGGAAGCTACAATTATCCATGCATCGCGAAGGATGCCCCGTGCTCTGAGTCTTAGTAAATAGAAGACAGCATAGTATGTGTAAATATGAAGTTTATGTAGTGTTGAATACCGAACATCGACCATACCATCTGTGAAGTTTAACTGAGGTTAACGCCTCCGTCCATGACAATGGATTGTCCTAAGTTAGTAGTAAACGTCAGCCTTTACGCTTCATCGCGAATCAAACGAAGTACCTGTGATGAAATGGGCCTCAGGCTTTGACAGATATGACACTAGACTGGCGACGGTGTCGCCGGATGAATGAGGGCCATCTGCTGCTATGCCGCAGACCTGCGAAATTCCGAGGAAGCCAGATTAGAGCGAGGTCGACAGCAATAGGGTGTCATCTGCTCACATGCTTTGTGAATGCCCCGTGAGTGCCCCCATATTGTTTGTCTAGAACGTCAATGTTGGCTATTGGTGCTGTCAGCGCGGGCAAAAGGGATAATTTGTGGGCTGGTCTTACTCATTGGTGTCAAGATCACCCCTGGCGCATACGTGTTGACTGTAATCTTGTGGGGAGCGAGCTCGATAGCTGGGCATATGACGTTAAGCACTGTAAGTAAGAATACATGATACAAATGCACTCACCAAGGCACTGTGTGAGGCCTCGGATCGCAAACTTCGTTGCAACATACGCGGCGACCTCGGGACCACCTATCAGAATTTGACTTCAGAAGATTGCGGCACTCAGTAATGTGATGCCTTCATACCCTTCTTTCCGAGTATGGACGATGCCCCTAGGAACACCGTTTGAATTGAGACTTGAGATCACAGTTGTAATGAAACTTTGCCTACCGAGGATTCTCCCTCCCTCTCCTTGTTTGATCATCTGGCGGGCAGCGTACTTGTAGCAGAGCATTGCACTAGCTAGGTTGATGTCCATGCAGTGGTTCCAGTCCTTCAATGTCACTGTAAGCTGCCAATGAGAGCCGATCGCTTCATAAATGTGTCTGCTCTTACTATCAACTACCCGAGACACGACGGCGGTGCCAGCGTTCGCCACCATCTAGGACATCGAGGTCAGCACATGCATCCTTCAGAAGGACACTCCATAATCGATACTTACGACGTCAAGTCTCCCAAGCACCTCTACTGTCTTCTCGACCATGCCTTTGACGATTTCTTCGTCCGAGACGTCGCCTACGATTGGGAGTGCCTTGCGACCCTTTGCTCGGATTTCTTCGGCGACTACTTCGAGCTCTGCGGCATTGCGCGAGTTGATTGCCACATCCAGACCGTCGTCTGCGAGCCGCAATGCGATGTCGCGCCCGATGCCCTTCGAGGCACCGGTAACGATCGCGACCCGGGATACTGTGTGGTTGGCGTATCCGTTCATGGCTTGCTGTTTGTGTCTAAGATGTTCAAAGGGGTCTGGTGTGGATGAGTATAGCGAAAAGGACCAATGCCAGAGTTTTTATACAACTCGAGGGGCGTTTAAAATACCGCGGCCCAACTTCAGTCGTCGGTGTATACAGCGGAGGCCGCACCGCAACCCTCGTCTATTCCAGATACGGCCCAGCCAGCCTCGGGAAGAAGATTTAGTTACGCACATAGTGGATAGATTCGACGACCTTCGACAGGCGCAGTCGTGCAGGAAGAATGGGCGTCAGCGTATCCCCTAGAGCGTTCCTGCTCACGGTCGGAAGGAAGCCAATGAAACTTTGCCTGTTGTGCGAGGCTATGATGCCGCATCAATCGCAAGAGACACATACAATACCCAATCCGGAATGAGGAGCCGCGGGGTCGACGGGTGCATCATTGTCATCTGTAGCATAGTCATCCAAAGACACCAAGTTTAGCGAGGGTCTCACCCTGCAGCAACCCGAGCACGCACCATGAATTGGCCGAGATGCTACCGACTGGACGTACTGTCGATTATCGAGTGATTAGAAAGAAGCATCACACACCCTGGAGCTGAACTTGCAGAACCTGGGCCGTATATGCTGTTATCATAATGGGCAAGGCCTGGCAGTGTAGTGCTGCTGCCGCAGACACTAGCGACATAGCACTTGACTGCAGTCATATTTTCCCTCGGGGGCCCTTGGTCTACTGTTGGATGAGACGCCAGCTAGATGATTAGTGCTTGTGTCCCTAGCCACTGAACTTAGAATGGTACCGTCGACATGAGTGAGGATCTAGACACAGTAGTACCTCCGGAGCGCCTGAGCTCTATATTGGTATCGAACGCACAGCATGTGCCCGCACTGTACGGCTGAATCGCCGGAAGGTGGTGGACGTAATAGGAGACAGCGTAGGAAATCCGAGGAGTGGGCGAAGAAGATACTGAAGGTGAGTGTACCTCCGAGGCCTTACCAATCCGGAGGCGGCTCGCGGACACTCATGAGCGCCAGACATTGTATACACAGCAGGGGACACAAAGACATCTTATGCAAGATTCACTTAACGATAGGATGAGTATATACCATGTCTTGGACTATTAGATGCTATGGAATGGTCAGTCGACACTGTGTGAAGTTTGTCATTCATACTCACCTGTAGATATTGATGTTCCTCCGACTAACAATCGAACTAAAGCGTACGAACTGAAGGAATGTTTAGTCAGAGTGGGGCAGCTTCGACGAGAAGATCTCACCAATTTACCTTCGTATAACAATTAAACCCAAGGACTCATCCCTTGACCTCGCTGTTCCGACCTTCACGGCCTCGTCTTCAGCTCTCATCGTCGTCCTCGCCATCGTCGTCGTAGGATCTTTTGCGTTTCCGTCGGGGCCTTTGCCATACTTCCGGAGGAGGCGTGCCTGCTAATTCTGTCCACAGGCTCTCTTCATACGCCTCCTCTAGTATGCGATCATATTCATCAAGCTGTTCTTCGTCAAGCAGCTCCTCTACGAGCGCATCGGCGTCTGTTTCCTCGGACATGAGGTCCTCTTCAGCCGGAGGTTCGGTGGAAGCGGAGGATGCTGGCCAGGGCATGTACAAAGAGACGAACAGTGAGCGGGGAACGCCGCTTGCTGAAGGCAGGGTCTCTGCTGCTGGGAAATGAACCACGGGAGGGACAATGGCGCGATTCAGTGGAAACCGGAGAGGGTCAAATACTTCCTCTTCCTCCTCCTCCTCCTCCTCCAATTGTTCTACCTCGTCGACTTGGCCCTCATCGTCGGCCTCGCCGTCGGAACAGGCATCTCCTCCATCGTCTGGTTCTTCATATGCATCGTCAAAGTCATCCTCTACCAGGCCGAGACGCGTGAGCAGTTTGTCGAAGTGCTCCTTCTTGGTGATGTTCTCGCAACCCAACAACGTCAGCGCTTGTTCAACGTGGACGTGAGATATGCGCTGTGAAGTGGCGGCAATGGGTAGGTCAGGAAATGCACCGGTTCGTCAGATGGCTGCGCTTGTTTACTTACATCGAACTTCCCCAAGCGCCATCCTTTGGTGTTTCTCTTGGACGCCCGCTCCTGTTCCCTCATGACGATTACGTGGTGAATCAGTTCCGTCATGAAATGCGACACGTGTGCGTTAAGCAGCCTGATCACGTCTGAGGCGATCTGCGAGGATATGGTGGAGTCGATGTCGTGAAGGCGGTTATATAATCTGCGGGACGATGAACGGTCAGGGCTTGTCGGTACCGCGACTGTTCCCAGGACACGTACCGCATAAGTCTGGCCAAGCCCTTGAGATTCAACACTCCAACGTACTCCTCCTGCAGCTTGTCTGCATCTAGACCTATCTCTCTCAGCTTCTTGAGGAGCTTGTACGGAAGCCTCGGGCCAGAGACGTGCGGTTGGCGAGTACGACTCTTGTGGGCCGGTTCCGGGGACGTTCGACCACTCCCTACGTCCTGCTCTTCGGCAATCGCATCTGGTTCACCGGTACTCTCAGCACTGGAAGCGTGCTGCGAGGTGCGGCTCGTGGGCTTCGCATTCGCGCCAAATCCTCTGAGGACTTTCGCTGCGCGCTTCCGACCCGGCTTCAGCCTGGGAGTTGTGGATATAACACCCCCTCCACGAGCTTGCGCTCGCTTCTTCCTCATGTGGAGCCTCTTCTGAAATTGACGGCGTGCAGTGGCGAGCTCGGATTGGAATTCGGGCCTAGCTGCTGCCGAACTGGCGCGGCTGATAGGTTCGCTGGACGACTGCGGGAGAGATGCAGGGCGAAACGGAGGCGTGCAAGGGCGGAATTGATGATGCGGGAGCGTGTGTGCTGGTACTGCTGGGGAACGACTATGGTCGTCGGGAACTGACGATGTGGGAACACTTGCGCCGTCGGTGTTGAGAGCCGCAGATTGCGAGTCCTGTGGTTGGCTACGAAGAATTGGATCAATCATCTCTTCGTCGGGAGGTGTGGCCGCAACCAGCCCTGTATCGGCTTGAGACGCCTTGGTTGTCGTAGTATTGTCATGGATGTCGAGGGGCGTTGTCTGCGCTTCCCGCTCTGTATCGTCAGGTTCCGCGCTAGCCTCGCTCTCCATCCCCAAACACGCCTCGTCCTCCTCCCTCAGGACTCGGTTCATCGCCTCGAGAGTGGCGAAGTCCAGCGCGCGCAGAGTATCTTCGACCTTCCACTCCTCCTTCCGCTCCCCCAGCCACTGCTTGTATTCCTTCTTCCTATGCCTGACATCCTCTCTGTAATGTTCATTCGTCTCGGACTTCGCCTGGCCTCTCCGCGCGCGCATCGCTTTCTCGCGATCTTCCAGCTCCTCTTGTCTTGCCTCCTCCAGTTCCCGACTCTCCCATCGAGGCTCTGCGGCGAGGATAGGCTGCGCCTTCTGGTCCTCCAGAGTAACGAGGGCGTCGGAGACTTCCATGGCGGTAACGAAGTCCTTTCGTAACACAGGCCCATCCGCGCGCGTGGCGCTTTCCAGAAGCTGAAGATACAGACATACGTCCACCACGCTTTTCGTCCTGACCTCCTCCGCTATCAAGTCTGGTCTGAGACGCGAGTGAATAGTGAGCGCGTGGAAGAAGGTGTCCTTCTCGGCACTCGTCCAATACGCGCCGGGCGGGAAAAATGAGGGAGGAAGCCGGCCGCTTCTGTCTTTGCCTGACAGGTGCGCCCGGACATGGTTGAGGTGCTTGGAGAAATGCGAAAGGTAGGTAGAGTCGACTGATGTGTCGCCGTCATTCCCAACACTCGGTTCTGGAGTCGACGCAGCGCTGGTCATACGCCAATAGCTATGTGGCTGTATTGAGGAATCTGGACATTCTTTAGTACTGCGTAACGCTGGACGACACGTTTCGTTCCCGACGACACAGGCTTAGCAAGGAACGCAAGGCTGTGGGGCTGCATGCGATCGCGACATGGTCGAAACCCGGCCGATGTCAGATGAACCACACACCTCAGCTAGAAGAACGTTGTCCCGACGTCCGCAGTGTGTTCAAGTCTCCAGCCACATCAAGGGCGAGAAATAACCTTGGAAATATTAGACATACTTAGAAAGGGGAACTCTGGATAGAATTCCTACTTGCCAGGAAATTGAAAGGGAGTAGATGCTTCCAAGGCAAGGCCGCAAAACGATCCTGCACAAACGCAACAAGTTGAACAACGACAAGTGCAACGGATTTATACAGGCGCCCGTGTGAACGTTCGCGGAGAAAGAATTTCCGAGAAAGGTAACTACCAACCTGCACGCGTCGCTCAGTGGATGTCCAGAATTAGAAGGTGGTGTGTTGGGGCCGTCGTCCGAATCCTGGCTCCAGTATTGCCCATCGCCCGCTCCAGCATGATGCTCCATTTGTGTTGGCATTTTTCGGCAAGTAGCTCGTCATTTGTGTCTCTTCTGGCACAAGACATGCAAACTGCCCGTCCTCCTCGCCCAGACAGCTCAAAACCACGTGCAATGAACACATATGAGGTGCGTCATGGAGTGTTCACCATCGTCACCACTTGTGGGTCCCATTACATCATGTGGACGATGCACACTCCTCGCCGAGATCTTCACGACCTATATAAGTTAGCTTGCACGAAGGATGGCTGCCACTTTACCAATTGACGACTCGTCTGAACTCATCGACCTTCCACAACTTTCATTCTCTCATTAACGACCTATCACAATGTCCGCCGCATATGGTAACCCCCGCGAGGCAACGATGCCCGTGAAACCTGGAACAACGACCGTAAGTAACTTCTTGCCATTGGGTACGTGTTTGTGCAGTCGCTGACTGCTCATGGGTAGCGAACAACTACGGGACTCAACAACAGAACTCTGCCGGTGCCCAGCCCGGCATCCAGCCAGGGTTTGAGGACCGTGGCGTCGAGCGCCGTGAAGGCGCTTGGGACAACAACGCTCCCCAAGGCGCACAGTGGACCGCTGGCCACGGTGACAGCCTAGGTAGCACTGGCTACGAGGGCAATACCACCGACAGCAATGTACCCGGTACTGCTGGCTGGCAGCAGAGCAACAACTCCGAGTCTGGAGGTTACGACGACCAGAGGTCAGGCCGCAACCAGAGGTCCGGCGACTACCAGAGTTCCGGCGACTATCAGAGCTCCGGCGACTACCAGGGTTCCGGCGACAACCAAAGCACTGGTCACCCGTCGGTAGGGCAGCGCGTGAAGGGTACGTAGAAATCACCCCCTTTCTCATACGCATACAACACTAACGTTGTCCTAAAGGTACCGCCGAGAAGGTGGCCGGCAAGGTGACTGGAAACACCGGCAGACAGGAGCGCGGCGAGCAGCGTAGGGTATGAACGTCAATGTCCTTCAGGATTGCCAATCTCTAACTCGCTCACTAGGAGGACTATTAAACGCGCCAGTGGCGTAGCCGACGGCCTCGCCGATGTTCGTCTAGTCTTGTAGAAGTACTGTATCATTCAAGGAAATAAATTGTACACTAGCAGCTGTGGTATTAAACATCATGCACGCCGGCTTTACGAGAAGCCAGTCTGGATCATCCGAACATAAGCAGTGTACAACCAGCCGCGTCCACAGCCACTTATGTGCTTGGACACCTTAAATGTATATATTCGTGGCATATGGTAAGGTTATGCACAAGGGAAAGATCGAAGGCCTCAGTTGGGCCTGAGGCCTTCATGACCAGGGCCAGGTTTCGTGACGTATGAGCTAGATGGTCGATGATTCATTGGACAAATTCACCGTACCGACGCGAGGGCGCAGCGTCTCTCTTCGTGACGTCGTGCGGTGATTGCTATGAGCAGTATGACGACGCCCGCTCCAGCTGCTTGCTGCGCGTAACGCCAAGTTCAGACATTTGAGTCAGCGTGGAGGCATTTCACCGCTTGCTGTTGCAAGTCTGAGTCCCAGCCCAAGGTCTTCCCTGCCATCTATCGGCGAAAGCACGCCACAAGAGGAGCACCGCAGTAGGAAAATACACTAAGCACGATGCGGCCTTGACTAGAGCAAGTCTATTCAAGCTGTCACTCGATGACGAGTGTTGGAATTGAGCACAAGGTCCTGACACGAGCACCATCTCAGTGCGAACCTTGGATGCAGTGCTCACATGTGCGCTGACCGGTCTAGGTACTGGGGGCTATAAAACACTGGCTTCATTCACGCCAGAGTTCCCCACTAACCACGACTCACCGACATTCGCATACCCCTTAAACCATCATCCTCTTCGACACAAGAAACAATCATGGACAGCTACGGAAACCAAAACAACAACGGGGGCGACAGCGGTAAGCAAGCATCACGCGTGCTTGGGCATACACGTCCTGAGCATTGTGTTGTAGCCATCAACTTCGGTTCCAACGGTGGTGGTCGCGGTGGCCGTGATCAGGGCATGGGCGGACAAGGTGACCAAGGCTTTGGCGGTGCACAAGGTGACCAAGGCTTGGGCGGCGCGCAGGGCGGCCAGGGCTACGGTGACGCGCAGGGTGGTCAGGGCCTTGGTGGCGGGCAGGGTGGCCAGGGCTATGGCGGCGGGCAGGGTGGCCAGGGCTACGGCGGTGCACAGGGTGGCCAAGGCTACGGCGGTGCACAGGGCGGCCAAGGCTTTGACCAGAACCAAGGTGCTCAAGGCCAGGGGGGTCAAGGAGACGGCTTCCAGGACCAGGGGAACCAAGGCGGTGGGGCGTACGGCGGAGGAGCGCAGAGTGGCAATGGCGCCGGACAAGATAACTTCTCGGGCAGCCAGGGCGGTAACACAGACCCGGGTAACCAGTACGGCGGCAGTGGTCCTGGCGGGAATGGTGGCAAGCCATCAATGACCCAGCGTGTTGAGGGTGCGTTCTAGTATGCGACTGCAATTAACCAAGGGAGCTAGGACTCACGCATGAGCACAGGCACTGTGGAGAAGATAGCTGGCAAGGTCACCCGGAACCCAGGCATGGTCGTGCGTGGCGAAGAGAAGAAGGTACGCGCAGTACGCTCACGACATTAACACTGTGCTCACCATTCATAGGAGGGATACTAAATACCCCGTCTTCTCGGATCTTGCGGAAGTGCTTGAAAGACGTTGTATAACATGAAGTCTGTAGCGTAACTGTAACATATTGTCTTCGACCAAATGATACCTGCACGAGGATTGTTGCACAAGCGCATAGTGCCGTCACGGTTGCAATTGAAAAAGTTCTGGGTGAGCTTATAGAGGACAAACAGTACTTCGGCACTGAGCAATAAGGATGAAAGTCAAGTGTCACTCCCTCTGCCACAGGAAGCAAACAATGGCAAACCAATTATTGGGCTCACCAACGACCGGCCACACATCTAGGGCAACCCATCATGTACGTACTTGACCATAAGTCCCAGCCCCGAATCTTACCTGTCATCCATTGGCGAACGTTTGAACCTACGCCATGAGAGGAGGACCGAACTTGGAGAATGCTCTGCGCGGTTTGACACTAAATCAGTCCGTCTGCTGCTGCCCGATGACGAAAGTTGGATACCTAACGCCATGCCCTGACACGAGCGCCACTTCGGTATGCATGTGAGCCTTGACGGAAGGCAGCCTGCACGTCCACGGGCCTACGCACCTGGGAATATAAAAGACTGGCTGCGCTGATCCTCAGTCCCCACTACTCACGACCCACTCGTAAACACACACCTGAATCTTCATCCCCATTGACGAAAGAAACAAGCAATATGGCGGACACCTACCCAAACCAGGACCGGAACAACGACCGTAAGCAGGCATCATGCTTAATACTTGGCGTGCACGTCTTGAGTCTTGCGTTCTAGCCAACAACTTCGGTACTAGCGGTGGTCGCAGCGACCAATTCGACCGCGAGCGGGGTTTCGACCGTGACCAAGGCTTCGGGCGCGATCAAGGTCGTGACCAGGGCTTTGGCGGTGGCCAGGTCGACCAAGGGATCGACCAAAATCAGGGCTTCCAGGACCAGGGAGCGCAGAGCCAGGGCTTCCGCGACCAGGGCGTACGCGACCAAGGCTTCGGAGGCAGGGGAGATGGCCTCCAGGACCAAGGCTACCAGGGCGACGGCGCATATGGTGGAGGAGCGCAGGGTGGCTATGGCGGTTCTGGTCAGGACAACTTCGCGGGCGACCGGGGCGACAACGCGTACCAAGGTGACCAGTTCGGCGGCGGTCCCGGCGGTAAGGCTAGCAAACCATCGTTGACCCAGCGGCTTGAGGGTGGGTTACTCTCGGACTGCTGTATGAACAGACCAAAAGAACTGACTCACCGACGCAACCGCACAGGCGATGTGGAGAAGGTGGCCGGCAAGGTCACCCGGAACCCAGGCATGGTCGTGCGCGGCGAAGAGAAGAAGGTACGCAGAATCTGTTCGCTGTATGGACACTTTGCTTACCGTTGGCAGGAGGGATACTGAGCATCGTTGCCTTGTCGAATCGGCCCACCACTCCGATGAGAAGGAAAGCTTTGCCCTGATGGACGTTGTATGAAGTTTGTACGCAACTGTAACATAGTCTTTCCTGGATTCTGTAAGATGAACAGAATTCATCGCTCTGGCAGCCGTTGGATCGAGTACCTATAGTAAGTGTGTCGTCGCGAGAACAACTCAGTGAGAGGAAGATCCAGTGGACTCCAGTGTGAAGTGCGCCGTTCTATGTAAGTACTACTGTAAGTTGCCCAGCCTGCGCTTTCGATGCTGCGCCACAATGGGTAAACAATGACAAATCGATCGCCGAGCGACGAGAGCCTCTCCGAGAGCACGACTGGGGCACAACCGTACTTAGCGTTGTGCGCGCCGCCAACGGCTACGTTCTCTGTCTAACCCCTGCGTAGATCGCCACCAACTCTTCCAAAATGGCGACAAATAACAAGGCCAATAAGCTGGCCTTCCTTTCCATGCCGGCGCCCGCGTCCTATGTCGCTGGTCTTGGACGAGGTGCTTCGGGATTCACTACCCGTTCTGATATTGGTCCGGCTCGTGAGGGACCCTCCGCAGAAGTCATTGCGTAAGTGCAGTCACTCCCTTACTAGGTGCTCTAGCTGAACCCTGTTCCAGCGAGGCCCAAGCTAAGCGAGGAGAAGAGACGGAGGTCGACCCGGACCAGTTCCAAGACCCTGACAACGAATACGGTCTCTTTGCTGGGACTACGTACGAGGCGGATGATGAGGAGGCAGACCGGATATACGAGCAGGTGGACCACAACATGGATGCCCGGCGGCGGGCTCGCAGGTATGTTGTTGGAATCCAAATACGCTCGCGTCTGCTCACGGTTGTTGTTCAGGGAAGCGTTGGAGAACGAGGAGCTTTCGAAACATCGAGCTGAACGACCAAAGATCCAGCAGCAATTCGCGGACCTGAAGCGTGGCCTGGCGGTTGTCACCGACGAAGAATGGGAGAGCATTCCAGAGGTGGGCAATCTTACGCGGAAAAAGCGGAAAAGGGACGAGAGGTCATTTGTTGTGCCCGACAGCGTCATCGTCGGAGACAGATCTAAGACGGAATACGAAAACGCGTTAGACTCGAGGCAACAATCGGTGCGTCTTCTGGTAGTGATCATGGACGTGTACTCATTCCGGGTCATGTTCTCGTAGATGGGAGGCTTCGAAACCCCAGCGGACAGTGGCACACTCACGAACTTTGTGGAGATGGGTCAAGCTCGTGACAAGATCTTGTCGTTGAAACTGGATCAGGCGAGTGTGGTCATATTGCGTCGTTCACGCATTAACTAAATCTGCTCTCCAGGTATCTGGCACTTCCACTAGCTCTGGTCTCTCCACCTCTATCGATCCCAAAGGCTACCTCACCTCCCTGGACAGCGTCGTGATCAAGACCGATGCCGAGATCGGCGACATCAAGCGTGCACGCATGCTATTCGATTCACTTGTAAAGTCGAACCCCAAGCACTCACCCGGTTGGATCGCCGCTGCTTGTCTGGAAGAGCACGCCGGCCGAATGGTCGCAGCACGCAAGATCATTAAGCAAGGCTGCGAGCAATGTCCGAAGAGCGAGGACGTCTGGCTCGAGGCTGCGCGATTGCACGTACGTGTCGAGAGTATGCTGTACGGTGTTAATACCATGGTACTGACTGCCTCCACAGAATAACGACGATGCTAAGGTCGTCTTGGCTAACGCTGTACAACATGTCGGCCAGAGCGTCAAGATCTGGCTGGCCGCCGCTGATTTGGAGCACGACATCAAGGCCAAAAAGCGCGTTCTGCGAAAGGGTAAGTCATAGCGAACATGCGACGCGGCATCTACTGACGCCACCCTTAGCTCTCGAACATATCCCGAACTCCGTACGCCTATGGAAGGAGACCGTCAACCTCGAATCCAATCCTGTTGATGCGCGCATCATTTTGTCTCGCGCGGTCGAAGTCATACCTCTCTCGGTAGAGCTATGGTTAGCCCTCGCCCGTCTCGAGACACCCGAGAAGGCTAAGGCAGTCTTGAACAAGGCTCGTAAGGCGGTGCCTACAAGCCACGAGATCTGGATTGCGGCGGGCAGACTGCTCGAGCAGGAAGCGTACGCCACCGAGAAGCCGGAAGGGAAGCGGAACGAGGAGCTTGAAGTCGTCGATAAGACTATCGCAGCCGGCGTGCGGCAGTTGCGCGCGCACGGCGTGCTGCTCACCCGCGAGCAGTGGCTGAAGGAGGCGGAGCGTTGCGAGAGCGAGGGATCTCCACGCACGTGCGAGGCGATCGTGAAAGCCACCGTGGCGATGGAGGTTGAGGAGGAGGACAGACTCGACACTTGGATGAGCGACGCTGAGAGTGCGGAGCCTCGAGGCCATGTTGGGACGGCGCGGGCAATCCTGGCGTATGCGCTCAAGGTATTCCCGGACAAGAGGGCCTTGTGGCGGAGAGCTGCGGATCTCGAGAAAGCGCATGGCACAAGGTCGGTCCATTTTTCTTGCCGCAGTCCAGTCTGTTGCCTGACTATCGCCGCAGAGAGTCACTCAACGCAATCCTGGAGAGGGCTGTTCACCACTGTCCCCAGGCCGAGGTCCTCTGGCTCATGTGGGCCAAGGAGAAGTGGCTCGCCGGCGACGTTCCCGCTGCACGTGAAGTTCTGGAGAGGGCCTTCGTTGCCAATCCGGAAAGCGAACAGATTTGGTTGGCCGCTGTCAAGATTGAAGCTGAGAATGGCGAGCTCGGCGTCGCGAGAGAACTTCTTGTGCGCGCCCGAACTGTGGCCGACACCCAGCGGGTGCGTCTTCTACTCTGTGCGATTACGTGACATTGCTCTGACAACCTCATGTAGATTTGGATGAAGTCTGCCGTTTTTGAGAGACACCAGGGGAAAGCCGACACCGCGCTCGAGACACTCGCTACGGCTATCAAGAAGTATCCCAAGTTCGCGAAGCTCTATATGATCCAGGGTCAGATCCACCAAGACCGCAAGAATTATGCCGCTGCTCGGGCTTCCTACGCTGGCGGCATCAAGCAATGTCCTAAGGAAGTTACCCTTTGGATCCTCGCCAGCCGACTGGAAGAGGCGGACGGAAAGAGTATCAAAGCAAGGGCACTCCTCGATAAGGCTCGTCTGGCCAATCCTGGCAGCGACGTTCTATGGGCTGAAGCGGTGGGCGTCGAAGAACGCAGTGGAGGCGCTGCACAGGCCAAGACGGTGCTGGCGAGAGGTAAGCTACCCAAGGTTACGTTTTCTGGCGCGATATTGACGCCGTCTTTGTACCCAGGTCTGCAAGAATGCCCGACCTCTGGTTTGCTGTGGTCCATGACCATATGGTCGGAGCCACGTCCTACCCGGAAGTCTCGCTCCGCCGACGCTCTTCGCAAAGCCGCAGACGACCCTTTGGTGCTGTCCACTGTCGCACGGCTCTTCTGGGCTGAGCGGAAGATCGAGAAGGCGAGGCAGTGGTTCGAGCGCGCTATCACCGCCAACCCTGACGTAGGAGACAACTGGGGATGGTGGTTGAAGTTTGAACGGCAACACGGGATCTCAGTGAGTACACCATTCTTCTCATGCGGTGGTCCGGCCGCTGATCAATCGACCACAGGAGCAACAGGACGAAGTAGTCAAGAAATGTGTTGCCGCAGAGCCTCACCACGGTTCAACGTGGCAATCCATTGCTAAGGATCTCAAGAACACCCAGAAAGGTACCAAGGAGATTCTGGAGCTTGTCGTCGCCGCTTTGCACTGAGTGATATGTATTCTGTGGGCTTCGTGGTGTTCTGTTGTATTTGTATGCTATATTATTCTTCCGTCGCATGGATCTTGATCAAGGCCACCATTACGCGGTTGCACGGAGGCTTGCTACCGTTCTGTTCTGCGCAGTAGAGGTATCCACTGGATCTCCTGCGACCGCCTCACCATCGGTATTTTGCTACGCACCGCCTCAGTGTAATTTCTCCAAGATGCCGTGAAGTCGGTATACGGAAGTGCTGACACATGGACCATGGAACTCTACTTACGTAGAGTCGGAAGCTCACCAGAAGCTCGCGCACTGAGGACGCGACATTTATGTTGTATGGACGGCGCCCGGGAGGAGACATGAGCTGATCTGCCAGAGCTTCCGCGTCTGCCAAGGTCACTTGGGAGAGTTGGCAGAACAACTTGCGCCAAGAGTTCGTTCATCGTTACGGCGAGCAATGTTCTGAGCTCGTGCCAGCGGTGTTTGTACGGACATTGTTGGATGAGTATTGCCGCATGCCAAGTTGTTCGCCATGCGCTGCGACGTTGGCTTCGAGCGCTCTGCATCTATGCAAATCATGAAAAAATACTTACCGCGTTTATTGAGTTGAACACAGCATCACGGCGGGGAGCCACTGGCAGGACCAAAGAACAGGATCGTACTTGGCGATAGGGATCCAAGAGGTGCCATCTTCCCCCGTCGGAATGACAGATATCCGTTAGGGTCCTCGCAGTCTTCGTGAGGGTAACCGGTAGGAGCGAGACGTGCTGGGCGGGATAGTCAGTTCGATATTTCCAAATGACCACATGAAGCCACGCACCTCGCAGCGACAACTAGACGAGATTCTCTATAAGGCTGGGGCACTACATTGACGGTAGCGTCTTCGAATCTCTGGTCCAGTCACGAGTACGTTCTTCATCGTCTTGACAGGACTTTGTCATCCTGTGAATTTCGGGGATTTATGCGGGGAGAACTTCGTGATTTATAAGTCACCGTAAAGCGTAGTCAATACGTATGTTAGTCTAACCACCTTGGGATGATGCAATGCGGCGGGCCGGGCGGTGGAAGAGTCTGACAGCCTGAAGCACTAACCTGTCTAGGATATATGCCGACCAATTCAGTGTAGATCCCGGAGGAATTACGACCGCAGTGGCCATGGCTCCCCGCCGGCAATCATGACTTACGTTGAATCGGTGGTGGACATGGCACGGATAATCAGGCCGTCGCTGGGCTCGTCCCCTGCCGTCGCAAGCAATACGTGGGTGATTCCCCACCACTTCAAGCTATGGCAGCAAGATGTTGCAGCAAAATTGATGGCCCTAATGCTCGTTGTCCGTATCGAATTTGCAGCGGATGCTTCACCCTTCGAGAACTGCCCAGCCGAGCGCAATGATAACCTAAGAAAATCTAGAGAATGGGTGAGGGCGTCATGGAGCACTGGCTCACCTGTTTCCCGTACATACATAACTGAGACGTTCGTCAGACATAAATCCGTCATCAAAGCACAGTCGGACTAATAGCTGCGTATTTATCTTTCACCACATGGGACTACTGTTGAAGTTACACCGTGTTAACGAGGAACCCCAGATATCTTCCGATATACACACCTTCCTGACAGCCTTACTACATCTTCCCGTCACCGCGGTGCGAGCTCCTGAAGGACAACATAAGCATCCGACTGAGGGGGACATGGTTGTGCTTAAAATGGGTTAGTGGGCTACCGCCAGTCATTGTCAGATGTGCACTGGATGACCAGGCCGTAATCCACACACTGTTTGATGGAGCGGACATGAACAGGGTGACACGTCCAATAGGGTGAATGATATTACTCACCTCTGCCCACAGGCAACCCATAGGTGATTACTTACAAACTTTGTTCCACGTCAAATTACGCATCCAACATATTGCTCCTGAAGAGCTTCACGGTCGACTGCGATGCTGCCAAGCCGCGGTTGCCCAAGGATGCGTTCTTATCGCGGACTGACTGCTCGGACATCGCTGATCTCCGGGTGATGGGTCGACGGACGCAGACGGACGCCCGATCCCTGTCCGCGTCAATCAACCTATGGGTACGGGACCCGGATCACAAAGTGTACCGAGTTGTCAAGGAACACACCTGAGTACGTCGGAGATGTCCGCGCCACCAGATGTGGGATAGTATGGACGCATCGTCACACTGCGCACGGAAACAAATCTTCCAACGAGCGCGGCTTGAGCGCGGCCGCATGATTACGCCAGACGCTAACTTGCGCGCATTGTGCATCACTCGGCCTTGGGCGATTTGAACCCGAAGAGAACAGGGAGGCGACATGGCCGCTCCTCGTCATGCCGTGACATTCCTACAAATGCGTTCAGCTTCCGAGCTTCACGAGTGCCTATTGCGAGACGCACGAATGCAATTTCCTACTATGCGGGCGGTACCGTCGAGCGTCTTCAATGCTTCTAGCAGCGTCCTATCGCGATTGAGAGGCGCCATCACGCCCACTTCCGAGCTTTCACGGATCGTACGGACGCATTGTGGGTCATCGGTGAATAGGTTCACGGACCTCCTCGATCGAGCGACTTGGGTCAACCGGCTGTACAGCCTTGCCGCTGAAGACACACCGACAGCCGACGACCACGGGTCACGATGCTCCGTTCATATAGAGGTCGTGGACCATGTGGTGGAAGTCATAGATCTGTTGCGCGGAAAAGTCCGGCGTGTCAGGATCAGCGAAAACCATTCAGACAGCAGCTTTGAAAGACTCATCGCAAAACCGCTGCACTGAAACTGCGGCCAAGCTACGTGTCCGGGGTGAGACCATGCTGGCGGGTATCATTTTCCGGGTGTATGCATCGCGAGACGTTGATAGAGCACTGACCTTGTGGTTTCTCAGACGTGCTATGCAGATGAATCCTGTACGGCGAAGGTCGTTGTAAAACTTGATAGGGACCAGTAGCATGTCCGATCATGAATCATCTCATAGACGAACTTCTACCCGGGTAGTGCGACCGGCCGGCATGGGCCCATACCAAGCCCATACCGAAGTCATTTTCTCCGTCAATGACATCCATACTTGATCTCCGGAGCTGGGTACTGAAGCGCCACGTCCTGCGAGTCAAGTCGACGCGCACCGAGCGTCCCAGCGCCGAGTACTTTCCGATTGCGCCAGATGGATGATATCAGCCGCGGGACTTCTGCTCCGCTGTAGGACCTGTTACAAATGAATTCCATGTATGCTCCCCATTTGAGCATGCGCACCTACACAATTGGCAGCGCTATGTTCTGCGAGGGCATCGACAGCGATAGCGGCTTCCTCGCACGGATGTTTCGCATGTTTCAGGTCGTTTCGATAACGCAGCGACGCAACGCCCACCTGTCGGGCCTTTCAACGCACGGACCTCACCTCCCCACGCGCGATCCCCAGAATCACTGACTGCCTAACTTAATAGTCGCGATGTGCTGTTCGTCAACGTCGTGGCGGGAGTTCTGACATCATCAGCAGGCAGCAGTGTCATTCCTGTTCGCGCGAGATTGATCCGGATACTCGCACAACCTTCAGGAATTGCCCGGGTCCGGCCAATGTGATCCCTGCGGTCATATTAGGCGTTAGCAACTTCTCGCTGGCCGGATGGCATGAGAACGATGGCGGGAGTGGATGTCGAGCGCGGGAACCCGCCCGGGCGCGGGCGGCGCTGTCACGACACATCTGTCGATGCAACGCGTCAGGTTGAACACCGGACGTCACGAAGTGATCAGCGGAGACTCGTCGCACAGACGCGGCTCCCACCAAGGGCACAGCGAGAGAATAGGTGTTGGGTACTCACGAGAAAGTCGGAGGAATCTGCACACGCTCGGTGATCACACTGTGCATGTCTTCTCACCACGCCGGTCGCGGGCATCTGCCGGACTGCACCTAGAGCTGGGAGAAGCGGCTCCTTAATGAAAGTGTGGAATGCAGCAGTGATCATTGGTCAAGAGTGTGTGCTCCCCGACAGAGCTCGACACCCAAGGGACGGCGGACGTGATGTAGAGTTGACGTACTACAGACATGTACGGTGGCAGTGAAAGCGCAAGGCAGCTGAGATGCCAGACAGTGGACTGTTCTACACGGAGCGAGACCGTCAGACAGCAGCCGACGCGACATTCCCGCAAAAAAGAATGACGTACGTACGACAGCATGGTCGGCCTGCAGCTTGACTGGCGAAGTTGGCATCGAAGCGCCATTCGTCTGTAGTCGAAACCACGCTACGGAAGCAAGGTGTACCACTCAGCTCAGACAGAAGTACCGTGACAGTCAATTTGACAATCATCAGTATGTCATGCTCCTGCTGGAAACGATCAGTCAGCTCCAAGGCGCGTCATACACGCTCTGCTTCTGTGAGACAAGGCCACTATGAGTGAGGCAACGTAGTCTCCGTTGCAGGAACGACAAGCGCGTTTATGGAGGCAACGCACCTTTGCAAGGGAAGGCTAGCGCCAGAAGCAACGGGAGTCACAGGGCACGAAACACATATACAAATGCGTCGCAGTCGTTGCCTGCACTAAGCCAGAGACACGAAGATAGCATGAGATTGCTGTATCAAAACATTGCAATTCCATCAACGTAAAGAAAGCTACTTGCAATCTTCAGCTGTTCGGACGCAGTTGAACTTGCCAACTTTTCGGGTTATGTTGCGTACGTACAGACCAGGAGGCGCAGGGTTCCGCCCCGATTCAGGTGCATGGCGGAGACTTGGTGGAGACGAGTAAGCAAAACAAGTCTCTGCTGCACCGGATGGGCATCACTTACGAACACTCGGACTCGGAGCGCCTTGAGCCTCAGCGGCACGACAGCGATAAGACCCGCATACGTACAGATAGGATGCCTGCAGCGTGCACGCATTAAAACTGACAGAAATTTGTACGCAATGTCTAAGTAGCGTACCGCGCAACGCGAGTTCAAGTTGCAGTAGTGACGGCGATACCCACTGGCAGGCAATACATACCGGCGGCGCATCACAGACTGAGAGAGTCACAGTGATCGACCGGCACGTCGATTAGGACGCACCAGCGCCCCCGGTCCAGGCCCGACCCGCCGCCAGGGCAGCAAGAGAAAAGCTTATGGCACGCAACGCGCACCTGCAGAACGATCGTCCGCGTCCACCGCTGGCGCAACAAACGCGCCCCCGCGTCGCACATCAAATTCGATATTTTCCACTCTTCCCGGAGATGCACCTTCCTTTGCGGGCACAGATCCGCGGGGGGCGGCGGCCCGGGCGGGCGAGCAGTGATCTGGCGTTGGCGTTGCGCGATGATGTCGATAGGCTGGTCGACCCGCCGGGCTCGCGCGAGCCGTACTGTAGCCGAACCACAGCAACCCGGATTTTTCGCGTACGCGATCGCACATGGCCGCATCCCAGAGCAGCAAATGGCGGGGATCGCGATGCGGGCCAGGTACGAGCTGGCAGGCGGAAGCATCTCATCTCGATAGTAAATTTGCTGGCTACGGGATGTTGCGAGCTCGGGCGCTTGCGCGCCAAGCCACATACGGTGGCTGCGTCGGACTGGCTGGCCCCGCTGCGGTACCGTATGGCGATTGGCCAGCTCGAGGCTTGCGCTGCCTGGCCAATCCACGCGACCGTGGCGGTAGAGACGACATTGGCTGGGTTGCGGCGACGACGGGCGCAGGTCCCGAGCTTGCAGCACGTTGTCTCGGATGCAGAACGGCCGATCGACTGTGACTGTCTCGCGTTCTTGCGCAGGCCGGACGCCAGGGGAAATGTCCTAAGTTATGTACACAGTGAAGAGGGGCCGCCCGAACGTCCTGGACCCTGCGCGCAAAACATAGCGGCGCGGGATGACTGTCCGACCACGCGCCTGACCATGGCTGCAGACGACGGGAGCGGTTACATGAGAGCGGGAACCTCGGCGGAGAGCCGAACGTCGACGCCCGTATTAACGCAGAGCAGCCCGGTATGGCAAGGGGAACATACGGCCCTGGCAGAGGAAGACACGAAGCGCGGCTGCGTATGGCAAGAAGACAAGCGTATAACGTTAGACGCGACAAACGCTCACCCTGATTGCGAGGCCTGACCGTCAAAGTTCCCCCACCGTCGCGGTCCGACGTCTATATCCCCCGCCCAAGGCTCACGCTCGCGCGGCCGCTGTACGTGTAGGAGACAGGGAATTAGAGTGCGCGCGGGCGTGATTCGCTGCCCGGTCCATGACGGCCCTCATACCGCACTCCGTGGGACGAAAACGCTATGCTGTACACGAATTCGCTCATGGCGGATCGAGCTCGGGCGAGCATTCCGAACTGCTCGTGGGTCCCGCTCGCAGTCTGCGCATGTCCCAGCGCGGAGAAACCGATGTAGTCATTGAGTCATCGTTTGGTCATACGTGACGCCCGCCCGCCGGCGAAGCAGCTGCGCGTTCGGGATGGAGGAGGGGACAGGTTTTGGCGGGCGTGACTCGGATCTGGTAGCGGATTTGCGCTGTCTTTGGGTGTCGCACGCTCATGTCCGAGCGGGCCACGGGTTGCTTGGGCTTGCGAGTGCCCGACCAGAGTCTCCCAGACGGGTCGCCCGCCGTGGGCAATACCGCATCGTCACAACCATACGTATGCTCGCGGACTTGCTGCGGCCGCGCTGTGTGACTCGTCGTCGACGGACGCTGATGACATGGACCTCGAGGCGTGCGTGGTCGAGCTAGTCTAGTGCAGAGCGTCGCGGAACCATTCGTTGGTGTCGGATAGCCTCCGGGCGCGTGAGCCTGCCGGTGCTCTGCACGCGGACGATTAGATGGTAGTGAGAAACCGCGCGTGGCGATTGGCCCGGCGCAACTCAAACGGACATGGTCGTTCGCTGACGAGGCACGGTATGCGCACTCACCTCGTATAACGCAGGCCGCCTCCGGCTTAGGCTCCCGAGCGTATCAAGCTCAGGCTCACTGTGTGGGCGCTTCGATGTGAGCAGGCCACAATCGATACGATGGGGATCGGATGGCAGCGGGCGCGATCGAGGCAGGCCGACCGGAGCAAGAGAAGCATCGTGGACGCAGGCGATAGTGCACGGAGCTGGGCGAAAGGACCGAATGCTCCGTGTCGTGATGAATCATACCAAGCATCCCCTATCGTCCATCCGCGTCCGTGCGCCGCGCGATCGCGAGGCCGTTTACAGGATCTGTATGTAACGCTAACGCAGGCCACACGGATCGCCTCCGGGGAGCCTCAGACGCGCCGCGCTAAAATGAACGGGTGACTGATGCGTGATCATCCGTCGACGCCAGGAGATGGTCGCCTCGCTCGTGTACGGCGGCGGGTCCGTGAGACGGGCGCGTGGCTGTCGCATGGCAGGACGCGAGGCGGATTGTTTTGTGTTTTGCGAGACAGCGAGGCCTGCAGGAGTGCTGTTGACGAGAGGCGGGGACACGATGCAGACCAGCGCAGCTGAGCGTCCCGGAGAGAGTTAGCGTCGCGCGACGCGTGTAGTACGCGTGCGCGCACACATTGCAAGAATAATATTCACGTCAACGGCTGTCCACGGCCCGCGCAGTGCGGAGTGCACAGCAATGCTGATCGCGCGGGCGTGCGTGAACCGATGTCGGGGTGTCGGGCGCAGAGAGAAGACCGATTGGCAGATGACACTACTGTGAGATGGTTGCGGGCGTACGGAGAGCCGGATCACCAAGAACGTTGATCGTTGTGGCGATAGGAGGATGGTAGGAGCGTGGCCGCCAGCAACAGCTAGTAGACATGTGACGGACGGCAGATCCGAGGGGCGGGGCGATCTGCGCGAAGGAGGGAGCGCGATGTACGAGATTGGCAGGAGGCGTCCGGTGGCGGCGGGCGAGACCTGCCGACGCCAGTGGCAACGGAGCACTGGTGAAACACGATCACGATCACGACGGAGCATGGGCGAGCACGCCGTCGGACACAGCGGCGGCGCGCACGAGGGATGCTTCCGGCGGGAGACGCGGCGGGCGCGCGATCGGGGCGCGCGCGACGCCGGGGGCGGAGAGATGGCGGGCGGCGGGCGGGGGCGGGGAAGGCCACGGCGGACGGACGCGGGGACAGGCCAATCAGAGCGGGGACGCTGAGCGTGATAGACGCGTCTTCGAGTTCGCCCGGCAAAGGCCGCAGCTGCGCGCGATCGAGATTGCGGGAGCGCGAGATCGGGCGTTGTTGAGATTGGGCGATAGGCACGCGGGGCATGTGCTTCGTGCCAGGAATGGGCAAGCGGGTCGCTTGCAGGAGGGAAAATCCGGGGCTGGACCGCCAGCCCTGGGTCGGTGAGGTAAAACAGGGCCTTTGCGGCGGGGAATGGTCGGGTCTGTCGGGCAGAGGGCGACCAGCACTGCGACTGTGAGGTGCGGACGCTGTAGGTGGCGGGCGACGGCTGCATTGCGGTGGAAATTGAGAGGGGATGGAAGCGACGCGAGAGCAAGCCTGCAGACGCGGACGGGTTGGGAAATGGACTGGGAAATCGCAGCGGGGCACAGTACGGAGGACGTAATGGGGGGCAGGCGCCCGGGAGGAGCCAATGGGGGCCGGGGAGCCAGAAGAGGACGGGGGATCGCAAAAAGAATATTAGGGTTGAGGCAGGCCCCGGATAAGGGAAGAGGACGGCAGGCAAGCGAGGGAGCGCTCTGGAGACGGTCTCGACTGGGCAGAACGCAGAGGCGGGGGCACAGGCGGGGGCAGTGATTGGCCCGGGCGAGCACGCGCCGGTGGCCGGCAACCACGGGGCCAATGGGCGGCCGGCGCCTGGGGGGCGGATGACGTCTGGAACGGATAAGGCAGGAGGCAGCCCGTCGCGGTGTGGCCGTCCGGGCATGCGGCGGCCCTGGGACGGAGGACTGTCACGCGTGACGGCTGGGATTCAGGTGCTCGGAGCTCGCATCGGGCAGCCAATGGGAGCGGGCGCTCGTTCGAGGCCTCCCACTCGCGCCCATCAACAGGCGAGTGCGATAAATAATCTACGCCTCCTCCCGGCTCCTCCCCACTCCCAGCGCCATCCGCACGTCCTCTGCCTCTCGCTGCCGCCAAAGTCCCGCCGCCTCTGCCCTCCACGCAGGCCGCCCCAGGCACCCTAGGCACCCACCCGCCCCCTGTTTCGTCTTGGGCCGCCTCTACCCGCACCTCAAATAGCTCCCCGTCCTGGCACACGCCCCCACTCTCCGCCATGGACATTGCTTTCGACACAACATGGTGTCCGGTATGCAGCCGCCAAATCCTCCCCAAACGCTACTACGTGCCCATCAACCCTCCACAACAAGCCCCCGCGGCGCCGCCGAGCTCGCCCACGGCTGGTAAGTCGACCTGCCTTTGATCCGCCGCGCGCTCGGTCACTCACATACACTGCCCGCAGAGCCCAAAGTCGCCGCGGAGCCTCCCGCGCGTCTTCCGCGCAACAAGACGGGCACGATACGTCCGAGGGGCGGTGGACTTGTTCACGGCACTGGTCGTGTCAAGCCCAACGGTGCCCTCAAGCGCGACGACACCGTCAAGCAGACAAAGAAACAGCCCACACCCGAGGCCGGGGTTGATGCCAACTCGACGCGCCCCATAGGTGCGGTACGCCACCGCACCGTCATCGATCAATCCCCAGTCCCTTTGTACTGCTCCGACGAGTGCCGCCTGGTTGACATGCAGTCCTCGTTCGGCGCCATGGGTATGGAGTACAACCCCGACCGCTGCACCTCTCCTACCCTGCCCCCTGTGCCGCACAATTCCTTCTCCGATTTCTCCTCGAGCGAGAGCGACTCTGCCAGCGGCGCGTCCTTCGACTCGCGTTCGTCGTTCAGTTCGTCGCCACCGAGCGCGACTAGCATCGACGACGACGAGCCCGCCACCCCGGAGTCATACGTAGCCTTGACCAAACTCTTCCCCGACCTGCCCAAGAGGCCCCCACCACCACCCCCACTCATCCGCCGAGATACCAACGAGAGCACCGCGTCCCTCGACGATCTCACCTCGGGCGTGATGATGTCTGGGCAGCGCATCAAGGCAGCGCTCTGCCGCGAGCCCCCGAGGAAGCGGTCTGGTTACTCCGCCTACCCTGCCGAGGAGCGTCGCGAGCGGAAGATTATCCCCGGGTGGACGGACGGCTCGCATGCATGGCGCGCCAGCGTCTACAACCTATCCGCCCCCCTCGACATGTCCAAGCCGCTCGACGAGGAGCGCGTGCGCGGTGCCTACAAGGGCTTCGTCGCCAGCAGCCAACGCTCTCACAGCGGCGTCTACTCCACTCTCTCGACGCCCACCTTCGACGCGCCCTCGCCGTCGACGGCGTCGCTCCCCCCGTTGGCGCGAAGCAGCGTAGGAAGCGCGGCCAGCCTGCAGATGCGCTCGCGTTCGGAGGCGGACGAACTTAGCAAGTATCCCCTCTTCCATTCTCGTAGCGAGTCGCGCCAATCTCTCATGGGCGCGCTCTCGACGTCGCCCACCGGCTCGACGCGCTCTATGCCTGCGACGACCTCGGTGCGGCGGAGGGAGGTTTCGCTGGTGAAGCCCGGCGCTGAAGGGCGGCTGCTCGTTCCGAACGTCAAGATGACGCGGTCGCCGTCGACGACGACGATGAGCAGCGTGACCAGTGCGGGCAGCAGCTACGGCTGCTATGCCTACGGCCGCAAGCCTAGTCCGCTCAGCCGACAGAACAGCGATGCCAGTATGGAGACCACGGACAGCCTCGAGACCGAGGCTGATCTGACGATGCGGCCTTCGTCGAGAAGCCCAACGAAGAAGTCGACTGGTGAGTTTGTTATTATTCATTGTATTGCGGTCGCTGATGAACGGCTTCTAGGGGACTCTTGGAGCTATTCCGATGACACGATGACGTTCCCCATCCTTCAGATCCCGAAGAAGGAGAAGCGCGTCGAGCGCAGGATCATCGATGGGGAGGAGCAGGACGTCGAGGTCGAGGTCGAGGTCCATCAGCCGCTCAAAAGGCTCTTCCTCTTCCCTGGCAAGGATGTCCGCTAGGGTTATCGCCCCCCCTTCCTGTCTTGTCTTGCCGCATCGCATCGCATCGCATTCCGACTCTTCTGCATCACGACTCACGCGCATTCACCATACCCCCTGCACGCTGATACCTCCCGACGACATACCCGACGACGCTCACGGCGCCGCCACTGACTTATTCCTCAGTATCCACCTGCTGCTCTCCTCGCTGTCGACGCACATGCATCCTCTCGCACACGCATCCTCTCATCCTGCGCCACCGTCGTCTCCGTCGCTGGGATATATCGTCCGGGCCTCCGCCAGCATCGCGTCCTCTTCCACTCATCTGACCCGCCTACCCTACCCCTCCTATCACCCTCTACCTCAACCCACCGCTATTCGCGTCCGCGCGTCGAAAAATGTGCATAAGTATGTAGTATTGTGTACTATAGCTAACGACCCGGCTTATTCGCCGCCATTCCGCTCCTTACGCCGTCTCTTGTCCCCTTCCGCCCACGTCGTCGCGCTGTCCTGTTATCCATGTACCACTATTCTCATTCTCGTCCCATCACGTACAACATCACGCTACATTATGCCCATGGACTTCGGTTCATTTTTACTCGTCATCTTCTTCGTCTGGATTTCTGTCGGTTTCTTTCTACGGTTGGGTGTCATTTCACTGTACTACTAGCAACGGGCTGTACGAATCGCTACGCGTCATAATGGTTGGACTTGCATACTCTTCCTGGGTTGGTGGCATAGGCAGGGGCACTCGCACGCAGCAGATATGTTCAGGATTCATTACGATACGTACATAACGCAATATAGTGACGAACGCATTGTTGATCTCCATCACCGTCTTGTGTGTGTGTCTTACCCTGGGATCGCGTGCCTTCGAAACCAACTCCAAACTGTTGACGGTCGGTGGGATCTTGAGACTAGCGGCGCGGTCGTCGGTCTTGTTTGAGCCTGACAGTTGCTATACTTACACACCCGCGACGCCGTGCCATTCGTTGCCCTGCGCGGGGATGGCCCGTCGCCGCGTCCAATGGGCCAGGGGCGGCGGTGGTCTAGGTCTAGGTCGGCCAAACGAACGTACCGGATCCGGGGCGGCGCGGTGCACCGTGCACCCTCAAACGCAGAGCGCGTTTCATTGGGCAGCCCCGCGTTCTGACCGGGCTCTTGCCTCGCATGGCCGGCATCTGTCGATCCATTCTTTCTGCGTCGGCGTCGAGGGTCGCGCGGCGCATCACGCTGCTTAGGCTGGCGAACCTGGCTCGATGGCTTCTGACGCTTCGCGGCGCGGGCGACCCTGCGCGCGATTACGCTGGGCGTAGTACCGCCGGCGGGCCCACCGCTGAGGCTCTATGTAATGATCTGCTGAATCTTGTTATTGGCTGGACATGGGTGGGCCGGCGGACGGAGAGGCGTTGCGATGGGCTATATTGCGGATGATCGGTGGACTCGGACGGGTCGACGGAGATGCGGGACAAGACGCTGCACAAACGGATTCCGGCCGTATTCCACCGCCACAGTCAGCTATAGCGCGGGGCGGGCATGTCGTGGCGTAGGACCCGCTGTCATACATAACACAACGCGAGTCAAATAAAGCGGATGGCGTTGTATGTTGTGCGGGTATGTGACTACGGCTAGCTAGTAGTGGTATTATTGAGGGCGAGGCGGGTGCCGTACGCGGAGCTGTAGGTGGCGGAGAGGCGTGCTAGTATCGCTATGGTGTCGTACGTGTGCGGAGGCGAGTTGATTGTGAGCAGGAAAGGCTAGCGCGGGTCTTGTGCAACATGCGTACGTCTTCGAATCCTAGGTCTACGCCTCCGCTATTATTCGGCGGTGATTATTGGCCTTTTCGCGAGGCGCCCGACGACGGTCTTGTTCTCTCTCCCTTTGTCTTCATCAGGTTCGAGGACGTCCTGCTCTCCATTTCGAGGGCAGCTGGTGCGCCATACCGTATTTCGCGACGACCTTCCGACCAAACGCAGCGCATCGTTTTGTCTCGCACGATTGTGCCATATGCCACCGCCGTGGCCGCCGCTGTGCCACCACCGCCGCGCGACACCTTGCCATATCCCGCCACCTCGCGCGTACAGACCTGCAGCCAAGTGCAGTGCGTCGTTTTGTCTTTCCCCGGGCCCTCCGGTTCCCGCCGCACAGTGCTGCTGCCTTGTCCGTGCGTATTGCCAACGGCCCCGCTCAGCTGGCCTCTTGTCCCCCATCTCCCCATCTCCCCCCGTTCGGACCGCCGACCGAATCGTCCTAGTGCCACATGCTGCTCCTGGCGCGCGCGCCCTCGCCTCCCCGTCCTCCCGCTCATGGCGTGACGACGCATCCCAGGGCCCCAAATCTGTTGCGCCGTGACGCAGAGTCACTTGTGGCTGGGTCCTCCCCCCGCGCGAAGTCCCGAGATGGTGCGTAGATTTCGGTGCCCGTCCAGCGCAGCGCTGCCGAAGCTCGAGAGATCTCAATCTGCGCAGGACGACCGTCCGCACGCGTGCGGGCCGGGCGTCGAGCTGATTGATCAGAGCAGAGGGCTCGGAATGGCATAGCGCGGGATCCTGGGGGACGGCCGGGGACCTCGGACGCTCCATGGCCTGGCCGAGACTCTCCCTCTCACTGCAATCTTGCCCTGACTGCGTGCGACGCTGGGGAGGGTGGCGCGTCGGCCGCGACGGCTGAGGGTCGTCGATGGCGCTGTGGATTGTCGGGCTATGGTGGACGCGGTGTATTCGCGTTCGTGTCCCAGGCGAATCTCCGGCTCCGCGTACGGGCTGCGAAGCACCACTGCCATACACTCTGTTCCACAGGTCCGAGGCGATGGTTCGGTCTATGCTCCGTGCGTTACCCGGCGAAACTGTCGTGACGAGCGAGGCATGGCCGCGGTCGACATGCACAACGGAGTGGTCACTCGGCCGAGGCTCTGCCACTGGGAGTGCATCGCCTCCATAGAGAGCTTTTATCATCGTCATATCGCGCATGCTCCGAGGATACTGCACCGGTGTGTTGGCTGTGTTCTATCCTTGTCCTCCGATGATTACTCAGTATGTGTCCACTACGGACAGAGGATACCGCCAGCCGTGACATGGTTTCGACCGGCTGTCTACGTACCCGGACACTGGATGGAGTTGTCTCGTTTACTGTGCGCTGTTCTGCAGGCTGTGCTGCGTGACAATCCTCCTGACTGCGGTTCTGGGTGTCCTCGGAACTGGAGGCACCCACAGGCCGTCCAGGCAGATCATACCGGCGAAATGACATCTTGGACGAGGATCACTTGACCTGGGTGGCGTTGGCGTGCGTGGTTGCCCTCTACGTACGTGCTATTATTGCAGTGGAAACTCGAGCTGCAGGAGAGCCTCGGCCGACTCTTAGCGAGATCGGGATCGTCTGAGGCGGGTCTGCCGTTGTGGGGTCGTCGCGGCGTGACGGACAGGATTGGCTGAGGCCGGGCAGCGAGCGCTACGTGACGTCATGGCGTCGAGGACGGCTGTGGGGAAGACGGGATGCGGGGTAGACGCCCAGCCTTCTGTGATCGTCCGCTCGGCGACTGCGTTCTTGACTTCGCGACATCGGGCACTCGGGCCCAGGCCGTGACATCATCTCCTTCCCAAGCGGGTGCGTCCTCGTCCCGCCCAGGTCCCACCAGCCACAACGTGTCCTGCTCAGATCATGGGTCTTGGGGCGTAGATCCCAAGGAGAAGATCTGCCACCACCTATTCTGGACGTCCAGCAATCTACATACCGAAGCAGCGTAGAGGCACGCGAAGGCACCCCGGCACTTCCAACCCAAGTCGCTTCGCTTTGAAATCCGCCACGGTGCCGTAACCAAGGATCACCCGTCAATGGATATTCATTTTCCATCACGCGTACAGCACTCGCACAATTCGGTCGTACGTTCGCAGAAGAACAAGGCATCTCGTCACTTCGTCTCCAACTCAACTGTCCACGCCGTAACCGTGACCAGCTGGTCAACCGCTCGCAACGTGTGACACGCCCCGAGCCTGGCCTTGCTCGGCCGCATGCTCGACTGTGGTCGTGTGTCCTGCTCTCATGCCCGCCAGTGGTTCTCTCAGTCAATGCGTGTTCGAGGCCGACAGTTCATTCGTACCATCGGAGGAATGAACGGTCCCAGAAAATATACCACTGCGCGCTCGGCCTTCCGTGATCTTACAGCGTCCCGTTCGCTCTGGGGCAACCAGGCTTCCCCGGGGATGGACCGTCACGTAGCGCCATGATCCATCAAGGGGATCCGGGGTGCTGTTGGTCAGATGGCCTGGCGAATGAACGTCGTCCCCTCGACTGTCACGGAGTTTTGATTTGGTTTTGATACTCGTTTATATTCACACCAGACAGGCAGTGCGCGCGAGTCGCAGGCTGCAGATGTCAATGATACACGCGGAGTGTGCACACTGTATTGTGCGCTGCGCAGAACGGGGCCTCCTCGTCGATAGTCGAGGCCTAGGCTAGCCACCCCACCTGCATGTGGGGCCATCGTGCGCGCAAACCTTGCGCGAAGTTTGTATTCTCCGTCTCCGCCCTTCCTGCGTCGTCCTCGCGGGAGAGACGAAGACTCTGCGGCGAAGTCTCCGAGCAGACCATATATGGAGATTCCTCGCTACCGGCCCGTGCAGCCTCGCTGACAGCTGTGCACTTCTGCGGCTCAGAAGGGATCCGAACTCGTTCGATGGGAGTGCGCGCGACGTAAATCTCGCTCCTACGGCCTTCAATCTGGCTTCTCTTACGCATATGAAGCTATCAAGTCTTAGCTTCATCGGGCTCTTTGGACGGGCACTTGTCTGGCATGTCCAGCGAACACGCTTGGCCGTGGGATCCTACTCCGCGAGCCGACATTCCTTTGTAGGCCAAGCCACGGGTGACTATTCCTAGCTCTAGCTCTAGCTCTCGAGATGTCCGACTAACGCTCGACTTGTATGCAGGATCCCCCGCTGCGACCTTCCTTCCAAGCGGATATATACATTCGGGATCGAGCGAAGAACGTCCCGAGAGTCACAGCCCTCCCGGAGTCGCAGTTCGATCAGTTCAATGGCGCGTCACGGTCGCCGCGACGCTCGAGCTGCTATCGCAATCGCCGCATCGTCCAACGGCTGCCCTCCGATTCCGCAGCTCGACGCATCGTGTGCGTGGGTTTGTCAGGTCGCGTCCAATCGCCTCGCCCTATCTGCCTGTGGATCTCTCGATTGTCGGAAACCGAACACGAAGACTCGGAAGGCACGCTCGTGCGCGGGGATGCGAAGGTTGACTCACTCGCGCTGACACCCCTGGCACGCCATCCGCCAAGATCGCTCGCGCCCGTGTCCGTGCGAGAGTCGTGTAGGGCGGCTCGATCTAGCTGCAGATGGGAGCATGCTTCCCGACCCCAGTTGGATGTGCGTCTCTCCCCGCACTGCGCCTCCCGAGTAACGCTGTTCGAAACTGGAGACCCTAGATGTGGCGGCGGGGGAGGCGTCGTTACCGTGTATCACCGAGGCGGCCTGGCTTCCGAGCCAGCAAGACGTGTCCGTGTCTGCGGGGCAGTGGCAATTCCCCACCGTTTTCCCCGCATTCCCCGCAGACGCTGTGTTGCAGTCCGGACGGCGGCAGCGTCACACTGCCTTCCGGGCTCGACGTTACGCCGGCGCGCTGGCGGGCAGTGGTCACGGTCGGACCGCCCCACGGGCGATTCCTGGAAGGGCGTCTCTGTCCCGGAAATCCGCGTGTGGAAGTAGCTATCACATCTGAATTGACTCGACGAGTGGTTATTGAACACCGTAGCTGCAAGCCGTTGTACAGTGGCCCAGGCTCTTTGAATGGGTGGAGGATCACTTTGTCTAAAGGGACAGTCCCGTGGTCGTTATTGATGCTCAGCTTCATATTGCGAAGCTCGTTGAGAGCCCGTTCTCGAGTCTGGCCAGGTGGAGCAATTCAGACGCTCTCATGCTGGGTGTCTGAGAATGTGTGGTGATTATCCCCAGACACGCGTTGACACGGTGTGCACGGAAGCCAGGTCGGCGATACCTGTCTCGTATGTGGTGCGTGTTCTGTTCATAGCAACGCGTCTCTTCTGGCTGACCTTGGTAACTGCTGACACAGATCGTCTTCAATCGCTCCTGGGATCTATCTATTGCTTCAGCGTTCGGGCATATGGCGGCTTCGCAGGTCCCGATGGTAGGCCTCCCCGACTCCGAGTCGCGCCCGCCGCATCAGCCGCTCGCCAGTGATACTTACACTTCTCAACATATCGAATGCGTCTGTGGTCGAGCGAGGAGCGGTGAAACTTCTACATTGACTTCGGACTCCGAGTGGGGACTAATGCGTGCATTGACCTCCATCACCCTGCGTCTCCGAGTACGCGCGCGCCCGCTGGAAGCCGACATCTCCTTCAAGTCCGGATCGCTACTCTGCCGCCGGCATACAAGCACCAGGAGGACAGGCGCACCCATACAGACAGCTTCGCGAGGCCCTGGGGCGCCACGCTGACGGTGATAGGCTCACGTCGGACGGTGTGCATGAGCCTCAGGATGGTTAGCTCGATGCTTCAAGCCCTTCACATCACCGCCCGGTGTTCACTTGTCGGGCCCCGTCGTCGAGACGCGCAATGCCTGTGTCTCGGTCGAGGGCCTGGAAGGAGATTGCGGGCGTTGCGCGTATCTGTGAGGCTCAGCTGCCAGTGCCGGTGGTTTCTGGCATGGTGCGTACTCAACTCGGTCGAGGGCTGGGAGAAGCACCGTTGCTCGCTTCGTGTCTGACACCTTGATGGCCGGGGGATTGAGTGGTAGGACGTGCTACGTCCAGCTCGGATCGCGAGGGCTTCGGCAGAGGAGCGAGGGGGGATATGCTGTTGCTAGTGCCTGCGAGGTGCGTAAGACGGCTTACAGTGTGGCCGCGCTTCTTTGCTGAAGCAGTCGCATATCGCAGCATATCGGATCCGTTGGTGCAGTGTTCGCGTGCTGCGTTGTCATCGGGATCATCGGAAGCAACGTGCGGTCGAGGAACATGTGCCTGGCCGTTGCACGCGTGGTCCCCACCGAGGTCGGCCACCTCGTGCTTTAGAGTGTCACTTCATTTGCATTCATACAACGCTCCAGGTCTTGCGCTCTGTCCTGTGCACGAGGCCGGTACGTGTCGCGACTGTCTCCAGACTGCTCTGGGAGTCAAGATTAAAGTCTGTATGACAGGCGGCTGCGGTAGGTGGTCTACCACGCTCTGTGCCGTTCCTGAGGTGCCCTGCTCACTGTCATACCTGGCCTTTACAGAATGCCAAACGCGAGAACAGGCCGGCTTGGGTCCTCATGTCGACCTCAGGCTGACATACTTCACTTCATTCGGGATGTCGTCTTGCCACCATGGTCCGTTACTTAACTTGCGTTCGACGGGCGTTGTCGCGTTGCCTGGAGGGATGATCCGCGTGGACGCGCAACTCCACCCCAATGGATGACTTATGGCGAAGTGTGTGCTCGGGCTTGACTTAGGCCTCGAGTTTCATCTTCGAGTTGTTCCGCTACGCGGGGACCCAGATGATCCGCTCACACCCCACTGCTGTGTTCGTCGCATCAGTTCATACACAACACCGTGTGGGTCGTCGCCCCCCTGCGATCGGACCTGCCGCTGATCGTACCTTCTCAAGGACACAGTGTCCAACAGGTCGTCCGACAGCGCTAGGCACCGTGGTCTCCGGACGTTGCCCTCGAACAGGCCACACGACAGCCAGGATTCATCGAAGTTCGATCATGAAGCAGGGACTCGGACACAGGACGGATGGGTCACAGCGGGATATGAACACAGCTGCGGGTTGATGCAGTTACGACGGATCTGTTCTCATGAAGTCAGTACAGCCTGAATGTCACAACCTGATGCATCCTGGCGAAATGGTGGCCTCCGAGCCGTGTCCCGTCAGTTGCCTGGTACCCCCGTGCGGGGCGCCGTGGGGCAGACGTGATGATGAGCCAGGGTCGCACTATAGACTCGGGGTGGGTTCTGTCAATGCTCTGTGCCGGTGGTGATGTGGTGAGTAGCTCTTCAATTACTCGACGCGACAATTAATCATTGCCGTACAAGGAGCCAACGTTGACAGGAATACTCCGGACATTCATTGACATCATACGTCACGCCAGGTCGGAGAGTTTGGACGGACTATCTGGAGATACATCCTTGTCACTTTGGCGACTCCAGAGAGGTTGACGTACTCTTCTCCGGAATACGTGGGACGGATGGCCAGGTGCATCCGAGTCATGACCAACTGCTGATCCATGGTCGCCGGGACAGCTGTCTCTACCCAGCGTCACTATCTGAGTGACTTGGTTAATTTTAGGCATGTACACGCCGGTTTGATGGGTGCTGACGCGGCCCCTAGTTCACTCTGGAATGCTCTCTGCTGGAGGAGAATCCCCGTCCACAGGTAGCGAGACTCAACTGGATGTTCACAAGACCGCCGACATGCATCAGCAGACAGTACGAGTCATCGCCCAACTCAGTAGGTTCAGCAGTGCGTCACAATGATCGTCCGTCGCCGAACGGAGCTTCCTTGACCTGCTGTTGCCCTGCCTCCCGGATCTTGGACGTTGGACGCAGCCACAGGACATAGGATGGTGCCGCAGGACAGAGGACCGGATCCAAGCTCGTGGATAGAATCACGGTAATTACCGCGCTGCGAACTCGATGCGTTTTGTGACGCAGTCACAATCACGACACTGGTCCGTATGGGCGTTCGAGTTGTCCGGACGTCCCGGCCGGTTAACTGATGCTAGTGGGCTCAGTGGCAACGCTGCGGGGAGCCCTACGGGACGCCCGCGAAACATCCCGCACGCGTGTCTTGCGTGTGCCTCGGTACACCCGGGTTGATTTCTGCGAGTGTTCCGCAGGAAGAGCCATCGGACGCTTGAGGCTGCCATGCGGGCCCGCTGGCTCATGATCCTGGCTGGTAGTTAAAGATACCATGTACAGGCAATTTTCCGACACGACCTGGCTGACATTGAGACGGCAGTAGCTTACGGTGACTGCTTGGTCGCCATCGGTTCCTGGATATTCGTTGACACCGTGCTTGTGACTGCGCGGTACAAACTTGCTATGCCGGATTCGGCCAGCGTCGACTCGGGCTTTGTGACAGTAGGCAGTGGGTTCTAGTACACTAAGGCGTGGCCGCGTCGACTCAGAATCAATCACCAATTTGAATGCATCATATGCCGCCATCCATGATCCAGTGCTAGCATATATACGTTAGCGTGCGGGGCCCGGGCGACCCTGCGGTAAAATGACTTGATCCAAGTGAACGTCGGCGCCGCGACTGAGGCCGGCTACATACTACTTCACTGACTCGATAACTTCAGTGTTACACCCATGACGTATGGAATCCGTTATCTTGGGCATCTACCCCTGGTCTTCAAAAAGACCAGCCCTCCGAGTGCACGGTGAAAATGATGGAAGGAGGTTTCCGGATGTTCTTGCAGCGCGAACATTGGCCGATGTTTTTACATTGATGTCCGTCAGTTGTGAGGATATCGCGGGGTACACAACAGTGAGCTTGACATTAGAAAGCAGCAAACATAAGTCAACGCAGATTAGACTACATCCAGAGGCTCACAACAGTGATGAACTAGTATTAAGTGGCTGCGAAGCGGCCGGCGCCATCGACATAGTACTGAGAGAGCATGTGTAGGTAACTCAGTACTTGGTGATGAGGCACTCAAAAAGAAATTCGCGCTTCGGCGGTCGAACATTTGAGTGTCTGGTAGTGGACCGTCCTGAGGTCGGACATAAGTACAAGAATAATGTAGTGACATATTGCATACCCTTCCGAGTCATACGACGCTTAGTAGACGCGTCGTGCGCTGTGAAAGTCACGCCACCGCGTTGGCGCCCATCCGTCGCGACGCGACTCCGGAGGCGTCGCGGTTGCTCTTGGCCACGTTGATCACAGTGAAACCTCCACATATATGCATACCGTACGTTTTATAGAGTGATTTTTTTGTACGTTGCCAAGCTCTGGTTTACTCAGTCACCGTTGCTCAGTGCTGATTAGGTGTCACGGATTGTCTTCAAGTGCCGGAACGCTCGTCATACATTTCCTCCCGGATAACTCGACTAGTTGCGGGTGTGGCACAAGGCAGAATGCATCCGTGCCTACAAATCACGGAGCTGCTGGATATTATCTTCCGCCAGCTGGACGAGGACCCTGTTTTCTCGGCTTGCACGTTAGCAAGCCTAGCCCTGACATGTCGGATGTTCGTTGAACCAGCTCTCGACGTTCTGTGGGGGCGCCTCACATCCTTTGGGCCATTGATCACACTCTTCCCAGAAGACGCGTGGTGGAGAATAGACACCCCGAGTGGAAAGTCCTTTGTGGTACGCCACACTGTTCCTACTCTACTGACAACTCAACTTATCGATCTCGCCTAGACTCTCCTGAGGCCGCCAGAATCTCATGAATGGGACAAGTTCATGCGATACGCTGCGCGTGTCCGACATGTGGTGTCCTCTACCCCACTTCAGCGGGTCACAGAGGCGCATCCGCCGGTCTACAGCATCTTGCTGGACCATAGACCAACCAACCACTTATTCCCCAACCTCAAGCGCATTGAATGGTATTTCGATCACATCTTCCCAGAGGACAGCATCGCGCAGCTATCATTGTTGCTCTGTCCCAGAGTAACGAACATCGCAACCTATGCACTCAAGGTCATGCCCGAGAGGTTGTCCAAAAGACTATCCGACGAACTAATGACGTTCATTATCGGACACATCAACATTCAGTACATCAAGCTCTATTGTCCTCACATCCGATCCCTCGTGACCTTGATACCCACCGTCATCTCCCAGAACAAGATCATACGGACTCTCGATGTCTTACAGGCCTATCCTCTAGCGTTGCATCGCGACGTTTGGCTCGAGTTGTCTCGGCTCCCAATGCTTGAGAAGACCACGATCTTTGCGGACGAGTTCCTTGGTTCGGACCAAGAGTGGAAGCAATTAGTCAACTCATCGGAACTTATTTTCCCCTCCCTACGGCAAGTCAGCATTCACGCGACCGACTTGGAGAAATGTTCTCGCTGCATGAACGCAATCCAATCGCCGTTTCTGGAGAGGCTCGACATCAGCGTCACACATGCCCCGACCAACCAGGAGGTCAAAGTGTTCTTCACTAACCTCGCAAAGCGTTGCGCCAATGCGCCAGTGCAGTGGTTGCGTTTCATGTCCGTCGTCGGTTGTCCGCGTCACGACGACAGCTACGTCATTGATACGGACACCTTGCGGATTCTCCTCTCTTTCCGGGACGTCATAAGCTGCGACATTGGATTTCGCTGCCCGGTGCGCGCAGACAACGCATTCCTCGGGGACGTCGCTGCCGCATGGGCCCCGACTCTCCAGCAGCTCGAACTCGGCTCAAGCTGGAGACAGCGCCTCGACTCTCCAGGCGTCACACTGCAGGGGCTCTTATCGCTCCTCGCGCAATGCCCATTGCTAGGCTATCTCGGGCTGGTGTTCGATCCACGCGTGGACGAGTTCAAGGAGTCATACAATGCAGGCCTGCGTCCCTCCAGAGACGTGCGGGGGCGGAATCGTCTTGTGAAGTTTTCGAGTGGCGCGACGACCCTCAGGGACCTCGACGACTCGGATATCGTCACCCTCGCGGGCGTGCTATCCGACATCATCCCGTCCCTGGCATCCTTCCAGAGCCTGTGGATCAGGGATGGACCTGAGAATCTGCCTGGAGACGAAGATCCCGACGACGTCGACGAAACGGAGGAATGGCGGCGTTTGATAGCACTTCACAAGGAGATGTCGGCGATCAGGACGCAAGAGAGGGTGTGGAGAATGAAGGCTAAGGCGCGAGAAGCGAAGGCGAAGGCGAAAGCAGCGAAGGCGAAGGCGAAGGCGAAAGCAGTGTAGGACTCTTCACATACATGCGACACCATGAAGTGCTGTACATGCGACGCCAGGCGAGTCGTCGCTCTGCTCTGTAGAAGCTTGCTTGGATTGTTATATATGTAGTCCCGTAAGTTTTGACACTGGGCTGCGTGCCCCTGTACGTAGCTCCGTAGAGTTTGCGGCCTAGCTGTAGGTCTAGTACTGACATCGTATGCTCAATGCACCAATTTAATAATACCAATATTCCTCATATTGACCAGGATGACACCAATGACACTAATAGTACAGGAATTAAGAGAGCGGGAAGTGAACGGGAGAGCGTCATTGCCGCTGATGAACCCTTTCCGCTCGACGACTTATCGACCGCGGTCGTAGTGGAGGTGGGCGCCGCTGAAGTGGAAGTAGTAATAACCCCGAACGACTCCACCGTACTCGACGTGGGCGCAGCCATGGAGGTTCCTGGGAGCAATCAGCTGTCAGCCACGAATATTCGGAGCGGTTCAGCACTTGTACCTTCAAACTTGCCACCGTCCTTCAACGCCTCAGTCACTGCTTGCGTCAGCAGCGCACTCGCATTGCTCGGCACCATAGAAAGAAACCCGATACGGGGCGGGTCCACAGACGGGTTAGTCAGGTTCCCGTAATAGAACGCGACGAGGTTCGACTTGAGGAACGGGTCGCCGAGGCTCCACCTGAAGAGCGAGCCGAAGCCCGGCGGGTCGGTGGCCGTGACACTGCTCGCGATGCACTGGGTCGCGTTGCCGCCGGGGCTCTGGGAGAGGAAGTCGCGCGGGTCGACGGAGAAGAGCTGGCCGCCGATCTCGAACGCGAGTGTGTGCGAGGTGTTGCAGGAGAGCATCGGTTTGGCGTTAGCGCTGCGGGCGAAGGCGGGAGAGACGCTGCGGAGGATGCTGTTGACGACGTCGCTGGGGCCGCGGATGAGGGAGTTGCCCTGTAGAGTACGTTTTGAGGAGCGTCGTGAGGTTATGCACTGAGACTTACTGTATCAATAAGTGCGTCGACAAAAGATGTTGTCACTCCGTTAGGCTTGACCGTAGAGTTCGCAAGAGGTTTCCCGTCGAGGTAGACGTTGCCGATGGGCACCTCCCACCGACTGGACGGGAAAGATCAGCTTCGGGAAGAATCGCAGTGGAGGCAGTAAATACACACAGAGGATATGTCTCGTTGGATGCGAATGACGGAGCTTGGAGACCACCGTCAGCAGTCGAGTAGAGGCGAACGGGGACCCAGGTCAACGAAGAGTTGTCTATGCCGTCGGGTAGTTCTCCGATGGTTAGCTGTCCGGTCCCACTGACATCGATCGTGTCTCGTTGCAAGGTGACCTAGTTTCCACGTTCAACGAAGATTCCCAAGTGACACTAACATCATTGCATACCGAGAACAGAGGCTGTTCTACCATGCCATCTGCTACCATACGCGAGACAAGAGGACCGAGAGAACTCATGTGCGAGACAAACTCGTTGGCAGTGACGGAGCGTCCGAACTGCATGACTGTGAGCACGGTAACTGCGGAAAGCTATTACCAAGTTACCTTTGCATTGACAACCTGACTTTGTATAGAACTGACACGAAGAGAGTACAGAACGTCTGCCCCATCGGAAGAGGCATGAACACTCGACGACTGACCTTTGACTTGGGAAACCCAAACCAACAATCCCAGCACCACCATTCAGGACAGCCATGTTATTCGTGTTGCTGATCGCAGCGAGTGGTTGCATTGGCATGGACAGACCAGCGAGCGTTACCTCGTCCATGACGATAGGTCCTGAGGCGAAGGTTCCCGTGGTCGAATCGCCATACGTCAGGTTGACGGTTGCTCCCGTCAGCTGCATGGACTCTGTCGGATACGCGTGTGCCGTCGATTTCTGGCAGACAGGTGTCTGACAAGTATCAGACATGATCCACAGATCGCTAGATCCGGTGTCTACGAAGGCGTCAGACTGAAGCTCGCACATGTATACGCAGGCGACGCTCACCGAGGTTGACGGCGGTCGTCGTATTGCCCACATTGATGGCGACAGTATAGAACCTAGCACGACCGATGTAGAGTCTGAGTCTGAGAGGGCGTAATAAGACGTACGTATCGCCGACGTCTCCGACACCGATGGTCCCAGCAAGGAATGTCTCGACATGACCGCGTCTGCCAACCTCCCGTCTCTGGAGGGGCACACTTAGACCCCTCCGTGCAACTTGCTTCGCGTGAGAGACAACCCAGTTGTTCACGACCTGGACAGGAAGAGCGACAGCAAGAGGTAAGAGAAGAAAGAGCAGTACACACAGGCTGGCCGGAGCCGTGCACATCGAGTTGAAGTGTCAAACTGGCCAGGAGACTGGGAAAGGCGGCCAGCGCGAGTACTAGTTGCGGGACATGGAACGAGGGCGGAAGGACAGACTGCGAGCTGCTGTCCTCGGGCTGTGCGCAACCAAGGGGCAGAAGCTTGAAGCCGGATATTCCATCGAATGAAGGGCTTTACGCTGCAGTGCAACCAGCGAGCGCGAGCCGGTTGCCACCATCAGTCCAGTCGCGATTGGTAAGTGCCCCTGGCCAATGAAACGCGTCCAATAAGGCCCAATAGTGCAGCTGATCCGCAGCATGTTATACCTCGACGACGGCCTAGGCCAGTGCAACGCGCAACGTGTTTTGCGGACAACTGCCAGTGCAGACACTTGCCCGCAGCTCCTCCGAGTCGATTTGGCACGCTGAGGTCAGACTCTGTTACAAGTCCTAGCAGCGCAGAGATTGCCAGATAATTCATTGTATGTGTGCAGTAGTCATAGCAGAAGAGTATGGTAGAGATGATCCCGCTCAGTTGTGAGATACGCAGAGTGATATCGCGCATGGCCACTGTGGCAGACTGTGGCTATCATTGCTCGGCTAACGCCGGCGTGGCCAACTCGTTGAATGATCGGGGAGAGGCCATTTTCACACGCCCCTCTCCCGCGCTCGTTCATACAGCGGACCGCCGTCTGCTTGCAACTTATCAAGAACCCTAGTGCGTACGTCCCCTCTTCGAGCATTGTCTATTTGCAGGCACTTAACAATCTGTACCTCGCCAAATCACAGAATATAGCAGCTAGTTCGCGTTTCGCAGAACCTCGACGTGTACTCTGAGCGCTATAGCTCCTGACAGAAGACTCGATCTGCGACGTCCACAGCAACAACCGGGAAATCCGCGCAAGTCCCGCCAGCTCTAGGTCGATCTCTGCATACCTGCGCAGACGTTTTGAATTATGATATGCGCAGCATTTGCAAGGACATATCAGAGTTTCAAGCCGAAGTTCACTCGCCCTACTCGTCGCGTCTGAAGAATCCGGCCACGGACGGCCACCCCGTTGTCCCCCCTCCCAATTATTGAGGGTACAGATTGTCTGCTATATCTACCATCGCAAACTCGGCGTGCACCTCGAAGAGCGTCGGTCAACTCATGTCTATGACCCTCCCAGCATCCTCACGTGGCGCCAACCCATCGACAGAACCACACTACTTCCGATCTCCAATCCTCACGCTATTGGAATCCCTCGAGGATGGAGAACACGACCATATCTCACATTATGACCTCATGAACGCCTATTCTACCTTGTGCACCAGAATCAGGACGCTTTCGGACGTTCTTTCTTACGACATCAGGGACGGCGTACCAGCGCTGCGGTGTGTCGAGGAACACTCGGTCCCCATGATTAGGTGCCTGCGAAGGGACGTTCGACGAGTACTAGTCGATCCTCTGTTAGCAGGATCTCAGTGCTCACAAGCGTTCATGGAACTCCCTGGTGTGTTCAACTTGCGTTCGGGCCCCATAGATGAAGACATAAAAATCACGAAGGATACCGCGTCCTTATGCTGTTCCGTCCTGAGGGTTGTATCCGATATATTTCGTCTACCCGCTTTGTCTGCAGCATTCACCGGTGGGTTAGACACGTTGTATGCGAGAACTCAGGAACTGACGCCTTTACGTGTAGCCGATGATCTCATCCAGCTCGCCGACGACATTCTGGATCTCATAGAAAGTCCAACTCTACCGGTTCCTAATGACGGAAAAATTCGGGCGCTTGCCCTCTGGGTTTTGTCGAATGGACACTTTCCGGTGGCGTCTTTGGCCTCAAGACGGACTCAGCTGATGAGGTCACTGAATGAATCGATCGAGCACGGTGACTCCGACCTCGTTGTCTCTGACAGCCTCAGGGTAAGTCTTCGCAATTCCATCATCGATCCACGTCTCACTCCGCAAACAGGCTTTGGGCAACCTCTTACAAGCCCATTCATCCATCCTTCTCCAAGTTCACTGCATGATACTTCCATCCGTCCTCAACCAGTTGGCATCGGACTCCGAGCTCGTCCGCACGGAAGCAGCCCACGCACTTGGCAGCTTTGCATTTGCGGCATTGTCACACGACACGGACGCGCACAGGATGTCGGAGGGGCCGCTCAGGCGCTCACTGCAGACTTTCATCGACGCAGCGACCAGCAAGCAATCCATGATCAGCGAGGATGTGAAGAATCTCGTAGCATCCTTCACGCGCTCGCTCGGACCAGGAGACACCCCAACTCGCACTCTTGTCTGGCGTCAAGTCATTATCGCTTCGATAATAGCCACCTTGGGCTCGGAGGTGTTTACGCATAAGGCCAGCTTGAAGTTGATTATAAAGACGCTGGGGCAGATCAAACAACGCAAGTTACAGGTACTCCGTCTGATGCATGCGCTCGTCTGGAGGTGTCTCGTCTGGGCATACGCGGAACTGCAGCGGAGGGACGTGCCAGGCCACAGTCGGATTTCACCGGCTAAGGTCAGGGATGGCGCGTTGGAACTCATCAAGCAGGAGCAGAGGGATGGCATCGGTGCTGCACTGATCAGTACCCTCCTCTGCTCCCCTCCTCTGAACCGCACGCAAGGTGACTCCGCACATGCGAAGCACCAGGACGTCACCGAGGCTGTCGCTGTGCTTCGAAAGATGGCCAGTGACCGGGCTTCTGTGCGCGCGGAGGCTCGGGCGATCCTATCGCGTCTGACGAGTGCGATAGGCTCCGCACCTACGCCGCCCACGACTCCTGCTACGGACGGCAGGTCTCTCGGGGAAGGGATCGTGGTGAAGGAGCTATTCGACGGCACGATCTTGCGTGTAGACGTTGAACGGCTTTCCACAATGCTTCCTGAACTGGTGCCGTTCAGCGTGGAGAAGATCAGACCGCTCACGGAAGCGGAGATCGTCGGAAGCTGGGACGCACTGGTTGAAATCTGGAAAATACTCGTAAAGGAAGATGTTCTCGCCTCGCAGGGCGGTCTCTCTCCACAGGTAAGATCTGTCCCGTCGAATGCTTTCTCGAAAGCTACTCACGCCGCAGCCTGTGCAGCACGACCTCTTGGGCCCGTGGCAAGCTCTTCTTCTCGTCCTCGCGCAGTTGACGCAAGAACACCGACACCTCACTGCGTCTGCCGAATGCGCCGTCCGGGTGGCAGGAATCTGTCGCGACATACTCGAGTGGCAAGACAGTGCTCCTTCAAAACACCCCGACGAGAGCGCATCCCGAGTCAACCAGCTCCGCTTTGTGCTGATGATGTGGAAGATTGCCCGCAACGTTTTCAACGCCTCCTGGCTCGCCGCCGCCGCCGAACCGATTTTGCGCGCGGTCCTTCAAAGGACGTATGACCTTGCGAACAGAGAGATATCGGATGCCTGGGCGGAGCTTTCCAGTGCCCTGGTTTTGTCCGGGGCATCCGATCTGCTCCTCCGACTGGCAGTTGGCGACGAAGCACAGCAAGAGATGGAGCTCAAGCGGCACCTGTGGTCCGTGCTCGCAAAATCATGGGCATACTCGGAGGTGAAGCCAGACTGGAAGGTGACAGTCTCGCTTGTGACACTTCCTATAGGGTGCGTGGCTAGCAAGTCAGCAACTGGCTCACTTCGCTGACTTGACGGAGTAGGGGATTTGATCTCTGCGACGATGGCCTGAGCGTGTGGGACGACCTCCTCCGCGCCGCGGTTGTATCGGCAGACTCGGCACGTACTACCTCTGATCAAGTCCTTGAGACTATAGCTGCACGATTTGATGAGCATAATGAAAGGTTCGTATATCTCATTCAAAGGGACTTCAATCACAGCGCTCACACCGAGTAGGCTTAGCAGACACCCACGAATCGCAATATCCATGTTGTCACATCTCAAGATGGACGACGACGAAATGATACCCAGAGAATTTCTGCGCTTGATCGACGATTTCCTATGCGATCTCTATGCGTCAAGCCAGGAGCATCTATACCCAGCACTAGAAACATTCCGCGCTCTGTCAACCCTTTTCCAATCGTGCAGCCTATCTACCATTGTATCGCTAATCTCCGCCATCTCCGGCCTATGTATCTGGATCCGTGACGAAGAAGAGGTTGTACCAGAAGAAAATTACAATGATGTAGTACGTCCTTTCAGGACATCTCAATCTCCTGCAGTACACTGATTCGCCGGTAGATCATGCATTTATATCAGACTGCTCTCGCCCGTCTTACCGATTATCATTTCACTGCTAATTCACTGGGCGCCATCGCACCATTTCTCGCCTCTGCATTCAAACGAATACCACAAGACGCCCTCGGTCCCCTCGCTTTCAAGGAATTCTGGGAGAGCATTCGCCACACATTGACGCCGCAGGCTAGGTATTCCCTGAAGATTCAAGCAGGCCCTAAGAGTCAATCACGATTTCTTTGGGGGCCACTTCCCTCTGACATATCGTATGACTCGGGCTCCCAGTCCAGTCCCAGTCACAAGACGATGTATGTCAAGATCACAACCTGAATACGTTGCCATTACTAATATGAACACCCAGAGCATCGTACCTGAGACGCCGTCTAGTCAGCTGTCTTTGATCCATCCATGTGTCCATCCCTATGGCAGACGACCCAGTGGACAGTGGATCTGCCTATGACCACGCGGGACAATTCCAGTTCAAACGGACAGGGTACCGCACAACTACCCTCACGTAGTGCTATGGGACACGCCGCTCACCTTGACCTCGAACGCATCAAGACAGTTCGACAACTCTGTTCTTGCGCCCAGGGCACGCCGTTTCGGCGGACGTCGACTGGGACAGCGTATACACACCACCGCGCCGAGGAAACGCAGCATAAGCCAGGAAGTACCGCTCCCGGAAGTCCATGACTACCAATCGGACTCCTCTTCCGGTCAGGATACGCCTACAATTAACGGACATCGTACTCTGCGGGAAGTCCCTCGGGCTTCCAGCGCTCTCCTGAGTCCCGAGGTACCCTTCCTGCAGAGAGACTCCAGTCCTGGTCCATCGCCGTCCCATCCATTATCGCGACGCGCGAACAGTCTTCCGAGTTCTTCACTTCCAGATGCTTCTGGGCCGAGTCTGCCCGCTGGACGTAAGCGTGGACGTGATGCAGAACCACAGGACATCTCTGCGCAACATAGTCTGCAAGCCCGCAAGAAGCGTCGAGTACCAGCCCACGCGGGTGATAAAGGGTCGCCGTCTGGAAGCGCACAGGGGGTGGCCGTAGCCTCGTCTTCAAGTAGTAGTCATCACATGGCAGCTCACTCGAAGCCACATAGTACGCATTCAGGCGGACCGCAGCATGCCCCAGGCGAATGAAATGGGTATTCGACGGCGTAGTCATCCCGCAGCGCAGGATCTCAAGCGTTGGGATGCGGTATCTCATGTGGAACGGTCATCCCCTCATCTAGCCCCCTTCCCGGCGCATCCGAGAATGCGACGAGGGCACGTCAGCGGAGGGCCACATCACCTGCGTCGGATGACTACGACACATGGGAGGGTACTGTGATCCTGAGAGCTCAAGGATAAGCAGGAGCTGGATTCGTCTTTGGGTGAGTCGATAGTGACTCACGATGTCTGCGGTGACTATAGTGCACACCGTACAGACCAAGAGCAAGAGTTGGAAGATCAACTGACGAGCTCTCAGATCGTCGATGAATCATTGCTGCTCGAGCCCTCAGCACATCAACATCGGGAATCAGTGGATCGTCGTTCTGACTTCAAGGTTCGTTTTGGTGTCCTTTCCCGAGGTCAAGTTCGCCGTACTGAGTCAACCGGAACCAGATGATCCAACCATGTTTGCCTCCGATCAGGACATCGTGCCCTCCAGTCAAGACGACGAGGTTAGCAGCTCTCGCCACTCTGTATCGGAACGACAGCGAAACCAACCTACCGCACTCCTCTCCTAGCGTGTCTGTGGACTCCGAACATCGCACTCCGCTGCGGAGGTCGCACCGACATCCGACCGCCTTGACTTGTTGAGGCGTGCTTGCAATGGGCTCAAAGAGGATGGCTCGCAATTACCTATCAATGCGATCAACGAGGCAGAAGATATGCTTGATGATATGTACAATATTCTGAAACGACTGAGGCGGAGAGTCGGTGGAGAAGGGAGGTCCGCAACGCGTTAAACTTGGTACATCTCTACTCACGAGGGAATCGTGGCGGCGAAGCTTACTGTTAATTTTATCCAATACTTTATCGCACGGACAACGCACTTTTACGACGATGTTCTTTAGAACTTCGATGAAAGCTATACATACCAAGATGATGTTGTACCGGGAGTAGTTGGCAATGTGCATGATTTTCCGAACGTACTCACCTGCCTAACCGGGACTTGAGTGCCCTGACGCGGTGGCTCGACGCGCAAAGCACGCCGTCATCGCGTCCGAGGAAATGCGACGCGTCGGACTGCACTATTCTTTGACTCTCACTCACTCTGCCAACGTCTCCATGTCGAAACCGACATAACTCGAGACGATATGTCGACTTTGTTTCGCATCTCACCAATGACTTAACGCAGAGAATCCTCCCGCCGACGAACGTGCCGCCCAGCCCTCCGGGAGGTTCCAACAGTCAGTCGAAGGACGCACTACGCACTCTCTTCGTGCAATTGAACCAACCGGCTACGACACCGGATGCTTCCCGGCACCTCGATGCTCTTGAGAAGGTCCCCGTCAGCGAGGCGGCTTTGTGGCGAACGATGACGAAGAGGCTGAGTTACAGAGAGCTGTACTGGGGAAGCTTGCAGTCGACCTGTATGGAAGGCCCTGGACGTAGTACTTGAAGATGCGCGCGGGTAGAGGATGAGCTGGAATGGTGGACGGACCTCGAGAGGTCGCTAGCAGCGTCGCTCTATACTTCATTCAAAGTGAGTTTCGACCAGCGCGACATTGTGACGCGCAGCGCTGACTTGCATTGATATTGTTTCCGTACAGCTCTCCCATTACGGCTGGCGAAGTTGGGTCAGACGGTCGTGACCACTCTGCGAGAACGAAACCTGCCGATCCATCCGTCTCTCTTTACCCCTTCGTCACTACGCCGCCTCTTCCCCTCTCATGGTGTCCTCCGTCCGAACACACTCACAGTAGCTCTTTTCCCGCATCTGCGCTCACAGCCTTACAGCATTGCACTCTCAGTCGGCCGCTTCCCTCCAGCGTCTGCGTTTGTGTCCTCTCCCGGGACAAGCGTCCGTTCCGCCTGTTCGGCATTTATCTCGACCTCTGTCGGTCTCGGACGCTCGGCTGCCCAGATCGTTAATTTGCCCTTGGACCTCACGAGAGGAGAATGCCGACACAAGCATCAGGAGCTGAAGGACCTCCGGGACGAACGGGCGGATCTGCTGGGCACTCTGGTCAATATGCGCGACTTGATCGCGTCTTCCCTCGAGGATGAGTCCGTTGGACAGGGCATCACCAAATTGAACGAGTTTTCCTATAGTTGCAGCAGATGATTCTCGGTGATACACCGACTGCTGCAGATGTCTCTGCGGGCGCTGTTCCTGCCCTCCAAAACATCGCAGCCGCCCTGTCCGACACTACCGGTGGCCCATCTTCCTCCTCGACGCTTCGAACTTCTACGCTATCTGCGCGCAATCTCGCACGACCGTCGCGCCTCACCCTTCTTTGGCCGCGACTTGTATTTCTTCCACCTCTCGCGTTGTATGCGGCCAAGACCGCATACGCATCGCGAGCGTCACTGTGCGGGATGGGCCGGGAGGCAGTCGAAACGATCAGAGGTTTCTGGGAGCAGTGGTTATTGGAGCCGCTGAGAGACGTGGTCAAGACGGTACGAGCGGGAGGCGAGGATGGTGTGATTGTTAGCCGGGAGAGCGTCAAGGCCGATCTCGACGTACGTTTCCGACTATTCTACGATCGACGTCGACGGTTCGCCGATGACATATGGATAGTCCCTCGAGAGGATGGCACTTGCATTGGCCAGAGAAGCTGCACTATGACGCTCCGCAGATGGAGGCGCTTTCGCGACAGATCCAGATGGGCGACCTGACGCCAGTCATGGAGATATACGAAGAGGAATCAAGAAGCCTTTGAAGTCAGCGATCGCCGGAACTCTTCTGAGGACATTGTTCATTCAAGTACAGAAGGCTAAGGTATGCAGCTGCCTGGCATCGGCCCGAGTCAAACCACTGATCGGGCTCTTGTGACAGGTTGACATTGACCAGGCACTGGCTGGGATCGACAAACTACTCAAGTCTCAAGAATTGACGTTTGCCTTCGTGGGCGTCGCACCTGCTCTGGCTATTGTGTATGCCGTGGCGGTTGCTTGAGAGGTATGTGGACAGGTGAAAGGGGGAGGGGCAAGTACGGTGGGAAGAAGAGGTGTGCCAGCATCTGGCTGAAGATGCGGTAAGCTCCTATGTACATCACTGGGAGATTGAATTCCGTCTCATGCCTTGATATTGCAGACGTATCGAACGCCTCCTCATCGCACAACCCAAATCGCACCTCAATCCTTCCCGTGGTGCCGCTCCGCACCCGTCCTCCATCCCGCCGCTTACTTCGGGACTCCTACTACTTTCCGTTAGCCACCTCCGCGCTTACGCAGAGAACTATCTGCCTGCGAACTCGAACCTCCGCGAGGGCTTCCTAGAAGATGTCGTCGATCTGGAGACCCGGCTCTAGGACGGGCGGAGAAGTTGCGTGTACTGGACCGGATGTGGCGCAGCTGGGGCGAGGTGCTTGGTTGGGGAAGGGCTGGTCAAAGTGGGAGGTAGGCGCAAGAATAACGCCGATTGCTCTCGCTTTAATGTGTAGCTTTGTGACGCAACGAATGCCTCGATATGAAGCCGCCGACCAATTTGCTGATGGTGACATGGAGTAGAAATGCAAGCCCCTTCACGCCCATGCGCTCATGGCCTGCAGCTGACTCCGACTTGGTTCACGACGCGCGTCAAGGTAGCAACTGCGCTCGAACAGACGATTTCAACCTGGTGAGCTGCACCTGCTGCAGGATAGACGTCTGTACGGTTGCTGCACCGTTCGGAGCAGGAAGTTGTGACATCCTCGCCTGCCCTTGCACACCGCTACGGCGCCATTCGTTGGCATCGTGGTGCATATCGTTTGCTGAGCGTATCGACTATCCGGTCAAGAGGGTATCGATAGAGAAGTATCGCACCGGGTATTATAGTATACATCCGGCTCATACGAGATGCCACTATTGATCACCTAGGTTGCTGTGTGCCTATACAGTTTGTCCCTTCCGTGGCACTAAATGCGATGGATGGTGCGTGTGGAGGCGTTCCGACGCGTACTCGAAGAGCGTCTTGTTCCCAGGCGGCACAGAGGGCTGGAGATCCTCCGTACTCACCCCCCGCTTCAAGGTCGCGTACGCCCTGCACGCCTCGCTGCTGCGTGCGACCTCCGGATCGTCGCGATCCAGAGCGAGGATGGTGAACCCTGGTATGTTCATCCCAAGTACTCTCTTCAGCGCTGGCAGCAACTCTTTTTTGGGCGCGTACGTCCCGGAGTTGTTGTCGATGACGAGTTCCCATCGCACGTCCTCGTCGCGCGTATCGTCGCTGAACTTGTCCCACCCGCCCTCAGGCCGCGGGTGGAACTCGCCGGCAAAGCGCACCGAAGTGGCGCAGTCCGAGTGTAGCCATGCTTGGACACCATATTGACGAGGTAGCGCGCACCTGTCTCGGAGAATCGCATGGTGTCGTCGTCCACAGATATCACGTAGGTATACACCGCGGGCTTGATACGGCGGGCAAAAGGCGACTCGGCACCGGGCCCCTCCGTGCCCGGTGGTGCTGAATAGCCGTGCAAGAGGTGGAACATGTCTCTAGGATGTTCGAGCACGCCGAACACGTTGGAGATGGCGTGGGCGTAGAGCATACGGTGGGCGGTGTGCTTGACGGAGCGTACTGCGGCGGAGGCAGGACCCTCGAAGGTTCGCCGCGCTTTGCTCGTCCAAGGTTGCACCTGGTCGCCGAAGCAGCGACGAACACCCTGAGGGAGACCTTCCATGTGGCATAGAGTCGACTGTCGGCGCTGGTCAGGCGGCCCATCGTCGGCGAGTAGTGCAGCGAGTAGCGGATGGGACCGTCAATTCGTATGTGTATTCGTGCGCATCAGGGTCGGTGGAAGGCACAGTATCTATCTGATATACGTCCATCACGATGTGATATGCTCTGAGAGTGCGAGCTTACCTTCAGATGGAATGCGCCTCTGTTCCGGTGTAAAGGATTGCTTTCTGTTATTCGAATATCCTTGTCCCCGGAAGATACATCAATCTTGAAGTGACCGATGTATCGTCTGTCAGTCCATTGTTGTCGTTGTCCGCCAACTCGACGCCAAGGACAGCTCCCTGTGGAACGTTCTTGACCCTCCACAGCTCATCCCATCTGGGTGAACGAGTGTTCTCCTTCACCGATGATCTACGTTACACCATCACGATCAGAATCGGCTTGCTGAGTGGACATCATCGCGTACATGTATTCAACCTTGCCATCGAGCCGAGCGACGAAATACGGATCCCCGCTGCCAACCAGGTCCATCTTGGGGAGCCCAGATGCACCTTGGAAGTCAAAGGTCACGTCGACGAACGTCGCCATGTTCAAGTTGATGAGTATCGTTCTGTAGTTGATGCAGCAAACCGGAGACGATACGAGTCTATCTATCGGATACGAGTTCCATACGTGGTCCTGATGGTATGGGTTCCGTATTCCTGTGGTGTTCACGTCCAAGCCACTGAGATGGGCCAGTGATAGATCTTAGATCTTCCGGGGGGTTCTCCACGTGACATGCCACAGACGCGACGCCGCGGCCAGCCTGGCGCGACTTACTGTAACAATTTACCACAAGGCGACACAAGTCTTTGTGCGTGCCAGCCTCACAGGTAAGTAGTGTCATCTTCTACATTTGTTTTCCAATGTCACTCGTCTGCGTCAGTACTGAACGTGGTGGTGTTCTCCCGAGCGGATTCCGGATTGTCTGATCAATATTCGTCGTAGACTCATCGTACCGTTTCGTACGTCGGCTCAGGCTGCGGTCTGAGATGGACGATCGCTCAGATCGAAGGGGTGTCAAAAACACGCGTCTGCAGGTGATAGATGCGTCGCCACCTTTTGACAAGCCTGGCGCAGACTTGATTCTCCGCTCGTCAGACCTTGTCGACTTTCGCGTCCACACGTGTATCTTGAAACAAGTATCCTCCGTGTTCAATGACATGTTCCTCTTTCCCCAACCCAACTCTCGCGCGGACAGAGGAAGAAGTGGTTCCTTCGGCAGCTCAGTCGCAGACGCCCAACCGTACAAGAATGGCCTCCCTCTTGTCCTCGTTCAGGAAGCAAGTGATGTCCTCGGCCAGCTGTTGCACATCTGCTACCCCGTTCCAAACCCATCGCTCAATAAAATTGAGACGCTGTCCCCGGTACTGGCCGCAGCTGTGAAGTATGCCATGGACGACATTCTACCCGCTCTTCGAGAAGACCTACGTCGGCTCACCAGAAGCTCTCCGATACGCTCATATTGCCTCGCGGTCCACTATGGGTTCGCAAGAGAAGCTCAAGTAGCCGCACGGCCTGCCTTGCATTTCCCATGTCCATCCTTCACGCTTCCGACGTACCCGAGCTCAAATGCATCAATGCCAGAGCGCTGCTCAAGCTTCTCCGTTACCACGAGCGATGCTCACAGCATGTTCTCGCTCTCTGGTCCAACCCCTGGGCTCGTGGCGGATGGCCGACCAGTGGGTGTGGTTCACATGCAACAGCAGCGGAGGATACTGTCCCTCTGCTCCCAAGGAAGGCAATTTGGCGAAGGGGAAGCAATGTGTTCCTACCTTGTGGTGGTACGAATACATGTGCTCCATATTCGACGGGCTACGTTGCACTCCGTGTGGCGCCTCAGTTAGGATGGATACGCGCGCACTTGACAAGGCCATAAAGGCAGCCCTCAAATGCCCTGTGTGCGAAAAGTTCGCGCAACAGCAAATGCGTATATAACGTTGCCTTACTCAATCCCGCAGATACAGTGCACCAATCTCCATTGAGAAGTGCGATGTATCCGGAGGACGACGAGTTAAAGGACTTATCCTTCAACTCGCCGGGCGACGACCTATAAAGGTACGACACCAAACACACGCAAACGTATATACATACAAGCATATCGATCCAATAAGTCCATAACGGGATTACACACGTCCATACGGTAACGTCCCGTTACACTCCTCCTCCCTGGACTCGTCCACGGGTCCACGATAGTAGAGTATGCGCGAATATATAAGGTCATTGGACCGTGATGATGAGGCGAAGCGACAGGATGACGACGGCGACGACGTGAGTGCCGACGGCGACAGCCTGCGCGGTGATAGGAATGATGAGGTGAAAGGCGCCAGCGACGCGCCGGCCAGTAAGTCTATTGCGGACGGAATTGAAGAGACGGGAATGTTCGCGACGCCGTGATCGAGAAGTACAACGCGCCCGTAAGTGCGGGGTACAGCGACGACATGGTACGTGTCGAGCAGCCTGACGATCGTGACGATCAGCCAGAGTGGCCAGAAGTACCATCCCCCGGGTGGTTCTCATCAGGAGGAGGTGCATCCGCGGCAGGCTGGGGGTTCTCCTCAGCTTGGCTGTCTCCCATGGGCACATCCACAACCGTTGTCGGGATGTGCACCGTAGGCGGGATTGCCGGCAACTGCGCGATATCGGGCACGTCCACGATGTTGACGTCGCCCGGACTCATGGGGAAGGTGCTGAAAGGGGCACCCTCATCCAGAGGCCGGCTCTCGTGAATATTGCGGCGTCGCCGAGCGTAGTCCGTGAGGAACTGTGCCTCGCCGGGTTGGATACCCATGCGGGCGAACCACCGCGCTGCATCATAGATGGTAGCGTTGGAGGCGTTCCACGCGTACGGGATTGTCGCTCATCCGTCGCCGATGGGATAGTGTCCGTTCTCGACGATGAGACTGTACAGCCCTTCAATGGAGAAGAGCTGAGCGACAACGATATCCCAAGGCCTTCGTCCGTTGGGGGATCGAGGTGCGAGGCGGCGTATCAGATGCACCGCCTCGGCATTGTCGACGTTAGGCTCGCCGTCCTCTACACGCACCCCATCGGGTATGTTGTGTGGGTAGAGGCGGTACCAATCCACCCATCGACTGACCGGGTCTTGAGGGTCAGGCTGCGGCAGTCTCGCCTTCTTGGTGGGCGGCGCACGCATATGGCTGCCTGCCTCGGCGTCAGCGCGACGCTTCGTCGATTTTGACGAAGCCGGTGGACCACTGGCAGTGGACGTGGGTACGGTAGTCGTCGTCCGACTGCCAGAGGATCCGGCACCAGGGGTTCCCGCTGGTGGTGCAGCTGCTCGCCTCCGTTCCTCTTCTCGACTCTCGCGAACGGCACGCTCGATGTTGCGGACCTCATCCGCGTCGATCTCGGCATCACGTCCACTGGTGGGTGTGATGACCGGAGTCGTGCGCGGAGGACGCCAGTTGCTCACGAGGTGATACATCCCGTCGACGTATCGCAGGCCCGCGTCGTCGTGGGTCTGGTGGATCAAGTCCCGGACCCAGAAAGCGGCCTCCTCATCCCCGGCCTGTGCGACGCGCAACAGATTGCGTCCGTCCACGTCGCGGCGGGGGATGAAGTTGTGCCATTGTCCGGCGCGTATCACCAGCGAGTTGGCCGGTAGCGGTACGTCCTCGGGCCAACCTTCAGGAGCGACTGGCGGCGCACCCGTACTGGATATGTACTGGGTACGACCGTCGTCGGTTCCCGTCGTCTGCGGCCGCGAGACCGGTTTCCCCTTCGCCCTCTGCTTCCCCTTCGCCTTGCTAATCCGCTTCTTCTCCTCTTCTTCGTCTACGTCATCGTCGTCGCTCTGGTCCTCGTCCCATCCTCCGGGTTGCATCATGGCGGGCAGCGCAGGCGGCCTGCTTGGTGCCGGCGGTGGGACGGTCCTTGACTCAGGCGCAGACCGTGGCGGCGGCGGAATGATGGGTACTGGGGAGCGCGTTCGTGGCGGAGGGGGGCTGGCTGTGTCCTCTCTGGCACAGTCTGCCTCGTCCTCGGCTCGGACCGTACTGGCTGCGCCGGTTCCGGTGCAGCGTTCCTGGTCCTCGATTCAGACCTCGACGAAGCCGGCAGCTCCGTTCGGGATGCTGTCTGCTTCGGAGGCCTCGTCTTCGGCAGGCCCATCTCGTTGGCCTTTTGACGCTCTTTCTCCTTTGCTCGGTACTCGCTGAGCTGGCGTTGAGCGTCGTCGAACTTGTCCTCGAGGTACGTGAGGGAGGTGTCCCGCCTGTCTACGCGGTCTTCGAGCTCTCGGACTTCTGACCGGAGTGCTTGGGCCGCGTCTTCGCTCTGATGGAGTCGAGCTCGCGTTTCGGCCAATTCGTCCTGGGCGCGAAACGACCTCTGCTCCAGTTGGTCGTACTGACGCTGGAGAGAATCTACCAGCTCCCTCCCCCCCTGGAGCCAACCCCGCTGAAGGAGGTCGGCTTCAAAGCGGGCCCGGATCTGGGCCTCCACTCCGTTGACGGCCACACCGAAGCTCGCGTCCTCGTTCTCCGACCGAGGGAGGTGGGCGAGGTACGCGTCGCACACGGTGCACGACCCCGGGGTGTGGATTACCAGCGGAGCTGGCGGGTGACGTGGCACCCAAGTCTGCGCGAACGGGGCAAACAACGACGACGAGCCACCCACAGCCCCGAATTGGTACTGCGGTGTGACGGGGTCGTCGCGTAGTCCGCGCGACTCACGCGCCTGTTGACGAGACGCGTCGATGGTTGGCACGCCGTGCCCAGCCACCCCAATAGGCGGCGGTTGGACAACGGCGTCCGATGTCGAAGTCACCGTTGGCGGCGACTGCGGGCTTGAAGTCGACTGAGTCGCCGACGGTGCCACCACACCAGTAGGTGCGGCGACACGCGGGGGCTCATCGGTGTTCATGGGCGAGGATGGGCGGGACATGGCGAAGTCGGTGTTGTCGTGGTTTGACGTGGAGAGTTGAAGTTTGGGAGAAGGTGAGTGCAGCCACAGCGTATTGAGGCGATTGCCACATCATGTGACTCCTGACGGCACGTCACTGCCCGATTGGGCTTTGACGCGTCTTCTGGGCGCTACACTCTCTTCTCGCCGCCACTTCAAGTCCAGTACCACCACTGCTTCGAGTGGTGGTGCTCGCTTCGAAGTGCCGCCTTCGTGAACGGTCGTACTACCCCATTAGTGGTGGTAGTGCGTCGTTCTACGCCCTGGGTTTCCGTGGCAGCTTCTTCCAGTCCTTGACGCCATGTAGTGTCAAGTACTCGTCGAGCGCTGCGAGGTCCTTACAATTGGCATACGGTTCCCAAGTGCAGTCTCCCAATGTCCACCGGACGTGGAATTGGATGCGCTTGCCGTCCCAGTTGTGGCCTATGATTTCGTCGACGAGCCATTCCTGTTCTTCGTCGTCGCCGAAGTCATAGTACGACCGTGCCTCCCGGTGAGGAAACATTGAATCATCATTCGGTTCGTGTCTCCTTAGGAGGGAGACGTGAAACGTCGGATGGATTCTACGGTCACGTAGTTCCTTCGGTAGTTCCAGCGTGTAGTTCGACGTACTCGGATTACACGCCACTACCTTGTATGGTCCAATAAACTTGGGCATCAGTTTCCTAGCACGGCCGCGAGGCAGCGCCAGGTTCTGCGTACTCAAGTATACTTGCGATCCTACGTCGAACTCAGGTTCCTGCTGACGGTGCTTGTTGGCCTGGAATGTTTGGTGCACTCGACTTTCAATGATCGCGTCGTGTGCCATTTCCAGGTAACATTGTGCTCGTTGGGCGAATTCACGAACACCTGCATATGTGGTGCTCGTGGAGAATCCGTTCAACATGCGCGGCATGTACCCGTAGTTGAGCTCGAACGGTGCGAATCCCGTCATCGCGCTGGTGGATGAGTTGATAGCAAACTCCGCGAGGGGTATGCATCAGGAAAAACGACTTTGTCTTGGGCGTCATGCCAAGACACCCCACAATCTTTCAAGGCACAAACACCACATAACCAACTTGAGTGGCTCACAAGTCAGTCAAAAGACCGTCAAGGCTCAAAAGCGCGGGTATGTCTCTTCTCTGACTTGAATTCTGGTCGCTGATACAGCAGTTACCTTTAGCCTGAGACCATTATACTCAAAAGCCCTCACGCATACTTGTGGGCTTTTCACAAGTATAACTCATACAGCACACTCTGTTCAGGTCGTACAATGTATTATGTTGTAGATACAATGTCTACGTAGCTCATGTACCTAGGTTGTACAGGGTGTACGATTCGGAGAGCCTGAGAGCACTCGGTGACGGTTGGATAGGAGCCGCTGAGGTTGGAAGAGCTGGGGGTAAGAGTGAGTGTTGATCTTGGGTCGAATATGCTGAGCAACAAGCTCGACGTACACGACGGTGATGCTTCGAGGATAGGTGTGGACGAGCCTGTAGCGTCGTCAGAACAATGGCGGTCGTGGGTGCGATCGAGTCGGTCGACGTAGTCATCTCGGAGCACGTCAATGACGACGGCATGGCGGGCATTGAGCTCGTCATGCCAGTGTACGGTGAGCGAAGAGCTCGCCGTACTCAACGAGGATGTCTTGACAGTAGATGTTGTCATGGGGGCTGTCGAACGTGAATGCACACTGATCGCGTAGCAGGGCATGATCTCAGACGTGGAGGTCATATCATATATGCTGAGTGAGGGGCTCAGCGTAGGCGACGGTCTTGTCTTGACGGTGGAAACGGACGCATTGGTCGTGTTTGAGCGTACCGAGACTGCGTCACTAGGCGTAGCATTGACGGTGGGATCTGCCCTCCTGTACATCCAGCACATCACTCGGCCTACCCAGTGCTCGAGGTTCAGACGCTGCAATAGGCACGTCGGTTCGTGCGTTGCGCATGGTATGCAGTGCACCAGTGGGCAGCACGTCGAGCCTCCAGCTCGGCATATTTCCGCTTGGAACGTGTGTGCTATAGAGAGAT